ATGTATCGTGAGTTAATAATGCTAGAAACAGCGGCAGACTTTCGCTCTTTTCGCTTTTGGTGTCATCAGGTAAACGCACAGTGTGGGTGCTGCAGCAAGCTGCTTCGCCGGTGACAACGGATAAAAGCCGGTGGCACGATTTATCAATTATCCGACAGTAAACACATGCTGTGCGCCTATCTGAATATCGCGCTGCACACATGTTTCCGCAGCCAACGGACAAAGGTCACTGCGATGTGTGTATGAAAGAGCAAAAAATTTATATCAATGCCCGCACCAAATTTGTCAAACCAACCGTGCAGTACCGTGTTAGATGTGCGCGACAACATGATCAATGGTAATAAAATTCCAAATAACTACGTATAATCAGCAATGCATCAATAACCACGCTCTGTCCGCTGGTATCATTAACACCAATGCCTAATTAAAATTTTTTATCATGGTAATAGTATATAGAAGTCTGCATTTGGTTGCTGTAAATTAAAATATTTTCGTGTACAAAAGAATTACCCATCGTTTAGCTAAACACATCCTTTCCGCCACTTTTATCTTTTTGTACTGATTTACCTGCTCACAAAAATTTAATTTCCAAAAGTCGTAAACACATAAAATACGCCAATTTTATCAAGTTCATAACACATAATTTTCGGTATGTACTGACTCTGTTATTATTTTATGTTTTTTTTTTTCAGAGCGCAGGGCTTATTCGAGTATGCAAACTCCCGCTTATACAAGTACGGTGTGCCGCTGCATGGCGACGCTAACTGGACAGCATTGGAGATTGAGCGCCAAAGAGCAATGTGTAAGTTGGAAACTGCGGAAACCTACGAGTAGTACTGTACATGTAAGAGTATACACATTTGTATCTTATGTCAGTGCAGTAAAAAAAGGTATTCAATTATGCATGCTGCATGCCAATTATTATGTACTCGTACGTTTCTGGGAGAGTATAATTTTACAGTGTAGCTCCAGCGAGCAATTATTATGACATTGCTATGATGCTTTGACGTTACGTTGATGAGTGTGCACGCAACAAATATAATTTTCAAAAAGATTTACAGAGTATAATTATTATTTGTAGCGACGACGGCCTCGACTACCGTTCGGCCGACTCCTCTCCCAACCACGACTACAACTACCGAAGCCACAGAAGAACCAACAGAGGCACCGGAAACAACTACTACCCCACGAACCACGCGACGCACACCGCCAACAACCCGGCGGCCTACCACAACAACCACGACTACTACCGAAGCCACCACGGAAGAAACTACGACGGAGGAGACGACCACCACCACAAAGGCCACCACGAAACGACCAACAACCAAGAAGCTACCCACAACAACGCGGCCCAGACCGACCACCACCACCACGACCACTACGGAAGCCACTACCACCGAAGTGACGGAGAGTACCACCGAGCCGGTGGCTGTGATACCGAATGTCATCATCATCAACGGAACCATCGTGGGCAGCATGACACCGATGGTGGTCTCGTTTACCGTTAACGGTGTGGCCACGTATTTCTACTATATCACCGTTCTACTGGCGAACGGGCAAATTGTGCCGGTATTGGCGTACGGTGATCCGATGGTTCCTGATGCTAATGGATTGATCTCCGGTTATATCATTAATCATTCAATTACTGGGACGGTCACACCCAATCCCACCGACTCCATTTTTATCCGTATTGTGGTACGGTTGAATAACGGATCGTACGCCATTATGCCGATAGAGACCACGGCCACGGCCACCACGACCACCGGAAGTGTCCTGTACGTCCTTCCCCATCTGTTTAACTGGGTCATTCCCACCAATGTTGTCGTTTACATAACCCTGCCGTTTTTCTATGTGAACGGTTCGATAACCGGAATGGTTTCGCAAGAGGTCACCACGACGACTGCCGCTACTACGACATCCGCACAGGAGGTCACCGCTAGGCTGAATGTAATCGTGGTACCTGGTGATAGTGATGACCTCACAACCAAAAGAATGGGAACAATCGCCACCACAGCTGCGCCGCAGCTTATCAGTTTGGTCACTTTAAATTTTAGTGAAGGAACGACGGAAGCCACTACGATACCGACCACCCATCGATCTCGAGTTCGCCGTTCCTCCACCACGACCACCGAGTCAACGGAGGCGGCGACCGAAGCCACCACCCATCGGTCCAGACGCCGTCGGTCGTCCACCACTACAACAATTAAGCCGGAGGTTGAACCGGAAACAACGCCGGAAGAAACGACCACCACTACCACGACGACACCGGCTCCGAAGATAGTGGTGATCATTCCACAGACCACAACGCCGACACCCACGACGACGAGGACGACAACAACCACCACAACGACGACAACGGAGGAGCCAACGACAACTGAAACAACACGCCGAAGCCGGATCCGCCGGTCATCAACCACCACCACTGAAGCCAGCACTGCGGTTCCCACTGTGGCCACGCCCCGGTTGGTGGTAACGGCCTGGACCAGTGAAGAGACAGTGGCGCCGGCTCCCACGACAACTGTCGCCCCGATCACCAGCACAAGTAAAATAAATATCGTGGTTATACCGAATAACCAGGTGGAAGTCACAACACCGGCGCCAGTTGTAGCAACAACGCGATGGACGCCACGCGCCCGTTGGACATTCCCTACCCACGAGGCGGTCACTGTACCCTCTGCCGGAGAAAGCACTACCAGTTCCTCAAGGTGGTCACGCCGGACACGATGGACGACGACGTCGTCCGCCGCACCAGAAGAAGAAACGACGCAGGCCACTACCCGGCGCTCGAGAATACGCCGATCCAGCACGACCACCACCACGCCCGAGTCAACGGCAGCAGTGTTCATCGCCGCGGCCACCACAGCCCCACCCACTACTACCACGCCGAGCAAAAAGCAACCCAAGATCTTCGATGAACTGTTACCGGCTAACATGACTGTGCCGCCACCTATCGGTAACCTGTCGGATCAGTACACCCGGGTCATCGTCATCCAAGTCCCCAACGATATGAACGCCTCACTGGCGCAGACACTGAACGAGATGCAGGTGTTACCGGTTGACCGCACCCAGTACACTTCCGTCGGCGATTTCTACCGTCCCAACTGGACACCACTGGAACTGAACACGCTGGATAAATCCGCCATACCCGGTGTCATGTACCCGGCATATAAGGAACCGGTGAAGACAAATTTCACGTGTTTCGGCCGACAAGTGGGCTGGTACGCTGACCCCGAGACGCGCTGTCAGCAATACCACAAGTGTGACGGTAACGGAGTGGAGCCGGTAGATTCGCCGTTATTGTGTCCCATTGGGACATTGTTCTCTCAGCTGATTCAGACGTGTGTTGTATGGTACGACGTCGCGTGCAGTGGTATCGGTATTGTACCATCACTGGCGATTGTTTCCGGTACTCAACCAGTTGTTGCGACGGGTCAAGCGGTGCCCGGTAAAATGAACGTGGTGGTACTGGTCGGTGGAAACAGTGCAATTATCCCCGTCACTGCGATAACAGTAGCGGCTACCACTACGACGACTACGCCGACAACGACTACTACCACCGCTGCCATCACTACGACGCTTCCCACAGCTACCACCACCACTACACCAACTACGACTACAACCGCGGCACGAAATACAACGAAGACTTTGATCTCGAATATTCCCATCAGTATCAGTTTCACTGGAGGAAACCAGAGCCAGAGCACACTCTTCACACGCCGACACCGAAGTCGATCCACAACTGCAGAAGGAACGACGACAGTAGCACCTGTACCTGCTGCTGAAACGACGCCGGCTCCAAACCTCGCTGTGGTAATTTTACCGGGCGCCCAAGTAACCGTCGCAACCGAGGCAACCACGGCAACTACGGTAATCCCGGTAGTAACAACCACCGAGGCAACGACCACCACAGCGTCTACTATCACTGCGACGCCGGCAAGTAACCTCAATATCCTGATTATCCCGGCTGTGAACGGATCCGAAACTCCTGCCGGAAACGCGACGGTACCAACCGGAAGAGAGGAGACCAGCAACGGTACGGTGGTACTGAATGGTGGCATAGTGGGCAGCGCGACACCACCGATTGTTATGTTCACTGTTAACGGTGTACCGACGTACTTCTACTACATTACCGTCATCCTGGGCAATGGGCAGATGGTACCCATGCTGGCATACGGACCTTCGGTGGCAGCGGGACCATTAACGGTGCAGATGGTTGGCGGTGTCGTTAACGGTTCCGTCGTCAACCCAACCATTACCGGCACGGTGACCCCGTTTCCCACCGGTCCATCCACGATTCGCATCGTCATCCAGCTGACGAACGGGTCATACGCGATCGTTGCGGTGGAGACCAACGCTACCGCCACGTTGACCAATGGGACAGTGATTCCCGTACTGAGCCACTTGTTTGTCTCGTCTCAACCGCCGCCCAACAGTTATATTTACTTGCGGTTCCCTTTCATTTATCTCCCCAGTGGCACCGCGATACCGCTAATTCCCAACGCGCCAGTCAACGCGTTTGCTCCGCCGATTATCGTTAACGTCAACAACAACGGCACAATACAAACCATGTACTACGTGACTTTAGTCTTGACCAACGGTACATTCGTGCCGGTGTATGCGTACGGTGCGCCGGCCAACATAACTGTCACTAGCACTACGGAGCCGGCGGTCAGCCTAACCATTACCGGCTCGGCATCCGGAACTGTTACCAACTATCCGGCAATAATTTACCTGAGTAACGGAACATTCGCCACCGTAAACGCTGTCTCCAATGCAACAGCGACAATGGCCAATGGCGCCACTGTACCGGTCTTATCAGAAATTCCCGACGAAACCAAGCTAACGCATGAAAGTGTGATCCGTGTGACGTTCCCGTTCGATTACACCGAGAACGGCACCGCTATAACGTCGCTCAACCTTCCACCAGCCAACGCCTACATAACCCCAACAATAGTAAAGGTCACCATTAGTAATGCAACACAACTGCTGTATCAGACGTCTATCGTCTTCCAGAACGGTACCGTTGTACCGGCTCTAGCGTACGGAGTCGAAGAGAACGCGAATACAACCCTACCGGAAATTGCTATCAACGCTACCATTGCGCCACTGGCCACCGGGCAGTCCGTTCTCGTCGTACTTGTGCAGTTGAATAATGGGTCGTACGCGCATGCCACCGTTCACACCAATGCTACAGCCATACTGGCTGATGGAACGGTGGCGCCGGTGTTGTCGCAGTTGCCGACCGAAGCCAACGCCATAGCCAACAGCGTGGTCTACAACACGTATCCTTTCGTTTACCGCACTGACGGTACCGCCGTTCCAATCGTCCCGGTGGTCCCCGGAGCCGCATTCACCCCACCCGTTTCACAGACAGTTACCACCGGAAACGGCACGTCACAGACACTGTACCACGTTACCGTTGTCGCGTCTAACGGAACCGTCCTGCCACTGTTCGTAATACAAGCGCCAACTGGTGGTAATGCTACCGGAAACGTCACCGCACCAGTGAATCCAGCGGCAACTGCCGTGACAACGACAGCCGCCAGTGTGTCAAATGCTTCCGCTATCCCGGTGGTCTTCAACAACCCTGGGTTGTCGTCGATGACGGTATATATTAAATTAGCCAACGGATCGTTCGCGCCGGTAACCATCAGTTTCACGTCGACGGCAACGTTAAGCGACGGAGCGGTGGTGCCGGTTCTCTTGCATATTCCCGACGAAACTTCGCTAAACGTTACCAGCGCTGCAGTCCCAACGTTACCGTTTGTTTACTCACCGCAAGGAGATGTGTTGGTGTCAGGCAACGTAACCACCGAAAACAAAACTGTAGTTTTGCCGGTCATCACGGAAACGGAAAGTACGACGGCAGCCGCTGCGGTAAATGTTGTAGTGGTCGGTGGGCAAGCGACGATACCAGCTGCCACTATGCCTGCTGTCACCACAACGGAAGGCCCCACCACATGGCACCGTCGAGGCCGCTGGACCACCGAAGCAACTACCGCCAGTGCGGCAAAGGTCGCGGTGGAAACCTCGACCGTCATTGTAACCGGCAACTTGCCGATAGTAATCACCAACGCCGGAAACGACAGCCATGTCAACGTCTCCGTGTCTCCGAACGGTACGGCGGCAGTTGCGGTCTCACACACTGGTCCCGTTTTTGTGGGTGGCAGTTCATCGTTGTTTTGAATTCCTCATCATCGGAAGCGGAAGCAGAGACGACGGCCACAACGACAACCACCCGGGGACGGCGTACACGATGGGCGACCACCGGGGCTCCCACGACGACACTCCCCACACTGGAACCGACGACGGCCAGACACACGACCCGGCGAGGACGCGGTGGCGTTATTATTGGAGGTGAAACCGCCGCTGCCAGCACCATAGAACGCGTGGCCGGTGGTACTCGCTGGCAGAGAAGATCCAGATATCCCACAACTGCCGAACCAACCACTGCCCTGGGAGTGGCGGTCACCGAGCACCTGACCACCAGATGGGTGCGAAGAGGACGATGGACGACCACCGCCGAAACCACTGCAACTGTGGCGCCACTTATTGCCGCGGTACTTAATGTTAACGTTGTTAATAAAATTTGGATGATGCAGCAAACAACATTTTCATCGGTTGTAAATTATTACAGGTGACCAATGCTAGTGCCCTCAACGTCGTAATCATTCCGGTGCCAGGAGGTCCAGGACACGCTGCAGCTGAAGCGGAAACCAGCACAATTTCTGCTGCTGAAACGGTAAATTTGCTAATTATTTTATTAATTAAGAATTTGTTAAGTATGTAGGCCTGAATGGTCGCATACTGACTATTACTGAGGCATACTCGGTTATCCGGACGCGTGTGGCGCAGTGTGCGATAGCCGCATTAATCGTACAGTGCACAGGCACTGCGCTGCGTAATGCGTATTGAATGTGGATACGCGAGTATGCGATCATTTTATCCTACATTGTATTAATTTTTGATTTAAGAACTGTTATTAAAGTCGCTACCGTAATGGGAAAGGTCATGACTTATAAACGCCCATTCCATCATTTTTACGTTAAATATATATTAAATTCTTGTGGAAATTCCGTACACTCGAGCGGCAGCGGAGTTGGGCGTTTGCGGGAAGAACGGGTCGACGGCGCGGCGGCATACGCGAGATCGAAGGTGCAGGTGATGACCTCACCGGTTCGAGTCTCCGATATCCCCACTTCCGCCCGACTGCCCCCGTTTATTGCATTGAGTAACATAACAGTTGCGAAAGCAATAACAACAAAGTCCACCATGTAGGGTGGGCGGGTGGTAAACGAAAACGGTAGAGGAATAAATCGGCAAACTGAACGTATCAGATCGTCAGCACGACTGATCAGAAGGCGAGCAACAGAAAAATCGGGCCGTGTGCACGGCCGGCGGCAACATTAAACGTTCTCATGCGCAACAAAGAAAGTGGGCCGAGCCGACGTTTAACAAAGCAGTACAGGGAATTTGCCACGAATTTAACTGCACTTAGCTTGCTAACTGTTCTTTAAATTCTTGTGGAAATTCCGTACACTCGAGCGGCAGCGGAGTTGGGCGTTTGCGGGAAGAACGGGTCGACGGCGCGGCGGCATACGCGAGATCGAAGGTGCAGGTGATGACCTCACCGGTTCGAGTCTCCGATATCCCCACTTCCGCCCGACTGCCCCCAAACAATCTATCCGGTCCGGTAAGGATTCAGTGGCACGGGTGGCCCAGCGTGGCGAATGTAGCGGGTGTAACAGTTGCTCCGCCAGCGTCCGGCCAGTTGGATGGCATGGTCAGGCACGTTATTGGCCGCGGCCGTAGTTGCCGCACCAATGCGGAAACTGTGCGTGCTGATCCGGTCTCTCTCCGGGTGATCCGTGAGAAGGCGAAAGAGGCACTTCTCCACGTCTGCCCTTGTCACGAACTTGCCGTCTTCGCGCTGCAACAGCGGCCGCTCGTTCGCAGGCTCGGGCACGCGAGCACGGTAATTCCGGTAAGCCTGCACGGGGCAGACTGAACGTCCAGTCGCCGTCAGCGCGACAGAACTACCCTGCCCCGTCTGGTCCGTCTTTGTGAGCTTCAGCTGCACCGTTAGGCGGTGGCCAACATCCACTATGTCCCCCCATAACAAAGTCCGCCGTGGGTCAAAACGGTTAGTAGCGGCTGCTGTTATTTCTCCAATGCGGAAGAAGCCGAAGAACAGGAAAGTGAACGTCGTCCAGTACAGTGACTGTTCGTACTCTGATATGCGGGCCACTCTCAAAGCGTCCTTCAGATATCGCATGTGCGCCAGTGTCACCGGGAGCCGCCGGTCTTTTTGTGGCGCTGCCAGACGGCGATAGCCTTCCAGAGCCCTAAGAACGGTGTCGTTGTCCGTGGGGCTTGCTTCATTAAATTCACGGTGGCGATTCCGGATGCCGGCAAGGTAAACCGTGGCTGTCCGATAACATTTACTATCTGCGTATAATTTCGCTACAAATTCCGCAACAGTTGCCGGCTTAGCGGGCAGGGATGCCTCCGATCTAACCGCGCAATATTGCTGGAACTTGTTGAATGCAGCATTGTACGTGGCTCGGGTAGATTCAGCAATATGAGCCTGTAGCAACTCATTCAGCTCTGGGGATGGCAGAGGGCTGCCCTGAGATCCGGAAAGATGTCGGGACAGTCCACCGGATGTAGCTCTGCCTGTGGCGCTAGTCGTCGGAAGCGGCTTTGCTGGAAACGAGAGAGCGCATCAGCTATTTCATTATTAATTCCGGCAATATGCTTAAGCGTTAACGTCATGTTCGCGACTGCTGCGGCTTTAACTAAGCGACGCATGATATCCAGCACCCCGCGGTTAGTTGATCTGAGGTTTTCCCAAGCGTGCGTGGCGCCGGCATTGTCGCAATGGAAGACAACTTTCAAGCCGGCCAGCTTCTTTCCCCAGACGATCACGCTCAGCAGTATCGGTACCATCTCAAGATACTCAATGCACGGCTGCAGTTCAGTTATCCACAGTGGCCAGTGGAGCTGAAACCACGCCCCCTGACAATAAGCGCCGAGGCCATGTGTTGCTGAGGCGTCCGTGTACAGGTGCAGCACATCTGACCGCGTCCAGTCCGGCTGTAAAAAGGATGCGGTGCCGTTCCATGTCGGCAGAAACTCACGCCACCAGCCCAGATCCTTGTGAAAATCGGAGTTTAAGGGATCATTTTGGTGTTCCGGTGAGTAGATAACAGCATGATCATCCGGCGAGTAAAAGACGACTTGCTGGTACGCACTTCGATGCAAACTGCAGGACTCGAGCAGACTTTGAAGCTGTTGCCGGGTGCAGAAACGCTGAGATGACCATTCTTCAAGAGCCGCTTGTATCTCATTTTGCTTTCCGGTTGGGAGACTAAGGGTTTGTCTCACAGAGTCGATCAGGATGCCCAAGAATATCAGCTGAGTAGCGGGTCCTTCGGTCTTGTCGTGCGCCAAAGGACCCCCAGCTCACTGCATATTTGCGACATGGTGCTCATGCACGTGCTGCACTCGACACTGCCGGGCTTTCCGGCAAAAAAATAATCATCCACGTAGTGAAGCATTGAGCTTAGACCGCTTCTTCTGCGCACTGCCCAGTCAATAATCTTTGCGAATTGCTCAAAGATGTAAGGAGAAGATCGTAGCCCAAACGGAAGTACCACGTCGAAGTAGTACTGTCCGTTCCAGCGATACCCGAGCAGATTCCAAAGATCGCGCCGCACCGGAATCAGGCGGAATGCTGACTTGACGTCCATTTTCGCCATCAACGCGCCCCGGCCCAAGCTGCTCAAGATGGCAACAGCATCGTCGACGGAGCAGTATTCCAACGGAAGCTTATTGACGTCAATGGCATCGTTCACGCTGTCCCCGGTGGGCTGCGATAAATCCATGATGACTCTTACAGTGCCGTCCTTCTTCAGCCGCGCACCGAGAGAATTCGTAACAAAGTGGGGTAAAGGTGGTGATAAGAACGGTCCGACGCTGTGACCTTTCTCCACTTCTTTCGTGATGTATTCAGTAACGGCGGCGTTGTGGGTCTTAGCGGTTGCCGCATTGGGAGTGTACCGTTCTTTCTGCGGTCCATCATAGAAAATATGCGCACCGTGTGCCAGCGTGTCCAGTATAAACGACACTACTGACGCATCAGGATACTCAGTGAGCAGTTCGGCGAAAGCGGTGGTGCGCAGTGGTGTAGTCGCTCTCGCCGGCACTGTCAGCTCAGGTACCAACTTTGGTGCAGTTAACTGCGCGGTGGTTCGACTCCCGCATCGCGAACAGGAGTGTTGCCGGCCGGCCTTGCAAGGAGTGGTGCAGCCGCCGAAATTGAAGTTACGGCAGATTTCTCCGTCCGCGGCGGAAGCGGTCCGAAAGGGCTGCCCGTACCCCGGCTGTCCTTTACGCGGTAGCGGGCAGCTCTTAATAAAATGCCCAGGCATACCACAGTTGCGACACTTGTCGTCCGCTTTCCGGTTTTTATCTTGACGACTACCAGCATCTGTGCGTTCTTTTTCGTGACGTGGAGGAGCATCCGTGGTGTTGCGGAGCGGATTCTGGATGCAGTCGATGTATGTGTCCTCATGCTGATGCGCCCATAGTTCATACTCCCGCGGGTGGCTGGTCATGAATGCACGGAACTGCCTGTCGTACTCCAGCCAGTTTGCGGTCGGGACCCCACGCTCGGCATACGACGCAATAATAGCCAAATACTTGAAAAATTTAGCGCTTAACTGCGGGGCGACAGTGATGCGATATTCCGAGAACACAGAAAATGCACCTGCCCACGATGAAAAAGAATCAATGCTGATTTTACCGTCTTCCGGGGTAATGGTCATCTTCCCATCCACAAAGCTTAGATTTGACTGCAATTTCTTGGGCTTTTCCACTCTGTTGCGTCGCAGCAGCAAGTCAAAATCCACGTATTCAGTGAGGTCCAGCAGTTTCTTCCGCAGCTTTTTATCCGGTATGGCCGGGAGCTGGTGATTTGTCTGGTCCGAGACAAATGGCTGCGTAGAAGGTTGTCCCGAATGGCCAAACATATCGGGGCGGTTGCCATGGCGCTGCAGTACTGCACTGTCTTCTGGCAAGCTCTCATCGTCGCTACCCTGTTCGGAGGATGAGGTAACACTTTCCTTACCTCGCTTCCGACGCTTCGCCTTTTTTCCATTGTCTGCCTTGCTTGTGGAGTCCACCTGGTGCACGATTCTTCCGAAATCGTCGCCAAGCTGGATCCGCAAATTAGATGACGGCGAAAGCGGCCGGGCGGCCTGCGGTGGCTGGTTTTTTACAATGGCAATCAACGAGTCCATCTGTTGCTGGTGTTTTTGCTGCTGCTGAAAAATGGACTGGAGAGTGGGCTCCAACAACTGAACTTCGGCAGGCTCAGGGCGAACGATGACGCTCTTCAAGCGCTTCGCGGGCGCTGTTCCACGAGGTTTTCCGACAGCACGACGCGGTTTCTTGGCTGTCTTCTTGCTTCTCGTGGATGGAGGCATCGTTAGTGGGTTTCACAAAGGAAATGAAAATCTGAATTGTAGACTTATCTAACTGTAGACTTAAACGAAAACGGTAGAGGAATAAATCGGCAAACTGAACGTATCAGATCGTCAGCACGACTGATCAGAAGGCGAGCAACAGAAAAATCGGGCCGTGTGCACGGCCGGCGGCAACATTAAACGTTCTCATGCGCAACAAAGAAAGTGGGCCGAGCCGACGTTTAACAAAGCAGTACAGGGAATTTGCCACGAATTTAACTGCACTTAGCTTGCTAACTGTTCTTTATAAACGGTCATAATATTGCAGACCACCGCCCAGGCTACCGGAAACGAAGCAACGGTTATCATTGTGAATAATACAGCAGCAGAAAGTGCTAACCAGACATTGGCGAATGTTTCGGGAATCGCCGTTGGTTCAGCAGCAGTTTTATGGTTCACTCCTGAGGCGGAAGCGACAACGGTTGCAGGGAGAAGGTCGCGATGGAGGACAACGGGCACACCGGGAACAACACCGGCAATTATCATCGAGGCGACAACAAGTACCACACGAGCGAGAAGAGGCCGGTACACTACAGGAGGGTCAACGGTTACGACCACTGCCGCAACGGTACAGTTGTAAACCCGTGTGGCTATTTCTGCTAATGCTTAATTGCTAGTATACAGTATAAAGCGGAAATCATCATACAGTACTAAATTATTAAGATTGTAAGTCTAATTTTAATCAAAATAGTTGTAATAATTGTTTTGCTATTAGGCATAATATCTAATGTACAGCTAACAATTCCTCCTGTTCAGGTTCCGTTGGCCATTGTGACAAACATTCCGGGCGAATCCGGGCTGCAGCTGAACAACACCGGTACTGCCGGCAACTCGTCAACAATAATCAGCGGAAGCGGACAATCGATCAACGCCACTGTCGGCGTGGTTCCGGGTCAAAAGGTCGAGATAGTGGTACCGCCCAACGCAGCCAACCTCACTGTGATCATTGAAGAGAAGACCACAACCGGCACCCCAGTCGCTATCGGTGGAGCGGTGGATAGCGGTGATGTACTGCAGTACGGCGTCCTGAATGCCACCACGGTGACACCGGCACAAACCGCCACCACCGCCAACGGCAGCGTCGTGTGGTTTATCCCTGGCGACTTCGAACCGCTGGAGGGCGGAGTAACCGCCACCCCAGTGCCAGCTGAAACCACCACGGCGGTCATTGTCAACCCGCCTCCGGCAGTTATTCTGGCGGCACCAACGCCGGTTCTCATCAGCGGCGCCACGGAGCCGTTGTACAATACATCGGTGGTGTTGCTGAACGGAACGGTCATCCCGATCCTCGCGTACGGAGCGTCACAAGCGACTGCGGCTGCGCCGGCAACAACAAACGGCGCGGTGACCTCAGCAGTCGCACCCACGATCTTTGCTATATTGATTCCGTTGGGCAACGGATCATTCGCCCCGGCGACCGTGGAAACCAACGCAACGGTGACCTTAGCCGACGGCACGGTTGTACCGATCCTATCCCATCTACCAAGACAATCTGATGTGGTGCCGAATAGTGTCGTTCTCCAGTCGTATCCGTTCACATATCACGCGGATGGAGTACCGGTGCAGGTCATCAGCAATGTTCCCAGCAAAGCGTACGCAGCACCGGTTCTCACAGAAACCGTCGCCGCTAACGGAACCACGCAACCCATGTACGAAATGCAGGTTGTTTCGTCTAACGGCTCCATCATTCCCATCTTGGCGTACGCACCAACCGGAAGTGCACCGGCTGCAGCAGACGGCGCTGTTCCAGAGACCACAGTTGCCACCGTTACGTCCAACGTAACCGTTGCACCAGTTATTGCCAATGCACCCGCGCTGTCAACGATGACCGTTTACCTCAAACTGGCGAATGGATCGTTTGTGCCGGTTGAACTGGTGTTCAACTCTACCGCCACTATGCCGGACGGAACCGTCGTACCCGTGCTGATGCGCCTTCCCGATGAGTCGCTGATCAACGCCACCAGTGTAGCCGTCAGTGCGCTACCGTTTGTCTATTCAGCGGACGGTCAAGTGCTGGTCGATTCGACTTCCGCCAACGCTACGGTTACCAGCGCCGCCGCCCCGCAAACAGCGCCACCGGGATCTGGATTACCTCCGGTGATTACGGAAACCATAATTACGGTTACGCCACTCACTGCGGCGTTAACAACAACGGCGTCCGGTTCAAATATCGTAATTATTCCAGTTCCAGCAGGTCCGGGAAGTGTCGCTCCTGGCGCTGTGCAACCTGCTAACGAAATTGTCAACAAACCGCCGGCCAGTGTCATTGCGCCACCTACTATCGTGACCTTTACCGGAATCGACCAACCGTTGTCCAATACCTCGATCGTGTTACTGAACGGCACCGTGGTCCCGGTGCTGGCCTACGGAGCCGCTCCCAGCGTCACCGTCGCCGCATTCCCGGCAGCCCCAGAAAACGGTACCATTGTTCCGCCTGCTGCAGGACCAACCGTTTTCGCAATCCTGCAGCCGTTAGCCAATGGATCGTTTGCGCCGGCCACAGTGGAAACCAACGCCACGGCGACTTTACCGGATGGAACTATCGTCCCGGTACTGGCGCACTTACCCAGTGAATCGGATATCGTACCAAATACTGTCCTCTTCCAGTCGTATCCGTTCGCCTACCAGGCTGATGGATCTCCAGTGCAGATTGTTAGCAACCTCCCAGCGCTGCATACGCACCTCCGGCACCGACCCAAATCACCAGCCCGAATGGCACCGCCGAAACGTTGTACCAAACCGCGATGGTGTCGGCTAACGGCACCGTCATTCCAGTATTAGCCTACGCACTGGCCGAAGGAACTACTCTACCTGGAACGGCACCGACCGGTACCGAAACCGGCACAATAACAACCGCTGCAACATTGACCAATGCAGCTTCCGGACCGGTTATCACAGCTCTTCCAGCGCTTGCGGAAATGACCTTATACGTCAAGATACCCAACGGCTCGTTTGTTCCAGTGCAGGTTGCCTATAATTCAACGGCCACATTGGCCGATGGAACCGTGGTACCGGTTCTGATGCGACTTCCGGATGCCTCGCTGATTAATGCAACAAGTGTAGCGGTAAACACATTACCGTTTGTCTATTCTCCACAGGGTCAGGTACTAATCGATTCCACAGCCGGCAACGCCACCGTTAACAATGTAACCGCACTGCCACCGTCTGGAACGGGTGCAGTCGTCGTTATCACCCAGCCTGGCAGTGTTCCGGCAGAACGCGCTGTCACCGTCGCAGCAGGAGTTACCGAAACTCTGACAACGACAAGTGCTCCGCCCGCACCGGGCGGTCCGAATATTGTAATTCTTCCAGTACCAGTCTCCACGGGTGCGGCTGCCAACGTGAACGAAACGGTGAACGCACCTCCGGCAAGCGTGGTTGCACCGTTAACAACCGTGACCTTTAGCGGTGAAGCGCAACCCTTCTATAACACATCGGTTGTCCTGCTCAACGGTACGGTGATCCGAATGTTAGCTTACGGCGCCCCAGTCGCTGCGGTACCGCCCGGAGAGACGCCAACCAATGGATCGATCGCCCCTGCCGAACCTACTATTTTGGCCATATTGATACCGTTAGCCAATGGATCTTTTGTGCCGGCGACCGTAGAAACCAACGCCACCGCGACGTTACCCAACGGAACTATCATTCCGATCCTATCGCAACTGCCTAACGAATCGAATGTCGTGCCGAACAGCGTGGTATTCCGCTCGTTCCCGTTCACCTATCAGGCCGACGGTACTCCGTTGCAAACGGTCAATAATCTGCCCAGCGAAGTCTTTGCTCCGCCGGTTGCCGTTCATGTCATCAATTCCAACGGTACCGACGAGAATCTGTACGAAACCTCGTATATTGGCGCCGATGGAGCCGTGATTCCTGTACTCGCGTATGCTCTTGCCGAAGGAACGACTGTACTAGGAACGGCGCACGCTGAAGCTGTTCCGGCTGCCGCAGAAGCGAACGCCACAGCTGCCGGTAATGGCACTTCTGGTCCCGTCATCACCAACTTGCCCGCCACCTCCGACCTTGACGGTTTACACCAAATTGGCGAACGGATCATTCATCCCGGTACAACTCGAATACAATTCCACCGCTACGCTGGCCGACGGTACCGTGGTCCCGGTGTTGATGCGTCTCCCGGAGGTGTCAGTCGTCAACGCCACCAGTGTGGCTGTTAACGCGTTACCGTTTGTGTTCTCGCCGGAAGGAGATGTGTTAGTGGTTGCTAATGCCGGCAATGCTAGTGCCCCGAACGTGACCGCGGCCGCTGGCGAAACAGTAACCAACGGTACCGCAGTGCCGGCGGGCAATGAAACAGCTGGAGTTGTGGTGGTACCAGTAGTGCCGGTGCTTGGCCGTTCCGCTGCAAGAAGACGCTCAATGCCGATGCGACACCGTCCTGCTTCCCCGGAGACAAATGTAACTGAAGTCGCACCTGGTAGCGCTACGGTACTCATTGTTCCGCAGCCGGGAAGCGAAACCGCTGGTAACGTGACCGTTATCAGTATAACGACAACCGGATCAGGAGAGAATGCTACTGGTGCTGGCCGATCCACCGCGCTATTTTCTGCCGTAGAGACGGAAAATGCACCGGTAACCACAACAACGGAAGCCGCCGTGACCACCGTTCCGGCAGCTTCGATTATCTCTCCGATTATCATCGTGCCCGGAGCATCTGGTAACGCCACCGTAATAACATCTGGCCAATCGGAGAACGGCACGATAGTCACGGCAGTCGGCGGAGAAGCCTTTGTCAACGGTAGCGCAGTGGCGTCCGGTAACGAGACCACCGGGGTCACGGCGTTCAGTGGAAGTCGCGCCAGTCAACGACGCACATTGCCGTTCGCTTTCGGCCGCAACGTCAGCATAATCCCACTATGGGGACAGGAAACCAATGCCCTCCTGGGTTTTGGTGGCGAGCCGGGAGCGTCAGTCGGACCCCAGCGAACGGAACCGACCGGAGAAATTAATAACGAGTTGATCAGCAACGGCCGCTTCTTAACGGTCGGCAGCGGCCTGAACCTGCCGACGTCCAGCGGTCTGGCAGTGGTGTCACCCAACGGAACCGCCTCGGTCATACCCTTGCCGGGTGTCTTCCTCACCGCCGCCGAGCTGCCGGTTTCCAATACGACGGAAGTGCCGATCAGTATCAACGGGGAGCAGTATGTAACGCGGAAGTATCTCCAACACCGGCTCATTGTCAAGATGGGACCGTTTAAGCGGGCCAACGAAACCGCCACCACCACCACGGCGCCGGTCACCCGCTCACCCTTCTCCTTCAGACAGCTCAGGAAACTCACCGGTTGAGGAATGTTCGGATAACCATTTTGTTGAACTGAATATATATTTTTGCCTAAAAATTTTTGGAAAATCATTAAAAAAATATTGATTTTATTTTGATTATTTATGCCTTGCCAAAAACGTGGATTCTTTATTGCAATAAAAATGATAAAAATACTGTAATCGTTTCCGTCGCTCGGTTGGGGATAAATACAACGAGAAAATAGTGGACGGATATTAGTCGAATGTTTAAGAAATATGAGCGGATATTTACCGGAGGTGAACGTGCCCATATCTATTTGAACAGGGAGTTTATGGGACAATACTAACAGAAATTGATTTACTATCCAATCCAATGGTTATTTTACACATATCTCCGACGGTGTGCAAACAATGCTAGAGAAATATTTTGGCACTGAAATTGGCGCTCTATATCCTTCTGTCGTGCGATGTTACACTTATAGAAGTCACCTGAACAATTTCAAGAGGGTAGTTAACCTTTTGTATATATTAATTATGAGTATTTACACAATACGAAAAACCATGGCGCACACTTTCGACTTTTTCCTTCGAATTCCAGAGTGACTTTGCTCAGTTTTGTGCGGTCATGTGAGGGGCTTTAGCAATACAAATTTACAAACAAAAACGCTCAATACTGCGAAATGATACCTCATACCTGCATTAAGTTGCTAATTTTAGTGCTATTAACCGTTACAGAGGTCACTGGTAACTACTGTAAAGCATACTTCCGGCTGCAAAACATTACGATGCTCGATGGCACATTCAGAAGAAAATGTGAAAATACGAATCATAACGAAAGTAATCAAGCTAATCAGGTAAATTCCATTAGAGCTTTCACACCATCACAGCCAGTCGATTAGGTCTAATTCGGCCGCACTCGCGTACAAATGCTAATTTCGTTAAGGACACTCTCCACTGGCAGTTCGTCGCGGAGGATAATTGTCTTATTACGGCTGTACACAGTACACTGAACAAAGATTTGGCGCGGTCGCGGCTGGAATGTACACGCTGCACATCGGTGCACTAAGTAATGGTTGATTGTCGCGCTTGTAGATTTTGTTTTCTTAGAGATAAATGGGATCTGATCAAAAGAAGCTCGGGCTTGAATTAAATAATTGACAAGGTATTTGACAAGTCGTTTGACACGGCAGATTACTAGTCATAAAGTTTCTTTTATGTACTGCTTATCGCTGGTCTGTATACTGTGTGTACGTGACTGCACCAATACACCACTACGCACAACCGCGGCCAGATTTATATCCGTACCGTACTGTATGTCCATACACATACAGTACGTCATGGCCTGACCGGAACCGGCACGGCAAATCGAGCATACTTTGACGGGACAACGCCTTTGGAGTTCCACCCTCTCCAGCGGAACGTAATCATGCGAAAAAGACTTCGGAAGATTCATAACTTGCCCAGCCCAGTTTATGCTAAATTTGTATAGTATTTCGTTATTACTTGACGTCGAAGAATCACTTTATAATTTCGTTAATCAGGCTCTAATTATAGTCTAATACGATTATAATTACTGGCTACTGACAAGTAAATAGTACATCGATATTTCAAGGTTATTAATTTTAGTTTTAATAATTTTTTAATTTTTTTAGTTTTGTTTTGAACACATAAATTAAGTGTAGCTTCATAATTTTTCATTTATTGGCTTCAGGATTGCGATTTTTGCTGTCTGTCGTAGATTGGCAGGCAATAATATGTAGGAAACCCATTTATTGCCAGTGAACAGATCATTCTGGCTAGAATTTCATGTTTATATGCCAATCGATCTGCGACGGCCAAATACACAAAAAACCTGAAACCATGGAAAATAGACGAACATGCAATGGAAGCATAATGTAATCTGTGCCGTTATGTGTGTAATAAATATTCCGTTACGGCCGTGTCTGGACTGGACACTGGGGTGGTGTCATTGAGGGCGCCATGGTAAATTAGTGCACGCGCGCTTGACTTGTCGCGGTCGTGTTGATTCGTAAAAACGAGCCTTTTGTGTGACGTGGTTTTGTATATCTCCATGACTGCTCTACCTTGATTGCTGTGTGTCACTGGCAGCTATAGCGTCAGTCCGGGCACAATGCACCAGAAATGTCTAAGCATCTTTCCGGAATACTTGATTAGCTCTCATGCATTATTGAATCGGTTTTCGGGAGTATAAATGCCTTGTGTGCTGCGCTTGTGGTGGTTCTGAAAGAAAAGTTGCCTCTGCACCGAGAAAGTGGATCAGAGAGTGGATTTGACGGAGCACACGTACGACCGGCGTACGCTGAGTGGTGCAGGCTGTATTAATTTTAGCGGATGCGGCGCCGCTGCAGTGCACGTACGCACTTTCGGAAATTTAACCGGCTAACCACTGCCGATCAGTCAGAGGAGTTTGCCTGCCATAGCGCTTCCTAATTTTTATATACAAGACACCGGCACAATCCTTTTGATCAATCATCACTATTGTGTGTTTTTAATCGTTTTCTTGAGAACGCCCACCCAAAAAACTTACACATCCTATTACGAATATCTGTTCAACATGCAAACGGATTTCCGGTCTATATTTATACACGTCCGCTGAAAAAATAATGTAAAATTCTAATTCAGCGTGATGCCGGTTGCGGTTGGGCACTATCTTGGATTTTCGATGGGGAATTATCATGTTAGTTGTTTTCTACAATCTGATCTGCACAGTACATGATGATGGTCTGGAAGGAGGCGAAGGAGAATACCGCATCCTCCTCATCAGACGATGGATGCCAGTATAAATCTAATCATATATGGTTTCGCTCGTTGTTCGCGTCCCTCCGTGAGCCGGTGTCCAGTGTGAAGAACGCAGGAAATTGTTGGCCCACATTATGGCATACCGTGGGTGTATTGTTGTGGATAATGGGATTGTGTTTATCGGTGGCGTCCCTGTGGCGGGTGCAGATACTACAGCGTGAACTCGATCAACTCCGTGAATCCCTATTAGACAATCCCTCAAAGGTAGGCTTTTATCCGGCCCAGTGTTGGAATAATATTTGGATAAGATACTAGAAAAAATAGGGAAACCGGCTAATCAATACTCATATAAAGGGAAGATTACCAATACTGCCGGCGACCGCTTGGAGAAAAAATCGAATTACGAAGTTTATCGCCTTTGATTGACAGCTGGTAAATGATCTAGAGGATTCGTTCGCTGATTGAGATAGCAGATGCCGGTTTTTTTTCGCCGTGACGGACGATGCGTCCGCGCGTGTGTACACGCAGATAGATGATATGCAGATTCATTCGGCGCCACTTCTTGAGAGATGATATTCGCTCTTATGATAATTATCGTCTCTATTTCCAATTTGGCACACATTTTTAGAGTTAATAATCAGATGAATAATAAGAATTCCAACGATGAGATCATTATAAAGGCAACGTAAAACTATCCAAAAAATTTTTTAACAAAAACATATTACTTAATTTCAAAAAAATTACCATGGTCTGGTATTAATTTGAAAATCATATTTTTTACGCTGGATATAAAGTATTACAATATAGTGTATTACAACTTATCGGGTCTCTACCATACATTTTGAACAGCAGTACAAAATTTCGTCGCAGAACAGAATGTGGAGCGCCGCGCGCTCCGAAGCTTGAAACGGGAATGTCGCTTCTGCCACCATTTTTTGCCGTTTAATTGAGAATGTTATTAGTGTGAATTACATCCGCTGGGAATTAGTCATACATATTTCACTGCACCTAGAGCCGCGGATAAATGCCTGTGATTGAATTAGCCGTAATCGAACGGGACGGACAGGAAAACAAATGTGCTGCGTACCGGAAATTATTTCCGGAAAATGCTTGATTGCACTGCGGCCACTACGCTATGAACGCCGGGACAGATATCAGTTGTAAATGTAGTGTAGATTGCTCATGACAGGGCCCGTGAGTGTTTCAATCCAGCAGCATTTTGGCGCTGCACATAGCCAGTATACGACTCCTCTGTAAACTGTCAAGTGTGCGGCGGAATATTTTCTCAAGGAGTAATTATATGCGCGGGGCCACAGTCAATATGTTCATCATAACACTTATAACAGCGATGAGATGCTTGCTTTTTCCAGACTTTTTCATTCCACACTGACAACGTGGCGGCTGGCCGGCCCGATATTGCCGACTCCTCTTCATCATCCCAGCGGCATCAACTGCAGCGGCGCGATATTAATACTGGATTGAAGAGGTCGTTTGTTGATCCTTTGGCGATCCGCGGGGCGGGCACAGTGCCGGCAGCCACGGCAGCAGCGGCAATCGTCGCTATGCTGCCGACTATCAGGCACATCCGGCCCTGCTCAATCCCCCGCAGTCCCTGCCCACCACGCAGTGCCTCTGTCCGCCAGGTAAGAATTTGTAATTATGCTGCACTAATTTATGCAGCATAAGTTTAAAAAAAATAAAACTTGTGCTGGGCAGAAAATTTTTCTGTGGAATAGCTCTGTAAAATAAACCAATTCTCACAAAATATTGGGGTATATGTAGTTCTAAAAAATTTTGTCCGAGAAACAAATTAATGAAGTGATAAAAACAATAAATAATTTCTTTAAAAATAGATTTTATTTAATTTTGTATGATAAAATTTTGGTTTAATGTTGTGCGATATGAGGACTGAATCTGATGTGATCAAGTCATCAAGAATAGAGTGGAATATTAGTGTACATATACCGGAAGAAGCCTAAACCCATCATAGTGTCCTCTGCTTACATTCTTGAAGCATATTGAGCGCACTGGCAATGTGAGGATAATAATGAGCTTTTGTCTATACAATTGCCCGTTGACAATTGACACACCGTTAAGAATGGGTCTTTTGTGGCGGTTGGCGGGGTAGCTCATAAATTACCTTGATCACGCTGAGCTGTCTGTGAAGCTTTGCACGTTGGACTGCATATGTTCCGTTTTAAATACAGATGTTAACCTTTCGCATCGCGTATACCGGCATTGGCGGCACGCAAGCGTATACCGCTCATTTATTCTCAACTGTCCAATAATTTACCGTTCGTCCCAGAAGAAATTATCCATCTCGACACCTTTTCTTGGCTCGGCTGAAAAATATATACAACCGGCCATTGGAGAGGATTATTAACCTCGATCATGGGGAGAAGAAAAAAATTAATTGCCATAAATTTTCCCTCTTCCAATATAGCGGCGGCAGCTGACGTTTTTGCTCGCGAATTTGATCGACAAATCGGCGCTAAACAGAGCGTAATATCAAGTTGTCAATGGCGCATGTATGAATATTCATCATGCAACCGCGGCCTATGAATGTACGATACGGGGTATTTAGGGATTAGGGCAATGTACCGCGTAAAAGTATGCTGCTGGTCACAGGAAAGTCTAATGATACACGGAGAATTTTGTGGAAAACTCACGCGGACAATGAAGCTGTCAATTGTAAACTAATCGCCCGTAAGAATGCGGTCTTCACCAACAAATCAAATCGGATTCTCCTGACGCTAACGTTTCCGGACGCCGGTAGCCAGTTCATTATGTCTCAATACAGCTGTCAGATTAAACAGTGAGATGCGCATGGAAGATAGATAAACTGGGAAAGGTGCATCTGTATTGTTGGGGTATACAAAACATCTTCCTGATTATATATGTGCGTGTGTGGTTAATAAATTGGCCCGGAGGTTAATGTGGCGATCGCTATCTGATCGTCTCCATTTCCTTGCGATATGCATCGGTTTACTTTAATTGACATTTGTGCGATAATTAGTTGTTCGGTGTGCATCGGATACTTCAGGTCAGGCTTACAGTTAGATGATTAAAAGGCATTTAACAACCGCACGTGCACTGCCTGCCATATACAGTACTACAATGCAACACTTTGCATAAAATAATGTTTTACGCCGCAAAAAATCGCAAATAACGCAAATAATGTTCGTTATTGCTTTTTCAATTTTTCCATGTATTCCTGTTCGGCTCAGATGCAGCCAGCGCATATAAGGATATGCAGGTGTGCGCGCCATACAGATCACACATTTGCATAAAATTGCCCGGCTCATAACAAGCCGGAAAATAGACGTAATGATGATGGTGCCATTTGTGACACATGGCGGTATTGTTGCGGCTCAATACCCGCCTCCTCATGATTCATCTGCATTTTGATAATTAATCGACTTGTAATGAATCGCTACAGAATGTCAATGAATTGCATAAGGTTCGTTTGTCTTCAGTATTGTGGTTTGCCGGAATCAACTCAATGAGGGTCATTGAATAGTGATTGCTTTTTCCAGATGAAATGATGTGATAATTATGCGTACGTTTTGTAAACTGGCAGCTTGAAAAGGATAATTGCGCGTATTATGGACATGGATAACTCATTATAAAGTTTTCTATCAGGCTATTTTATTCTTTTGCTAACGTCTCACATATTTTAAAAATATTTAAACTTAATAAAAGAAATTAAATTTACTATTAAACTGCAACAAAAACATGAATAAATTGCGAAGTTTGCAGGAAAGATTTAATTAATTGGGTAATTTAATCTGTCGACAAGCAGGGCTGGCTGGAGTTGTTGTTTTGTGTTATGATTAGATCATAATTATCCGTGGAATGTTTTGATCATGCTTACACGGCGGCTGATGTTGATTGTTAAACTGGACCACATGGAGGCTGAGCGTGAAGCCCCTGGCTGGGAGACGATGACAGAAGATCGGTATAAAAGAACCATTAATACCCCATTTTCATCATTTATTGTCTGGCATATTTTCTATCTTGGGAGAGATTAGCAGAGAAACAAATCCCAAAAAGGAAACCTAATACTCCCACTTCAGCTGATCAAACTTTGCGCTGCTTAGGCACCTGATCTGCTCGGATACTGTATGTTTTTCTTGTACAGTATTTTGCTCTCTGCCGTCAACGATATATTATAGATTTCAAGGACTACATTTTCAACTTCACAATTTTCCCAATCCTGAAACAATACTTTCTTGGAATTGTAATTATACAGAAATCGCTTCTCAGCATTTAAAAATTGCATCAAATACAACTGTGTAAATTTCCTCTAACAATAAATGTATGTACACTCTTTCGAACAAAATTAATGTGAAAATGCATTTTTCGATTAACGTAACAAAAGTAAAAAAAAGGTCTATTTGAAGTTGCGGTACTGTACCACGGTGACTGTACTTTGCGTGCTCATTTTGCCTCTTAGTCTTCTGGCTGTGCATCAGGATGGCGCACACACACGCCGAATGGCAAATGCCACACAAGGGAATCATGAGAAAAAAGTGTCGCCTTTGCGTTCTGTAAATATTATGAAACTTGCGGTTAGTATTATAGAAATAGAATACTAAAGCGTTTGTGTGTTTGACATTTGAACTATTAAAATCCTCACTACCAACTATTTGCGCCATTTACAACCTGTTAATCCGCTATTGGTACATTTTATTTTCATTTACCACTAATCGCCGGCCAAGGCAAACGAACGAGAATTCTTTAGGGAAATATAAACTTTCCGCGAGATGACATCGTTATCCTTATGCGTGACACAGTCTTGAGGCTGGTCATATGCGTCAAAGTCAATATTGCCGGCTTATATAAGAAAAACAATTACATACGTAGATTGTGCTTTTCGATTAAGTATCTTATAGGTAGCTTTCAGAAAATAAAATACATGAAAAGTAAAAGATGTTGTTACATGCATTTTATAATTTTGAAATTTTTTGGGCAATTAATCATTTTTAATAAATTTTCTTTCTTGTAAGCAAAAAGTAAACTGGCTAAAATTAGCACAAATTTCGAACTGGCAGCTACTTTATGAAACTTGTTAAAAGTCTTAAGCTACACCGTAACCGCTCGCCTTATCCAGTGTCCACTTTGTGAACCGCATCGGATTACTACAGTTGCCGATAGTTTATCTGCAACTTCCTTTTTAAAACCGGATACCTCATAGGTCAATCTTAAAAATTACAGCTCGGGCGATATCAAAATTCAATTTCAAGTGGGGATTAATTGTACATCTGCTCAAGCATTTTGTGAGCTGACCAATCTGCAGTTAAGCCGGCTCAGTAATTACTATTTTTTAACTATCAAACTGCCGGATTTTTGGATGTGCAGCCAATTATGCTGTCCATGACATAGCACGGAATTAAGACACGAAATGGTCATTTTGGGTTGTACTGACAATGTATTGGCTGGAGGGCACGAAGCAGTAACATCTTTATTAACAACTTGTTGACGGTGCTCGGGCGTCCGATGGGGGCTGGGAAAGAATTTGCGTTTTATTTTATTATTGTCAATGGCTAGCGTATCAGTCCAAATTGAAAGTGGCCATTCCCTACTTGAATCTTTCGACGCCAGGACTCTTCAAATTATTCACTACGGATGCTTCGGCCCTGTCCGCAGCGTCGAGCGGACACATGCATGTACTGGCGATCTCGAGCTGTCTGTTGCCAAAATGTGTAATTTTATTTGACAGCATCAAATCGTAAATACCGTAGCAATTGCAATACGATATGCACAGCAATTTTCGTGGCAGTGTGCATGCGGCATACGGCACGCATGCGACAGACACAACTGTGTTTTGATTCAAAATACATTCTTCGGTATCACTATCCGTAATTATGTTATATTTTCTTTGAACCAAAACAGATAAAAAATATGAGTTATTCAATAATATAATTATATACCGCTTTTTCGCCAATACATATGTTTATGCAGTACTGGAAAAAAGGCGCACTTGTTTTAAGATGAAAATATTTATCATGAAAAATACTGATTTATTCTTGGATTAAAATTAAGGTCACTTCTATGCGCCCCAAAAATTTAGGGCGCATAGTTATTTTGCTATGCGCCCCAAAATTTTAGGGCGCCTAGATAATTTGCTATGCGCCCGAAAATTTTGGGGCGCATAGCACTTTCGTAAAATTAATTAGCTATCCATATGCATTAAAAATACAATAATGGTACACAGATGCAACAACGCTAGCAATTACCTATTAATTTTACTGTACAGCTTTCCATCAGCTACATCCACTCCTCAGAAAAGATTTCGGTGAAACACTCAATTTGAATTTGAATGAGTCGAATTCCTGTCGGTGTTGCACACGTGCAAAATGTGTGCCAAATGTGTATCTGTCACCGGAAGCTCTCCGGCTGCTCCGGATAATGTATGCCGGGCGTCGTTATCCTGCATTATGACGCATCGACACAGCACTGAGCCTGTATTTCATCGCTCATAACGTGTACAAACGGGGTTTATGTTTGATTTTGCAAATTAAATATACTTTTCATTTGTATAGATACAATTTAACGCCTTCAAGCCGTCACAACAGTTAAACAGCGGCTGTACATTGCCTACTTATAGCCGCAGCTTACCATCTGTAATCCACTGACACACTTCGCAATATGCGCAAAAGGAGCACATATTCATAAAATAATCCCTTTATACTACATTTTCACTGACATGAGTCAACGGTGGACACCGCATGAATACAATTAAAGGGCAACATTCATCCTGTTGTATCAATACCATATTTCATAAGTTTGTATGGATTATTGGCCGTTTATTGATTGTAGTGGACAAAAGTCTGCTATACTTTCGCCTCGCACCATTCAGGCAAATATGACCATACGGCAGATGCAGCTTAGGTCAATTGGCCGGAATAAACGGGATTTGGGGTGGCCGGTATAAATTTCAATTATTTTAATAGTATTATGTCCAGAATGAAACAGTGCATAATGTATGTATTGTCCGTAGTTTCTATTTTTTCCCCATCTTTATGAAAACCTGATTAATATTAATCTTTGAAATTATATTTAGCCTCTAGCAAATTCAATTTAGAGAATGAAAATCAAACTGAAAAATACTGTCAACCCCATTAAAATTTTTTGTCTACGAAATTTAATTTTAATTCATTGTAAATGCTTTCTGCTGATAGAGTGTGTGGATGTTTGGAAGGCGGCGAAGCGTATCGTATCTGTAAACATTTGGCCAGTAATTAAGTATTTAGTGAGCAGGTGACAAATATCGCGTTTCATCGTTTGGCGCTGCCCCGCCGCAAATGCTTGCGTGCCGTATATTTCGCCGGGAGATCAATGTACTTTAATGTATGGGGCCCGTAGATGAGCGTAATTTGAATATCCAATATATATGTATTTCCCGTAACCGTCAAGGTCGTTAATCGGTGTGTGCGTCCGCCGGTAGGTACATATATGTGAAGATGAGAAAAGCCGGGGTGACAGGACTAATTGTGAAGTATGGCAACTGGTTTTCTTTTTCTCGTTAAATCCCCAGTAAATTACTGGATAATCTCTCTAACAAACTGGCCACATAATTAGTCAGTGAAACCGAAATCTGTACTTTTCTTAAGCCGATAATCTGCAAGTACTCCTGGTACATATTTTGATCCTTCAGCATTCAAGTGGCGCTTGTCATTTCCTCCTGGCTTTGGAGCTGCCGGTAGATCAACGCACTTGAGATAATATTAACCACAATTTGTATGCGGAGCACTATGTCAATCGGCGTTTTTCTAGTGCCGGTTTCCCGCCATCTCCTTGTCACCTTGATTAATTATCAAAGGCCCGCGTGAACGCTGTGCTAATATTCAAATATATAACAGTGTCTGACACCATACTTTCTCAAACAAAATATTAAAATAATGTTTTCAATAGTAATATTTGTATAAATTAAAGTTATTTATTGTTTACAACAAACCAGAACAACAAAGATGCAACATATTCGAAAATATTCTAACTGTGTGTGGTTGTTGCGTACTGTATACGTAGTTGGAATTAATTGACGTATCAAGCGCATACTGCATGGACGAGCATTAACAGGCAAAAATTAGTACTGTATGTATTTTGTACGGTAACTACAATACATCCACTAACCAGGGACGCTCTGTCGGCAAAGTTTATAAGCAAATGGTATATGTATACATTTGCTAAATTGACATTTCTGCTTCTGTTAAGTGACACGATTAATCTTAATTTTTGTACGAATTTAAATTAACCACGCTGCATCAGTAGCACAATATACCTCCATAATATACCTCCATTTTTTGTTCGACCAGACTTGAAGTCCCCTTGGGGTTGTCTGCTCTTGTGCCGTAATAATAATAAATCGGCTGTGGTAATTGATACATTTTTTGTTGTTGTAGGACCTCCAGGAAAACCGGGAAAACGCGGTGCGAAGGGGGATCCTGGTGAATCTGGACCAATGGTAAGTGCCATGTACGCTTTTAAAAATATTATTTTGTTTTAGCACTATTATTATTTCCGTATTTTTTTTGTGATACAACTTTTATTGTTAAACAATTAAAACCTGCTGTGTGCTCTCTTTCTTCAGCGTGTCTGTTTGTGTCCTAAGTCCTTCTTTCGGGTCCGTTGTATACATACTTCCTGAAATCTCAGTCTGTGCTCTATTGCATATTTTTAGGGCCTTCCAGGGGCTCCTGGTAGGAATGGGTTCCCTGTAAGTGTGTGTTGCTGTCCATTGTTAACATTCTGGTGTTGGCGTTACTGTTAAAATTCTTCATTATCTATTCACTTCGTTCCATCTCGTGCATGGTGCTAAAGGTGAAGGGTCACTGTAATGTCAGCTTGATAATCCGGGATGAGGGGTGTGCTGATCCCGATCTCACACTCTCACACATCACCTTTCATGAACTTTCCCTCTTTATGTGCACTAATTGCTCTAAGCTTGGTCTTCCTGTGGACTAAAGCACTGTCCGGTGTGCGTTTATGATAAATACACTGCAACACAAGGACATAATCCTTTTACACATCCCAGTTCACCCAGAATGCTGTTTGCACTTCCATTTTGAAGGGTCCGCGTGGAAATCCTGGGTTGCCTGTAAGTGTCACCTGCTGCTCCGTAAAAAATCCCATCAGAGTTAAATCTTCCTGTTTTCTGATTTATCATTTTGGAATTGCAGGGAAAGTCTGGAGATTTTCTGCAAGGAATTCAGGTATGGGAGATGCGAACTCAGTAGTCGTTTATCTATAGTACGATACATTTTATACATTTAACTTCATTAAATAAATATGATTAAAAAATAAAATACATTTAGACTTTACAAAATTCTCAATGATGTATTTTTGTTAGGCCGATGACCCGAAGTTCCTCAATACGATGCAGCTGTTGAGAGGGCCCCCTGGACCTCGGGTAAAACAAATACTAAAATATTTATTGGGGCGTTTATTTAAAAACTGGAACTTGCTTTTCAGGGTTCCAAAGGCGACCGTGGTTTCCCTGTAAGATATTTATTGACATAACTGTATTTTTTTAATATTGACTAACGCGAAACACGAGTTTGTGACAACTAATGTTTTGGTCTGAATACAGGGCTTCCCGGTGGGTGATACTTAACAAAAACAGAATGCCCAGACTGATCCCGTTTGATTCCTGCCTGCGTCATTAGCTGACAATTACTCCCTTCACTGACAATGACACTGACACTGACACATACACGCATCCCTTGACCTTTACCCCGTGCATGAGATGGCAGTTTATTTGCTGATAGCTGCAGAACTGCTGTTTGTTTTTGCATCGACAATAACACCGAATGCCAATATGCAAATATAAACAGTGTAGTTGTAATTATGTTGATTTCATCTATTACTTTGTGCTGCAGGGACCAATCGGTATGGACGGACCCAACGGCCCTAAGGTACGCGTATAACGACTCCTTTCTTCCTGCCGGCATTTCTGCTTTGGAAAACGGTCTTGATTTTTGATGACCAAAACGCTGGATTGTTTCTAATTGTTTACATGACTTTAGTACACTAAAAGTCTACGCAATATTTAAAAAAATTTTATTTTTGCCGAATTTAAAATCGTGTTTGATTCGTAAAGATTACACCAAATAAAACCTGTATACGGTGTGCATCGCACAATACGGCATCGCATACGGTTTATGTCATAGCAACGTACGTAGTTATGTAATAATGCATTCCTTTCAGTGCGTGCGTATAAACCAAATGAATTATTTATTGCTGATATTAGGGTGATATTGGGCCAAAAGGTGATAAAGGTGATCCGGGAGATTCCGGCGGTGAAGCCTATTACGGCAGCAAGGTACGTTGGAACTGGCCGCTTGGATGATGGAACACACAACGCTGGCCCGCTTTTTTATTGTTCATGCACACACCGGCTATGTTGCACTGCTTGATTAGTTTTGCTTGTTGCGTTCATCCCCGCACATTCAGCACATCGTCCCCATATTACCCTGTTCACTTGCTTGCGCACAACATGCTCGCACCATTGTTTTGTGATAGAGTTGTGTTTTGGGACTGGTGTGTTTGGACTGACTGTAAGAGTGTGATTGTGATGTTATAGGGTGGAAAACCACGTTCAGTGTCACAACTAATGAATGATCCCACTGACACACGAAGAGCTATTTTAAAGGTTAGTAGTGCATTTCTTCCCATGGTTTGAAACGCCCAGAATTGTTGTTTATCCCGCGTACCGATTTACTTGTCGTTAATTACAACCAAAAACAGCTTCGCTACAATATGTTGCGCTGTAAATAACGGGACAGCCGTGCATGCCGATTCCATTGAGTTGCTTTAATCCGCTATGACAACAAACATTGGTGTAAAGTTGGCAGTGCTGGATCTCGGTTGGGGAATTTTTGTTGGGCTGCTTGGGTAACACCGCTGCTTTTTTGTCTTTGCAGGATCTCGAGGATTTTAACGTGCCTTCTGAACTACTAGCCAAGCTGAAAGTATGCATCAACGAATAATATTGTATAATGCACGTAAATTGAACTACCGTAGGTGCTAATTTTACGCTCTTTTCGGGCACTCGCTTTAGCATTGTAACTTCACAAGTAATACTTGAAGTGTTACGGTATTTTTGTATTGTCAACCGGAAAAGCATTTAAAACCCTTGTTGCAAGAAAACGGAATCGTTTTTGCAGTTTTAAAAACAATTTTTTAAGTAGTTTCCATTTTCCAACGAGTGGCACGAGGCCCCAAGCAGCTGACACCTTGAAATGTAGTGTAGTGGCTTGAGGCGATAGGTTTGGTGAGTTTGAGATTAAAAGCTGTGACTAAAGCCCGACTGCTATGCAGACCGCTAAAGCTTTTGAACTCTTTTTCTAGAGCCTGTAAAGCCATACTTTTGCAATTTGCATTTATATTTTCCCAAACTCTTGCAGTTCGAGATACAGAGAGACAGGCTTAATTTGTCGAGGCAGTATATTAGACAGCATATTAGGCAACATGTTACCATGCTTAGAAGTTACGTGTAACACTGTAAATCTTGCACAGGGAGAAAAAGGAGAACCAGGACATGCGGGACCAGCAGGACCACCGGTACGATATTAGCGTGATCAAAATGACATTGCGCTGACGACACTTCACGCTGCATTTGCCGAACAGGGTCCAGTTGGCCTTCACGGTTACGATGGCCAGCCGGGTCGAGCCGGGCCGCCTGGCTCCAAAGGGGAAGCGGGACCGCGTGGCTTCCCTGGACCACAGGGAGAGCCGGTAAGGTCATGCCGGTTGTTGTGGGATATTTTTTATATCGTCCCGTTGTACTGCGTTTGCCTGCTTTGCTTTGCTGATTTATTTCGGTTCAATTGTTTAGTTTGTTTGTTTGCCGTTTGTCGTTATTAGGGTGAACGTGGTTTGCGTGGTCTGATGGGACCACCCGGTGTAGGCAGTCCAGGACGCGATGGTGGTCCTGGTCATCCTGTAAGGGCAATTTTATTTGCTGTCCTGTTTTGCGCTCTTTAAATTTTATAAGCAGTGATAAGGATTTTTATGTTTATTACCGGTTCAATTAGCCCTTTTAATACTGCTCAGCTTTTCCGTAAACGATATTCAGTGTTTCATTTTCCTTAGCGAAATTGTTTACAACTGGTTTCCATTTATAATGCTTTGCTCTTTCAAATGACCTTTAAGTGTTTTTATTGCAGATTTTCTTATTTTGTTGTTTTTGTTATGAAATGCATTTATTCGCTCACTGTTAACGTACAATAATTTGAAATTGTCATACAGGGTGCTAAAGGTGATAAGGGCGATAAAGGAGAATACGGCGACCGGTATGGTCTGCATTATGAAAGCAATGGTCTGGTGACTTCTGGGCCCCTACCACCCATACCCTCCGGAAATGGAGTAATGGGACCACCGGGTATATATCAGCTTCTCTTACATGCCGGTGATCTCTTCTCTTACATATCAGCTTCTCTTCTACAAGTTTGTTGCGAATGTTAGGCCCCCCTGGTCCACCAGGAGAGCCGGGATCCGCTGGAACTAAGGGTGAAAAAGGCGACCTGGGAAAACGCGGCAAAAAGGTTAGTGAGAAAATATAATGAGTCTGGCGACGATGCTGGGATTGATGATTTTGAATAAGGAGCATGCAACTTTGGGTGACCCTGAGAACACTTCTTTGAACGTTGCTTGCTACTCTTGTATTACTTGTTGTCAAATCGCTCTTTATAATTTCCGTTTTGTTTTTCTTTATTTCGCTTCTGCTTAATAATTTAATACTTGCGTCGCGCGCGTGTTGCTGTCCCTCATCGGTGCAGCGGTGATTACTGCTTACCTTGCTATACTCCTTACTGTTAACCACTACATGTTTCTCTTTAACGCTGCGGTTGAATAATTAACGGTAAGTTCGGCATCTGATCTTTTTTCTGTATATACCTTATGTTACATTATAAACATTATTAATAAATACTATTTACAGGGCATTGGGTTTCCCGGACCACCCGGGCGTCCTGGTCCCATTGGTAAGTAACAATGGCACAACATTATACATTTCCTGGTTTATGATATTGTATGCATTCGAACGGTATTCTCACTTATGACAGTTTCATTTCGTAATAATTAAGATCCGTTTTTAGGTCCACCCGGCCTGCGCGGACTGTCTGGTCCATCTGGTGATAAGGGAGAACTTGGGTTGCCAGGTACCCAGGTAAGACCGACACAAATAAAATGTAGATGCATACATCTTTCTCACATGTTCTGTGACAAACCCTTTGATTCTGTAGGGCTCAAAAGGCGACAGGGGAGACAAAGGTGACCCGGGTCTACACGGTACCCGTGGTCCACCCGGTCCGTTAGGCGATAAAGGTCACAAAGGCGATGTGGGACCTATGGGAGCTCCTGGTTTTATTGGCCCACCGGTAAGTATATAAGTGCTTGCATGCAAACTATTACTCTGTATCGATTTTGGTTTTGATTTGTTAAATATTATATATTTTGTTATATGTTATTAATTTGTTATAGGGCATGCCTGGACCACCCGTAAGTATTGTACCACATTGTTTTGGTATCACCCCCAGTGATATCGCGCACGATGAGAATGCATTCCTCGCAACCCAATAATAACGTCAGTGACTGATTTGACTAACCTCGTCGTAACATTTTGAAGGGTGCTCCTGGAACTAATGTCGAAATAATGTCAGGCGTGAGTGCAAATAACTTGACTCAAGTTGCATAAGAGATGAAATCAAGTTGCATTAACACTCTTTCCTGCCAGGTTGATTCGCGAGCGACAGGCCGGCCACTAGGTCTTGGGGTAAGAATAGTTTTTAAGTCTAAAGAGAATTCCAGCAGTAACTGTTCCGCGTTGGCAGGGTATGGGCCCACCGGGTCCCCCGGGACCGCCCGGTCCACCGGGTTTCAAGGTGGGTGTTTGATTTTCTCTAAAGGTCACATCCAGTTTGCTTAATCGAGCCTTCATATTGCGCTGCAGGGTGAACCGGGACGAGACGGTGGCAAAGGTGAGTTGCAGTTATTGAACTGACATGTTCCGGTGGTTTCGATATTCCCATCGAACGCTCTAATTTTGATATCGCTGCATCAGTATAGATCTTAATTGCATTTTGTCTATGTGATCATGTACTCATGTACATTACTGGTTTGTTATCAACAGGTGAATTCGGTGAGCGTGGCGAGAAGGGACTTCTTGGGCCAATGGGTCTACCAGGACCGATGGGACTTCCGGTAATGCACAATTGTTTGTGGACGTTACTGCCGTACTGTGCTTCAGCTTTTCCCGCTGTATCTGGGTTACGGTGTCCCTAGCTGATTAGGCTTATTGGGATACTTCCACAACACTTTTAAACTATTTCAGGGTATTGAAGGGAAGCCGGGTCGCGATGGTATTCCGGGGCTTTTGGTAATCTGGTGTCGGGATGCAATACTTGCTTCACAGCGTTCTTATCATTCCCTGCTATGCATGGCTGCTTGCATGAGGCATTAATACGCGCTTGCTTTGATCCCTCATGATTTGTTTCTTCTGATTACTGCTCCGTTGCACAATAACAAAGAAACATTAGGGCTTCCTGACAGTAACAGAATAGGATCAGTGACTCTGACAATGCTAACCAAACATCCGACTTCTGAAACTGTGTGATAACTAATAATGCTGTATATGGAATTACATTTATTAATTTACTTTTATCATTATAAACAGGGTCCGCCAGGCATGGATGGACAAAGAGGTAAACGATGCCTCGCGTTTGCAGCATACAGATGCCAGATACTTATTGTTATTAATGTTCGAACAGGTGCACCAGGAGAAAGCGGTCCTAAAGGTACCATCCACTACGTTGTCGTTTATATCATTTTCAACGTTGAATTCATCTGAAAACTAACATGACTGTTCTAAACAAAAATTCTCTTAATTCGGCGAGCAGGTGACAGAGGAGACGTATGCCAAAATGTAAGTGTTTGATCAAATGCATGTCGCCCGACTTGCCGGTGATTATCTGGATCACCTTGCAGGGTATTGACGGAGTCCCCGGTATGCCTGGCGCTAAAGGGGATAGAGGTGACAAAGGAAAACGCGGTGCCCGCGGTGCTAAGGGTATGCTGTTACTGGAGGAAGTAATAAGATTATTTCTTTGCGAAATTTCAAGGAGTCGACCTTTTACCATGTAAAAATGTAAACATTATAAAAATATGGGATGTACGTTGTTATATTTAGGAGTACAAGCTAGCCGTCTGACACATATAATAACCGAAATATTAGGGATTTAAGATACATGAGCCAAGGTGGTTCAATATGCCATTTTGCATAATTTTTGACTGACGAGTGTTAAAATTATCCTTGCTACAGTACATACTAACGAATTTTTCGAATTTTTCAGGCGATAAAGGAGAACCTGTAAGTATTTGCTTGGTTTACACTTTTCAAGCCGGTTATCACTCGATAATCACGAGTGAGTATGACTATAGGGTATACCCGGACTGGATGCGCCCTGTCCTGTGGGGCCGGATGGACTTCCCGTCCCGGGCTGCGGATGGCGCAATCAGCAATCCATATCAGGCACTTAAGCGGTGCGCTGAACGGTGGTTGTGCCGGTTGCATTTTGGAGCGACTCTTGAGTCTTGGCCCCCGCAATCTTGTGATGCCTTCGGCTGGCCGCATTTTCTACGAGCGACCAAAGTTGTCTTTTTTCACTGCAGCAGAGTTTTGTTGACTTTCTCCTCCGCGCGCGGTTCCTGTTTTTTTTCCACTTTGTATGTTTTCATTTTCGTTAATGTCTGACTTGTGCTCTGTACACACGCTATGGATGGTGTTTTTATATACAGACCAAATTTACAAAAACAGAAAGACTTTGTTGTTATTGTGGATTGATGTTTTAATGTATAGTTCGTTCTTCAGTCAGGTTTTATAGAGTTTTGGATTTTTCTGTTGAAAGATTTAGAGCCACTTGTACGTCACTGCCAAAGTACCGCATGCGTGGTTGTTGATTTTGTATGCCATATTTAATCGTTATGGATTATTAAATTGCAGGCAAAATCTGTTGTGTATACCCTAAAAACGCACAATGTATTTAACAAAAAATCGGTAATTACTGCCGTTTCAGTTGGGCAGAGTCAGAGTTCTCGTATATAAATATTAAATACCCTAACCAGCGCGAGCCGGGCGAATCCCAAAAATCCGTACCGGTGCACCCGATCCGTCCCTGTTCTTCATAGGCGCAAGTATCACTTTTTCCGCCCACGGGCGGCATTTCATCCAAATGGGCCGCGTACTCGATGCCTATTTTGCCATGACCGGCGATCAAGACATGTGTACCCCAGCTGCTGGACACCGGTTGACGCGTAGCTTCGGGGGCGGGGTCAAGCGAAGGGCTATCGACAATGATCCCGCGGATCTGCCGCTCCATAATCAGGAAGCGTGTTGCTGCTGGCTCAAATCCTGGAAAGTGGAGACCGCGAAAACTGCGGTAGGGTTCGTTATTGTCGGCACTGTACATCCGCTGTCGATCCGGCCAACGTTGTCCCCATTCTGAATACATGCACACGAAGGCACCGGCGGGGATGCGGCCATAGGTGGCCTCAAACTGGTTGATATCCGCCACGCTGACGCCGTAATCGGGATTGGCGCGCACTTGGGCAGTGACGTTGATGACCACCGCTGGGCCAATCAATTGGTCCGTGGAGAGATCCGCCATGTCGCTTCTGCTCAAAGCCCAATAGATTTATTTGGCAAAGCAACTCACGTAAATGTCATACCCGCTAGAAGATATTAAAATGATGCAAGAAATTTTAAAAAATCGAAAAGCAGCCAAAGCCAAACATTAATTTGTAATAGGTTATAAGCTTTCCATCTGTAAATGTACCCATGTACGCAGCACGCAAAACCACCAACCCGTTGCGGCTGAAATGAGCAGGACTATCCAGATGTGTGCCGACATGTTCGTGAGCCTGAAAATGTCCTTGGCGCATAACAACATCTCCTGTTTTCCCTATTTTCTCGTCAATAGTTAACTGGAAATCGCTCTGCTGGAAAAAGGATACGGTTTGTGCGTTGAAAGGGTACGTCAAGTCGATGATATCTGCCGGTGAGAATTTAAACCGCTCCACCGGATATGTAAAAATGCCAGCAAGCAAAACAATCAGGAAATAAATTACGATAAATGGCTTCCCAGCCATTTGCAGGCTTCCGAGTAATTTGGTTATCAGTAATGTTATAAGCTTCTAGTAGGAATGAAGTTGCTTGAGTATTTCAAGCCCTTTGTAAACATTCCAGTGTTAGCAGTTTGGTAAGATTATGATGGTGTCTCGTTAATAATGGAGATACACGCCTATTTGCATGATTAAAGTTTCTAATTCAACAAAGCAAAATTATTTTTGCCGGTTGTCTTCGGTTTTATTTTTGGTTTTCCGTTAAGAAGACGATACAAATCAGTGTTCATAAACCGCGAGAAGACGACCGTCTAACGAAGTTTTATCGGTGATCTGTTAAGTAATCGCATGGACTTTACCTGCATGGCAGCCGTGGAATATTTTGCCGGTGCATCGATATCTCCTGTCCAAATTTTGCAAAAACAACAGATACAGCAATTTATGCGTTGTACCTGAATTACGTTAGATAACCATGTAAACATACATAAGTAATGTATTATAGAATTTAAAAAAACGTTGCAAGACTTGCATATATACTCTAGTATCAGCCACACAAAGCCGATGGAAAATTGAACAACGAAGGGTTATTAACTTATTACGCGTACGTGCAGGTGTATTTAAAAGTACGCGTATACTACTGTACCGTACCATGAGTGCAGCTTTGACCAAAATTTACAATTTTTTTGGATTGCGTGCTTAATCAATGGTAATGCCGGAAACCGAAAACAAGGCTTAACAACCTTAATCCTGAACATACAGCCAATAAGAAAAATTAAGAAACAAAATTTAACGGATTTTATGTGAAGGCCGAATTCCGTAAATTCGCGTGGGTGCTCCCGATCCGCCCTTATTCTTCATGGGTGCCAGAATAATTCGCCCACCGATGGGAGGCATTTTTTCCAAATGCGCTGCGTATTCAATAGCAATCTTTCCCTTAGTAGCCAGCTGGAGATGTGCACACGGAATCGCCGCCGACGCCTTTTCCTTCTCGGCCGCCGCAACCTCTTTCTTGATTTCGGCGGCTGAATCGACCGACGGTCCATCCGTGCCCAGCCCGCGGATATTCCGCTCGGCGATGAGAAAGCGTGTCGCGGCCGGGTCAAAGCCGGGGAAATGCAGCTGATTGAAATCACTACCGAAATGCGGTGTCTCGGCTCCGAAGGAGCGCTGTCTGTCCGGCCAGCGTTTACCCCATTCGCCGTAGAGAAACACGAAGGACCCGTCGGGAATGCGTCCGTGGGTGGCTTCAAACTGGTGAATATCCGTCAGATTCAAATAGTAATCGGGATTGGAGCGCACTTGCGTGGTCACGTTGATGATGACCGCTGGACCGACTAGTTGTTCCGTTGACAAATCAGACATACCCTTTCTGCTCAAAATAAAAGACATCACAGTAGAAATCATAAGCAGCATTTTTCGTAAAAAGCAAAATTCTTTCGAGTTCTACTCTGAACATTTGTGTGCATGGTTAGTCATTTGTTTTAATGTTTAAATATAATTAATTATTATATAACCTTAATTTTTTTATTTTGTTTATGTTTTTCGTTTATTTGCAATGACGCACCGAAACATACCCGTTGCGGCCGAAATGTGCTGGACTGTCGAGATGTGTACCACCGTGTTCGCCGGCCTGGAAATGTCCCTGTCGCATGACTACGTCGCCGTTCTTGCTCAGCTTTTCATCAATTCGTAATGTAAAATCATTAAAACCCTTTTTCTGAGGGAAGTAAACGGTCTGCGGATTAAAAGGATAGGTCAAGTCGACAATGTCTCCCGGTGAGAATTTAAACTTTTCCACGGGATAGCTGTACACTCGGCCGATCACGAAAACACAGGAGCAAAATGAGATGAAAGGAACAGTGTTCATTTTTTCACACAGGCTAGCTACTATGACTTCAAGATCTTTACAGACGGTCTGGAAACGCTAGGCTTCCGTAAGTTGTTGTAGTTCTTCCCCAGAATTTTTTAAAGCAAAACCGATGAAAATGCCTTTAATGATTTTAAACGCAAATATGCGAATACTCTGTATACTGTACACTGCTCTAGTAAAAAAGTTTTAATGCATATTATGGTACGTATTGCACTGCTTATGGAGACATCTGTTATCTATCTGCGTTGTAAAAACGATGGACATCAATGTTTGTGAAAATAAATATCACAAATCGGTTGGCCATACTGGCCAGATTGGCACCTCGCCAGTGGAAAGTTTGAAAATTGTACCACAAGCACGACGAGTACTTTTATTACTGCAACGTAATTCATTCGTGTTTGTGCACTGTATCGTAATCATTTGCGTGTAGCAGTTTGACGTCTTACTTCAAGCAACACTCTAAATCTAACGGTCCCCAATTAGAATTTGTTTTCTTTAATCTTGATTCTTGATCACTAATTTTTTTAAGCCACTGAATTTTCAGATATTTTTGTCTTGCTCTGCATTACATTATTACTATTCGCATCAACGCAGTTGCCCGTAAACAAGGGCATCGAAGGTCTTCAAATTACTAAACTACAGTGCACCCATAAACTTTGCCGCAATGTTAATCGTACTGTTCGCACTGTTATTGTGTTGGAAAATATCGAATGTGCAAAGCGCACCCGTGGAGACCGAAGTGGATTTTTCCTCTGACAGAATTCTTGATCTTTCCTATACTTATGACAAAAATACCGTATACTGGCCGCACGGGAAAGGTTATGACACCTTTAATTTGACAATGATTGCCTACAACGAAGCGGATCCCGACAAAATCTTTTATCGGGCCGGCTATTACAGCACCGGCGAACATGGCGGTACCCATATCGACACCCCGGCGCATCTTCTGCGCAACGGGTACGTTTTATTTTGTGCTCACAGAATGTAGTAGCACGGTAGTATACCGTGGTAGTAGTAAACCGACAAAGAATAAGACATCATATGTGCACAATATAGTAGAATTTTTATTTTTTGAGCTATTAAACAAACTAAATTTATTCATTTTTCTTGAGATAAATACATTTTGTTAGCACTAGTGTGGCCTCTTCGGGACTTCTTCACGTAACGCATTTAGCATTGTAGGCATCTTTTCGTAAATTAAGACGGTAGGCGGTTTTCAAAGCTGCATACAGTTGATTTTACATTTTTTGGTTTGCAGAACGGATGCAGAAAATCTTGAAATACAGCAGTTAATTGGCCCTGCTGTCGTTATCTCCATTGCGGAACATATTCAAGCGGGTCATCTCGACTACGCCCTGAGTCCTTCAGATGTCTCCCAATGGGAGTCGCAGCATGGTCGTATTCCAGACGGCGCCTTTGTCTTCCTGTTTGCGGACTGGGGTCAACGCTGGCCGGACAGGCAACGCGTGTTCAACGTGGATGACCTTTCCGATTATTCCCACATGCGTTTCCCGGGTTTCCATCCAGATGCCATACAGTGGCTCATTACCCAACGTGACATTCGCGGCGTGGCTTCGGATGGACCTTCTGTGGAGAGCTCGGTTGATATTGCCAGTGAGCGGATGGGAACGCACATTCTGTTGGCCAAACACAATCGGATAGGTGTGGAAAACGTGGCTAATTTGCACAAAGTACCGGCAACGGGTGCGACGGTGATCCTAATGCCTATGAAGATTTCCAATGCCACCGGAGCTCCTCTCAGGCTTTTCGCTGTATTGCCTGAACAAAAAGAATAATAACGGCTTCAATCGCCGTTTTTATTTCATGTTCCAGTATATAAACCGCTTTTTGCCACTGTTGGCGATGCGGCTGCCTTCATCTTCCTACAAGAATTAAAACCATGAATAGAGTTTCGTCACTCATTGTGTTCTTTTCTGCTTTATGGTTTCTAAATTTTTGTTGCGTATTGACAACATAATTTTGGCACTACTCAAATCGTTACAAGTTGTTATTACTTTATTTATGCTGCACTCCTGGCTGCGGAGAATCAGTTGCGTAGACGATTATTTCGTACACATTTTGGTTATCTACAGAAGATCGTTTTATGCGAATCTTAATCAACAACCAAAACAGCAATAACAATATTAACAATAACATTTTAATGGTATATGAATAATATATTACCGTAACTTTCTATTTTTTCAACGTATGATACGGTATGGGTATGATACCTATCTGCAGAAAAAATTTACGATTTTTCTTAGCGAAAAAATTAAAATCACTTGCAGCTCCAGTACACAGCTAGTATAATGGCTATTACCTGTTAAAAGCAGCGGCACTTTATGCTTTTTTTATGAATCCTTATAAGATTTATATAAGTCCAGAAATGTATACATACAGCGCAATGCAAGCTCTCGCATTAGATCAGGTTCTGCTGAACTACCCGTAGTGTTAGGACCGCTTTTGCCATTTGTTGTGATTAGCAGATTCAATGACACAACAAGTTTGCTGGAACCGGAACTGGCGACGTGGGGAGCAGCGAAAGGAGACAATAAGACAAACCGCCGCTGCAAAAAGCGTCTATAGAAACTTCCTTACCGTGTTTATATTATTAGTTCTTCCTCCCTCCATGCGTTTTTCCCAGTAATAAACAAACAGTTATCTTACTGATTCATCTCTGAATGCAGTCGGTAGCTGTGTTTTCAGCCTTAGTGCTTGCATATAATGATTTTGCTGGAACATGATATTTTTCCGGGTACTTCTGACTGGTTGCTCAAGAATGCAAGCGGCTAACCAGCCTGCAAGCAAAATTTTATATTCCTGGAGCATTACAGGTTCTGCAATATCCCTTCGTGCACAGAATTAGTACGATAGGGCGAACTCAGTCTGCATCAGAAATATTTCAAGTGTTTTACAATATATGTGTAATGCGCGCAACTTCCGGTCAATTAATAATTTAACTAAAAGTAGTTTTGTTATATCTCTAGATCCCACCTGTCGCAGTTACTTCTACCGTTGATTTTTGAAATGTTTGAACTTGCCACGAAAATGCGTAACTATCCGACAGTATTATTCATAATTTTCGAAATATTACTGGACATCGAAAGGGTATGTTGTTTCAGTACCCTGTACTTGGTGTTGTTAGTAATGCTCTATATATGCAGAAATTAATCGTACTTCTGTTTTAATAAGCAAATAATTTACATAGTTATTTGCAAAATAAACGGTTGAAAATTGGAGTATGACCAAAGAGTCAAATTTAGCAATTATTTTTATATTTTATACAGGTTTCGGCCCAGTCCTTTCCTGTTTTCTCCCAAAGTTCCTATAGCTTCACAGTCGGCAACTGCGGTGCCGGTACATATGTTGGTCAAGTTTCCGCCAGCGGCGCCACTTCTTACTCGACCGATAATTCATTCGTGATCAGCATCAACCCTTCCTCCGGCGCCTTATCCCTCGGCGCCACCATCGCCTCCACGACGACCTTTAATGTTATCGCGCGTAACCAGTACGGCTCCACGCAAGCGTCGGTGACCGTGTATGCCAACTGCGGTGGCAGCGTCGGTAATACGAACATCGTAGCCGCCGCCCCGGCGGTCAGCTCGGCCACTCTGGTCAGTCCGGTGGTGGCCGTGAACAACGCGTATACATACGGTTTCCAACCCGGCGCCGTTGCCGTGGACTACAACAACCCGGTGGTCGTGGCCACTGATAATTTCTTTCCCTATTATAACACCGGCTACGGTGGATGGAATGCGAATATTTATCGTAACGGGAACGGACGATGCATCGGTAACTCGTGTTACTACGGCGGTCCAGGCGGTAACTGGGGATCGGCATGGGCGGGCGGGTATGGGTTGCGGGATGTGTATGTCAATGGGGGTTACGGCGGGATCTACAACTATGGCGGATATGGTCTCACCGTGCAGTGCTTCAATGGTTATTGCTATAACAATGCTGGTCGATGAGGGACCGCTGTATAGGTATTAATTTTGGTCAATTATAACTATTTACTATAATATTTAGTCAATATATTGTGTAACAAATTATATTTCTTGAGAAGTTGAGAGAACACTGTATTTGCAGTACTTCTTGCAACTATGACATGTTGTGCAAATGCTCGATGTCTGTAAAGGTATCCGACCGCGTGTAACAAAATATCAATTTATATCCGTACATGCAAATAAAGATATGTACAATACATCAGATTATTGTGGCCATTGTTGAATAAAGGCAAAAATACCGTTCACCGTACCGAACACATATTTCAGTGAAAACTGTAAACGAGACAATTAAAACCATTCACTGAAAGATGTATTTACTTCATACGGGCATTTGTTTGTAATCGTTAAATGTTGCTTTTCATTTTCTTGAAGAAATCATGTTTCTAAACATCACATCAATCTAGTTCAGCTCCACAGTAGCCGGCCTACTTTGTTGCGGTAAACGATAAAAAGAATATTGCCAATAAACTGGCAAATTAATTAAAATAACCCACCTGATATTCTGAAGTCGACATGCACATGCGAAGTTTGTGGCCATGGAAAGCGCTGACGTCGTTGATTCAATTATGTATGAGCATTTTGTGCATAACCTTAAACAGTTTATTGAAGAAAATCCAAACCGGAAACTAGAAAACAGAATAAAACGTATAAAGCTAGTAACAGGAAAACGACAACTAGAACAACTAAAAAACAATTTTCCTGTCACGTGAAAAAGCTGATTTTCGCTACAGATACCGTAACCTCGGTTTGTGGTTGCACTGATATACCGTAAATTCGTAACATCGTCTTTTGCTGGTAAGAAGCATTGCGGGATAGCGGTTGTTTTAATTATGAATCACTTAACTGTTGGTTGCTGATTTGCTGCACCATCACTTTTTCAGCGAAAACGGTGTTGAGCGAAGTAACTTTGTTTTTCTTTCAGGATGAGCTTCCAGTATATTGAACATATAGCCAACCGATCTCACGCTTCCTGTGGAATATCCTTTTAAATGATTTTTCTGTGAAGTCTTCTTTCACGACGTGATTCTGTTTCAAGTGTAATGTAAATATTTACTTCATATTTATGGTATAATAATGACAATTCGAAAAACGTGGGTTGAACGGCCTTTGCAACAATCAAAACCTTACCCGTAACACACCCCTTTTACATGATAGTGCTGATTTGTACAAAGTGACTACAAACCATAACAGTACACATATTTATACGCTACCCTATATAGGAATGTCGGGAGTGTGGTATAACCGTGTGAGTTAGGTAATGTTTGTTAGGTTCTACAGTTCTAATCTTTGTTACTGTAATCAAATTGTGCACGGTTTATCCTTCGAAGGATTTCACGATGATGAATAAGAAGTTTAATATTCTGGCAGGTTGGTATCTGGTCGCGCAGTTATTACTGGATACTTTCTGTGTAAGTTTTATAGGAAATCCACGCAAATGTTTTCAATAAATTTAATTTATAAACGTATTATTTACTGCAGTATTTTCTAATTTAAAGGCAAAACGCAAAACTAATGTACTTTGTTTTACTAATTATCTGTATGAGCTGCAACATCATTAGCGAAAATATCACCTGAAAACAAAATCGAGGAATGGGCATTTTCTGCTTTATAGTACTAATTAATTTTTAGGGGCGCATGCGAAGTCACAGAGAAAGTACCCTAATTAATAACACAATAGTTATAAGTCTGTCTATTTGTCTGTAGCAAAAAATTGCCGTTTCCGCCCAGTCCTTCCCGGTGTTTTCCCAGAGTTCGTACAGTTTTACAGTCACCACTTGCGGAGCCGGTACCTACGTCGGCCAAGTGTGGGCCAGCGGCGCCACTTCGTACTCTACCGACAATTCCTTCGTCATCAGCATTGATCCTTCTTCCGGCGCATTATCTCTCAGCGCCACCATCGCCTCCACGACGACCTTTAACGTGATCGCACGAAACCAGTACGGTTCTACACAGGCGCCGGTGACCGTGTATGCCAACTGCGGCGGCGGAAACACTGGGACGGGTTTCATCCCCAACACTGTGTATACTTCCGACGTCAACTATGCGACATACACAAATCCAGTGTACAACAACAATCCGGTACAGTATGTTAGCAACGGTATTCCGACCACGGTAATCGACTACAACACGCCGGTGGCGTACTCCAGCAACAATGTTTTCCCATACTCTTCGTATTACAATGGCTATATTGGATGGGATGGAGTATATAAAAGTGGAAATACATGTTACGGTAACTGGTGTCCTTACGGTGGAGCTTGGGGCCGCGGAAATCGCTATAATAATGCATATGGCCACTGGTCACTGTAATTCGTTGTGATGCAAGTTTTGATTACTTTGCTCGATCTTTGTCGTTGCATCTTTCACAACAAAATTGTAATTTATATAATACACTTGAATAATATGTTTTGTAATAAAAATTGTTCATGCAGTTAAAAATTTGAAAGTAAAACCGCTCACTGAGTGAGCGGCTATAATTAAATTTAGAGTGATACTGTTTCTATGACAATTGTACGCTGACCGGAAGTTAGTTGCATGATGCGGCTTCTTTTTGATGCCGAGATGAGGCCGTTCTCTACTGCCGGTCTCAAGGACCGCAGTAGAATTACACAAGGAAAAATATGCCAACCTTATTACTGTAAGCTATAAATCCCCACTTTGATACAAGATTCCGGTTAAAATTTTAGCAGCATTAAAATTTGTGTATGCATGTTAAAAGTTCACCGAAACTTGCTGGTTATGTTATGTACCATACCGTGAATATAATTACAGTATCATTATATTTTTTTGGTTTGATATCTGGTACTTGACACTACGCTGTTTTGTAAGGTCAAAATTCTATAACATAAATAAGACGATATCAACAACCCGTGGCGGTTGCAAAAGAAACTGCACTGGGCAAATACACAATGTCAATTGCAAGTATCTACTGGTAGAAGCATAGCTGGGTTTTCTGCACCCTGTTAGCCGCCTTGTCGAGAAGTGATCTGTAATAAAGTTAAGAATAATTGTCCAAAATGGTTTATGGTATGAATTGGCATGAATTATTTCTGTAATAGGCGTCCAGACAAGAAAATATAAAAGACCACCGGGTGGAGTGCACCGTAGTATTAATGACAATGCAGCCAAATACGATTGTCCTGATACATACTCACACACTGGCAGTCATCTTAAATAACGCCCGTCTATTCCCCGGCACCCATCTTATTTTATAACATAAAAGAGGAAAATGTCAAGTTAGTCGCGCGGGAAATCCTAATGGAAAATTTACGACTTTTTTATGGCCCCTTAACGACCTGCATCCTGAAAGAAAACAGAGAGAGCAATCGACTGCGGCTGATGGGATACGATGTCTCACTCAGCACCGGCACACAGCGCGGCAGTGTCTCTCTTCCGTTTATGCACAGCAGTCCAGTGAACTGATTAGAGTCAGAAGAAAAGACCTTCGCTCTAAGTGGTCCTCTAAGACAATAAAAGTCAAGGCGGTCTACCGCCTAATTGGATGCTCGTTATGTTTGTCTGTTTGCGCTTCTTTTCTTATCCGTATGAATCAGAATTCTTTCTCATCTGTGGCGCCTTTCACCTTTATATGCGGCTTTTATATATGCACAGGATGTTGTGGAAAAGCCGCGGTGACCTTAGGACACTCCCGTACACGGAATATGCTAGCCCAAATGAATGAACACGAACCATAACATTAAACAAAATTATTATCATTTATCAGAAAGGTTTTTTAATGTCTTTAAAGCACGTTTAAAGCCAGGCCAGGCATGAATTTCCTTACTCACAACGCAACAGTTAATTTAAATGCAGGTTAAGTGCATATTGCATAGTTATACCCTATTGTAATCTTTTTTTATTATTTTAACACGTTTGAACAGCCCTGCCCAGGCTTTCTTAAATTTTAACGTGCATAACCAAAAATTAATAATTAGTCATACAGCATGAACAAAATATTAGCTATTAACATAGCTTCGCGAATACAAAAGAAAATCATTGCCTAATAAAGATATATATGTAGATACTCATATCAATAAAATTATATAGTCAATAAAAAATATATAGTCAAGTCATATTCTTTATACAGTCATACTCTGCACACAGACCAACATCAATTTTTTCAAAAAAAAAGTTAAATAACGTTCTACAGATATGTATACCGTGTAGCCAAATTGGTATTCTGATGTCTCAAAATTCTAATTAATATTAATTGAATTTTCTAATAGTGAAAGTCGTCTGGACATGATGGCATCTAATAATTTTGATTAATTACAAGACCAATGGGAGGATTTCATAGTATGACCAGCGACCAGGCACGCAAGTTGGTACTGCAATGTTGCCGGAAATAGAAACAAACACTTTATTTAACAATATACATAAACGAAGCCTATTCACACTCCTCCAGATGCTCATTTCCAGTGTCCGTTCTGGTCACTTTCCTCTGGACGCGTTTTTGTCAGCAGAGGTCGGGTGCGTCAAAAGGAAAGGGCACGGTATAAATAAATTAGCTCCTCTGCCGGCGCAGTGGGCAACATGGCATGGAGCGGGAGTTGACGACAAGTGAGTACTGTGCGAAATTAAGTGTACATGTCATTAGAGTCCGGCACTGGGAATTCGTGCACTGCATGCGCACACCGGTCTCGGACATGCTGTTCGCAACTGTACATACACATCCGCAGATGCCATGTGATATTTTGTTATGCAGAATATGCATATTTGGGAATCGGCGATTCCAGCTGAGTTGCTGTTCGTGGCTGCGGCCATTCATGTCGGGCGATATAGAAAGCGTATATATGTGCCGTAGGAGCAACTGGAAATGATGATGACTTTGGTCATTAATCACATTCTCCTCTCAAACATCCCTCGTCGCTTTTGCCCGGTTTGACATGACTTTATCCCTTGGCTTCGATGTTTGGAGTTATGCTGAGGCTGGTTGGAGTTGAGCGGATCGAGCGCTGCACTCTGGCTGTGTTGTGTACGCTGAAGAATCCATGCACGGAAAGTTTCACTCCGCGCATTGGTGACCTGAAAATTAAGATGAATTTTCATGCTTGAGAGCGCTAGTTTTCGTCCGTGAACGAAAACGATGATCTAGACTATTGATTACAAAGCCAAGGGAAGAGTGATGAAGGATTAAGTCTAGAGTAAACACACCGATATATATCTCTTTAATTTTACAAAAGAATGCTACGCTGCATATGAGTTATATTATCGTTAATCGACGTAAAAAAAGGTGTTCTAGAATATGTACGAGTATATGTAAGAGAAATTTTCAAATTTTTTTTATTACATTTGATTGTGTAGTGATAGCAACGGTGCGGTACGGTAATTCGCCCTGTTGCACAGTCAGTCCCAACTATGAAAGGTCACTGCCGGATGCAGCTGAACTGCGCATGACCAAGGCTTTTACGTATTGTATAACTCCAGCGGCGTACTAAAATTTAGTACAATTATCTGTAACAGCAATTCCTAACGCCGCACAACCCGCAAAAAGCTGTGAAAAACTTTGAAGAAATCTAAAAATTCGTTCCGGGCATTGGTATCATATCATGAATTTGTATAGAAATCATTTCACTCCGTGACCGCATGTCTACCAGTAAATCGCTCAGATTTCTCCTCCATAATTTACAGACGGCAACGATAAAATCGAGGAACCTGTTCAAGTAGAGAAGGTTACAGCTTCGGTGTCAAAGGAAATTATGAATTTCTTGATTTACACCTTTTCTGGTCCTTGTTTGCTAAACTGAACCGGTTCCTTGGCTGCGTAAACGGTCTTGTTGATCCCATCTCTTTGCTCAATCATTATACGCATTCTGCTCAAGGAAGTAACAGCGCATCACAAAGATAGCATATTTGGGAAGTTAAGAAATATTTAAAAATAAATCCAACCAAATATTTTTGATTTAAAATAGTGGAAAATGGACTGTTCAGTATTCAGTTAGCCTATTTTCCATTGTGTGAAATCAGTTCTATTTAAAGTCGTGTGGCCACGTGCCTATTATTTTTCTGTTGCCAATTAAACAATGCGATTAGGGCAGTCGTAAAAAAATTCGAAACAATAATATTGTGTAGCTCGTGTAGGTTTACTAACTAGCGAACAGAAAAACAGTTGCTCGATACTTTAGATCGAATATTCGAACGTACTTCACAAGTAAAAATAGCTTCGTTTTTAAAATTAAAAGAGTAGTTCAGAATTTTGATTTGTGTTTGATCTACCTCGCATTTAGCTAGAAGAATTAATAAAATATTTGTTTGCGGAGTTTTTATTGTAGCAAGAACTACTGCATCCTCATTCCGAACAACAAGCAAAATAAAGTAAGGTCCATCCCTACTTACGCGTTCCCTAAAAAAGGAATGATAATCTTTAATTGTTCAGCTACAAAATCATGGTGTACAAAAATGCAAATACGTACAACAGTAAGCTGACGTAGTATAAAACTTCACACTTGCCCAGGTTAATTTTAAATGACCATTATTCAATTTCTCGTGACCTTTTACCGCAGTTACGCTATAAGCCTTGTACTTGAGCAAAACTTTTTGTGCCCTTGTGGCTAATTAGATGGGTTACGTTGCTTAGTGGATTCTTACTGTGCTGTCTCTTTCATATCTCTGCAGTCTGTCCAATTGGTCGACGGCCATCGATTCCGGCATGAAAATGGCTGTGTACGCCGTATGGATTCTAACTTTGGATTTTGGTGAACGCGATCGTGCGCTGACCTAGCTGCGGCATTCATTCCACAGAAGCCGATCGAAGATGACGTCGGTGCTGCATGCACGCAGCTGCCAGAAATTCTCTCCGCACAGACACACGATTGTGAAGGCCATCATCAACGGAAGTCAGTTCGGCGAAGCCGGCAGTCAGTGCATTCAGAAGCACGGAATACATTTCCAAAAATACGCATCACCAACATCTGCCGAATAAAAATTCACAAAAATTTCCAAGTAACCGGCATCCGAAAGTCAAACAAACTGGTGCTGCATTCAGACGGCATTGCAACCTGGGTTTGAAAATAAGTACCCTGCACAGTTCCCGCCCGACAGGAAAATGATGATCATCAACGCCGACGCGCACAAATCAGGGATCGTTTGCAGCGGCATAAATACGCCGATGCCGGCGTTTGTGTATCTGTACGGCTAGCAGTTCCCATTATGTTTATGCACGGATTCCCCGGACTTGATGGACACGTAGGCGGTTATGAATGTTGATGCCATTAGCCATTAAGATTTGATATTCCGTTCCTGGGCAGTGTGTAGTCACCGCGCGCGGGCCACAAAGACGTGCCGTGGTAACTGCAACGCTCCATGTAATATATATATGTGTGCACCGGCAACCCGGCTGCTGTGCATGTGTTGTGAGAAAGCGGTGATGGAAAATAAATGACTATGCTTAATGACAGTCATAAAAATAATTAGCACATTTAAAAACGATTTGTAACTCATTCCACGCCGTCGTTCTTGAACAAGTAAGCAACCAAGCAAAGAGCCTCATTCTAACCGATGAGGAACACATATAACCATCCAACACACGACTTGTTAGCTATTCAGCCTTGATATATTATTTCACCCAAAGTCAGTCGTTAGTTATCTTCACCAGCAATGCGCGTTTAGTTAGTTCGTTAGGTTTTGGATGTGCGGTGACATGGTGTCCCGGGTTTGCCGGGACTTTGGCGAAGTTTTGGTGTGTTGACTTACCTTTGCTTTTCGAACGTGGTCGAATATGCGGACACCATCTTCCGCACGTAGTGAAGTGCACAGTGTAGCGCTGAATTGATTTTATATGGAATTCCCGTTGGGTTAATTTATTTATGCATGAGGAATATGGATGTAATGCTAACGGAAGTGACTGTTTTCGACATCTTATGTAATACATCAGCGTGCGTGTTTTTGCGGAAGCGATGCCGCTCACACAGGGATACGGTGTTTTCGCATGGATTACACGGATTTTACACTTATCCGGATCCGTAGCGATTAAGATGATTTTCGAAGATCTTTTGCTGGGATATGCACACAGATACACGTTGCCGACACTGACAATGTGACGAAACATGCGTGAAGACATATATAACGCCGAGGAAATCTCCTCGAGCCATGCTCGTGTGTTGTGCACTTATATATCTGTATGCGTTCTGCGCACATACAGCCGTTGATCATACAGAGCAATTATAACTGCGCTCTCGCGCTGGCCCGTCGACGGCATCAAGCCCAGCGTTTTTGTCAGAAAAATCAGCGAAATTGCTGGCTGATTTGCATCTTCACTGCGCAGGCTGACAACGGAGTCGGAAAAGCCCAGTGTCATCCACAGATGTGCGTATTGGAATAAATGTGTGTGTGCTTATGCTGTCGCTTTGGCAGATTTCCGGGATGCAGATGCATGTTGAGTCTATTGCACACGGAGAAAGTGCGTCTTCGTCAGTAGTGCATTACAGGGCTTTTACAACGGCTTAAAACCCCTCTTGTACAATATATCGATCCCGTTCAGGATGGAGGGTCTTAAGAGATCACTTCCTCTTTTGCTGATAGTTGCGATAATATTTAGTTTATGACATTTTATATCAGCTATTTACTCTCAATAAATTATTAATTAGCTTTACACGTTGGCCGTGACATGCGCAGTTTTAAAACCAGTAGATGTGTTTTGTTATTTGCTTGAAGAAGTTTTTACTTAACTTTTAGATTTCGCACTGCACAAGGTACACGCTAACAACCAACAACTATACGGCACAAAAAATTCTTAATCGATTAAGAATACTGTTGGATGTTGGGCGATAGAGAAAGGTCACGTTCAATAATAATTTTTTGCATACTACTCACAATTTAGCTCAAAATATCTGACAATGTTTTTTACGAACAAAACAATCTGACAACACACGTAATATTTAATATAATTTATTAATGCAACTGTGTGGTTATTTTGCTGGAAAACAAAGCAGCGGAAATACCGGAAACATATTTAGACAAATACGGTAAATTTTTCTGTGAAATCGGTTTCTGCCTTATGACTAATTAAAATAATTTCTAATATATTATTTCTGTAATATTTGTTATGAGGTCCGCTTCTATATTATAATAAGCACACACCTGCTCCAGTCCTACTCAGTAATTTCAACAGTTTGTTTATTAATTAGTTTTGCAGACCAGGCAAGTCCGGGAATTGCGATCTAAATGTGGAAACAACTCCAACCTCCAGAATTCTATGCTATGCGTTCCACTTCCGGCGTGAAGTTCGCACTGCAGCAGAAATATCACGGCTAGCAGCAGGGGAAATCTGGTTGTATAAACGCAAGCTTCAAGCGGATATGCATGACTGAACAGTGAACGCTACTCAACAACCACGAAGTCTGTCAGCATGGATGCAGAAACGCACTCGCGGGACACTATCTTGGCCAAAGTCAGAACAAAGACGAACTTGACCTTTCCAAGCAGTAAGGTAGAAAAAAAGCGACATGTCTGACTTAAACTGCAGCTGGTAAAAATAATTGCTGCAGATTACAAGGTCTTGCGGTAACACAAAATTTTAATAGAAACAAATTAAGCAAATTACAGTTGATCCGTTGAAGTTATACTCGTATATAGAGTTGAGACAGATTTTTTATAACCAGTGCAAAATTGCAAACGTTTTTACCTGCGCAGGGCAAATGCTTGCTGTAAAACATTTGGGCATGAAGTAGACTACGGAGTAGGGGATTATCATTGATTACGTATGCAGTCATTTGGCAAATTATTAAAAATCAGTTTCATTAATTGCAGTCTTTTTGCATAAGGTACAAATTTTAAAGAAACACGAAATTGTAGTTATTTTGTTGCATTGGATGTCAGCAATAAGGAAATCTCGAGCGCTGAATAGTGATACGCATTTATAGATTTACTATATGCAAGTATAGATTTCAAAGTGAAGAACTCTTACTTGTTTGATTTTAGCCAAATGGATACGAAGTATGTAAAATTCTGCGCTCAAATTATGAAGTTCTAATATACTTAAAAAAAGCATGGTCAGTCAGCCACAGGTAAATACGTATGAAGTCGTTACTTAATTTTGATCGCAGTTATATATACAGTAAATTTATTATTGTAATTACATTTTATTTTTATTCCTAGAATTTGAGTTTTAAATAGTGTGGGAGACAGACAGTAAGTGTAAAAGTAAAAGTGAGGGACTCGTTAGGACTTGAGAATCAGACAAATTTCTCGAAATCCTAATATTAGAAACCAAAATTAAGTCAGTGCAGTTATTGTGAATGTTTCGTGCGGATCATCAAAGACTTGCATCTCCTGCGATCGCGATATTTGCTCAGTGTTTGCTCGTGCCATTGGCAGGACAGTGCAAATGAATTACAGGAGCGGCCGCTATTGAACCCACGGCCGGGCTTTGGCACATGGTGAGGTTTATGGCAGTTTTTTCACATCTTCCAGACTGGATCGGCATCTTTCAGGCGGCATTCGTTCCTTGAGCGTGCATTCTTGCTTATCTGCTGTCTGATTACGTAAGTCGGCTAAAATAAAGACCGGCAATAAAATCTAAACCAGTTGTAAGGGCGTCCTTCAATGAACTTTATGGTCTACTTGACTGCCAGTTTCCTTGCGCCTTCAGTCAAGCCGCAGCAGACTCTCGCTTTTATCGAATAATTAACAGAATTACATCAAAATGCTCTAATGAAACCGGCAAAACAAACTGCGCTGCGACGCCAGCAATAAAATGGTAATAAGGTCGTCTCCAGCCTTCGCAAAGTTATATGGCCACGAATATTGCCTTGTCTAACATCAAATTAACAGATTATATTCTATGGGTGGGATTTATTTATGTTATTGATGCTCACTTTTAATACTAATATTTGCAAACAGCTAACAATAATTAAACTGCCTATTTTAATTACAAAAAAGGACAGCATGTCCCGTGTAGATACAGAACAAATTCAAATTAAGAAAACATTTTTTAGTTTATAAAAGGATTTAAACTTATGTACAGTATTTCAAAACCGCGCTTAAAAATGTAAGAAAACTTACAAAGAGTACTTTTAAAACGGCTAGCTGGTTTTTTAATATCAAATTCATCTGCAACGATAGGAAATAATTATTTAAAACATTTTAAATTGCAATATTTTTATCATGATGCATACATTACAATGGAAAATGTCTGAGAAGCTGAGAAACATAAAATGCCGCTTGTAATACTGTATCCGGTAACACGCTCTAAAAAGTGGATAATGAGTTAATCAGCTGAACAAATAAAATTAACAAAATAATATTAAAAATGATTCAGCGCTAATACGAATTATTTAACGAAATGTGGTTGAAAAGCTCGTACAATGCGATAATGTATTGGTTTAATAGTTAAAGCATAAACCGCGACTGGCTTCATTAGTTTTATAGCTTTGGTCATCAATAATAATCGGTTTAATGATACAGTTTTATTTACAAAATATGATATTGTGTTGTGACAAAGCGTGAAGTAAAGGTCTGCACCGCCACCGTGTCTATGAGCGTTTTATGAGCATTAATGATACCTATCAATAACCGTTTATACATTAATGTGCCTACCAGTTGATATGGTGTAATTATCTTGTTCAAAAAATTGTAAAAATAGCAGTTGGTCGCATCGGGAATGCCGGTACCGTAGAGCTGATAAACGGAACCCAGTGAAATATGCAATGCGTTGAAAAGTAATAAGCCGAAAGCCTACAGGCCAGTTTATGTATTTCGCTGTTCTGTTGTGTGCGGCACTGAGTTGTTGTTTGTAAAGTCATATGTTTTTGTTGGAAGGGCATTTTTGGGTTAGCATTATCATTAATCAACCGGTTGAGTACTGGCTCAAATTTGACTGCACTTGAGAGTCGTTTTTAGTCGTAATGCGCTTTTGGCTTCCGGCGCCGATCACAGCCAATGGAACCATTTTTCAAGAAATAAATCATAGGTTTATTAGGCTATTTGGCGTGGAAAGCGCCTTTTGGAAAGTAACAGATTCTTTATTTCGTGTATGGATCGTCGGCATTTTTCAACAAAATATGCATCAAGGCGGCAACTATGCGATTTCGTTTAAAAAATTCCGTGACCTCTGTGTTCTCTAGAAAATGCATTTCTGTATCCAAGAAATCAGTGCAGAATTTTTTTGATGCATTACCCGAAAAATTTTGCTTCCGAGTGTTTAATCTTCGGACAGAGCTAACGAGCAAAGCTATTACTCATCTGCTGTCATTTGATCAACTAAAAGTTTTTCTCCGTTGAATAAAACTTTTGCCGGAGCTGTCAAGCATGTTGGCCAGTCAAGATAAAGAAAACGAATTTCTGACGACAGACACCCTAAATGAGGCTCTTTCTAGCGAAAATGCACAAGCAGGCATATAAGAAAAATACACAACACTTCTTCGATATATGGGCTTTATATATATCGATAGTAACGCCCCAGTTGCGCTGTGCGAATGTCCAAATTCTGCGCATGTTGTAGTGTGGCAGCCAGTGTTTATGATATGTGTGGCTGGGTTTGTCAAATGGAACCCAGCGCATTTTCATTTTCTCTGTGCGTTCTATAACTGTATTAGCAGAGCTAGAGCCCGCGCGCCAATTCAAGCGAAGCTGACGAGTGCCGCAAGCCGTTCGTAGTTGATTATCACTGAACGGAAAAGAGCCAATACAGCAGCAGACAGCCACCGCATCATACAGCCGACCGTCCACCGCCTCTGTACACATACACACAGCCGTATACACAGCCAAGTGTATTTTTAACGACGACGGCCATTTTGCACACACAAGAGTGATTTGAAATTAGTCATTTTCTCGAGAATTGCATTTCGCGATCCATTTATTTTCTGGCCAGTGATCCATCTCGGTAGTTAAATTTTCTGCCGGGAGAGTGAGAGAAGTGAATTATCATTATTATTGTTTATGATTATATGATGATTATTCCTCCCTAATGAGCTTTAACCGGCTTCCATCGTCAGCGCATTGGTAAAGCCTAATTAATCACAGGCAGAGGACACAACGGCAGTTATACACAGTCAGCGCGCGTTCACAAACGCGGACGATAGATCATTAATTTAACGACCTAGTCCGCGCAATCAGCATCCACTTGAAAAGCCCGGGACACACTTTTAACTCTTTCTACCGCGCCGCCGCGAAAGCATTAATCACCCCCCAAATGTTATTGCGCTGAACAGCGTTTCGGGGATTATCATTGCAAGTAAGTTGATGCATGTTAGTCGCCGGTCAGATATATGTGCCGGCACGGCAAAATTAACGCGCCTGCGCGGTAGCCGTGCTCTTTAAAATCTCCGCGCGTAAACTCCGCGTCAACGTCGTAGAAAGATTTATGAAGTAGCATTAAGTTGTAACATTTATAATATATGGACATTACTGGTTGCCGGGCTTTAGACGGCTACAGGTTTTTATGTTTAAGGCTATAATTTGTCCCGCTCCACAGTCACACACAGACATATACATGCACTGCGTCTGGTCCACTTGTGCGCGTCCGCCATTATGGCTTTATGGCTGTAAATGTCGCTCGTAAATGTATCATCAATAAACCATCATACTTATCATCAAAATTAACTTAATCAAAACTTACTATTGCACCGCTGTATCGTTTTCTAACATGGATAATTATGTTCTAACTGCTTGGCAATAAATTATGTTCAACTTAACTCTTGTCACCAACACGTTTCTTATTTAACTACGTAATAATTTGATCATTTGGATAATTCGACATTTCGCCACTTTTTGTTAGTCTTGTTTGACTACATCCACATGGGTTTGTGCGGTTTTCAATAACATTAGCACAGCGAATACCGTTCATAAATTATTACTTCTTCCTGAATCCAGATGCGTGTGACCAAACCTGTTCGGGCACGCCAGCTTTCGTTGCCAGTAAATTTTATTTTTTCCTGAGCGAGAAATGGACAAATGTATAATTTTGGCCGGGTGTGAACTCGTTGAAATATAATTTTCCGAATAATTAATTCTAAAAACTGTCAAACGACTACGATATCTTTTTGATGAGCTATAAAAACCAAACCGAAATTGAGTCATATCTGTACAATGGCATTCAAGTGCACTGTAATTACAGTTTACAGTAGCAGTTAACGATCTCTTAACTGCCCTTTAAATTAGAAGCAGATTACCTCTATAAGTGGTTTATATTCACACATTTACCACATTAAGACGCATTTCAACTGTTTTTAAGTGTGCGTTCCATCTAATTTCATGGGCTCATTAATTTCACAGCATTCAAATCTCACAAGTGATTAATGATGTTAGCGTTTATGAGTTTCAATCATTGCAGCGTACATACAAATAATACAGTAAGCGCATCTTTGCCACCGTAAACCTTTACGCTTTCCTATCTCAGTTTGAGATCGTCATTTTTCCATTATGCACTCATGTGCACTGCCCAATGAATTATGCGCGCGGCCTAATCGTCATCGTTTTCTGACCGTCATGTGTCCATTTTGGAGTTTTACTGAAGAGTTATATCCGCTACGACCGGAGATGTATTGCTCATGGCTGCAGGTCACATTTTACCTTTTATAAACTACGCGTCTTCTTCCATTCAAACCGACAAGTCACAGTAGTCCGGCCAGTTTAAGTGGAAGTCTCTACTTATTTGGCGAGAAAGTAATTTTTCCGGTACTCGGTATGCGTCTACATAATAGCGGGTCTGCGTGGAGTGTAATAATTCCACATCACAATCACATCTATATTTTCGATACAAACAATGACACTACCTGTCTATAACCATGCACTGTCGACATTTGTTGTTGTCATGCTGACTTTTTTCTCAACACTGTATATGATTATGGGTCCTAGTGCGCAGGCCGCGAAAAATAACTTAATAAAGCCGGCACAGTGGTTGGTACAACTTGACAGTTCTCCAAAAATAATGACTGGCATTCATTTAGGCTTTTCATGCGGAAACGGCAAACGGTTTCACAAAGCAAAACTGGCAGAGAAATTATGACGATGCACGTATGTGCATATCTATTTCCATACATATCTTAACCTTCTCTGCCCCATTATCATTTTCTCAAACAGTTTTTTTTCATCGTGAGCGGTAGCACTGTTCTGCACGTTGTATGACCTTTCGCGCGCATATTAATTCTGAATTCAGGCACAATTCCGTAATCAATACATTTACATTACTGTATGTTCGGTTAATCATATGTTACCGTCAAACATAGCTTTTAAAGCAAGCAAGTTATAACGTTCAAACGAGTATAACAAAGGGGAGAAATAAAATACTCTAACAAAGTGCAACCGCAAAAAAAGCGCAAGAATTAAAAAGCACCGGCACATGGCAGTACCAACATTTTTTCCAAACGACAAAGGCGTATTAGCGTGCATATAAGGCCTTATCAGTGCATGGTTAGGTTTGCATTTTTCTCTTGTTTTTTCCGGTGGTTGTATCAGATGACCAATAACCGGCAAAAAAATGCTGCCGTCCTTCTTTGTTCGCTGTGAATTTGCCGAAAGACGAAAGTTTGCTGAGTAGCTACTTTGCTGCTGTAAATTCAGAAGGTTTTCGCGATCGATCAACCTACATACGCAGAGCACAAAGAAATAGTTTTTGCTAAATAAGGCAATCAATAATTTCACGTTGCTTGCTGCGGGTACATTTATACGAACATGTCTTAATTATATGGTTTCTCGACATTGCGCCGTACGCCATATTAATTTTACGACCGTAGCGGAGCTGCGGCGTTTACTACTTGTATATTTCGAAAACTCTTCACCGCTGTCGTTTTTACCAATAATTTTTGAAGTTTTTGTGATTTATCCTTAATACAAGGGTTTTCCGCATAACAAACATGACCAGGTATAATTACGGCGTCTTGATAAACTGATGTGATTCGACGCTGTAAATCTGTGCAATTTCTACTTACAAAAATTTGTTTATTAGTTTGAACTTATTTTTGGAAGCAACTACCTATTTTCTTTAAACTGTATTGTGGTCAATCTTCAGTTATAGCGTTTGTTAATCAGTTTTGGATTATTTTTCTACTGCCGTATAGCTCCAATTATTTGTTGGAGTGATGAGATTTTCGAAGTTTTTCTCGCAGATGTGGGCATTTTAAATAAGCTGAAATTTACTTGCAGAGCCAATTCTCCGTGCAAGAGAAAACGGAAAGGAATGGTGATATCTATGGGCACTGGCCACTTCCCCATAGATTCAACCGGCACCGGTATGGCCACGGCCGCCGCAGCCAATCTGCCCTACGACTCGCTCCCGCATCACCATCACTACTCGTCATCGGCCGGCGCCGCACCCTTCTCCAACTCCGTCAACGGTCTCTCCATGCACTACCCACACTACACTCACAACCAAACGGCCAGTCCGCCCACGGATTTCAGCAGTCCGGGCGCCGCTGCCGCCGCGTACATGCACCATCCCGGCTACTATACACCGGCCGGCAGTGCTGTGTACGGCCAGAATCCTACTATTATCACCATACCCACCTGAGCGCCGGCGACACGCATGCCGGCGCAGCCTACACCACGGATTACGACACGGCATTTCCTCCACAGCCCACATTACATCACACGTACGGGACGACAGCTAATGAAGCCTACGGATCGGCGGCCGGTGCATTAAACAACCGTTCAAGCGGATACACTGCCCATCATCAACGCCAGCCGTCAAGCGTGCCCATTAACTCTCACGGTAAGCAGCGACCCGCGAGGTTCATGTTCTCGGCTTGGTCTTACATATTTCACCCATTAATTGCATCGGTGGGAAGCAACGATTATATCGCATTCAATGACATTGACAAGACTGTAATTAATTTAAGAAAGGTCACTTTTTATTCCATGCGCCTTAATTGGTGTTTCTTCGGTTGTATTGCTATATATCGCATTTGTTATGATTTTTTATACGAATCGCACAGCGTATGATGTTAGTAACCTAAAGCGCTCATATAAGAAATTAACCGGGAAATGAAACTTTATTTTATTTCAGCAGCCAATCTCAGTCAAGACCATCTGATTTCTCATCAGCCAATTCAACAGCAGTTTTCCCCGACCATGTCGTCGACATCCAATACATCGCCCGGTCCCTATGCACCAGTTAATATCAACCACGGCGGCCCTGAAGCCAAATATTCCCCCACCGGTTCCTACCCGTCGATGACGACCGGAGCGGTTGCCCCGCAGACCCCTGTATCTCAGCCTCCAGTATTATCTAAACCCGTGGAAGTCTATGACTGGATGAAACAGTCGCGCGGGCCCAATCACGGTGGACGGCGCAAACAGGCGGCCAAAGTGGTGGAGAGAAGCCCCGCCTGTCACCGGAGGGCCAGGATGGCTACACGTACAAGGATCTCTCGGTACCCACCGGTATGGGCGGTCAGAATCGGCGCGGGGAATCACCGGCGTCGTCGGGTGATGGATCGGGCGAGTTTGATGGTCAGTAGGCATAAAACTGCATAGTGCTGTATGTAATTCTTCTGAATCATAATAAACTTCATTATCGTTTTTTACAGAGTTTGGCAACGAACCCCACCAAAGTGGACATGGCAGTAGCAATAGTAAGCGTGCGCGGACAGCATACACCAGTGCCCAGTTGGTGGAACTGGAAAAGGAATTTCACTACAACAGATACCTGTGCCGACCGCGTCGAATTGAGATGGCCAACCAACTGAGTCTGACGGAACGCCAGATAAAGATATGGTTTCGTAAGTATTTTCATAATCTGCTTTTCTTTCTTTCTCTAAGCGGAATCTGTAAATTCAGAAGTTAATATGTACAGTACATTACAAAGATGCTTATTCAGACATAAGCAACAACAGAACGAAAATATAATATAGAATTTATATTATTACATATTAACAGATTTTAGATGATTGTTGAATTAATGATAACATTGAGCCACTGACTACCATGAACAGCCTTCTAAGGCGCCGTGACCTTTCAGTCGGTGCACTATGAATAAGATAACAACATTACACATGTATGAATATTATAAAGTGTACACGAACTTTACGCTACCATCTGTTTAATGTTATCGTTTTGTTACACAGAAAATCGCCGAATGAAGCATAAAAAAGAGCACAAAGCACGCGGCGGCAGCTACACACCGGGCCCGCTGGGTAGCGGTTGTAGTCCCACGTACGACATGCACCATCAGCATAAGTGCAGTCAGCAGGGCAGTAAGTGCGGCATGCCGGGTGATGACGGATCGGGTGGAGAGCCGTTTCGCTCGCCGGGTGTGATCATGTCAACCACATCACCCTTCTCCACCACCACCAACACCGACACCGCCGTCAAGTGTCTAGCTAACCTCACCGAACAGATCACCACCATACCGGCGGAGGATGGCGTCGAGCCGGGAGTGTTGACGGCCGCCAACAAACGCCACACCAAGCGATCTCACATCAAACTGGAAATGGACAACGACGACGCCGGCGATGGCATGAACTGCAAGAAGGCCAAATAGTAATCTCATCGTATTCGTGCTGCTGATTTTTGTTTTTGTGTTCGCCTGGTTGAACGAGCCGTTTAATCGTTAATGTGAAACTCGAACATCTGTTCGTGTGCTTACAGTACTGTCTGGATGTACAGTATAACGATCAAGTATTTAAATCATCACAAATTTCGGTAATAATTGCCTGAATGGTGACGTTACGTAACTAATCAAGTTTTATGCATTCGACATAATTATTTTAGACGTATGCATATCAAATGCATGTACCGGTATTCATCGCGTTATACTGTTAGTTTGTTTCAGTTCTTCCGCTGGTTTTGCTGGTTCAAGGCCCGTTCAACCGTATTGCGGAAAATAAATGCTGAAGAAGAAAAACGAAGCCTGTGCATTATCGACGATTTAACCTGATTATTAAATGAAGAAATTTAATGACAAAAAATATAGCTCGCACAGGGTAGACTATCTTTAAATATGTGAACTATGAAGACTATGTTATTATGTAAGAATATAATTATTTAAATAGGTATATTCTATAGATAACAGATAGATCATAGTGTATATTGTGGAAATCTTAAATTTGTATTCATTCATTCTTGCAGACACAAGAAGTATGCGGCCTAACGACCAAAATTAAAGGCGCTTATTAAGAGCAGACATTATATATTACTATTTTGTATGTACAAAAAATTCACTATAGGCGTTATGATAACTATATATATGGTACGGCATACTGTACAAACTCCGTTCTAGCTGCCGGCCGACGATCCAGAACTCCAGCAGCCCGGAAATACAATATAGACGCCATACACGGTACAATGGGCAATCTGCTTGAAATTGGGACAACCTGACAATAATGCGCCCGCTGTTTGCTGTATATACGACCACAACACTTGTAAAATATTGTTCAAAATTTTACATTCCGACGTAAACTCAGTGCATTTACGTCGCAACGCAATCTACGGCGACAGTTTTATGAACATCCAGTTTTCGTATTCTAGTTTTCGAGCATTTTCCTAACATTCATTTTGCTTTTCGTCTTCCTTTGACAGCTTTTAGTTGCACTTTTTTCTGAATTGTTTCACTTTGAAGATGGAAGATGTTGCGATCAGCGTTTTTGTGCACGTGTAAATATATGTGTCGATACACAAAACGTTTTTAATTTTGTGGTTTAAGATTACGTACACGTTTTCCGATCCAAACATTTTTCTGTGAACGTAATTGGTATCTGCAAATTTCTGTTGCCCGGCCGCAAAGAATCTCGGAATGTGATTCGACGTTAATTTTGGAATGGAAAGACCGCTGGATGGGGAAGCCGCGTTACGGATTTTTCGGGAACGGTGTTCTGATCCAAGATTTCCCCGCGACGAATTTTTCGTTTGCCAACACTCGGTTCTGATTGAAAACCACGTAAGATACCTCACAGCCCAACTGGCCTGTGCCGATCACGGGATCAGAGGCGGCGATTGCACCTGGGACGAGTATTCGACCGCAAGATCATTTCCGGTCGGGAATTATTATTTTCTGATTGCAGTCATAACCGAAGCTGTCATAATCGCACTGTTGCTGCTACTCCTCATCATTTTGCTGCTTCTTTATCGAAGGTATGTTTTCCAAACGGCTGATAACACACATAATTCGACTCATGCACAGCAGAATAATATATTATTAATTTTTTATAAAATTTCGGTTTTAAAAAACATTTCTGACGCTACTCGAGCGATTCGTTACCAAAATTAGTACTTGTACCGTACTAATTTAATCAGCAACATATATAGGATAGTGAAAAATGAAAATTAATCCTGGCATTGTCATTTCCTTTGTGAAAATTTTTATAACTGCAAATTTACAGAAAGAAAATCCAGTCGATAAGAGATAACCCACACCATGGACCAAAACTATACCGGTCACGCTTACACTATCGAACAACCAACCAAAAACTACGTTCATTTCACGGAGCCGTCACCACCCAAACCGCGCATGCACAGTATCGGTATTCAGTTCACACCGACCCCGCCCAAGCACGTCGACGATACCACCAGCGTCACCACACGCTGCAGCTCCATCGCCAGCGAAACGGAAGCCTTCCAGCCTCTGGTTATCAAGGTGGACAGCGCCCCCATCAGCGGCGATACCACGCCCTCCGACACGCCCCTTCCGCTTCGGCGCCACCCAAACGCCGTCTTTGTGGGCACGCCCAAAGCGCACAAACGACCCCGAGATAGCAAGTCTACGGTGGAATTTCCCGAGGAAGCATTTGGAGATCGCGCCAAGATCACAACCTACACCGTGACGGAAGAGCATTCCTTGTCGTTGACGGTGCCGGGTCAGCAGAATCCGACGCCCACCAGGATCGTCTTTGGTCCCAAGTATGACCCACCAGTACGACCATTTTCCGATGGATCTGTATATTTGTAAAATATGCTGATTTGCAGCTGTTCATACACTCGTTGCTTAATCCAGTGAAAGGTTCTTGTTTGATAGGTGGTAAACTGGTAATTAACAGTCGCGCGGTATCATAATACGTTTCATAGACTGCACGGTCACTAGTTAATTTCTTCATCAGTTTGTGTTATTTAACGTTTGTGTTATTTAACGTATTGTAGTTTTTTCAGACCGCGCTTTGAATTGGTTTATGCTTGTGCTGCTATGTTTACTTAAATTAATAACGATAAAATATGTGATTCACCGTAACGCCGATTATAATACCAATTTCGATTATTGTCATCAAATTCATACCGACCGTTCACGGTTGCAGAGTACTGTAACTCCAAGTAGGAAGTAAAATGCCTTCATATACATAGAATGCAATATGGTTTGCAGAAAACTCGGGCAAGCGAAGCGAGCCCGCTTAATCAATTTTAAACAAATCTAATAAATGTATTTATGGGCGATTAAATTTTGACCATACGCATACGGCTTCCAGATACCGTTCGCCTGACACTGACGCATACTCACGTGTCAATAGTTTTGTGATGTTCGTGCAGAATCTGATGCTTTTTTGTGAGGAGTAGGACCATTGGATCAGTGAGGTTTTGGAACAAATTTTGGAGTGCATGTAAATGTTCCTAGTTTCATACTGTATATACCGTATATTAAAATCTTAATAATTAAAATTATTGTGGATGTGCAAATTAGTGCAATAGGCATAGATTGATATTCATTTTGCATGTACGAGTACAGTACTTGCAAACATAAGAACGCATTCGCAGCGATACGATTTTGCCGGCCATTGCAATACAGCAGACTCGATTAATGTTCGGGTTGGTGCACTTGAAAGATTTTTGTATCCCTGCCAAATCAATGCTGCCGCTTGCCAAAAGTGATTTCTTTGAAATTAATGACCAAGTACAGCAACACACGGCTTTGTGATTGGGAGAATAGGCAGTGTTTAGGCTAATGGGAGTAGAAAAGTTCGGAACATTTAACGTCTCATCCCCGGTCGGTTCCGGCGCGTCATTGCGGGGCAGCGGGGCGTGGAAAGACCGCTCTGGCGTCGGGCCTGTTAGGTGGCGTGATGTGACGAACGCTATCAGGGGCATGGATCAGCAAACCGTCTACACTGTACCCTCACCAAGCATAGCTCGTGTCGCCGCTTACCAGTCAATCTGCCAGAGTGGGGGCGCTAATCTCGTTGTCTGGCCTGGATGCACTGACTGAGCTGTCTGTTGGTGAAAGACTGGCGCGCTTGTCAAAAGTGGGAAGATCGTTTTCGGCGATGCATTAACACCGTTTGGAGTTTATAGCTGTTTTAAAGTTTTAATTCTTGCGATAAGGAGCGAAGGCTTTTCAATCCGTACTCATCACGCTGCCAACCATTATCATCGTCACACGTTAACTGATCGTTAGCTCCTGCAGATTGTGTGTGGATTTCACCGTGCTTTGATCATCAGGCTCGCCGTTTCCTTGTCCACAGGATGGCCTCCCAAGTGTTGTTCCTCGTGAGCTTTCTGGTGTTAGGTAAGATTAAGATCAGTGCATACGAAGACATTAGAATAAAACTGAAATTTTTACTAGTTTTTTTGTTAACTTAAAGAACTAAATTCATCAAAAGGGACGTAAGCAAACAGGAGAACATCTGTATGCTTCTTAACTTTTGTGTTGTTTTGTCTTTCTTTGTGACTTAACAAGTTCATATCTTTTTTTGTTTTTCGCAGTTTTTCACTCTTTTTGAGGTATGTAATATGTGAGACTTATTGAGTTCGGTTTTCGAAATAATGAATATGATCTCATTGATGTCGACTCCTTACAGTTCGTAATGCTTTTCCGGCTGTGCTCGTCCAGATATACTTTAGATGCTTGAAATTTCATTTGAACGTTTTCCCGACTTCATTTGATTTTCGAAACTATAATTTTGTAACGATTTTGTGATTACTTCTGAATTGTGATGACCATAGCCATAGGCCGTAGCTGAATATCAAGAGTCAAAAACGACTCAAAAACAGGCCGACAGTTTGCAGAATACAAATGCTTGCTGTTTATCACGATCAGAAATTGCTATACTCACCGGTCAGTTTTAGTACCTTACAAAAATTATATGGTCATTATGGTGTTGGCATTTTGTTGCTTCATATCGAAATGGTATACCAGAACGCAAATTTTGAAATTTATTTTGTCTGTTAACGGATACGATTAGTGGCTAACCGTTAGCCTGTCGGTGTGTACATTTGATTGTGTATTTTTTGCTATCATTCGTTTGCATAACTACAGTATGCTGCGGCTGCAACCTTATCAGATTCCTGCCGTTTAATAGGTAAAATACCGTATAAACTTCTATACTTGTATGGTAATTCTAAGTTCTGCTGCAATTTTACTTTATTTACACGGGCTGCAACGGTCAACCACGGTCGGCATATTCGCCAGACAAGCGCTCCTACGGAAAACCGGAAATTTACTGAATCACATCCTTTAATTACGCATTATTAGTTATTACTTATTACTAATGTTGTAGAAATTAGAACCCGACGTTATCCGGCAGAGCTGCAATTCGTAGTCGTAAATGACTCGTACTTTACATTGTACCATAGAAGGAAGTCCTGTTCCGCAGTATAACATAGTTTAATAAATGTGAATCTTTAACAATTTCACGAAAACGTACAGTGCTCAACGAAATTCAATTACCACACATATTAACAAAACTCAAGTCGAATTATTTTTAATGGAACCGTTTCGTAGCTACAGTAAAATATGCCGAAATTCTTCTAGATTAGGAGATACCTTACAAATGCGGTATTGCCTTCCCATGGTGGGTTCTGCCCTTGAGCGATACTGAAATTGAAGAGAAAATTACAATCAGCAACATGCTGATTTAATTTCGTTTTCAAATTGTGGTCTTTTTTTGCATCAATAAGTACAGATATTTAGCATCTGCAAGCAGACAGTTAACAGTTTTACATTACCATATAGATATAGTTTTACCGGTTTATTCAGTCGTACATATTCTAAGATGTTTCTTTCTAAGCGTGGACGTTTTCCTTCGCAGGACTGTTTAGGAATGGCGACTGTGATAAGACTAGGAGTGATTGGGGGTACATCAACGATGCAGGTTGGTAAAAATAATTCTGTTTCTTTGGTTTCAGTGCGCTTGCCGTCAGACTACGGTTTTCGGCTGGTTCATTAAAATATATCCGTAAGAAATAATTTACGTTATTGATCTGACTGCTTTGTTCCATAAACAGATGTGCCAGGACCGGGAAACTGGAGCCGCGTTGAACCAAAGTGTGCCCACGACAATCAGCAGTCGCCGATAGATCTCAAAGAAAAGGAAGCCAAATTCGATGCTGGACTCACGGCCATCTCCTTCGCTAATTATGATACGCTGCCGAAAAACGAAACGTGGACAGTAACAAATAACGGACATACCGGTACTACTTAATAATCTCACACGCATTTGTTTTGCAGTAGATAAAACGTAGTAATTTTTCGAATTGTACGTGACGGAGTTAGTTTTATTATGAGCAACATATTAAGAAAGTTTTCGAAGTGAAAGTATTTCTTGTGGATTTGACATGGAGTTTTGCGGGAGAGGAACTGTAAAATAGGAAATTATTGCTTCGTCAGTCTAAATTATTTTGGTCTGTCAAAAAATAACTTTTGCATAGCGGGATATTATGAGTAGAAGGATATGCAGTTAAGACATCGGTTTATCCAAAAATGTTATTTATTGTGATCCAGAAACATTTCTTGCGAAACTGAAACTTAAACTTACCCGAGTGCGGAACAAGGCTATCGATCGAATTATATGGTAATTTAGTGGGCTCTGGTTGTGTTTGCGATAATGATTGTAATCGGGTCCGATCTAGCGCACAATGCCGCCGCGTCTCGTGACCTCTGATCTGGGCTAAGTAGTGGAACTGGAAATCATCCGGGCATCTTGCAGTTCTTCCAATGAGCAATTCTCAAACATTAAATACATAATCGGATGTGCTAAACGTCGAATCGATCAGAAGTGTAAAGGCAGCCTATAACTGCCGGCTTCGGCTGGTTTTACTTTGGAGAGACAGAAATCTGTCGTGGGTAGAAGCCGAGAACTGATTAGACATCACAGAGCGGAACGATTGATGACATGACGGGATTTTTTGATCAATTTTTCTGCATGTCTTCCTTTGCGGATGCAGACAGATGGGTGCCGACCCCGCTAATTTGTATTGTCGTTGACCTTCAAACTTTCTAAATCTTTCGGGATAGTAGTTGCGCTCGTACGGCTCAAAACCCGAACCGGCTCAAACACAAAATATCATCCGCTATAAAAGGCACAAGATTGTGGTAGCACGGATTTGTGAAAGTTTTCCGTAAAACCATCAGTTTTTCCCGAATGTATGTACGATCGTGTGATTTATGAACAAAGTACGTATGACGGTATTGTAGCATGAAAATCTGGACATTTACCTAGATTTTTTCCGTAGCGAGCCAGATGACACAACGTTTTTCATGCTTGTCCTTTATCTTTTGCCTTTTATGAATTGTTTGTGTTGAAATTTTGTGATTCAATTTTTGGAAGATAATTACGCTGTTGCAGTTCAGCTGAAAGGACACTATACCTGCGCACCTCACATTCAAGATGGTGGATTGCACGGAAATTATGACGTAGTGCAAATACATTTTCATTGGGGAAAGACTGATTTCCGCGGATCGGAACATCACGTTGACGGATTCCAGTATCCTCTAGAGGTAAGCGTCCGAAGTCCAGTGGCCAGAAAAGCCTCCTGATGGCCATTTTGTAAACGGTCACTTAAATTTCTCGTATCATGTTTGAAATGAATATGCTTGCTGGGATTAATGCATATTTAATTTAAACCTATTTACGGTCGATTCCAGATAAAACAGCGTTCCGCTGACAGAATATTCTGTACCGCAGTTTCTTTCTAAATGTGCACTTATCTACATTGTTTTGTGTATCCTTATTGTCAGATGCATATTGTGCATGCCCGTCGTGACAATCCTCCGACAAGACTAGAAAAGCCGAAACAACTTGCCGTTGTGGGAGTATTTTTCAAAATCCGTAACGACACAAATGAAGATTTGGAGCCGCTGCTGGAAGTATTGCCCCAAGTGGAGAAGCCAGATAACAGTACGAATCGTATGATTTTTTAGCGTTAAACATATGATAGAAAATAATAATTATGATAGAACATATACGAGCGTTACGAGTACATATGATAGAACTACGTATTTGCATGTAAGCGATCGATGTAGAGCTGAGCAGTGCGTTCAGTACACAGTGAACTGGAACTGTAAACTCCAGCTGTTGAAAGTTTGACAGGAAGATAAATGAGAGACTCCCACGTTCATAATTATTATTAGAGCATCAATTAAATATTTTGTCAGTTGTCGCTTTCAACGAGACTAAGCACATCCGGATTTTTCTGGCGCAGAGCAGCGTTTATACTGCAAGTTTTTTGGTTGGGCGATAGTGTGGAGAGAAGTTTTGGTTATTGATTATGGCTTATGATTGTAAAAAATGTTTTAGAATCTTAACCTGTACTTAACAAAGTAATTAAAGGTTAGCAAACTGCGAATAGAAAGCAGTAGCACAAATCAATAACTGAGTTTGCTGGAAACTGAACTGAATCACTGAGAAAAACTGCTAAACTTTAAAATAACGTGTAATATAAAGATAATACCTTGGTACAGCACATCGCTGATAGACAGATTACTACAGTGGAAATGGAGTTAATAAAAGAATTACTTATTTGCGAAACTACTTTTTTGCGAGTGAAGGTCATGCATAAACTGATCTTGGCATCGTTTAACAGCAGGTAAAGCGGTAAAACTCAAAGGATTCAACCTGAAATCATTCCTTCCCCTATCGCCAAACTACTTCCGGTATAACGGATCGTTGACTACGCCACCTTGTGATCCCATCGTTTTGTGGACTGTGATGCAACAGCCTGTTTTTCTTTCCCTAGAACAGGTAATTAGTTACCCTGTAACTACTGCGGCATCTTCAAAATGCGTTCTCCCTGTGTTTCTAGCTTCAAGCGTTTCGGAAACTCATGGCGCATCATCATCACGAGCACCCCGTTAACGAGACCGAAGTGAAGTATATCGAGGAGAATTTCCGGCCCATTATTCACGATAACCGGACGGTGTATTTGTATTCCCGTGCGGCAACACGCATGGATCAGCCGGTGTTTGATGTAGAAATAAAGCCTACACCGTCTTCCGCTTCCCGAGTGGTATCCCTCTTTTACCTGGTTATGTCATTTGTCGTGATTTTTGGGTAATTGGTGTTCCATGGAAGCGGGTTTGAGTCGAGTTTGCATTTTTAGTTTCAAGCCAAAGGATATATTCAAGTTTTCATTTGCCGGTGTGCGATACTGATTTTGGAGAGTGTAGAGTTTTGACTGTGGGTTCGGTTGTGTGACCGTTTGGTGTACAGCAATCCGGTTAGAGTCGTTCGTTTAAAAATTAAATTAATTGAACTGGATGCAGTCAGTAGGTTGGAATTTTTCCCTGATTGGTTATTTTCTGAATTTAATTAATTCAGCTGTCATTCGTTTTCCGCATGCCTGGTTATATCTTAATAATTCCGTAGCACCTTTTTTTGACGGAAATTAGGCCGGTACTTTACTTCAGTGGTACAAGCTCTTGTATTGCCATAATGCCCAGTTTTATTGCTCCATTTTGTAAATAGTTACACAAACTTGAAAACACCAAAAAGGGTTAGAGATTATCGAGTTCATAACTTGATAGGTTGAAAGACTTTTTCCAAAAGCTCTCTTTTCAATATCTCTTTATAAACCACACAATCTCTTTATAAACCACACATTTTTCAGCAATCATAGTAAAGTTGATACTGCCTTTAGAGGGATGTATTTTCTAATACATAGCAATAACCTTGATACGAACTGTAGTAGTGGTGACACCTTATCACCGTTTGATCGGTCCACTAATGACATTTTCACGCAAAAATACGTTCCACGTGCCGGTAAAGGTCTTAATATCGACATCGTTATTAACTATAATTCTTTGCGAAGGGTTTCTTGATCCGCATCGTTGACAGGAATCATTGGGCGGTAGATAAAAATCTGCAACATGCTAGTCTTAAAACATTGACGACTTAACAACTAGAGTAATAAGCCGTATCTGTAAATGTACTGTAATAATATATATCTCCAGAGAACTCTTAAACGATGGTGGTGTACTCGTATAGTAGAGTTCGCAGAATAATTCTGTCATGATTACGGACCAGCAGAGCTAACTGTGGCTGCTATTTCAACCTATTTGAATAATGCCCGCCTGCATTTGTCCAGTCACAAAAATAAAAAAAAAGGAATGCGGCTACATATGATAATTAGGGCTAAGAAAAGCAAATGCCTGTAGATACCTCTTTCAAAATATAGCTGTGTGGTCAAAGTTGTGCCTATCAATTGACCGTTTTCATCGATGAGTGTTATCCGGAAGTGGAGATGCGCTGGACGGTAACCGTCGTCGTTATATCGACCAGGAAAAACCGTTGAGAGGCTGAAGAATCCGTCTTTGGTGGTTGTAAAGCGAGTCCGACACCACTACATCCAGATATTATTGTTTTTAGTTTCCGACGCCACAATACTTATTGATGAAACTGGTTTTGCATGTACAAAAAACTCACAGGTTCATTTGCCTAAATGCGCAATTATTGCAAAACTTTTCTACTAAAACCTTTTTTATTAATTTTTAATTTCGATTTTGCAGATCACAGTGCACTAAAGCGGTTTATATTCATACATATATACTTTGCATAAGTCCTCTGTACAAGGCGTTATCTAAAAATATTGCGTTATTTACATAATCCGGTTTGTCCATACGGATGTCGCTGTACTCGCCGTTAGCATCCGCTTGCCAGACGTCCATCAATGCGAATGCCGGTTTCCCGCAAGGGTTCCCTTCCGTATCCACCACATGTACTGTCCCGTTAACAAATAAACGCGTATGTGCCGGATTATTGAAACAGACGCTGGGCAGGTCAGATGGAATGGTGGCATTGAACAGTGGCGCACTGGGTTTGTAATAAGGTCCCAGGACGTCCGGCGTGGTAATCATGCACTGCCCATTGCTACCTGTACATTATCGTTTAGGTTTATCGCAGCACAGAGGAAACTGGCGCGCGACATGACATTGTCGACACTCACTTGCTGCCTTCAAAGAACGACGTGAGTGGTAGCATTGCACACAAAAGTTTAGCTTAAATACAAAATGACGAAATTTTCAAAATAGTACTCGCATGTAATTCATCGTCAGGTTACAATATGTACTGTACGGTTATAAGTATACTAATCGTAAGTGGCAAGAAAATTATTTGCAGACGTATTTGAAAAATAGTGCATACTGCGTGTACTCGTATGAGTCGTACCTATAGCGAATCCATTTTGGGTCGAAGCCATGCCAAACAAATATAGCACAAGAAAGATCATATAAAAATACATGGTTATATTGCGCTTACAGTATTAATATTGCTAGATACTGGTTAGAATTACCAGCATAGACAGCGTAAAAATTATGATGCAATGAATCGAAATATAAACGTCCTGGTCAGATAATCACGTCGGGCAACGGATGGTACACCAGGTAGATAAAAAAATTAATTCCAGCGCAAGTCACATATAACTTCCAAATTTACTTTGCTACAATTTGGCAGATTGCGAATTTTTCGTACAATACTGCATACCCCACTGCCATCGCCGAACGCCACTAGTCCTAAAGTTAAGTGATGCTCATGATAATTCCGATATCGGACGATCGTTCACAACTTCAAATGGCGATATTATCGTTAAGTTAAACTGTAATTATTCTACTGGGTAGTACGTATCTGTATACCGCAGTGGTTATGCAATTCTAACCATAACCATAAGTATGCACTTTAAAATTTCCTTAAAGAGTAAAACTGCTTTGCCATAGCTGCATAAACGGGTTCGATTCAGCCGAAGTTTATTTCACTGACTCTGCATAAGTACACTCTTTGTAGAAACTTACCAGGGCATATTTTCCGGGTCCAAATTCAGAAAATTCCCATCTTTTGCAGGAAATTAGTAAATACCCATAGTGTAATTAAAAAATTAATTTCATGTGCTGATACTCATGGGCGTGGCCAGAAAAAATAAATGAACACCATAACGCTACATACAATTATTACAATGCACTGTACAGGCCGTTTATGTAGACAACATTGTGTTTCTGAAATTTTATTAATTAACAAACAAATCTTGTGTCTTATTCTCTCAAGACTCAAAGCACGGATACGCGGCATAGTAAACCTGAAACAATATAGTTATCAGAAGATAGTCAGCCCATAAAAACGAAATATGCATGAAAATGTGCTCGAATACCTGCAGAGCTGTTGTATCTGCAGTCTATTTTGTAAATTTGCAATGATGGGCGGCGCCTTATCAACATGTGCACATAAAATTATTGTTTAAGCATTTCGCGGTCGTTCAGTACAGTACTCGCATCCTTCAGCAAAACAGGAGATTTTTCAGGGTTAACGTTATTAGTACAGTACGAAAACAGCCTGCAGGAGTACTGCAAAAATAGCGCATTGTAATAGTACGTAGTACGTAATAGTAATTATTGTATTAATTTTATTTTTTCTGGCCACGCCCTTGAGTGTCAGCACATGAAATAATTTTTTTAATTATACTATGGGTATAAACTATTTTCCTGCAAAAGATGAGAATTTTCTGAATTTGGACCCGGAAAATGTGCCCTGGTTAGTACTATAGAAGTACACAATATATATATAATAGTTATAATACTGTCTTATAATTTTGCCGGCCTGTTGTGTACCACTATGTTGTATACGTTATTGTCTGTGCTGAACAAAAATGTCTTTGAATACCATGCAGAAAAGTCGATATGAAAATGACTAATAGTTTCAGCTTGTACTTAAAAAATTACTTTGTTATGCTGTGCTACGGCACCGTATCCAACTCTACGGTATAACCCGTGCTTGCACCTTTAATAGCCATGTTGCCAGTTGCGTTTCATCCATCCCATTGTCCGCGCTTCTATATTAGCTGCTTCTTGCGTAACTGCGGCTTTATTAGCATTTTAATTTATCATTAAAAATTAATAAGATAAGTCAACACTTTTAACAAATTTATTGCGTCCTGCATCACTAGGCGTTTTGCGTCGCTTGCGTTAGACCTTTAATGGCCTTGGCAATGCAATCATTTGGACCGGTGTAATTACAGAATGGCTTGGCGTCCACATATTTCGGTTTGGGGACATCGCTCGCACTACAGCCGTACTTGTTGAGGAAGGAGTTAATAATTTTGTCAAAACCATCCTTATCTGCTTGCGTGAGCTTGTTGGGATGGGTACGGACGCTGGCGTAAACGTAGGGACTGTCGCACGTGTTGGTCTTCGTGTTGGGAACGATGCAGCCGTAATCCAGGGAAAATTTGGCGTTATCGTAATACAAACCGTTCATGTTATTCAGCACTAAAACGTTCCCGCAAACATTCTGATTAATACCGCTAAATTGATTGATGAAATGCACTTTTATATGTAGACAGCCGGCACTGCGTACCCGGCATTTGGGGACCTTGCGTGGACACGCCGAACCCGATTTGTTGACCACCGGATCCTACCGCACCAGTCCAGAAGCCGGTGCGACATGTGTTCTCATCGGGTGCATCATACTGTGAATATTCTATCCACTGCCATTGAGCGGGAATGTCGCTTAGCGGAAGTTCACCCGCTCCGATATTGTGAACGTTGTACCGCTGGTTGATGCTGCTCGGTTCGCTCGGATATAGTTTACGGTACAAGTACCACTGTCCAACAAGCTGAAAAACCATGCACAATAAAATGCACTGATAAAACATTTTTTATAACGAAGGAAATGAACTACACAAGTCAATACTGTGTTTACAACTATCACACTCAAAGCTTTCGAACGAAATTAGCACAATTGTACCTGACCTTTGTTGGTTCGTGCCTCTTTTCTCCGGGAATGACCAGTGGCCACTTGCAGGTGTTTCTGTCGGCTTGAAGAGCTAATTTGTTCTTCGCTTTAGCGGTACTAGTTGCCGTCACTACTATCTCGCCGAGCCCGTTGATCATTCGCGTAGCGCAGTCGGGAGGCGGGACGAAGTCACAGAACGGCTTTTCGGCGTCGTATGCCTGCTTTGGAATGTCATCGACGGTGACGCAGTATGGTGCGAAGAGATCATTCAGGATCTTATCGTAAGCTTCTTGGTCTTCGTCGGACATCTGATCCGGTCGGATGCGCGATTCGGCATGGATGAGGGGCGCGTCACAAAGTTTTGGATTTTGGCTGTTCTTCTTCAAACATCCGTATTCGACCATGAATTTGGTGTTGTCAGTATAGAACACAGCCACATTCTCAGGATCTACGACAGGCAGCAGCAAATTTTTTATGTGTGTCCAGTATTTCTTGCTTCTCGAATTCAGACGCCAAACACAATTTTACGAATGTACGAACAGCGCACTTCGCATATATTTGACCAGCAACAATTCGGCTTTCGTGGTCCGTACAAAAAGGGAAAAGAACAGTGCCCGACGCGTTGGGATTAATTACAGCCAGGAAATACTTGACTTACGAATAACGAAATCATCGTCCGGTGATAGACCGTATCCAACCTTCTTGCCGTTGTTTGAGTACATGCCCATGTAATATTCAACATGGCACTTGTTGTCCTCCTGATTTGTATAAGCCGTAGAGACCCAGTATGCGTGTGCAGGATCACTGGTCAGTGGCGTTGTCGTTGGACCGATACCGGTAACGTTGGCGCGTTCATTAAGGATGATGTTCTTGCCTGGCTCAACCATACGGTACCGATACCACATGCCGGTACTCTGCCCAAAAAATTATGATGCGACCCGTGGATCTGAACAAAGTTACGGTATATCTGTTTCCTGTTTACTACAACCCGCGCAGCGTATATGTATCATAAAATTTAATGTTATAGACTCTATGCTACAACCGTTTGTCACAAAAAATTTAATGTATTAATTTGCTGAAAGAAAACATTTCTGGTAATAAGTCATCGAATACAACTGCACCGTATATGTAAACTAGATGTGTACTGATACAATTGATTCGCTTTCTGTGGTTTTTAACAATAAGTCAGGCGCACCTTTTCTGGCTGGCATCCGGATTGTGGCTGGATGGAAGAGGGAAAAGCTTTTTCCGTGCATGGCGGTACCTGCGACATTCCAGCCGCTATACACCATCCTTTAAAAGACCGTATCTTTAAATTTTTGTGAACGATTCTGGATGATTTTGCAATGTTGAAAATTTAATCATTTTAACTGATGTTAATCTGCGCAAGCTTATCAGATATGTCCACTGGCAATTGAAGAATAAAGATTGTATATTTTTGTAAACCCGTAATACGGATAAAAATAAGCACAATCTTGCCACTACAGATATATACTCATACAAAAAATTGAATGCGTTTGCAATAGCTGTGCCCACGGAGCACTGCCAGAAAATATGTGCTGCAAATTTGTAATTACATACCTCCTAAAACAACAACGTAGCTCCACTTGCTTTCTTGCATTTTCCGTTTTGAATGGAGTTTATAGGAAATGAACTGCGTAGTTAGCGTATGAAAATTTAACTTGTCTTGTGGTACTTTCCTTAGGATTCTGCGCGAACGCTTATAATACTCGTAATATGGATTTGTAAAAAATAAAAGTAATTAGGAGAACACTTCATAGAAATCTGTGAGAGTTACTTGTTGTGGTCCAGGCACAGTGGTAGAACAAGTCCGCTACAGTGTTAGTTTTGTGATATTTTTCTCACCGCAACCCTTACGGCTAAATATTCCAGTTACCACCCGTTACCAGTGTCGCATGCATGTTTACCAGTAAAAAACGGACAGATCTCTACTTCCCCCGCAAACAAAGTATCTGCCGGTTTTCGTTCATTTTGTATGCCCAAAACACGCTTTTGAAATATATTTTTATGCTTGGAATACAAACTCAGCGAAGAATGTGTCAGCGTTCAATCCGGTTCAAAAGATTTGTTACCAGCGGTGAATTTCGTTTTCGCACCTACGAAAATAAACAGTGCTGTGTTGCTGATTGTGTCACCAAAAAAGCTTTTGTTGACGATGACAACTCAAGCCAGCAAATAGCTAGCACAAGATCATATTCTATACTTCTATGCTTACCGGTCCTTCCTGCAGGCTAGTTCCAGATGTGAATAGTGCACTCAGAAGCAAGACAAATTAATTATGATGGTGTTCATGACCAAAGTCCACTTTCAAGCTACTTACCTTTGCGTGTTTCTTCAAAGGGCAACAGCCATCAAAATAACGAAAAGGTCAAGCGCAGGGACACTACGTCACAGTTTACCAGTGCAATGATGAGCCATACTTCCGGCGTTTCGCCTTTTCTGCAAGCTGGGCCCCCACTTCCTTCTTTTTTCGAACTCGCGAGGACATGTGAATCCACTATAGTGCACCAACTTGTTGCGTCCCATACAATCGACATCCCGTAATTGACGGACAGGGATTAACGTCATATCGTGTGGTCTTTTCCCGTTGTTTCCGGATAAAGCGTTGTTTTAAGTGGGAAACTTGGGAAACTTGGGAAACCTACACTTTCACAACTTTTCGCTATGCTTTCACAACAGTTTTTACCCTATGTTAGCCTGTCTTCCTTTCGTTTATTTTTTACATGTACGGGATACTCTATGGTGGCCATTCGCTTTTAATTTTCCACACGCAACGCGTCATATATGACGGTTTGGAATATATGAGTATACATTGTATTATACTCATATATTCCAAACCGCAAAGCCAATCAATCCACTTCGGATTTCACATCTACATATTGTACATATTTTACATCTACATTTTATATCTACATATTGTACTCTATCCTTTACATATTGTATTGCAATACATATTGTTATCATTATTTCATATCGATACTTCCTTGCTCGGACGTCGATAAAGTTTGCAGGTAATCTTAGCGAAAGTTTTTAATACTATTCTCTAAGCTAACAAAAACTGTTCCAATAATTTGAAGCACCAAATTTTCAGCGATCCCTTATTGAGGAGTATTTTGCATGATCATCGAGCGACTAATATGTACACCGCGGTCAGCGGGAATTGCAGTTAAACCAACTATTATTAGAGCGCCGTGCTGTCTGGACTCTGGGCATACTGTACAATTGTACACTACAAAATTCTGTACGGTAGAATACAATTCGATGTGCATGCGCATTTTATCGATCGAGAGGAACTTCATAAATCTGCCTGAAAAGGAAGCATCCAGGAAGAACAGACAATTTGAAGAAAGTCACAGTTGTACAGTATTTCTAGACAAGTTTGACATACTGATTCGCTTTCGGGTCAAATCTCCTGTAATAATCTCAAAATGTTTTCAACCTATGCGGTACTGTATTGATAATACTGCTCTATATCGAAGGAAAATTGCTACAATAACATTTCTATAGATATCTGTAGCACGCTAAACTTGCAATTACATTAAGTGTGCGTATATTTGTAAGTGATTGCACACGATTCGTCGTCTTACATTATACATACTTCGTACACTTTTGCATTGAATCGCTTTCACTGTTTCACAGTTTCAGCTGTTAAGGCCTTAAGGGTAAGTTTCAACATTTTATAATACCCATGCTCGATGATCAAACAGTCGTCAGATTGTCCGCCAGTAAAAATTGAGATTTTTGTAATACTGATCGTAATGGTGAAGATGCGGAAGCATTTATACTGAATACCTAACCAGCCATTTTATGTGTTTTTGGTGGGGCTGTTTTCGAAAACCTACCTGATACGTATTAATTTTTACAGATTACTATGGACGCCACAATCGAAATAAGCGATGTTGACGAAATTACAATCCCAAAGCGCAGTACACCTTTGTGGATTCACAAGAGTCGCCTTCTCGTCGCGTTCCAGCAATGGAATCGTGTTATTCATCTGGGTTTTGTCGCATTCGTGTTATTGACTCTGTCACTTTTGAGAAGCTACGTGTTATTTCCCTTTTTCAGAAATATTGTTATACCAAAAGGGAATGTCACTCTGGTAAGACTTATTTTCGGTTTTTTACCAGTTCCTGGCTTTGCTTCGGTCATTTAGTGCTAAAGTGCAGTGGTGCACTTCCCTATACATGTTATTGTCATGTAATCAGGACAGCACTACAAGACAATGACCACTGACCACATATCGCTAACGGTTTTTGTGCGACTTTGTTTTCAGCCGCAGTCGGGATCGGGAGGGGAGTGGTATCTCTTTGCGTTCTTTGTGCTGATGATTGGAATTTTCTACATAGTATGCATCACACTCTTTCCTGTTCTGGTTTTCATCAACTTGATCCAGTACGTCGTACGAATCGAGCTCTGGCAGCGAACCGCATCTTCGTGCCATAAACTTTCGCAATCAGATGTGGCCTATATGACCAGTTGCTACAAGCTGACGCTGAAATTCTCCCAATATTTCCGATCTACAATGCTGTGCGCATACGCACTGTATCCCGCGATGCATATGTTCGGCGAAGTGTATTTGAATGCAGTTCTGTACTACAGCGACGGCGAGGGGTTTATATCCCCGGTGTGCGAGAGACCGCCATACCTACATTATCTGATACCCATCATCTGGATCGAAGCTGCGCATATTTTTGTGACATTTTACGGTGGATGGGTGTCCGGTTCATGGCAGAGAGAAATTATGTATACCTGGTACCTCAAGTGGATTGCCACAAAAAACATGTCACCGGATATCCCAGAAAATGGCACGGGTTACAAGGCTTTTCAAATCATATTGAAGCGGCTGGACTCAGCACTGACCGAACACGGATAGAAAGCGGCCATCAGATTAACGAGAAGACGAAATTAATCGAATAATTCGCAACAACTCTCCAAATAAATCAAACGGCATGCTTCTACCGCGCTACATCTGCAGGACGAGCGACATGTCTGGGCTGGTTTAATATTAGTTCGGGTGTTACTGTATTATTAGCATAGTGCTGGCATAGCTGAATTTTTGTGTGCACTGTGGCTGTGAAATGCTAATAATGTGTTCGAGTTTTTACGAGTGCTTGAGGTACTGTAGTACTAGTATGTTATGTGTGTGATTCGTAATTCGTACCTACGACTTTCTTGCTTTTGAACACTATGTATGCGCAGTGATCAGTTCAGTCTAACTAATGTACAAGTAAAGCGGCACTGCCTTTCGACAGTCGGTTGTGTATACGAATTATCATCGACCGAAGCGTAGCGAAGGTCATCTATGCTCAGCGAATATGGAAAATATGGTGTCCGTCCGTCGGTCACCGCCACCAAATGCACATTGAGCAGTGGCCGTTTCTTACAAATGCACACATGCGCCGTAGCCGTATATACTCCCGGCCTATGTAACTGGTGGTATCCGTCCGTCGGTCACCGCATATGAAAGTGAATAGATACTGTGGCCGTTTATGCTCACGATACACAAACCTTGTGGTGTCTGTGCGTCGGTCACCGCCACCGGTGGCGGTACTGTCCATATGTGCATTTGGTACCAAATGCACATATGGACAGTACCGCCACCGGTATCGGTTACTGGATACACACCAGTCCGTGGCCGTTATACTGACGCCCCATGAACTTGGTGGTATCGTCCGTCGGTCACCGCCAAAAAAACGGAAAGGGCCGTTTATACACTCACGGCTTGTAATAGCCGTGGTGTCATTTCTTTGGTTCCACTCCCCTTTGGTTCCGGTGCGCTGTTTACTAACTGTAAGTATTGTCCTTATACAGATGTTTTCCCAAAAATACTTTAGAATATTTGAGCCGCTCGGTGGTAAAGCACTACCTCGTACGGAAAAAAGTCACACGAAGCTCCATGTGCTAAATCTATAATGTGTTGCGTGTGCGGTGAAATAAAAAAAGGCAAAACTACAGATACACCCGTTGCCCTTTCTGTGATAGATAAAATTTAAAAATTATTGTCTGACAATTCCTCTACGTAATACCGCCACAGCCATCTTCGGGCTCTGTAAAACGTCCGTCGTAATTTGTCCCAAATATGCTGCCGTCTAGGTTTTCTAAAATTTGAGACTGTGACCGGTAGAAATGACCATTCAAAAACTTACCAGACTCCCTATATGTTGCCCCCTCACCTGACCATCGTTGAAGAGGCAACCTTCGGCAAGAACGATGAAATGAGAGTTTTTCACCGAAATCATAATGTTTGAATTCCAATTGCCGTAATCCATTACTTTTACATATAAACACCTAAATTACCGCCAGCGTTAACAGTATGTCACCAAGACGAAACAAAATATTCATCGAAAATTAATTTTTATAAAAGGAAAATTACTTAGAATGAATGAATTAGAATCAATTCTGCTAAATTAGAAACACTTGAAAAGTTACTTTAGGGAACTTAATAACTTTCTGAGACTCGAAATGTGATTTCAGCATGAAGAACTTTACTTGCACAGCTAAAGAAACAATTTACGCAGTTGTAGGAGCAACGAAATTTTCGTATCAGCCTGGGAGGTTTTACCGGTTATGGATTTTTGCTGTATATTTTTGTTGTACCGGTTGCAAATTTTTGCTGTAACATCCATTTTACTAATTTTCGGCAGCTCTGCAGAAGATAGAGTACTGTACATGAGTTTTAAATATGCTAATAATTGTAAACATCGTATAATGCAATGGCACCGGAAACGACCTAAATATAAATATAAATTTATCTTATATTCCTTATGTTTGTTTATCTTATATTCCTGCTACGCTTCGGTCATGCAGTGCCCGCCAAAAGCGAGTGCACTTTCCTAGTTTATTTATTATTTTTAAGAGCACCCAGTGCATTGTACTATTCAAACAAGAAATAAAATTTGGGAAAGCTGTCAATTTCAGTGTAATAAAAAACAGGTAGAGTCTGGTAAACAGATAGGCTTATTGTGTCGTCAAGCCGTGTGACGAAAAATATATAGAACGAATTATTATAATTTAAACCACAACTAATCGCTGAAAATGAATAGTTCATTACTGTAATTAAAGTACACAAAGAAATCAACATGGAAACATGGGGAGATGGGATCTGTTTGCCGTGACCAGCAAACGAAATATGGGCAAAACATCAACCAAATCACTGGCCAATGGCTATGGGTCTGACCTTCGAGGTGCCATTGCGATCGATCAAACTTAATATCGGAACTGAGCGTGCATGCGAAAAGCAGTGTACGCTCTATTTTGCAGGCTGAGTAAGTACACAATATTCACTCCCTAAAGTGTTAATCAGGCTGACTTGTGAGGCATAGTCCATTATCGATCGAGCGGAACTGCAAGTTGGGAAGTATTCGTACGGCAGGTACCCTACATAAGTTTGAAGTTTCTGCAACGGGCATAATATTTGCTGCATATGTACTCCGCCAAAATTAGTGTTTGTAGACGAGAACTGGGATATGTTTAACAGCATAAGAATATGCCGATCAGTTTGTGCACTTCTATCGCTTCTGTATGTCCCTGTGCATTTTCGAAAGGGGTTAGCTAGTTATTAAGTTAGCGAAATGTTATGCGTGTACGTTGTATATAAAGTAGTCGATCTGAAATTTCGAGGTTCCACCTAAACAGCCCGGTAAAGGATGCCGTTTCTTGATCACGCTTTTGCACGATCTGTGAAGGCAAATCTTTTCGGAGCAGGTTGGCGCTGATTTTAATCCCGTTTTCCTCCAGTTCAGTTATACACTGTTTCCAGAATTCATTGTCGGATTTACAGATACAAGTTAGTGGCATCGCAGTCTACGAATTACAGTATACAATCGCCGCAATCATGGGCGCGTCCGAATATTCACCGGTCGGCGGTTCCGAAAATACTGCTTCAAATAGCATTTCCGAACGCTCTGCGGAAACCGATTCCGAGAATGCAGCTGCTGGGAGCACTTCCGAATCACGCACCTTGGAGGCCAAAAGCAGATTTTCCAGATTTATGCAAAAAGTCGCTCGAACTTGGTTCTGCCGTGTGCTTTATGCCTGGCGAGGTGGCATCTTCATCAATTTCTTCACAATATTCGCATGCTTTTGACACTTGGGAGATGTTATTACATGTGCATTGTGCTACCTGAAAACATATCCGGACAATATAATTTCCACGACCATTTAATGGTTAGTGCATACTGCGTATGGCTCATTACGACCTTTGGATATTCTGCGCTGAATATTGTACAATCATATATTTACTACAATTAAATGTACCACAATTAAAATTTTAAATGCTAAGAAAATTCTTTAAAGCAAAAGCTCAAGAAATAAAATTTTAAATATTTCTGTTTTGCAGCCGCAGTCCACAGCGGAAGTTAATTACGCAGCGGCTGTCACCGTCCTTTGGTTACTCTATGGCGTTTTGTTCCCCGCGATTAATATCGCATTATTGGCGTACATATTTCAACTCGATCTTTCCTATATTCTGTCGTGGTGGAAAGCTATTGAGCATGCGGACATAACGTGTACAACCAACTTTATTTTGGCAAGATTGCTGGAAGTCCGCAAACTGCGAGTGGGCCTTATAGCTGAAATTGTTGTACCGTCTGTCCACTTCGCCGTCGTCGCGGTGTACACAACTTGGCACTACTATTCTGGATTGACAGTGTGTCCGTACGAAAGTCCAGTCGTACGGATTTTCATGGCCGCGATTGTAATGGAAGCCCCGCATATTATTTTGGCCTCGTTGGCTGCGTGTACTGCACAGTATTGGGAGGCAACGATATTAAAACGATGGTATGGCAAATGGGTAGCCGCTAAGAATGTGAAAGCGGACATCGATTTCCCTGTCAAAAATTGGATCTTTTACGAGGATTATGTCCAAATGCTGGAGCTATTTAATTCAGCAATAAAAGAACAGCAATCCGCCTTATGCCCAGATAACCCGAACGAAATTCCTGTCCTACGCCCATTTTGAACCATCCGTGTCTTCACCACGAAACCTGTGGAAAATTGGACACTAGCGGACGTCAGGCAGACCATGCATCTGTAATACTGGACTCTCGAGCGTGGGTGTATACGGTACCCTTTGCTCGGTGGCGGCTACAGATCAAGAGTTGCCTGCCGCCTGGGTTAGACGGTTTCAACTTCTATAGGCTACTCATTTCCGGTCTTGTTAACAGGCGTCGTTTGTTAAACTGTTCCCGATTATTTCAAAAGTCAGTACTGCTTTAACTTCCCATTTCTTGGTTTGTTTCTTCTTTTTGCATCGTACTATTGTTGTTTATTGTGATTAGTCTGAAACTTGGGGGATGTGGGTTCCGTTGTAATTTCTTAGCGTGAACTGTGGTCGAGTGGCGATGGTTGTAGGACTTGTATCTGCATTTTCTGTTTAAAATGCAGAGTTTCGTGATTGCGAATGGACGGGTGTGAATAAATCCGAGACGGACGAGTTCCTTCACCTTCTTGACTCCCATTTGCAGTTACCGTTTGTTTGCTCTTTGCGGGACTGAGTTTACCAGTTATCAGAAAATGCAGCAGTGTTTACGCTTTAATCACAAATGAGTTCGACTGAGCGCAATCTGGACGAAAATCTCGTATAATTGCAACGCTTTTGCGTTGTTATTTAATTCCAGTGGGAGTGTGGATCCTTTTCTGTGATTTCCTGGCTAAATTAGTGGCCGCGAATGCAGACGGTTTTATCGTTTATTAAAGATTTTATGTGGTTTTAACCAATGGATCGAGCGGAAAGTATTTCTTCCACGGTAAGTGTTGCTGAAGTCTGCAGTTTTTCGCATGCAAAGTATGTAGCCTGCTCCCAGTTACGGTAAATGGTAAAAGTACAGCTGATTAAAGCTTTACGATTCCCGGCGCATCAGGCCACATACTTTGTTCGCTCGAACATCTACCATAGACCGATACGGGATTGCATGCAGTGCAGCATAGTTTCAGCCGTTTGTTTACATTGTATTTTTGGCTTCTTATATTAAAACTGGTAGGACGGGTTTTGCTGTCAATCAGGTGTTTTTGTGTTATGTCTTTTGCAATAACCGAAACGTTGCGACAACACAAGGGAATAGCGCGTGAGCGACTGGAGTAATGTCTGCGATTAGAACGTTTTACTCGCAAACCTGTCTGCGGGCTTGCAACAAAAAGCAGCAGCACCAACAGTTTGTTCAGCTTTTTGCATTTGCGAAACTTCGCAGAATAGGACCTTGACGGGATGTTACAATCAGGCGATTCAGGCAGTTAGCTGTTTATGCGTGCAACAATGAAGAATGCTATGTAAAAATGGTTGAGATTGAAGTGGAAACTGTAAGTCTTGCAGACTCATGAGTATCAATGTTAACTTTTGTGCCTGATGGATAAAGTGATAGTGCGCTGTTCGTTATGTTGTAGTATCTTGCTATGGTTGTTGGCAAATTATTAACTATTAATTAGCCTTTTTATCTTGCGAAAGCGGGTTATCCGCAAGTTTCACTGCATGCAGAATCATGAATAAAATGGTATAATGTCATAAAAATTTGGATCTCATGACAGGGTTCGGTTTCGGATCGTGATGGTGACGGTGCGGAAGTATTTGGACAAGATGCTGGCGGGAATGTTCGCGCAAATCCGCTTACGGTATGCCCAACCTGTAAATGTTTCAGACAGGAATTAAATTATTGCCTTCTAATTTTTTAATCTGACGACCGTATATTTTACACAAGACGTAACCGACGTAGTTTAAAATTGTTTTTTAAAAACCAGATTCAGTGGTTGGTGGAGCATTTCGAGCTGGCGGAAGGAGTCAGTTTGCCGCGATCGACCATTTTTACGCACTATATGCGACACTGCCAGGAGAAGTCCATTGAAGCCATGAATCCGGCCACTTTCGGCAAAACCATTCGATCTGTATTCAGCGGACTGAAGTCGAGAAGATTAGGGACGAGGTAAAGTTGGCAATTTTGATGGTCTTAGTTGCTTATATGACATGATTCGAATGTCAACCTGGACGGTTGTCCGCGACCAGTCTTTTTTTATATGTGAAGCGACGTAATTGATAAAACTGATAGATCTTAATAAATCCAAAGGTTCTGGAAGGTGTTTGCCAACATTGGCGGTGATTAAATGAGTAGATTAAGCGTCCCGTGAATATTTATTAAAAACCAGACCCTGTCTGGCGTCTAGGTGGCAGTATTTGGTTAACAGTTTTTCATTTGTGCTGTAAATATTTATAGGGGACATTCGCGGTATCATTATTATGGACTGCGGATTAAGACTCAGTCTCCGTTAGCGGAAACCAGCAAACCCGATGATCCTACATCCGTCCATTCCAAACCCGGTGTTGTGAAGCCTTCGAAGTGAGGATGGGTGTTTTGTCGTTTGAGCGAATTTTGTAGAAATTGGTTGTGTAGATTAAGAAGCATGGTCACTCCCGCCATGTCCGGCTCCGTTCCCCGCTCACATAGTCCGTCGTTTGAGCGGCAAGTGTCGGCCAATTCGGCATCGACTGCCGCTGCTGCGGGATCATCCTCCCTGCAGTTGAACGGGGATGAATTTGAGCATTTGGGAGTGCCGCAGCGCACGGTACCGACGTTGCTGTTGAACGATACTGAGTGGGAACGGGTGGATGCGCTGGTGACAAAGGCCTCTATTTATCCTATCACCTCTAATGATCTCAGGATGTTTCGTGATTTATATCGCAATCATTGTGAAGTAAGTTCTTATGAGGTTAAGCGATATCACGTAATTTTTATCTCCTAATGTATCGTAGTTTTGCCTTTCCGTTTTTATAACTCATGAATTTAAAGACGAGAAACAGTATTACATATGCATATGAAGTATGTATTGAAAAGAATATATTAATGTCTGCGTTTCTTGAAAAATTAGCTTCGGTAAGCAGTGTCTGGAGCAGCCAAGGAAATAATTTTTTTATCTGAATAAACCTGCATCTTCGCAAATAGCTGTGATTATTAAGCACAATTGTCGCTGGTGGCTTTTGGTATTTGAATCCTTTGGGTGCCCAGGAGGTCATTTCAAATCTTATTTGCAGGCCATAATGGATGCCGTTCGGAGTTTGAAATTTATCGCCGTGGAAGCATTGTGGGCGTCCTTTTGGAGATCACGTTACGAGTAAGAAAGGGCAAATGTTAAACAAAAATGAAAGGCACCGACCTCTTCTTCACGTTTGGCTGTTACCATAAACGATTCCATCCGTGTTTACTATTTAGCGAGGAAGCGGAAAAACTGCTGCCTTTCGATAAATTCTACCTCGTTATTGGCTGCAATGCTGTGCAGGATCTCATTATTGCCATGGATGTTGAATTTTTTAACACATTGGCAAAAGTTCTAATCCAGGATGTGCTGAGACCGATCCCTAGTAAGTAACGCTGGATCTTTTTATATGAAGTTGGAAATATGGATGCGAATATCTTTTATAACTTTCTTGTTATTGTTGGCTTCTTATGACATGTGCTTGTATAACGTTGCAGGTAGTTTGACGCAAGTGATTCGTAATTTTGCCAAAAGTATGGAGGGATGGGTGAGAGAAAGCATGTCCAAGATGCCACGACGATTGGTGCATCTTAAGGTACCGAACAGCAAAGAGAAGCTTTTGAATATGTTTAATACAACTTAGCTATACAGATAGATGTGTTACCAAAAAGCAGAAGATAGGCTAATTTTCGCAATTAACTTATTGTCATTTTTCGTAATGTATTTCAAGCGGTGCCGTTAATAACGGTTAATTTATGTGCTTTATTGTATCGGTGATTGTATGGTATTTCCGTTGAACTTAGCATTAATTATTTCCTCACTGCGAATTGTTTCCCAGTTGCTTGCTGCAAGTGCATTAGCTCAGACACTCCGTCGTTACACTTCCTTAAATCACCTTGCTCAAGCGGCTCGCACCGTCCTGACGAATCCCGCACAAACCGGCACAATGCTGGCGGATATATCCCGGCTGGACATGAACAGTATTTACGTAGGTATTCATTTTTGCTAGTTCTGTATCGTCTGTGAATCCCTGAATAGTGCTCTGGTGATATCGGAACAAGCCGTGAACCTGTATATCGTTACACGGTGTGTCGGTTTTTAGGAGCAGGGAAGTTTAATGTGTCCTTGTGATTTTCCCGCGGTGAAACGGTATTCTGACGAATTCAAAGCGCTCTTGTCAGAATACGACGCATGTGAACGATGGCCCACATGGATTGAAAAGATTCTGGATACAGTGTTGGGGAATTGTACCAAAACTACCGTGACCGATGTCTCGCAAGAATTTTGCCAGAAATGGTCGTATTTTAGGTATGTATGTGCATCTTTTCAGCATCATTATTTCGTAGGTAAGGCTTTCTGTGATTTAATACATGTTTGTATTTTTACAGTTCCCTTGTAATTCGCGATCTGACCTTGCGAAGTGCAGCCAGTTTTGGTTCCTTTCATCTGATACGGTTGCTGTTCGATGAATACGTCGTGTATGCTGTTGAACAACGAACAGCGCGTTTCTACAACATCTCGTCGCTGCAGTTATTCTTTAATGTAAGGTCACCGAGCGCTTTGGGTTTTGAATTGGCAATAAACTGGTATTTGATTGCATACTTTACGATGAAACTACCGTATATCACTTAAAATAGAAGGCAAAAATTTTCAGTCAAAGTGGCAGTCGTTTGAAAATATATTCTGGAAAATGTCATGACCGGAGCTACGGAGACGTTGATGTTTCACAGCCTTTTTGAAATGAGGATAAGCTGAAAATTAACGGTGCACGATGCAACAGTAGAAAAAGCAACACGAAAATTTGCAGTTAATAGTGCGACTAATTTTTATAACCAAATGATGGAGAATTTAATGTATTGTACTGGTAAAAATTCACAGTCTCGCTTTAAAGTATTCTTGTTGTTATTTAGCATCTTGCCCGGTTGCATCCGTTCTCCGATGCGGAAGTCATGCTGCCCGGTCGCGTTAGTGTCCATCCGGCCTTCGCCCGTCTCGCGGACTCCTCATCGGCCACCGGCCAACCGTCCTCTTCCCGGTCGCCCCGAAGGTACGCTGACGATAGTGGCAGCTCGGTGGGAATGCCATTAAAACGGTTCCATTCCACTTGAGAAACCTATCATCCATACTTTGCACAGTCTCTATACGCAACATTGGCTAACCGCACACAAACACACCGTACAATTGTTAGTTTAGATATGTATCTGTTATGTTGTTTTATCTCCAGTTTGATCTTTTTAACTGGCTGGCTTTCATTGTGCTTTCGTGCTGACTCGATATAGCTCAGGTAACGGTGTGGCTTTTATTGCTTTTGCAGTTCTTTGGGGTAAACTGTAGGTTTTTATGGAGATATTAATTGTTTTTATCTTGGTTTTAATTAGATTTCTAAATCTGGTTCTACTTATGCCCGGCGAAATTTTATTGATTTTATTAATGTGAAGGTGGATTTCCATCTATGCTGGAACCATGGTGCGAAAAAGGGAATGACATAAAATGAAAGCATAACTAAAATGCACGGCATATGGAAAAGATATGCATAACACAATGCAAGTGCATTTAGTGCTCAGACAATAAGTTAGTCGCATTTGACTTTTGAATATTATTTATAAGTGCTGTTATTTAGTGATTCTGTTAATGATGTACTAAGATTGATGCAGTTTGTTTCGCTTTGACAACAGAAGCAGCAAGCATAACGCTGCTGCTTCAAATCTTGTGGAAAGTAAAATCGAAAAAGTGACACGGAAAATATTCAACTGTGATTTACAATTACAAAAAAAATTGTTTGGAATAACATTATTGACATTAAGAAGGATGCAATTTTTCGTAATACGGATTTGTATGAACCTTACTTTTACTTCGTTCGTGAATCAATTAAAACCTTACCTCTCTGGATTTACGCGTATACAGATTACAGAGTAATGAGAATTTGTGAGCCAAATTTGGAAGCATGTATGTTTTAATCTGTTTAATTTTTTTGTGCCATTTCACATTAAGTTTGCGTGCTTTAAAGCGTACATATTTAGCGCAACTTTTATTTGACATTCGAGTATGATTGGAGATTGTAATATAACTAAATGAGAAGTGTTGATATGATAAGGGAATTTTAATAATTGTGATGGTTTACATTTTCAATTGCTGAATTTACTGATGAACCTGGTCCAGACCGTTTTTATTTCACACGATCGAGAAGCCGTCGAAATTGGGATCTGCACAGAATATGGGCATGTGCAAATCACCTGCCTTGTCAACATTAATAGCTGATCATTTCCGTGACGAGTATATGTAAAAGTTAAAACACCTTGAAAGATAAGCTCTACTCTGCAGAGTAAAAGACGATCACCTGAGAAGGAAATTCGTTTCATAATTAGATCATAGGTCCAGTCCGTTGTTTTATTGGATAATGATACAACTATTATAAATTATTAAAGGTCGATGCATTCCGGTGCGTGTTACGATCACTCACTTATATCAGTACTATAAGCTGTCACCGGCAACAGGAAAGCCGCAAAGGGTCAGTATAGGTTTTGAAAGACAGAAACTTCGTAACACTAAATGGTCGATACTGGGGCAACAAATTTGCTGGATATTGCACTCCATGAATACACAGTGATGTAAGTAAGTTTTCGGGACGATAGTTAAGGTTCAACGAATTGAAACGTTACTGCTTTGCGCTAATTTTAAAAATTGGCCTTTGATTCCTTGGGCAGCGTTTTTATGCGTAATTACAGTAGAAACTCATTGTACAGGAAATTAAACTGTAAGATGTACGAATAATCAGCACAGTGTACGTAACACAGGGAGCGAATAGGACAAGCGGACATTCTCATCGTCCTCTTTCCATGTAAGAGCGCACTGTGCACAAAAACGCCGGTTACAATCAAGTTAATACTAAGAAAAAAATCGCTGCACTGATTAGCAGTATAATCAGCATATTCACATGCGTTCATAATAAACAACCTAATAAGATAGTTGTCTCAATGATAATCGATGACACATCAGAAAAAAAGCCGCTAACAGCAAAAAAACGCCCAGTAACCGGTATTGTTCGCCGTGGACTTTTCCTCCATCGTGCAGGCTGTTGACCTTAAAACGCCAGATGAAACAATTTCCCGCTGTGGACTTCATCCCGATGGAAGCGAGACATACACAACACAGAGAGCACCCGCGTTATGTCAGCGCTTGTCCTGAAATCGCTCAACCCGCGAGATGGCTATATAATCCCCAATAACAAACAAGGTTATTGCCATTTACAACGACTTTCAGTCCATCCTGATTCTGTGTCATACAGTCGAATAAAGTCGTTATATATAGCCCAGTGTAACTGGACAATCTGATGGTTTTTACCGTTTTCGAAGTGAAATTACAGTGTGCCCAGTTATAGTCTGGTAGAATTGCAACCCGGTGGCCGGTGATTGTTGTGTTACATACGGGATTATACGGTCGTGTGTCCGTGTGTGGATTGGTTTGCCGCGCTCCGCTAGCATGGCGCGCTTAGCGCTCTTATGCATAGCGTCCCTTCTGGCAGGGATACAAGCAGGTATGGCGGAATCGCATAAAGATATATAATTTTGTTTTGTTTAAAGTGTACTGTTAATGTGATTCCTGTTATATATGAATTATATCAGTTTTATACGAAAGGTTCTTTATACGTTTTCGCGTTCTTTACTGCGTATAAGTTTCTACAATGCGTCTATAATATTATGCGTTCTGTAATATAAGTAGATAAGTATTTGATTGTAATCATTTAAAATCACGTGTGGTTTATTGCATATTTATTAACGCACATTTCACGTTCTCTTATGTTAAATTTCGTTCTTATTTGCGTTTAGTACCGTACAAATCGCGCCAGCCTTCCGAATTTTCTTCCCGTTCTACTGGACAATGTGGTGCTAAAGGTAAGTTAGCCCTTTCATTTCCGCCAACATAATTTACCCATGTACTTATGCTTTTTAATTCTCTCGCATGATTTAAATTATAATCGTTTACTTGATTAGTTTTTCGATTGCATATTAACTGATATACATATACGAAAAGTTTGTCAAGAATGCAGATGACCTTTCGATTCGGTTACCACTGTCGGTTCTCTTGTGCGTTTCGAAGTATAGAATGCGTAACTAGGATGTCGTTGTATCGGCAGATAATGTCTTTCAACCTGGACAAACCTACGAATACAAGTATTTCGGCAAAGCGGAAACCGGACTTGGCGTGGCTGATTCCAAAACCGTTGGATTGGCTGTGGACTGTCATATCAAGTTGTCCGTTCCGGAGCCTTGCCACTTCCGCATGAAGGTACTGTTCATTTTTGGCAAACAGACTGTGATATTTAAATACATATTTGCCTAATGCAGTATTTTTGGCGGATTGTTACGTGTTTGTAAATGTTTATTCGCATACTTCTATGTTTAATGCATAATTTATAAACATCGATATATAATAACTTACCATCATCGACAGCCGAAATTGATTGATTAAAATGTACACACTTATACGGTATTTACAGTGTATTAACTACAGTAATATAGTTTAATCATATTTATGAACTGAAACAGTTCTTTGAAGTTTAGTTTTCATGTTTTTAAAGAAGTTTTTTGCGCTTTAAATCACCAGTAGGCTGCGGTGTATTAATCCTTTTATTTAACAATAGATTTCCAAATGCGAAGTCTTGGAGCGCGATGGCAGTCCGGCCGATATGGAGTTCTCTCACCACTCGTCCTTGGAGGAGGAGGTGAAGAACATGGAGAGCCGACAGGAAGTCAGCCGACGCGGTTTCCGTCCATCGGAGAAATCCCAGGACTTCAACCAGGAGGTCACCAAGTTCGACATCCAGGCTGTTATCAGCGACGGTGAAGTGTCCAAGGTCATCTACGAAGAGTCCGACGATACCTGGGTGGTCAACTTCAAGAAGGGCATCCTCGACGCTCTGCAGATCCGCACTGATGCTGACTCACCACGCAATACCATCCTGGTGGTATGTATCGCACACTGTCTGTAGATTGTTTTCAATCAACTTACCATTATTCTTATTATCACTTTATACATTTAATGAAACGTTTGCTACAAATTACATGAATCAAATCGGTAATATGTGTTTTCATATTTGTTTCAGGCATATATAATTAAATAAAATATACAAAGTTGATTTTTTATTTGGGAATGATTGCTTTTTTCGGTTCATGGAAATGATTACAGTTTATCGGAGTTAATGGCTGATAAGTGATCAGCGGTTGTTGACCTTTACGCTGATAGCTGACCTTTCTACAGAATGGTGTGCAAGGTCTGTGCCCCACCAAGTACACTTCCCACGGCACATCCGAGTCCATTGTGGAGGAGAAAGATCTCGATTCCTGCATACAGCGCTCCAAGAAGAGCTGGGAACTCAGCCCATTGACCCCCATCTGGAACATGGTCAGTTGAGGAAATAGTTACTTGATAGCGTCGTAATGGTAACATCAATATAAATTAATACATATAATAATCATAAAATCTATATAATTAATATGGTATCGCTAACATTATAAGTGACTATAGGTATTGGTTAAATTAATATTAATGGCAATTTTCATAACATTTGTGATTTTAACAGTTACACAGCTTTTCTGTTATACAGAGCTTTGTGTCCACTGTCGTGTCCTCCCGAAGCATCTGCGCCTACAAACTGCGCCGCTCTTCCCATGTCGAGACCATGGCCTGCAAGGAAACCCACCGCCTGCTGCCTCTGCCATGGAACACTCATGTTTCGGCCATGTCCGCCAACATTACGTAAGATATCGCTCACTATATGAAAGTATATGTAATAAATAGTCAATTTCCAATTTTTACCATTACTTTTATTGCAAAAATAAAATGATAATATGCAGAAATCACATATGTGTCAAGAATGATATTCCAATCATTATACGAGTATGTGTGAACTTGAACACATTTATGTAGAATTCCGACCTGAGTTATCATTACACTACGGTGGCTCATATATTTTCGAAAGCGACCGTTCCAAGATGTTGCTAAATGTTCTGGTTTTTGCTGCAGTTCCACTCTTGCGCTTCGTTAGTCAATCTGGATCCGCTCACCCCATGGATCGCAACATGAACAACAAGCAGATTACCTCCATTCTCTACGAACACGAGAACACCACCGATATTGACCGCGAAAGCTCTTCCGACACCGAAGCCATTGAAATCTTGCAGGTACAGAATTCCACTTTTTCAATTTTGTTTTGTCTTCAATTTTCCATAATTTATTCTCTGTGTGGAAATATATGGCAAAAGGTTTTATTTGTTACTGCTATGCAATCCCAATAAATTTAAAATCCATTAATAGTAAAAGTTTTGTGGGGTTGTTTGTAAATGCATTGCTAAGTTCAGCCTGTGACCTTTTCCTGTATTTCTCTTAGGACTTGGTCAAGCAAGCCATCGAAGGTTTCGACATTGGCTCACCGGCTGTATTCGACGATTTCGTTACGGAACTGCGCGATTCCTCTGATCTCACCTCGCTTGTGCAACAAGTCCGAGGATTCAATAAAGAGGAAAAGGTCAGTGCTTCACGGTGACATTTTCCAATAAAGCGCGCTAATCCAGGTCATCCGGTATATCGTAGGAAGTTGCCAAGTACCTCCTTGTGCAAGGATTGACCCAGTGCAATGCTCCCGCCTGCCTGCGCGCTCTGACCACCCTCATCAACACCAAGGAGATTCCCGCTGAAGTCTTTGAGCCCGTTGTGATGGCCCTGGCCCTGACCAAGCAGCAGGATCCACTCTTCCTCGCCGAAATCACTGTAAGCATTAATTTCGATTAAATTATTTTCAGGTTTCAAGTTTTTGTTAATTAACGAGTTTTTATCGCAATTAAACCTTTTGCAAGATTAATTTTGTTCATCCGTATTTTGCATTCAAGAAATTTGAACGACAATTATTAAAGTGTCCGGTTTTCGATAAAGTCCGTTTCGTGTTAATTTTTCTGAAGTTTCGTAAAAATTTTTGCCATTATATGCAAGCAGTTGTGCATTTAAAAGTTATTATATCTTTAAAAATATGAAGTATGTATTTGTATATTTAAATATTTATATTTAATATATATACTTTTTATTTGAAAATTTCTAATTTTTTATATATAAACCGGTTTTACCGGTCATATTTCCGATGGAGTTTACTTTAATGCACGTGGTTTCGTTTTCTGCAGCGCATGTGCGAAACCCGCCCATCCCGCACCTGCACCCTGATGGTGGCCGCCATGGTCAACAAGCTGGTCACCGACTCCGACGATGACGACGAAGACATCTTCGACGAGCAGGAGACCAAGGAAGCCATTGAACAAGCCGTCAAATTCATCACCGAGCTCGATCGAGGACGGCAAATGCGAACCGACCAACAAACTGGACAAAGCCGACGAAGAGGACGACGCCACCAAACTGATCATCGCCCTGAAGGCCATCGGCAACCTCGGCTCCGTCGCTCAGCAGATGCAGGGCAAGAGCGGCATGCGCGGTGGACGGATCGAGGAGAAGATCGCCAAGTGCCTGACGGATAAGACTGTCCCGGCCAATGTGACCATTGCCGCCATTCACGCCGTCCGCAAGTTCGTTCCCAACCAGTTCATCTCCGACCGCCTGCTGGCGGTGTTGGCCGATGAGGAGAAGTCGCATGCCGTGCGCGCTCACGCCTGCATGGCCAGCATGCGAATGGCCGTCGATCGCGCCTCCGTCAAGAATGTCCTAAAGGTCATGGATAACGAGAAGAGCGAGCAGATCAAGGCGTTCATGGTGTCGCATATCCGCAGCGTTCTCAAATCGGATGACCCCCATTATAACCAGTGAGTTATTGATAATTTCATAATGTCGTTTTAATTTTTATTATGAATTATCGAATTTTTTATTTAATGACTGTAATACTCTGAACACAAGAATTTATTTCAATGGATATTCATATTGGTATACAAAAACTTTATTTTCGGGTGATGCTGCACTGCGGGGAAATAGTAGCTGAATGATGACCTTTGCATTGCAGTACCGCTAAGCTGATCAAGCAAGTTCTGGAAGAATCCGGCAAGACCCTGCCCAAGACCCGCGCCCGTCTCCCGCATTCCGTCCATCTGGAACTGTCCAAATTCTTCGAAGTGCCTTTCTTGGAAGACGAAGAGAACGAATTCGGAGCCCAAGTGGAAGGCAGTGTTGTCTTCAGCTCCAAGTCATACATTCCTAAGGCTCTGCACTTCAACGTCAGCGGTGAAGCCTGGAGCGAATATGTCAATGTCCTGGAAACCGGTGTTGATCTCCAAGGTACTGCAAGCTGACCTTTATGCCAGTCACTGTTAACTATCTGATTTTCAACAATTTATATTTACTGGAAATGATAAATAGACGATAAAATAACCAGAAACACAGACTGTATGAACGATCCACAAGCCCATCTATATCTTACATGACCTAAATTTATGTAAAACTCGTAAAAGCATGCAAGTACAAATATATGTTTATTCAACAGGTGTGGAAGATTTGGTGGAGAAGGTCTGGGTCCCAACGGACTCCTGGCTAAGAGCCATCTGCTGCGACAGGCCCGTGAAGGCTTGATCAAAGTCGTGAAGGTGGTGGAAGACATGATCTACAAGTTCGTCCCCATGGACAGCATGGGCAAGTACGGCAAGAAGGCCTACAGCATGATCCAGACGCAGACCTTCGAACAGATCGTCGACCGTCTGCTCAGCGCTCTGGAAGGCGTCGGACACCACCGAACTGCAGAAGATCATCTCCCATGCCCGCAACTTCGACACTGACCAGCTGATGGAGACCATTAAACGCAACATTCCCCAGTCGCCGCAACTGACCAAGGTCATTGAGAAGCTCAAGCGCATCAACTTCCGTGACGCATCCGAGGAGACACTCATTCAAGTGCTGGAGGCGTTCGGTGTGCCGGAACGCAAATCACGCGAAATCCTGGCCCAGGTAATTATTCTGCGTTAACATCTTAAATCTGATATCTTATTCTGGGTCATGCGGACATGTGCGATGCTTTTCCTTAACATTTTAATTTGATCTGAAAAACTATTTATTGATGGTTATGTTGAATTTTCTGAAACACCGCTTTATATTTTCTGTAATAAATTTTAAATGAATTTTTTATATCGTTTGTGCTGTGAAACACTATTTATTAAATCTATGCAACAGTTAATGACTATAATAGCCACCACGCTACGTATTTCCTGTGCACTGAGGATTCTTGAGTTTTAACAATCTGTCTGTTTGTAATTAATTTCACCACTGGTGTTGTGCAGGTATCGGAATACGGCGTCAACATTAACGAAATCATCCGCTGGATGAAACGCACCGATCTATCCTACATCCAGAACAGCCTGCGCAGCATCCGTGCGGGTGATGTGGAGGACCGTGCCACCGACGTTCTTGCCAAGGTCAAGCAGTTTTTGGCGTGGTTCTGTGAGAAGTACAACCTGCCCACTCTGACCACCATCATGGACACCATTCAGCGCACCCTGAAAGATCCGTCGGAGCTGCGCCGCATGAAGGACACCTACTTCTCCCAACAGTCCAAGAACAAGAACAGCAATAAACGCGGCAAATCCTTGTTCAGTCTGGGCGAGGAGGATGACGATGAGGAGAAGACCGGGTATGATGAGGAGGAGAACGATGAGGCCAGCTTGGGACAGATGCCCTGGGGTAAATCTGTCAAGGACATCTCCCGCCGTGAAACCCAGGAGGACGACGATGAGGACGATCTGGATGTGACCGCCTTTGTTCGCATTTTCGGTAAGCTGATGGTGTTTCGAAAGCTAACTAGCTCCAGATTTGTTTTGATAAAGGTACGGAAGTTGCATAACTTCTTTGAAATAATTTTGATTTCCGAAATAAATTTTTAAGTTTTTGTAAAATCCAGAAAATCCGTGCTTTGATAATCACTCGACATTATTTCCTTAATGTATTTTAATAACATGCTGGTAAATTGGTAATAATTGCGATTCAAAAAAAATATTTTGCGTAGTATCTCGTGCATGTTATTATTATAAAAACAAAAACTTTAAAATAGTAACGGCTCGTCTAAAGCACTTTTTTTTGCGTTTTCGGCATAATCGTGGCTGAATAACATGAACCTCACCGCAGGGGCATAAGCCAATGCACTACAATGTATACAATTATTATGAAAATTGTTCATTGTTAGCACTGTCTTCTCCGTAGGCAACGAAATCGGATTCATCTCGCTAAGCGACATCATGCGCTTCCTGGACACCCAGAAGCTGATGAAGAAGTTCAACGTGGACCGCAACTGGCGTGACATAATGGATGGTTTCGACATCCGCCCGACGATTGCCGCCAAGATGGAAGGCCTGCATCATATTTCCACCGGACTGGGACTGCCGCTGCAAATCACCCTCAATTTAACCGGCTTGGCTACTCTGCACGTGAAATTGCAACCACAAGGCGGAAGCTCTTTCCGCAAATCGGCAATGGAATTTGAACCAAGGTAAACACCGGTGATTTAAATAACAAGTGTTCATCAAGGTGTTCAAAGACAGTATATAAATATATATAAATTAACACAAATATACACATACAAATATGCAATTTTAAATATTGATAAATATACAAAATATATTTGTAAAAATATATATTATGTAAATAATATTATTTTATTGATTACGTACCATTCCTGAATATTGTTGTTGTAACGCTTAGGTACACCACGCTTCGTGTTATTTGCCTTTGCACTACGACTAAAGCAGTAACATTGTAACCGTTACAGTGGCGCTTTGCAATTGGTTGGTGGTATGGCCATTGATCTCCCATCCATCACCAAGATTGAAACGCTCGTCAACACCACCGTCAAATCCGAAGTCGAATTGAAGGTCAAGGTTGATATCCGTGAGAACAACTTCGAAGTGCACATTGAGAAGCCCGATGAAGAGCTGGACATTCTCCATGTTCGGTAATACCGGCATATTGTGCATTCTTATGCGTACTGGCGTTAATGGTAAGTGTTCATTATAGTCACGAAATCAAGTTGAAGAAAGACGATGAAGACTTTGAGCCGTTCGATGATTCCAAGACCAACGTGGTCGACAAGCAGAAATGCCTGCCGGAAATGGTGGAACGCTTCACCGGTCTGAAAGTCTGCGCTGAACTGGAAACCTCCACTTTCCGCGGATCGAAACTGCTGTCCCATGGCCCACATGAACTGCGCGTCTCCATCCAGGAAAGCCGATCAAGGTACGGTTAGTCATTTCGAGAGCAACGCTGAGTCGGTGACAAAAAAAAAGATTTACACAAAATTCAGATAAACTTGTTTTAACGTTCTGGCTCACTCTTCGTCGAAAAGTCGGAAGTAAGCCACCCGTAATGTGTCACTTGACTACAATTGACGTCAAATGGGCGAATCTATCAATGATAGCTATTTTGACAAAATCTTGCAATAAAATAATCAACAGTAAATTATAAATTATAATAAACAGTAATTAAATAATAAATAAATAGCAGTAATTGTTAATAATAAAGTATTCTAACATTAACCGTAAAACTGCACCATGCGCTTGCTTAAGCCATTTATCGAGACTTTGCTTTAACAGTGGTGCGGAACACTACAAATTCTCCGGCAAGCAGGACAAACAATCCCGCAGCAACCGCTACGAACTGAACTTCCGCGCCCCGGGCGCTCAGCACCGCCGCGAAGTGCGCGCTCTCCTGACGCACGACCGCCAGCGCAACGACATGGACCTGGAATTCGACGTCCCCGAGCAGTCCACGCCCAGGATGAAGCTCTTCGTCAAGAATCTCAACGACCACTCCCGTGAGAAATACGGTGTGGAATGCGGCATCGACATCGAGACCACGCCCCGCCAGCACTACAACACCTCCGTCACCATCATCGGCAAGGCGTCCGGCTACGGTGGCAACCGCTATCGTGACGAACGCATCATGGACACCCTGTCCAGCGGCTACCTGAACTACACCGTCAAGGGATCGCTGATGACCCCCTTCGCCTGGGTCAATGTGTCCACCACCACGGCGAAGATCGGGCATACCTTGATGATGGAGCACAACCTGACCTACTTCATGTAAGCATCCGGTGATTATATTTTAAATTTGTTTTAGTTAATACATTTTAATTATATTTAGTTCGGATAACATTCGTGTGCCGATTCTGAAGAAGCTCTGCTTCCCCAATGTCCATGAACGACGTGGAGTGAGCAAGTTTGTTCTGCGCCACGGCATCCGTGCCAAGACTGACCAGATGGCTGTTGATATGCAAGCCTTTGTTAAATTCATGACCTTCCCCTTGCTGAGCGTGGCCGAACCGACGTTCGAGCATGTCACCCAAGTGAAGGTGCACCGTGACTACCGCCATGTGGGATTGCATGCCAATACCACCTGGTTGAACTCTCACCATGAACTGGTACATATGCCAATTTAAAATAAATCAAATTAAACAAAATTTGCCAAATATTATTTTAAATATTCGAGCATGGTAAATAAATACAAATACAGTAAACTAAATTGGCGAAGATAAAGATAAAATAAATTAATATTATAATATTAAATAAAATGTTAAGTAAAACTGAAAACATTTGCCAAAAATTAGTAATACAAAAAATTATATATATGTACACATATTACTATAATTAAGCGCGTTCATAAACTGTGAGGGACTATTTACCGTTTTTTTAGGAATTCTTCAACTGCTCACTGACCGGTAACAATCTCAACTCCGTGATCCGTCTGTCGGAACCCGCCAGCATCAAGATGAACATCAGCCGCAACGACTGGTACATCGACGCTAAAGCCCAACTACGCAAGGACGGCGGCAATGAGTTGACCCTCAAGGGCGAAGCCACCGCTTCCGGCATCGTCCCCGAGTGCAACGGCATGATGGAGTGCGCTAAGAAGAAGCTGATCAGCGAGGCCAAATGCCTGCTAGACATGATCAAGTTCAAGAGTCAAAGTATGGAAATGCGCCCGCACACCCACCACCGCTTCCGCGAGAGCCGCTCCCAGTTCGAAGAAGGACACGGCCGACCCATGCGCGTCAAGGCCACCATTGAGAGCAAGCTGCGCCAGAAATCCGGCAGCCCGCTGGAGTTCAGTTATTCCCGCCAGAATCTCGGTAGTGGACGCGTCTGGGAGTTGAAGAACACCTTGGATATCCAGTCCACCCATTCGGCACCCAAACAGGCGCAGGTGGTGGTCACTTTCGGCAATGACGTCGAACACCGCGATGCGTTTATCAAGTACGTCAGCTAATGAAAAAAAATAATTATATGATTAATAACAATTAATCAATAATTTACGCGAATTATAAGTAATCACAACAATTTAAACCTAAATAATTAATACACAAAAAACATAATATATATAAACTAAATAATTAACAAGTAATTAACAATTAATTTAATATCATCTCGTTGTTGCTTTTGCAGTCTGTTCATGATGTCCAATGTCACCATGACCAACATCCCGTACAGTCTGGACCACTTTGCCCAGCTACTGGTCTCCCGTGAGGAAGGCCTCCTGATCTCCGTCAACACCTCCATCGACAAGTCGGACGAGACTCTGATTGGTGGTGGCATCCTGTTCCAGGTGGATGTCGATGATAAGAAGATCCACATTGGATGCAATATTGACACGCCGGTCTTGGAAGCCTCAGGATTGGTCAGCATGGCCAAGCCCGACCGACGCCCCCTGGAAGCCAAGATCTGCACCAAGACGGATTCCGACAAGTCGGAGATGTTGAAGCATGAACTGCAGGTATAAGCTTAAGATAATTACATTTGCATTACAGCAAAAAATTACATTCATTATTTTACAATCCTTCAATAAGTGTCGTGGTATTTAATTTGTTTATTTAATTTTTAAAGCATTGGCTGAATATTTTCAGGCTGTTATCAAAATCGGCTCTGGCAAGATCATCAAGTCGCTGAAGTTCCGTCATCCTAAACTGGAGACCGAGTTCAAGACCGAATTGGACCTGTACTCTGACGGTACCGAAACCGACTTCGATGCCGGTATGGAATTCGACAATGATGCTGACAACACCGAGGAAGATACCACCGAAGCCACGGACCGATTTGGATCTCGCAACAACGAACGCCGCACTAGTGGACATCGCAGTACGTTATTTTGTGACCTTTGTTTTTTATTAATTTGTGGGCATCCAATTAAGATCCAGTTTAACATGTAATGTTAATCATGCTTATTACTATAGGCTCGGAGCGATCGCAGAAGAACACCAACCGCAACTCCAACCGCATTAAACGCTCTCACCGCACCCGCGGCGACGAGGAGACCGTGAGCGAATGGGACACCACCGAATCATCAGCATCCCGTCACGGTAAATCCAAATCCCGCTCGGGCAGCTCCAGCAGCGAAACCACCGGTGACTACTCCATGGACGACACCACCTCCCGCTACGGCAAATCCAAGTCCAAATCCCGTTTCGGTGGCTCCAGCGCGGAAACCACCGATTTCGACCAGGACACGTCCTCCCGTCACGGCAAGTCCAAATCCAAATCCCGTTTCGGAGAGTCTAGCAGCGAGACTACCACCGACTCCTGGAGCGATACCAACTCCTTCGGCGGACACCGCGGTCGCAAATCCAAATCGCAGTACGGCATGTACGACACCGAGACCACCACCGAGTCGTATGACGATGACACCACCACCCGCGGATACGGTGAGGAGAACAACGATGACGACGAGACCACGACTCGCCGCCGCCACGGATCTCGCAACCAGTACAACTCACAGGAAGAGACCTCGACGACCTCGTACGACAACGACGACGATGAGACCACGACTCGTCGCAGCCGCTACGGAAACTACGAGGACAACGAGGAGCAGACCAACTACAACCGTCAAAGCGGATTCTTCAGCAACCGCAAGAACAAGGACAAAGAATACAAGTCGTGTGAGTTGTTAGTGTCAAAAGGTCATCAGCTGTGAATTTGTCGAGGCAGTGTTTTATTTTTGACTTTTTCTGCACTACTTTATTTGATTTTTCATGTACAGTACATATAAGCGTTTATATGATATATCTATGTATATATCCCCTTTTTTTCGTATTTTTAGTTATATAATTTTTAATAAATTGTACAACCGTGTTTTTTTATTGTAGCCCGCGTTGCCCGATCAGCTGACCGCGACTACGAGGACGACAGCCAGAACGAGGAGACCACCTACGGCCGCAAGGCGACCAAATCGTATTCACGTCATAAGGCCACCACCCAGTCACCTTATGATGAAAATGAGGAATCCACTTTTAACCGACGTAAATCCAAGAAGCACTCTTCCTCGCGCACCACCAGTGCTGAAGAGGACAACACCAACAACACCGATCCGCCCCCATACCGTGCTTATGGTAAGCGTTATTTCATTTCTTCTCCACCAGTTTTTAGCAAAACATTTTCAGATTTCTATCAAAAAAATGTTGAGTGCTAATATTGTAATAATTTTGTTTTAATTTTCACGTTGAAATCTCTTCTACTGCAGCTGTAAGTAACAAAGTTTTTGCATTGCATTTTCAGGTAAGCAGCGCACATTCTCTAGCCGCAACTCGGCAGAGGAGACCGACACCACTTATGACCGCAACACCCGCCGCAAGGGAGACCGTCGCGAGAGCAAGGGATTCCTGAACACTTTCTTCGGCGCCGACGACGAGGAGAACACCTTCGACTCGCAGAACACCGGCCGTCGCTCGCAGAAGATGACCGCGCGTGGTGGCATGTCCAGCGAAGAGGACACCACCTTCGGCCAGTCCTCCCGCTCTGTCTCTAAATGGAGCACCAAGAAGTTCCGCGACAGCGTCAGTGGAATCAGCCCGAGAATCTCCTCCGTCCTCCGCATCAAATCTAACGTAATATTTTCATCATATGTTAAGAATTGTTTTGTATAATGAACGCGATTTTTTTACAGGACCGTGAACTCTTCCCCAGTTTGAACGTGGAAGCCAAGGCCACCATCCGGCAAATGTCCCTGGATGTCGACATCCGCGAAGTGCCCCGTCGCTTGGCCGACATTATCACCATCCGCAAGGTGTCCCTCAAAGGTCAGCTCCAGGATCAGAAGGCGGTGATCAAGTGCATCATCGATAATCGCAACGAAATCGGCATTGAACTCCATGTCCGCAGTGAGCGCGAAGCTACCGGCAAGATTTATGACCGCGGCTTGGTAAGTTTGGTGCATCTTGCGATGGCAAGAGCGTTATTCATTTTTAGAATTACAAAGATGGCATTTTTCACGCTTTCGTTTGTTTTATAATACAAATCGTACTTTTGCTTTCACACTGCTTGGTAAACATTTTAATTTAGTATCGCAGTGCAGCGGCCACATAACTCCGATTAGCCTTGGTGTGCGCGCAAACAGTATTTCGTAGACGACCTTCAGATCTTCTTAAAAGTTTTTCCACCAAGAGGTTTTCGTTTCATAGTAATTAATATTAAATCAATGTGAGTCGAAGTTAGTTATTGTTTTATCGCTCTAATTTTTGCCTTTGTGCGCGATGCAAGACCGATGACGAAAAAGTACTGAGTGTCAGTTTAATTAACAAAGCGATTTTACTTGTACAGACAACGAACGGTGAAACCGTCCACGCCCAGGTGACCGTGACCCTCCCATCGGACGGTCTCGTGGCCATCAAGTTCAAGGTCGACCCCGACTCCACCTCCAAGATGGCCCGCAACCTGAAATCCGCCGGCCGCAGTGCCTACGACAGCTCCCTGCGCTACGCCAAGGACTACTCACAGAAAGGCTACAATGAAGCCCGCCGCCTGTGGTCCGATGAGAACCATCCGGCCTACAAGTACACCAAGTCGTACATGCACGGCAGCCTGGAAGACTGGAAGGATGAGGCCGTGAAGCATGGGAAAAGCTACTATGAAAGTACGAAAGATTACGCCAGTTCTATCTACTCGGACGATTCTGCTCTGGGAACCTCTCTGGAAGAGATTGTCCGAGAAATCAACCGACAGCGAAAGATCTGGATGGAATATGTCATGGAACTCATCCGTGATACTCCTGCCGGTAATTAAGACTAAGCACAGTAATAACTGAAAAAATAACATATATTGAAATAACTGAAATAACATAATACTAAAACATAAATATTATTAAATAAATATGTATAAATAAAATTAATAAAAAAAATATCTCTACATATAAAAATGTTTGATGTACCATAAATTCAAATGGTTGATATCAATATATATAAAAATCAGAATAAAAGTAATTAATAGTTAATAAACATAACCAAACAAAAATAACATTTTAAAAGGGCTTCAGACGGTTGATAAATGATTTGTGTGTGTGCAGGTGAATGGGTCGACGCCATCCCCAGTCTTGAGGAAGTGACCTATAAGATTAAGCAAGTGGCCGAACGACACCTGTCTCCTCAGCTGCGCATCATCAAAGCCCGTCAGAGCTGCATTCTGATGCAGTCCTGCGACGCCATGGGTGCCCTTCGCTCCATCCAGGAGGTAGCCATCGAAATCACCCAGACCATCGATCCCAGCCGGGCCCGCGATCTCGCCCAGTCGGCCTTTAAGATTGTCCAGGAACTGCTGGTGGACTTTATCCGCGCCGTGAAGGAGAAGGCCCGCAGCAATGACGACATCCGCCAACTGATCGGTACGATCAACCTCGATGAACTGGAAAGCCGCATCCGCACCGCCCAGGCGCCCAGCATTGACACCATTGTGGATGCCGCCAAGGCGGTGTTGCTGGTGATCAAGGATGTCGCCGTGGAACGTTTCGATGCTGTGGAACAGGAAGGTGATGGCTCGATCGTGGTGAAGATTCCGCATCCTTTTAAATGGAGTAGTTTCAAGGTAATCAATTCATTAGATAACTGACTGATTAATTAAGTAATTAATTTTTGTCTTCTGAACATGTAATGTGTGTCGTTGTCGTGTAGTCGATGCCACGTTGGACTGATGAGCAGCGCCAGAAGGCTTACGACTACTTCGACCGGACCCGACGCGCTTTCGATGACTACAAGAAAACCGCGTTCAAGGATGTAGCCCGCATCAAAATCCCTGGCCGTGACCAGCCCATGCATTTCCGCTGGTCCGATATCAAACAGTTCCCCAAGAAGAACATGCCCTCGCAAGTGGCCATGATCTTCGGTGACCGCCACATCATGACCTTTGACGGCAAAGTCTATGCCATCCCCGAAGCTGCCGATCAACAGTGCACATACCTTCTCAGCCGAGGTGAGGTTCTATTTCTAATGCGTATTATTAGGCTGTTTCTGGCTAATTCACTAGATTTTATAATTACGTATCTTGATTATTCTGCAGTTTTCTAACGATGTGAACAGTTAATTTAATTAATGATTTGTTACTTGTTAGTTAGCGGAGCACCCGATATTCTGTTATATTTCCATACAAAAAGAAAGAAAAGTTTGTTAAGTCATTATTATTCAGCCGAACTCAATATCAGTTGTAGAAATGGCTCAAATGGGTTTTAGAAAATTTTCCCATTTGCTTCTCATAGGATCCCGTACACTACGATAACTTGCATTAAACTTGAGTTGAACAGATAGGACATTAATTAAATATAAGTAAATAATACTTTGAAGAGCCTGATAAAACGGAAGAAATTACGATTATGAAAACGATTGATTACAGGCATGAAGGACAAGAAGTTCTCCCTGGTTAAGGACCGCAACGCCGTCACCCTGACCGTACCCGAGATGGTCATCAGCATCACCGAGAAGAACGAAGTGCGCATCAACAACAGCATGGTACAACTGCCGGTGGAGAGCCATTCCAAGCGCACCAAGGTCACGCTGGTGGGCGACACCGTCGAGGTGGAATCCGATGTGGGACTGACGCTGAAGGTCACCGGTGAGAAGAAGTTGGTAGTGGTGGAACTGTCCAGCGCCCTGTGGGACGAGACCGTCGGTCTGCTGGGTAGCAACGACAACGAGGCCGCCAACGACTGGGAGATGCCAACCGGCAAACGCGCCAGCCATGTCGAAGAATTCTTGAACTCCTACGAAGTCGGTAAATCGTCGCAGTGCCGCTTGGTCAAGGGACGTGAGGATATGTCACGTGGTGGTCAGCGCTGCCCTAAGTCGTCTAAGTGTGCACAGTTGTTCGGATCAGGATCACCTTTGAGCAAGTGCTTCCAGGTAAATGCATTTCGTCACGTGGTTTCACGAAATTAACTTTTATATCTGTGACTTCAACGTGTATTTCAATGTATAAATAATGTACAGTATAACCACTTAAACTGTGTGTATAATTTTTTATAATGTATAAATCAAGTATTTGGTATATTTTAACGCTTATATAAGCTGTATTACACGGGTTGCCGTTTGTACAGTTTGTATAAATGTTTTCTCCGTAGAACATCGACCCTGAGGAATTCAAACAGGCCTGCGAGACCGAGAGCAACAAGTGTGGTCGCAGCGAAGCCGATGAGACCGTGTGCAACGTCGTGGCGGCCTACCGTAAAGCCTGTGCCGCACAGAACATCGAGACCGAATCACCGGAAGACTGCGAAGCCTGCGAGGGTGGACGCCGTGAGAACAGCGAATGGACCGTCCGCGGTAACCAGCGCAAAGTGGACAGCGTCATCCTGGTGTCCGAGCACCGTGACTTTGCCTCCAATGCCGCCCCCGAAAAGATCCGCTCCCTGGTGGACACTATCACCCGCAAACTCCGCCAGACCAGCGCACAGGATGTCCGTGTTGCGTTAGTTGGATTCAGCGGAGCCGGTGTACACAAGAAGGCACACACTCACACCATTGACCAGTACGTTGAAAACAATTTGAATTATGCTACTGAATCTCGACCAGCAATAATTAAAAAATTTTTTCGTATTAGAAATAAGTTTTTAAATTGTTGGTTGACCTTTTAGTGAACAATTCGGAACTCCCGACAAACTGGCGCAAGCTCTGCGCACTCTGCAGTTCAAGGGAACCGAAAAGACTGACGCTTTGGAAGCCATTGAATACGTTTTGGACAGCCATGATTTCCGTCCGGAAGCCACTAAGATCATGCTGGTTTTCGGTGCTGAGGAATCCGAGGTGAGAAACAGTTTTCTGTTTAAAAGTGTGATGTTAATATATTTACATTATTGATTTACTTTTTTTATTGATTTTTCCATTAAACTTCTTATGATGTAATTAATGAAGTACATGTATTTTATTGTATTTTTTACAATCATAAATAAATTAGATGTAAGTACTTAAACTGAAACCATATGTAACTGAAACCATACCTTTACCGGCAGTTTTCTAATGCGTGGTTTAATTGCATTGCAGTTGATTTCTTCGCACTCCCGCCTGCAATCCGTCAAGGAGAAACTGGAACAGCAGGGCGTCACCCTGACCGTGTTCAGCAAGTACGGCAACGAGGACATGAAGGACCGTGACCACGGTATCAACTACGACGGCTCCATCTTCAGCTCCAAATCCATGAACACCCAGCCGCAGTCATCGCGCCGCGTCCCCGAGGAGTTCGCCTCCTACGGCCAGATGCCCAGCCGTAAGCTCAGCTTCCTGGCTAAGTCGTCGCGCGGTGCCGTCTTCCAGCTGGACACCCTGACCAGCAACGACCGCTCCCGTCAGCAGCAGCTGGAGGAGCGTGCCGCCAGCACCATTGCGGAACAGGTCAAGCGCGAGGAGAGCATGTGCAAGCGCTGCGTGTGTAAAGAAACCGAGCTGGATCAGCTGATTTCCGCCTGCCGACCCACGGCTTGTGCTTAAGTGGTGTGCGCAGTGTTTTTCCGGCGTAATTTATTCTTAAAATATTCACAAAAAATAGTGTTTCTACATAGTCGATGGGATGCTGGTTTCATCTGTAAAATTTTGTGATTTTTTCGCATTAGTTATTGTGCCGTTTTTTTCTATTTGAATCGACTCATTGATGTGAAATTGATTTTGATTTACGATTAGCAGCGTCCTACGACGTAATAAAAATCATCCTTTGATTCCGGACGTGCTGTGTTATCATAAGTAACAGTAACACATACATATATATTAAAAATTACTGAAAAGAGAAACGCAACAAATCGAAATTCTAACTTTTGAATGTACTGCTTGCAATTTTAAGTACTGCACAGTCTGTACACCATAATATAGCGTCAGAGTTAACTTCTCAGTTTATATGAAAAATAAATCAAATGTTAAACATTTACAAGAAAATATTAAAAGAATACACAGTATGTTGTAAGTTTGTAATGTAAATCCGAAATGCAGATTTATTTTGTATGATTTTAAATAGGTCCTTAAATACTCAACAATTACATACACATGACAAAGTACATACAAAATATTTATTGGCATTTAAATATTTAAAATCTACGTACTGTAAGTGTACTTATGATTCTATGAATATGTAAGTATTTGGCGGGATTTCTGAAGGTTTACAGTAATTTTCGTTTTTTAAGCGCAGACAAAACATCAATATCGCTTTTACTGTGCGTCTATGGCAACCTCCTCAGTCCGGCACACACATTACCAAGGCAGTAATGTACTCGTATCAGGCACGTGGCGCCACCATGATTTCCGTGCGTCTCGTTGCCTGCTTGCTCTCTCGAGTCTCAAGTGTCTGCGGAAATAAACAGGCTGCGTAACCGGAGCGTCGCACGCGTGTTCACGCTGGCTGTGCTAGCTGCCACTAGCAGAGACGGAGAGACCGTCGTGTTTCACTCTGTGCGGTTTGTAACCATGGAAGTTAACAGTTTTCACTAGTTGCAGGTCTATCTTACCATTCAATTACTAAAGGTTTTTGGTTGTGTTTAGAGATTTTGTCACGGTGTTTTGTTAAAACGGAAAGCTGGAGGATTGTTTCGCACAAATAAAGAACAGTGCCAGTCGGTTACGGTTTTTTAAAGAACGGCCGTGAAACAGTTCTGGTACCACAACTGTACAACCACCGTATCAAATTTTGGCATTCCCGTTGGTGTGCGCTTTAATTTTGGGTACGTTTTTGTTTACATGCTGCTGTCTTTAATATAATTTCTATATGCTTTAATAAAGTATTAAATTAAGGACGCTTGACTTCAGTTTTGAAATGGATTTGGACTTTTTAATATTACGATTTCATGGTTTTGCTCTTCGTTCACCATCACATGTGTCTCTCACTCCATGTTTTCAGTTTTGATTACTACAGTAGCAGTTGGTGAGTTGGCTGCATTCTGATTTGTGGGTATTCGCGATTTTGTGTTAAGTTTTTCCCTTAATAATGAATCATTTTTTAGATAATACAGGGTTTTGTGTGCTGAGAATTTCAGTGACCATATCATCATCTCATAACTGCAACACTTTGGATCGAGTTGACATCTTTGCTAAGAAGAAAAGCAACCGTAGACTCGTAGTCAATAATGTTGAGTGATTTTCAAATTAGAAAAAAATGTACACTGTATGGTCTGTACCGCTGAATTAAAATTTACTGTTGTCTCTAGATTCCGATACATACACTGCAGCCGGAAAATATTGAACATGGCGGTGAGTGAAATAATTTAAATTTTTTTATAAAGATGCATACAGATTTTTCGTGATGAGCAGGAGGGACGCAGTTACATCGCTTATTCGGAGGAGGCGATGGCCGAGCAAATCGCCCAGCTGACCACCATTGTCAGCCAGCAGGCGGCGGCCATTCAGAATTTATCCACATCCATCGCGCATCTGTCGCAACGGAATCTCGCGTTATCGGTGAGCCCGATGAATTACAACCAATACCTTAAATTTTTTAAAAAAATATTTTGAGATATTTTTATTTTTGCGTTCGTGTTGCAGATTAAAACTGTAGCACAGAAGTTACTTACCTTTTTTGTATTTTCTACGTACGAACATAATTTCTACAGACTTTTATTTGGTAGCCCGCACACTGTACTGTATATACAACAGAAGTATCACAAATACAGAAGTATCACAAATACGCCTTCACAAGTAAATAAAAAAATTAAATTTTGTTGAAAATAAATGATATTTTAAATAGTAAAATTTTGAAAAATTTGAATAATAAAGATTAATTTATTAAGAAAATTCCGAAAATTAAAATAATCAAAATTTGAAACACGAACAATGTGTGCACGTTACAGCGGAATCAGTATTCCGATCACGCGGAACCGCCCAACCACATTCTTAATCACGATATCGCTGTGATCGTTCCCTCCACCAGTAAGATGACACCCGCGGCTAATGATCATCGCGGTGGCCGGGCGGTGGCGGTGAAACGGGTGATGCATCCGATCAAGCGGGAGGACTACCAGCATTCCACGCCGACACATTCCGTCAAAGTGCAGGCCCGCAAGAAGGCCAAACTGACCAACGGGTCAGCGGTAAATTACGCGGCGGCGTCGGATGGCGACGGGGAGGATGGGAACCACCTGCCGACCCAAGGGGAGCACGACGAGGATGGGCTGCCGGCGCTGGATACCATGGTCAATACCGGTCGGTCGACGGCCGGAATGCTGCGCAATACTCACGCCACGCTGGGACCGACGGGTGTTGGTAAGAACGTATTTTGTGTAATATCGTTCGATGTGACGAATAATTATTTTATTTTCCTTGCAAGCTTTGTTCGCGAATACGTTTGTGATTTAGCGGTTTTTCATTCGTTTTCTATCCTTGCTTGTGTGATGCCAGTCGTAGCGACGGAACGTGAGAACTAGATAACAAGTTGTATTAGTTTTCGTGGGTGTGAATGACTTGATTTTTGCAGATGCCAAAAATCGCTTTCTCTCATATTTGCAAGCGTTGCGGGAGAACTATTCCCTGGACGAGGTACAAATTAAACAAACGCCACTGTTGTTAAACTGCTTTTTGTAGAAATAATGATACATTTGTGGTAGAATGACTGTACGCTGTCCAGTATATCGTACTATACTTTATGTTTTTACAGTGCAAAAATGTTTTGCGCCCGCAATTGTGTGATGACTGGATCGCTGTCCGCCCGGAGGAGCTGCTCAACCGTCTGCGTGATATCGATGTGGAGGTTCCTTCCCGGCAGAATCTCATGGATATCGTGCAGGCCATGGGGCCGGATATTGCGCGCGGACGCAGTGTCAAATTCGGACGGGAGACGCGTCGCGCGGTGGCCGTTCCGCGGGCCTACTTTGACGCACAGGAACTACGGAACATTGATGACTGTAAGCGTTGATGTTACAGAATTTTATCGGTTACACGAATGTAATCAAGATTCTTTTATGAATTAAATAGCTTGGATGTGATCACTGTTTGTCTTTTTTCTGTGTTGCTCGAGTACGTCAAGAATACGGATGGAGATTTAGGAAACCGGTTCGCTTTGAAAGCTGCTGATTTTGTAGGGTTTGTTGCTCCTCCCATTTCCAGACGAAGACCAGATGTTAACGCTTTCAATCACGATGAAATTCAGCCGGACGACGAAGATGCGGGAGCGGGACAGGAGTGGCCGCGCGAAGCCGAAGCAGAAAGCGACTAGCGCTCGTACAAAGTTACTAATTGTTGCTGATGGACAGTAATATTTGTTTCACACTACTTTGATAATCTCTTCATTCTTCAGTTGGGCAACTGTTATTGCATAATGATACTGTATTGCTTTTTACCGCTGTACAAAGTACCAGTCGAGGTTTTTTTAATTTTCAGTTATTAGCTTTTCATGCGACGAAAAGCGTGGCTTTCTACCTTGAAGGTTGTGGAAGATTTCCGGTCTGTAATGCGCAGCTGTACCGTTACATTTGTTTTGTCTTACTACATGGAAAGCACGACTTCAAGTTTTCGACCTTGTTTTAAAATTGTTTGTCGCTAAAACAAGAAAACATTTGTTTACTTGCTGCAATTTATTTCAACGACGCTTGTATGATGAACGACTTCGAGGAAATGTAACCCAAAAATCTTAAATTTGCTTCACAAGGTGAGTATTCAAATCGTCCAGCAAATGCTAACACTTAAACGATTTACGACCAACCATCAACAAACTCGTGTATATTCTTGATTCTTCACAACCAAACCGCTTCATAGTTCACAATAAGCGGGAATTCCCAATAAGAACTCAGTTGTTATCAGATAAATTACGGTCATCATCACAAACCGATGATTCCACATCCCATTTTTCAAAACCATTAACGCTTCACGAGGACTAGACAGAGAAACGCTTCCCAGCGTTCCTTACGCTTTCTTCGTGGACGATTTAGAGGCAGGGAGAGCTTTACTATCACCCTGCGCTTTGGACTGTAGTTTAGCGTCATCCGCGGCCCGTTCCTTGTTGATCTTGGCGCGCAGATGTTCCTTGAAGGAGCCAATGGTGCCGTCCCATTTCGTCACGGTCTGCTTGGCACACACCCAAATCTCCTTGGCCACCTGATCGATCAGCCGGAAGTCGTGACTGACCAGCATCATGCCGCCTTCGAATTCGTTAAGGGCATCTGCCAGCGCGTCGATGGTCTCCATATCCAAATGATTCGTCTATGCACAAAACCAAAATCGTCCTTTCTGCACACATTTCGCAAGTTTTTCATCTGCAGTATGCTCATGTTCATTTACAGTAACAGTATTTACTACTCTAGTCTTTAAGAATTAAATCGCACATCGATGCATAGAAGTACGTGGCCGCGTAAAAAAAGTTCACCAGTACTGCCATAGTAAAAATGAAAACTTTGCTACATTTACCTAAAATTACCAATACCATGCGCCTTCATTCGTACTATGATAATGCCAAACGGCAAACACAATACTGCATATAGATATACCTAAACCAATCAGCCAGCAGACTGACTTGGCGCAGTACTAAGTATATTTAATCATTTTTAATTCTGTGATCTGTATCTGTACTGTATCTGTATTTTACCGGTTCGTCCAAGAGCAACAAGTGGGGAACTTGCCAAGCTAACCAAGCGAACACTACCCGACATCTGCAAAATAATCGTGACTAAGTACTTTTTCAGTTATAAGAAACGATTTAGCAAAAGTATGGTTATTAACGCATACCGCTGGCCATCGGAAAGTTGTCGCATAGGGCAAATCTGCTGCCGTCCCGTAAGCCCGTACTGGCCTACAATCCGCCGCATTTCTTCTATTTCCTGTATAAAAAATAAAGTGAACACTTTTTCCGGCTAAACAAACACAATCCCCATACTTTAACTTCTGGATATGCTTTCATCATAAAGTCAACGGCAGACAGATTCAGATCCAACATATCGTGGAGATGCTGATGGTATCGCCCGATTTTCACCTACATAATTATGAACCGTATATCACTGTATGACACCAGCTAAGGAAATAAAATTCAAAACTTACATGAGGATGCTTCCGGATCATTCCGTCTGTAGGAACCAACTAAAAAATAAACGTTCCAATGACCGTACAAACAGTTATCAATATTAGCGCTCACCTCCCCAACCAATAATTTTAGTAATGTCGATTTTCCGGCACCATTTGGACCCACCTAAACATACAGACATTAGCTAACCATTTTGCACATATGTCGCTAAAACAAACACATTTTTTGAACTCAAACTGGATCTTTAACTGCTTCGAAGGCAATAAAAATTATTAGCGATGTATCGAACAGTGTAACAGCAGTGTGTATTATTAACAGTGCGTAAATGTGTACATTAGAAAAGTTATACAGAACTTTCTGCTAACTAGTAAATCATTAGTTTGGTAGGCAATCTTGTACAAAACAGCACAAGTTACTATTATTTTCTGTACGCAGTAACATACCAAAGCGACGCGGGTGTCCAAATCGATACCGAATTCCAGATCTTTGTAAATGTAGGGCTGTAAATAAACAAGCGTTATACTGGCAAATAGAGAGTACGCTTCCATCGCAGTCGCTTATCTTTACCTTCGTTTCATTATAGCGGAAAGAAACCTTCTGCACCATAATGACGGGCGGGGGAATTGGTCCCGGGTCCGGAAAGGAAAAGTTGAACAGTTTGTCTTTGGCAATCTGCTCTGTTAGGCCACCGGCCACCATCTTGGCCAGTGTTTTCTCTTTACTCTGCGCTTGTCGCGCTAGTTTGGCACTACCATGCCCAAATCTAGCGATGTACTCCTACAAGCAATAATAAAAAACACGCTATTAACAATCTTCGCAAATTAACGAATATTTCTACAATACAACTGGCTAACAAACGGAATCATATTTCAGATAATTTATCGCTTCGCTGAGTCAATGCATTGAAACCGGTCGGCTCCTAACATTCTCGGCCTTTTAATGTCATCATATAAATACCGATTCAGAGAATAGTTTTTATCGCAACGATAATGTACACACCTTCATGTGGGCGATTTGGTCTTGTTCCCATTTGTACTACGAATAGCATACGGTTAGATTGGCAATGAACAGCAGCCGGGATGAGTGAGTGAGTGATATGCCCAACCTGTTTAAGTTGGTTTTCCATTTGCTCTGCTCGTGTTCGCACGAAGGAATCATAATTACCACCGTAGTATTTAAGTTGCCTTTGATTCAGATGTATAGTGTGGGTACACACTCCGTTAAGGAAATCTTGTGAATGCGAAATCACAACGAGGATTCTCTTGTACCTGCAAAAATCATCATCGTAATACAGATAATGGCCAACACATAGTCTGGCTCATACTTACGATTTCAGTTCCTCTTCTAACCACACACAAGCATCCAGATCTAGATGGTTTGTCTAGAAACCATTAGAAGAAAGTTAGCAATCAACATAAGAATTACACAGGAACTACAGCAGTTCACAAAACAGTTATAACCCGAAGGCGAGTGCAAACGGTAAATCTTATGAACAAAAAGTTGATACCATGTAAACTGAATACAAAACAATCGTTTTCACCAAAAGGTAAAAAAAACGCAACCACAATATCGTAATAAGGTTGCAGAAATTCAAACCACCGGCAAGACACACTTGCAAGTCACGACTATAAAAATTAAGTTCTTTCAAGATATTAACGGCAATATGGCTTAATACAAAATGTAAAAACTTAAGGATTTAGTAGGAATGAAAAAGTTATAACCATACCGGTTCGTCTAGGAGAAGCATAGAAGGTTTGAGATAGAGGGCACGGGCCAGGGAAATGCGCATTCGCCAGCCTCCGGAGAAATCCTTGACTTTAGTTTGCTGCATCTGTTTCGTGAAGCCCAAACCATGCAAGATATGCGCTGCACGCGTTTCAGCAGTCTCCGCTCCCAGTTCGTCCAACCGCTCATAAATATCCATCAATTTATCGTGCGAGGCTACAAAATTCCAAAACATAATAAGCACGATTTCCAAAACACGATAAAAGAATCAAAGAAAATATCGCAAATACTTGGAGCACACTGGGAATTTTGAAAATGCGTATACTCGAGTAACGCACTGAAATCTTTTAAAGGGTAAACAGAACTACTGCGTACTTACTGTATGTAACCTGTAGGTAAATAAAGTTGTAACTTGCATTCTACTTCTACAACACATTAGCCAGAAGTATTATATCCAGAAATATTATACGGGTACAAATTTGACCAACACAGCTCATAAATCAACTTTTACTTGAAATAAATTCAAAGAAAAAAATATTTAAAAAACCTTACGAAATAAAAATCTAGTGATAAAAAACTTCTCTGATTTGCCTGGAAAATTAATAAAAAAAGGCAGCAAGAAAACACAATCGTGCATAACAAGTATCGCAATATTCCGATAGGTTTAAGAAAAAATTTACGCAGCAGTAGTTGTATGATGGAAAGCGAGTGAGGCCCTGCGTGCACAGGAATCAGCGTACCTTCAGGATCAGCGTGCGCGAGCTCCTCCGCCTCCTTCTCCAGCCGCATCCTCTCCTCATCCACCTCCATGACACACTCCAGCGCCGTCTTATCCACGGGGGCCATCTCGCGGTGCAGATGGAAGATATCCAGCCCGGAGGGGACGGGGATCTCGCGGCGGGCGATCACCGCCAGCAGCGTACTCTTCCCGCTGCCGTTCAGCCCGATCAGACCGTACCGATTGCCCGCGTTCAACTCCAGCTGTGTGTCGCGCAACAACTCAAACCCGTGGAAATTCACGGAAAAATTATGGATTTTTAGATCACGCGACTGCGGATGACTGGCCAACACGCCGGTGCAGGTGCGGAACTCGCTGTTCATGTCGAGTTCCTTCAGTTCCACTTCCAGGTTCGCCACTACACAACGCTGCGGTTGGACGGTGCGGTGGGTTAGGGGAGGGAATTTTCTTACCTAGTTTGCTATCGACGGCGGTCACAGTTTCAGTGGCAGCGGGAGCATGCCCGTTAGTCAATCCATTCGATTCCGTAGTTTTCTTGGGCGGCGCAGTAGCAGCCGCGGCGGCCTTCTTGGCCTCGCGCTTCTTCTTGGAAACACTAGACATTATGGTGGCGATAAGGACGACGAAAAGGATTCAAAAGTCCTCCCTCTACTGTTCTTCGCAAAAAAGTTGCTCAAGTATACGAAATGCTGTAAATGGAAAGAAATTAATTTTGAGGGAGAGTCCAGAAGTACCACGAGAATTTTACTTCTTGAAAAATAAAATTCAAATTTCAGTGCAAAAATAAAAAAGAACAATTAAATTTGAACGGTGCAGTTGCGCAGCGAGGAAGTGTTTCGTGAATGCCCGTGAATGGGCAGTAGCGTGGTGAGCCTCATCTTATCCATCGCGGTGGCCCGCCAGTTTATTTAGTATAAATTGTAATTTGTAGCACATTTTCTAGGAGAACTATTCGTATTATGTACTTATTAGTTATTATAAATAATCATATCTGTTACCTGGTCTTATTCGGGATTATGTTAAACAAAATTTGAAAGCAGGTAGGTTACGAAAAGCCTGAGGTATAGGTAGCTTACGAAAAGCCTGACGACGGATTTCCGGTGGCGGTTCGAGTCGACACTGTCGACTTATTAGTGAGTCGGTGAAGTCCGCCGTAAACCGTAAAACGGGCACCGCTTTTAATCAAGAGTACAGAGTTAGACAGAGCGTGTGTCTAACGAATTTCTGTCTGCTCCCTTGATTAAATGCGTTTCACGGCGCCCGGTCGCCTGCCCAGGCGGACTTCGCCGACTCACTATTAATTGTAATTTTTTACCGGAAGCCGGAAGGTCGTTTGAAAAGTAAAACTACTAACAAAAGGCTCATTGTCTTTTGTCAAAAGACAATGAGCGCAACCAAAATTTCAAAGGTTTGTCAGTTTCTATAATGTAATTCTTATTCTGTAATGTAATTCGAACCACCAGGCAGTACGTATGAGAGCAATTTTAAGCGTTGAACAGCTGAACTTGACCGGCATCAAAAGTGCATAACTTCATCAAGTACAGTAACACACTACGCATTTGCATCAACTTTCCGGTATGTATTTTCTGAAATCGGTACTGTATAAAATTTGTGCCGCATTGTATTCCCTTTTGAAGAACAGCTCCAAGCTGCTGCGTCACCTTAATTTTACCTACTCATGTTACATAATTATTGGCTCTAATTAAATTTTACAGAGCCATTTGCAGGTGGCATTCAAAACTTAAAAAACAAAAGAGACAGAGAAATGTCGAGAGCGGTATGAATCATCAGGGTGAATCAGTTCTCCTAAATTGGTCATAGGTTCGATGAATCAACTCCATGACTCATCCAGCATTTGCGTGTGATGTGGGCCGACGCTTTTTTACTGCAAAGACTTCCCACTCAGCTGTTCAATTAAATAACACGTAAATACGGCCTGTCCGTCAACACTCCCTGTAAAATCTCCATTTCCGTAAGCGGAGTTCACCGGAAGTCGCCAGGCTTTGCGTACAGTTTACGAGGCGTACGAGTGCATAGCGAGCAAAGTCGTACTCGTACGATACAAAATGTACAAAGCCAACTTCAACACGCCACAGCAGCTCACGCAGTCTGCCAGTGCCAGGCCGAGTTCTTCGCCTGAAATTTGTTACAGCGCACGGCCATGCGTGAATTTCTTGTGGTACTACTTCGTGCTGGTTTAGAAAGTGGCATATAAAAGATAAGGTGGTGAATCAGGGCGAGTTAGGTTATTGTGAGTCAAGCGAACAAGCCCATATTTCATTTTTGCATCTGATCGAGAGAGTAGTGTGTGTACCGTAAAGCACCCGTTTGTTTGAGTTTCGCTCTGTGTGCTGTGCTACCAGCCAAGCCTTCAAGATCCGTGTTGAGTCAGCCACGACGATGGCCAGTTGAGCCTATTGCAGCACAAATCCTATCCTTCGAGGCATTCTTATTTGTTTACAAATAAGTACACCGATTCTCCCGTTCTCAACCGTCGCGTGGGTCAGATCAGTTTACGAGACTGAGAGATGTCTGAAGCGAGTAGTCAGAACGCCAACAGTAATGACGCTGCGTCAGTGAGTGGTGTACGCATCGTAACACCCGCCAGTGATCATCCCCCTTCGCCGCCGCTGCCCCCACCAAGGCCCCCTCAGGTGGGCATAAGAAGCGCAATCTGACGTTGGATCTGAAGGCCTCCAGTACGGGCAGCGCCGTCAACAGTGTTAATCCCATTGCGCTGAATCAGCTGACCGTGCCCGCCACCAGTGGTGCTACGGCGGATCTCAAGACATCCCCGGGATTTCTCCTCACCAGTCCCGATGTCCAGATGCTCCAGTTGGCCTCACCGGATCTAGAGAAATTTATCATCCAGGGCCTCATGGGACAGAGCACCCCGACGCCCACCACGCAGATTGTTTTTAATCCCAAAAACGTTACTGAAGACCAAGGTAAGAGTCGTTTATCTTCCGATCTGCTTTTCGTTTCGCTGAAAATCAAAACTTGCCAGACTTGTCTACGGTTCAATCCTCGATCACGTAAGCTTATAGCTTGTTGTTGAATCTGGAGTAGCGCTTGATCGTACGAGAGTGTAATACCAAAACAAATGACTAAGATACTGAAGAATGGGATCGGTGTGCTCATGAATGAGCGTGCATATTTTCTATGATGTCATCGCGGAGCTGTGTTACATACAACCGGATCTGCTTCACTGTCCAACTTCCCTTTTTATTGGTTATAGCTTGTAGTTGTTAGCTGCTGCTACTGTTCCTCATTGACAGTTTTGGTTTCACTTTTCTGAATCAGTAATTCGTCATTCACGTAAGAACGAGCCGAGTAAACTTTATTATTACAGTACCCTCGACTTCATGAATGAAGGCTGAAGTTAATAATTAACGTTCTTTGTTTGCTTTAATGATCTGTCGCTGTCATCTTCTGACTTAGTTGAACTACTTTGTAGAATCATACGCGAAAGGCTTTGTGGACGCCTTGAACGCACTACACCGTAACGGAATGGCCTACAACGTGGTACCCGCCAATGCAGGAAATGTTGCCTTCCCCATTAGCCAGTTAGGCCAGGTGAACGGACAAAATGGTGAGTCCAGGTCTCCAGGAACCTTGAATTTGCACGGTCAATCAGTGGTCGTGTATCAATGCTCGTTGTAGTGAGCCCTGAATTTTGCCACGCTTTATAGTGAGCTTTATAAATTTTGACTGGTGGACTTTCCATTGAATTTGCTTCTTTCCGCAGTGTTCCCGCAATTCTTTACGCTAAACCCGCAGCAACAAATCCTGCCCATCCAAACGGGCCAGCCGCAAACCATGACCGCCCATCCGGTCCACCATCCGAACGGCGGCGCCATCACCATGCAGATGCCTATCCTGCAGCAGGCCAAAATGGAGCCTTACTCCCCGTCGGTGTCCCCGGTGCCCTCCGATCCCCAAACTGTGCCTTCTGATCAGCGCTCCACACAGTCGACCAACAGCTCCTCGGGCAGTGCCCACGACGGTCCCTCTCCGGCCATCGACATGAACCACCAGCACCGCATGAAAGTGGAGCGTAAACGCGAACGCAACCGCCTGGCCGCGGCGAAATGTCGGCAGCGGAAGATCCAGCGCATCAGTGAGCTGGAGGATAAAGTACGCGAACTGAAGGACCAGAATTCCCTGCTGTCCAATACGGCGGACACGCTGCGGAATGATCTGTCGATACTCCGACAGGAGCTGCTGATGCATATGACTTCCGGATGCAGTATTGAGATGTCGCAGAATTTAATGCAGTCGCTGCAGCGCCAGTCGCAGCAGCAGCAGTAGAACCCCGTGCGCAATGCATTCCTACAAGTGCCAACAACGGGTAGACGGTCGCCGGCTTCCTGGTGTGTTATCTGTTGTTTTTCTCTGTTTTCTCTCTCTCTCCTGTTGTTCCGTTGATCTGGCGGTTCGGCCAAACAGCCACAGACCCTTGCCGGTGCGGATGATGTCTGTTCGTGTTCGCGCTCTCTCCCGGCCACACATCCGCACTGATGGTATTAAACGAATTGGATTATCACACGGGATGGAAGATTATTTGGGGAGGTGGTTTTTTTTAATTTGTGCAAAGTGCTTTTATTGTTAGACTTGTTTTGTACCGGTAGATGGACAGATATAGAAAGCATATTGCAAAGAATTAATAGTAGAGTTTATCTCGTCCCCGTTTGGAGAGAAATTTTTTATTTGTTTATGCAGCTTTCGTGAATTTTACCCGTGGGTTTTTATGAGTGTCCTTTTGTCTTCTTTTTTTATCCATTTAGTGTGGGAAGCTATTGAGCCGGTGATGATTAGGCTGACATAGTTGTTGGAATGATTCTTTCTTGTGTTTGTGGTTCTACTAATTTTTAACGTATTACGAATGCACTTGTGTTGCAGTCAAACTGATGCCCCGTGTCCTTTTTGTATCTATCGCAATAAAATGATTATGGAATTACTGGCCCAGGCCGTCTATTCAGTATTACACAATTACGGGTAATCTGTGCAGTATCGATCAGAAATTTTACCTTCGACAACCGAATTATTGTAATAATTTAAGTAACAACTGAACCAAACTGAAGTTATTAATTAATAACTGAACCAAACTGCAACAACATTTTGTGATTCCATTTTGTTTCGAAGCGCTGTTACACACTGTTCTTCAGGTCAGGCTTTTATTTAGGGACTTATTACCAGTACCATTTATTTTTCTACAGGAAGAGTTTGTAATATTATGAGTCCAAAATGCAGTTAACGGCAGACTTTCACAAAACCCTGGCGACGAAATTAATGTAAAATATAATTATTTACTATATAAAACTGCGTTACTTTATTAACTATCAATAGTGACACACAATCGGACTATTCATACAACAAAGACTATTCATACTCGTATAGTGCGTATAACATAAAGTTCTGTGTGTTTATGACTAAAAAGACTATTCGTACTCGTATAGTGTGTATAAGTATAAAGTTCTGTGTGTTTATGACTAAAAAGTTACATTAATTTTTAGTGTAAATGCGGTTTTTTTTCGGACTTTACAGTTATAAAAATTTTGAAAAAAAGGCCGATATGAAACACAGTTGGATGCGTGCGCAAGTAGGTGTACTCCTATATACTTCACCGGCACACGTGCTTCATTTAATTTTGTGAAAAGTCAGTCGGCAGTCCAGAATCCAGATTTTATCAGCCAACATCAAGCCAGTGCCAAAATATGCACATAATTGTTAATCTGTGACCGTGTGAAAAGAAGACATAGTACACCACCGCTCTACTTTTAACGTAGTACTTATGTCGGTAATGCGTGATTATGTGTGATCAAGCCCTGTTTAAATCTGCTTTAATTTGGCTGGATCTAGATCTTGTAATGTGGATGCTGTTCACGGAGGCTTTATTCTCAACGGAAAAACCTGTCTGATATAGAAAACTATATAATTTTTTCAAAATGAGATCTGTTTTATTATTTGTGTTCGTCACAACGTCGCTTCCTGTGTTCCTCGCACATCCGCTTCCGGAAGACAGACTAGCGGAGGAACTAACTTCCACCACAGTGATTTCAGTAACCACCACGATAAAGCCGGTAGCTGAAGAAGCAGCCGCAACGGAAGTGAACAGCGATAATGAAACTGAGATGCTTCTAACTACGCTCACAACAGAAGCCACGGATGTTACCAGTGCAACCGAGGAAGCTGTTGCCACAATTAGTAGTGCAAGCGAAGCGACGATGACGTTGACCTCGAACACCACCGAAGTTACCAGTGCTACCGAAGATGGTACTGTAACCACGAGTACAACGAGCGAAGTGGTCGTAACCGATACCACTCTGCGTGCTACTAAAGCAGCTCGGACAAAGAAGCCGAGGACAACCAAAGTGAGGACTCCGTACCGGAGGAACACGACGGTGGCCGCGGTCAAAGCGGATTTAGAACACGCGGAAGAGATCACTTCCGATGGGACGGACGATATTGAACTCTCCATGAAAAATCTCTTCGAAACCCCGGAAGAACATGAAGACTATCGCTACGTAGTGATTATCGATGCCGGGTCATCCCATACGGATCTGGTTATTTATGAGTGGCATGTGGATAAAATTAACGGATCGGGAGTCGTTCAGGAAAAACTTCACAAACAGTGCACAGGTACATTTTACATTGTGATTTGTTTGTAGTTTACTTTGCAAGTCCAACATGGTTTTACTCGTACATAACAGCAAACGAGTGCAAACACAACGATAAGCAAAAATGAACTTAACCCTTGTACTAGTACATTAATTATTGCTATTCGTGTTAAATACATTATTCAACTGCAGCGTTTTATAAAAATCTAATTATTCGTATAAATCTTCTCTAGGAATATGCTGGTAAGATGAGCTGATCGCTTTGATAATACAGTAGTTACTGTAAAAATTGCACGTCATCCTTTGTAAGTACATAAGTAATTTGTACGTCTTGTTTTGCTTTGCCTCTGTGTATTGTACATGTATAATTGCATACACGCATAATTGTACTGTAGTTCTATGATTCTGTTTAAATTTTTATGTAGAAAATATAAATATAGTTATACAGCCACTCCCATTTGGCATTCCCATAAAACTGTAGAAGTAGTAAGGAACACGATCTGTAATATAGTACAATATATATTTTATCGATTTTCGCAATGTAAAATACGCATACTTCTAACGTAACAAAGTAAGCATGTGTACAAGTACAGTCTACAATGTATTGTAGATCTCAAATGTAGACAGGCGTAGAAGTATTGTGAATGAAAACAATGCTGTACAGCACATATAATGCTGGATTAAAATGATTTGCAATAATTTTGTAGCGCCATTGAGCACCTTTCGGGATACACCAGAAGCCGCCGGACCCAGCTTACGGGAATGCCTGCAGCATGCCAGCCTGGAAGTTCCCAAATCCCAGCACAAGATGACAAAGGTTTTGCTGGGCGCCACTGCCGGCATGCGAGTGCTGCGGTCAGTCAACATTGACAGAGTTTTCACAATTCATATTGTATTTTACACACATATTGAACATGTATTTTATGCTGTCGACGTTATAAATTTGTTAATTGCTTTACCGCGTTGTGCAATATTATAATTATACAAACTATTATTTTGATTGCCCAAACTAGTTAACAGAGACAGTGGAATGCACGGAAAAAAATTTATTACTTATTAGTTGTTTGCATAATTACGTTCAGCTTGAAATCTGCAGTGAGAACAACGCAGCCCTAGCTGCGGAGATCCTCAAATCGGTGGTGTCATTCATCCGCAACGAGTTTACCTTCAACGTCTTGGAAGAAAACATTCAGATTTTATCGCCAGAACTAGAAGGCGGGTACTCCTGGATATCGATCAACTACATCAAAAAAATTTTTATCGATAACGCGGTAAGTGAATGTCACTGCACTAGTACACATAGCTGCACAATCAATTATATAAGTAATTTCTAATTAGTTCAGTCTCCTGAGTGCAGCGCAGGTAATACATGTACACATCGACGTTTAACCGTAACAATATTTTTTCCTTGTATAATATTTTATAGCTACTGAAAAGCTTTTATTGCTAGCATTTCGCAGAGATTGCCGACTGATTCTCGCCTGGTGACATGGGGATCGCTGGATTTAGGCGGGGCTTCCACACAGTTCACATCGGAGATCACACCGACAACAACGAAAAAGATCCGCGCCACGTTTAGGATCACCCTTTATGGTCATGAATATAAAGTGTACACCAGGAGTTATCTCTGTTATGGGAAAAATGAAGCTTACCGGCGCTACAAAGCTATTCTCCTAAGCCATAAAAACTTCACCGAGCCCATTGCAGACCCGTGCCGACCCATTGATTACGAAACAACCGTGGAGTCTGCCCAGCATTTCGGACGTCCGTGTAGTAACGGCTCCATACCTACTCATCATCATAAGGTTACTGCTTAAAATCAAATCCTAATAAATTAAGTGATCAAGTGACAAGTGATTCACTTTTATGCTTATACTGTTAAGGCATACACAACATTACATGCATTTTACACACCACTATATAAATATAAATAGTACTCGAAGTACATATTTTTCCCTGATAGTATGCCAGTAATAAGTTAAATAATAATATGATTTTATATTACAACTTTTGCACATAAGATCAACTTTTGCACGTATGCGTTTTACTAATTTTAGCTGTAGTGATTGTATCTAGAATATCATGTAAATATTTTTTACAGCATCGCTCTTTTCCACGTAAGCTTGTGTGATGCTGCATTACTGTACACTACTTGAAATCCAATACCACGGCTACGGATATACACGTACATTTGTTTCTCAATGCCGTGACCTTTGTACAATTAGTCTGTGTTAATTTAGGAAAGATTTTCCGTTCGGGGGAGCGGAGATGCGGAAGGATGTCGGCAGCTAGTATCTGAATTATTTCAGAAGAACATGGATCTCTCACCTTCCGTTTGTCCCTTCGCTGATGGGGAATGCACATTTAGGGGCATCGAAAAGGGCAAGGTTGAAGGAAAATTTGTGGTCGGTATAAACTTCAATGGAGTTTTGTGAATGAATGTGAGTACCAAACGCCTACAAAATAATCGTATATATTTCGACTGTAGGGTTCTGGAGCGCTTTATTATGATACAAAAAATCTGCGAGTGGTGTCCAACGAATCATTTTCCATTGATCCTTTTGATTTTGCCGGTTTTCGGGCAGCTAGGCAAGCCGTTTGTGGGAAAACACATTCCCAGGTGCGTATTGTATACAGCAGTACAACATATGGTATACAGTACACGTCTTTCACAATAAAGAATTGTGAAGTGAAAGTGATGTGATGCAAGTTATCAAGTTCTGCAGATGGAGCGGTTTATCGAACGACGTCCTGAACTGAAAAGCTTTTTCCTGCGGCAATGCTTTGATACAACCTATCTGGAAGTCTTGCTGGGTGAAGTTTACAACTTGTCCGATGAAGTTTTGGGGAACACGACATTTGCCAAAAAGGTTAAAGTTTTTTTAGCTGTTTAGATATACGATGGGTAGAGCGTATTTGGTGATATACGATGGGTAGAGCGTATTAAGCATTGGCGTACTGCACTGCTCGATATTACTGCAAGCTTAACATAATTATTATTCGGTAATCTAATATAAGTGAATGAAGATTTGACTTACTTAACGTAGTAGTTGTATTCGGTTCATAGTATGCGACAAGCACAATTTTATAAGTGTGTACTGACAATGAGTGGTCAGCTCATATATTTATAAAGAAAAACTTGGCCTTTGCAGATTAACGGAATAGACGTGGGATGGACGTTGGGATGGGCAGTTGCAGCTTCCTCAGATTTACCAAACTCGGGTTATGAGTCGCTGTATTTATACAATAAGGGATAACAATTATGTATGTTGTTCTACTAAAAATTATTCAGCAATAATTCCGAAGCCTTTAATTTCAGCCGTGAATGTGACGCTCAGTTTGCAACCAAATTCGTTAAATTATTAGTTCGCGGCGAAAGTTATGTAAAAATATGTACATATTTTTGTTGCTTAAAGATATAATATATCAAGGAATTAATTACTAAAGTGTATGGACGTACTATTTTGCATGTGCGAATAAAAAACTGTGTGTTTATGCTACAGGTAGCACGTACGCATAACAGTACGTATCGATTAAATTAAAAAGTTGTTTCATATGATTTCCATGCAATGTCATGTAATAAACCCGATAGCAAAACTTGAAGAGGTGCAAACTATGGATGCATTAAAGTAGCCGGTACATACTTGCACATTAATAAAATGGAATCGAACCGTTCTGATTCTTGACTTTTGAATTGCAGTTGATTTTGCTGCGTTTGCAAAGGGTACTTTATTGCGACCCAAATATTCATTGAACTCTATTTCCGAAACATCCACCGCATGCTACTAATAAATCTCCAGCGAGTTTCTTCGCAATAATGACGTTTTACACAAATTCATGCATTTTAGTTTTTTGCAGCACTATTCGACATTTTTGGTAGCCATTACCAGTCCTTGGATGGCCTTGGAAATGCATTCCGTTGGCTGAGCATACTTGCAGGCGGGCTTAGAGTCCATAAACTTAATCAAAGGAATATCCCTGACACTGCATCCGTACTTCTGGAACAGGCCATTGATGATGCTATCAAAGGTGTCCTTGTCGGCTTTGCTTAGCTTTCCGGGATGGCCGCGTGTACTGGCGTAGACGAAGGGTTTATCGCACACATTGGTCTTCGTATTGGGGATTATACAGCCGTAATCCACAGAGAATTTGGTGTTATCGTAGTACAGCCCGTTCATATTGTTAAGAACTGTAAAATGTATCCGTAAACAAAATTCATCATAAAATATCAATGTAATAATACGTATAATTTATACTTATACGAATATCGTACCAGGCATTGGTTGACCCAGCGTCATAACATCAAACCCAATCTGCTGGCCGTTGTTGCCCACAGCTCCGGTCCAGAAACCGGTGTGACATGTTTTGTCGTTTTCCCCGTTATACTGGGAATACTCAATCCACTGCCACTGCGCCGGGATAGCGCTGAGCGGCAGTTCGCCCCGCCCGATGTTGTGCACGGTGTACTGCTGATTAACACTGTTCGGCTCGTCGGCGTACAACTTCCGGTACATGTACCATAATCCCGTGACCTGATTTTAAATTTTAAAATTATCTACCTAATTATTATGTATTTTTTAGCATAGTTTTGCTTATAAAAATTGTAACCAAAAGTAAACAAATGTTACCTATGCACCTGTTATGAGAGCGGCAGTTTACGAGTAAGTAAATATACAGTACTTTACATTTTTCGGTTCGTGTGTTTTCACTCCGGGAATGGTCAGTGGCCATTTGCAGGCACTAGCACTGTTGCCGCTTTTGGAGGCAGGGACGTTGTTCGTAGCACCCGGCTTGACGACAATCTCACCGAGACCTTTGACCATCCGCGTGGTGCAATCCGGTGGTGCGGTGAATTCGCAGTACGGCTGCGACAACGACTTTACCCTAGGTATATCGTCAGCTGTGATACAGTATGGTTCCAGGAATGTACTAATAATTTTATCGAATTCCGCTTGTTTCTGTGTCGTCAAATCTTGCGGACGTATACGGATGTCGGCATAGATGACCGGCACGTCACAGGTGGATTTCAGAGCGTCGTTGTCGTTCTTCCGGAAACAACCATACTGCACCATCAGGTCTTTGTTGTCCGTGTATACCAAGGCCAAATTCATTGGATCTGAAGAACACCGAGAGCATCCATTTTGTTAGTGCTACTGTATATAATGATCAAATTATGGATAAATATGGAAGTGATGCGCGTATATAAGCTTTCCTGATTGGATAGTTGCATACAAATATGCACCGCGTTTTTTTCATTTTTTTATGTATACTTGTATATCTTTCAACTTACGGATAACAAACCCATCATCAGCCGACAGACCGTAGCCAATTTTGCGACCAGAGGTGGAAAACATGGCCATGTAATAATCGCTGTGGCATTTTTTGTCGTTGGGGGTCGTGTATGCGCTCGCCGTCCAGTATGCCTGGGCGGGATCATTGGTCAACGGTGTCGTAGTAGGGCCAATTAGTGTTACGTTGATACGAATATTACCAACATTCGGTACGGTGGTGTCAAGCTGCCGGTACCGGTACCAAATACCACCACTCTACAAACAATCACAACTGCAAACTATTGAGCCCTTTTCAAAATTCAGAAAATAAGATCTTAGTAAATGTGCTTCCTTGCGCGGATAGCATTAACATTACCGGCTGAAAGAATGGCAGTGACACAAACAAAGGGCAGACATTGCTTAATCACCTGTTCCGGCTGCACATTGCTTGCGAAGGTCGGCATTAGATAGGGAAACGTCTTTTCCGTGCATTTTGAGGGTTGCGGAAGCCGCAGTTGTAACCGATAGGACGGTAGCTACAATTACTACTGCTTTAAGGATCACTTTTGGGTTTTTGCACGTTGCACAGATTATGCGGAGTAACGAATGCTTAACAAAGCTTGCTGATAGAGCTAGTGTGCATTCAGCATATGCTTCTACTCTGCATATACAACTGCAATCAACAGAACAGCAAACAAATACGAAATGTATAAACGAATGTAAACGAATCAAGTACAGTAGTATGTAAACGAATATACTTAAAAGAATCAAATGCCGTACCTGACAGATATGCAAGAAGCCACATTTCCCGTTACAATTTTGGTTTAACAACGAGGCAATTATTCCAGAATCACTGAATCCAGAGCTAGTGCTCAAGAGTCAAGGCACAGAACCCATTAAGACGTTCTGCTTCTGTTCCTGTACGTGTCACAGTGTTCCCCATACCAAAGAGTGTGCGAAAAAAAATCAGATTCAGTGCGCTACCGCCAACCGGTTTTTTTATGCCGGTTACCTAATAAACAATAAATCATTAAGAAAGTGTAATGCATAGTTTTTATCGCCTTCAACTTTTATAGGCGTGCTAATGCAAACACCAGCCATGCGCGTACCCATGCCCCACCAGTGCCACCACATACTCGTACCCTAGTGCTTGGGTATTTTTTAACTACGGATGAAAAATAGCTCAGCTGTAGTTTACCAAACCTGGATCTGAAAATTCAGCAATTAAGTTATCGCTGCTTTCGAGTTCTTGTTTCTTAATTATTGCTTCTGCGCAGTAGCTGTTATGTACATTGCTCGCAGTAAAATGTTTTATTAGTTTTCTTTGTCTAAACTATGGGGTAGTGTCACGGAAAACAACACAGCTTTAAGCAGTACAGATCTTTTACTGCTAAAAACCTTATAGATATTGCATAATAGTGCAATATATCTGTAGTGTATGTACAATTACAGGGTATTTAATACTAGAAAAATGCACTTTGGCGTGCATTGGCAGACCGAAGCGCAGCTTAGTCGCTTAATCATGGTGTTGAAACTGTTTTTATTATCCTTTTCCGTTTTTACTGAAAAACATCCGTCTTTTGATGAAAGTATTCTCATTGTGTCAAAAGTTTTATTAAGTCTCTTAATTCAGAAATGATTCCTAGTGATCAATGATCATACATACCTTAATCTCAAAACTTGATTTTTCAAGGAACAACCGTATTTTCTAGTGCGTGCTGAAGCAAAATAAAACCCTTTCATTTGTGCAAATTTTGAACACATTTCGACATACGCATTTGACCAGTAAAAATGCCACCCTTTTTACAAAGAAAAAAGGTGCCGACCTGACATTTTCAACACGCCGCTCTTGTCACCATAAAAACAGTACCCTAACTCTTTTACTAGAGTGACATCATGGGAGGAAATGCTAAGAAAAGCCCATTTACGTCTCTGCTACCGCACCGCACGCATATACATCACCACGCGTCATTCCCAAATTTAAATGGTAGACCTAACGTTAAATTTTGTGCTTGGACAACGAATTCAGTTTTCCTGCATCCAAGCGATTCATCGGCATGGAATTAATATACTTTGCGGCATAGATATACAGCACAAACGTCCAGCATATAATTGGCAGGTATACCTTGTCACTATACAATGCAGTGAACACACGTTGAACACTTAGCTTACGAATAACATAGTCATCATCGGCGGAAAGCCCGTATCCCACCTTTACGCCCGGGTCGCCGAGGATGCCCATATGGTAATCCGAGTGGCATTTGCCGTCAGCGGTACTATATATACGCCGTGGTGGACCAGTAGGCGTGGGCCGATTCGTTGGTGAGCGGTGTTGTGGCGGCGATGGCTCCGATGAGGGTCACATTTACGCGAACGTTGGTAATATTACCTGGCTTCTTGCTGCCGTCAAGAGAGCGATAATGATACCAAATTCCGGTCCACTGAAAACAATTTCAGGCTTGTGCTTTTAGCTGTTGCGATCAGCCTGCCATTTATTTATTGGTGAAGAATAAACACGAAGTAGCAGACTAGAAGAGTAGAACTGTAGCACAGGAAGCAATTGTATCGATTTCGGCTTGAGGCTTCTTGCGACCATGATGGAGTGATGTAAGGGAACCATGCTGCCGTCAGTTCTGTCGGATGTGGTCTGGAAATCACGGCGCGGAATACAGTAAGCAGACTGTATAGTTGACCTTTTGGCCGGACACCATCGTGCTTTGTTTATTACGCTACACAGGCTCACAACATATACCATGATGAGCTGTAGCTAACCTGCATTCCTTGTATTTGCTGCATTGGCGTTTTGTGGTTTGGTTTTCTGGATTTTAAAACATGTGTACTAGTTTATTCCTTTTACATGCACTGTTTCGTTGATCGTCATTGATGTGTTTTCCTGGCCCACCATCCCTCCCTTTCGCATTTTGTACTAATTAAAGGCACAACTCAACTCACTGCTCTCCCCCGCCACGGTACGTATACGCACGAAACCGCACCGAAAGGAACGGTAGCAAGCTCGCGCATTCCCATATACACCCTGGCCACGAATCAGGTTTCCTGGAGCGAGCACGAACCCGGGCATTCCATAAATTTTTGCATCTCTCAACCAGCACAGCATTCCTTCCGGTTTCCGGTGGCCAAGCATGTTCCGAGGCTATCTTGAGACCTTGCAGCCGAGTAGGGGTTAGCCAATGACCCAACAACTCGCCGGTGTTTCCTACGCTACGACATTAAGCGGTATTACCTAGCGATTTTGCACACTGGGTAGAGCAGCAATGACCTAAACACAGGATATGTTCTTCCGGACAGGATATGTTCTTCCGGTCGCAACTCTCGGTATCGATAGAACTACATCTTTTCACTGGTCGTGTAAGCGCTCAGTACTTGGTTTAGTACTGTATTTTTATGAGGTACAAAGTACGTACTACGTAATAGTACTCTTGACTGGATAGCGACCTACTGTTGGTTTAAATTCGCACTGTTGATTTACCGGGACGCATTTAAAGTTCAGCTGGGTTAAAGCGCTTGATGAAATACGAGAATGCATAAAGAGAACATTTCTAAAAAAAACTTTTCTTCGTTGCGCATTTGTTCAAAAAAATTTAAAAATTCTGGCGGGGGGAATTTATCCGACTGGATGGAGAAGTTTTCCGTGTAGTTAGGGTTCAGAGTCGATGGCAGCGTTGTATCGGGGTCGAAATCTTGAGTGGGGAGGGGCTTCTTGGGAAGGTAACTGGAGTTTAAAAATTTAATATTGCTCCATGTCCATACTTTTTTCCATCTCGGCCATGAAGACGTGATTATCGGTAATTGCACTGCGGACGAATAACGTACAGGTAACAGGAGTAAAATATTACTGTTGCAGATACAGCGAGCATTTTTACGGTTCTGAGACTAAATTAACCGCGTTCGACATAGGGTCGTCACCGCAGCATTGTGCATTGTCGGCTGATGTACCACCAACTCCTGTTGTTCACTACAACACTGATAAAAGCCGCATTACGAGCGTCGAGTGTATTGGCGCTTCTTCCTTAAGTCAAACGCTTGCAGAACCGAGGTACCCCTCGCATGCGGTTGCATATGTAGATGTGTAGTTTGGTTATATGGGTATATCCATGGCAAGCCAGAGCGGACTAAAGTAGAGAACCATTAAACTGTGTCTAAACCATTAAACCATTAAACTGTGTCTAAACTCTAAAGGTTGATTATTAGTGGGAGAACGGGCACTTTTAATTGTGCCGGCTCAAATGACTGCAACCTGTTCCAGTTTATTTCGTAGGTTTTCAAAACAACTCTGCGCCAACATAAGTACCGGCATCGAATTGCGTGTGTCACATTAACGAAAATATTGTTCGAAACTCTCCCACCACAAGAAACTGGAAACTGACAAAGGGCACACCATGATCACTAAGACTTGCCCTAAACTAGTTATCATCCTTCAGTGCCCGTTCAGACCAAGGTGGCTCGTTTGAGACCCTCGACGGCCTTGGCAATGCATGCTGTGGGTTCGGCAAATTCGCAGGCTGGTTTGGAATCGATGAATTTAATCAGGGGCACATCTTTGACACTGCAGCCGTACTTGTTGAAGAAACCATCAATGATCTTGTCAAATTTGTCCCTATCGGCTTGCTTCAATTTGGTCGGTCGGGTGCGCGTGCTGACGTAGACGAAAGGCTTTTCACACACGCCGGTTTTTGTGTTGGGCACAACGCAGCCATAATCCAGCGCGAAATCGTTGTCGTAGTATAAACCATTCATGTTGTTCAAAACTATAAAAAATACATAATTTGATTCTTAATTATTTTAGTTAAGTGCGGCTTTTCAGCAAAACGCGATTGAAAAGTGGTGTAGAAAGGCAGAACGTACCGGGCATGGGTTCGCCGGTGTTCGTAACGTCAAACCCAATCTGGGCCCCGTTGGCGCCCACAGCGCCCATCCAAAAACCGCTACTGCAGGCGGTGTCCTTTTCGTCGTAGTACTTGGAATACTGAAGCCACTGCCACTGAGCGGCAATCGCACTGAGCGGCAGTTCGCCCAAACCGATATCGGTCACGTTGTACACCTGGTTAATTGTGTCTTGCTCGCCGGGGTACAATTTGCGATAGAGATGCCACAGTCCAACAACCTAAAGAATAATGTCAAGATATGAAGTGACTTATCCGTGTCAGCAGACAGAGTGGTTACCTTTTTCGGCTCGTGCTTCTTTTCGCCGGGAATGACCAGCGGCCACTTGCACTTGCTGTTAGTCGCCGCCGTGACCTTTTTGGCGTTGGGCTTAACAGTGATCTCAGCCAGTCCTTTGACCATTCGCGTCGTGCAGTCGGGAGCCGGCGTAAAGTCGCAGAAGGACTCCGGCTTGTACTCAACTTTGGGGATATCAGTGGCTTTAATGCAGTTTAGCGAGAACATGACGTCGATGAGTTTGTCGAAGTCGGCCTGCTTCTGCGCGGTCAGGTCTTCCGGTTTGATGCGGGTGTCCACGTGGATGACCGGCTGGTCGCAAGTCGACGCCACGACGTCCTTGTTGTTCTTCTTGAAGCACCCATATTCGATCGAGAGCTCTTTGTTGTCGGTGTAGATCAACGCATAGTTCTGAGGATCTGAAAATATATTGCTGCTGTGATTAAAAGTAATAAACATGAAGAAGTTGCCGACAGCGGACAGAAACCGTCCACAACTAAATTTTATAACGCTTACATTATTAACGATATGTAATGAGCGAAATCAGTGGAGGTTTTTCTACACTTTGTACTACCGGTAAAACCGGTTTTCGTACACTTGGTACTAAAGGTAGGAAGCAATTTTTCAGGAGACTTACTGTAATTTATTACATACCTTTGCATCAGTGCAACACGCAGCACTTCAGAACATAAGTTACAAACACTGATTCTTTTGATATCAAAATTTATTAAACTTATTCGTAAGGCTGGTTACATGTCACCTGTAGAATGCTGGCATGCGTGGCAGAGAATTACTGCTCGAGGCAACTATCTACCGAGAATGGCCGCACCTTTGCGCTATATAGTAACTAGTTATTTGTGATTCAGTGACTATTGTTAACAAAAATGGAAAAGTTAGAACGGAATATCGGTAAGAAAAAAAGGCTGGCAAATATTGCAAAAAAGTGAGCACCATTATTATTGATTAGGTCGGCGGTATTCCGATAGTTATCGCTATCTACGTGTTAGGGCGTTTCTGCGAAAAATCTAACATTTTGTAATTGTACTGATAAACAGTGAACCCTTACGAATAAGGGAGTCATCGACCGAGGAAAGACCATATCCAACCTTTCGGCCGGAATTGGAGTACATGGCCATATAATAATCGGCGTGGCATTTGCCATCATCGGCTTTATAAGCCGTCGTGGTCCAGTAGGCCTGAGCGGGATCGTTGGTTAGCGGAGTCGTGGTGGGTCCGATAAGCGTGACGTTCACGCGGACGTTGGTTACCGGTTTTCTGCTGGCGTCAAGAGAACGGTAGCGATACCAAATTCCACCCGTCTAGAAAAGGGTGGGGCATAGTATTGTGTTGTGCATAGTACTAATGTTGTTAGCTTGTCATGATCTGGTGCGAATTACATTTAGATAAAACTACAGTAAATAAAATAAAATAAATGAAGTACGAGCAATACTTAAATACCTAAATAAAATTAAATACAATACCCGCAGTTTTTAAATAAATAGTATTAACTAATCAAGATAAATAACTGCATTAATAACAATGGTAATAGATTTCGATAATTGATAGATTAATGTAGATACATAGATTTAGATAATTGGTTATTTATAATAATTTTACTTAGATGAATTTGGACTTTTCAAAAGTTTACATAAAATTAAAAAAGTATACCGTTTCCGGTTTGGCGTCTGCAAATGTTGACATCAGGTAGGGAAACCTCTTTTCCGTACATTTCTGCGCCGAAACCACTACGCCCAGAAAACACACTGCAATAGATACACAGTTTAGTGACCTTTATAGCCGTCTTCTGTAGCCGGTTCAAAAACCCAAAACTATGTAGTTTAGATTGAAAATGTGTTGACTAAAAGATACCTGCAAGGTTAATGTATCTCATTTTCAATAAAGTTGATTCACCGACCCACCAACTCCACAAGCCAGACTCAATCACTGTTCACAGTTTGTCGATGGGAGCCCAAACTGCTTTTTATATGCTTTGAACATAATGATGCTGTTACGAGTACGCCTCGTAACGATGGCGTGTCATGTCGTTTTCTGGTTTTCTTCTGCTTTCCGCCCTTCCGGGCATGTTCGATTATATTCACGGTTATGTGGTGTCGGATGTTCTTGCTTCTTCGGTTTCACCAACACTATTTCGGGTTCGTGTTCTTGTAGTTGTGGCTGTCACCCGTTGCCCTTTCTCGGGCGCCGCAGCACCCGCGCGACAATGCCATCGGCATTTTGACTTACAGTGATATAAAACTACTCTAAAGCAGAAATAATTTTAACCCCGCGGCGTTGTGCTTAGAAACTGTCATTACATGTCCGCAAATTGTAAATTGCGTACTGCGGTATAATGTTTTGCTTTGAAGTGGGCGTGCGGCAAATTACGTGTTTTTTACCGTTGACTTTTTTACAAATCCTGTTCTGGGTTGCTGAACTGCTAATAGGTTGAAAATGCAAATCATGTATGTTCGGTCCGATTTTGCAGAACTCATACGTTAATAACAATACAGGTGCAGTAGATTATAACAACAGCATAAGAATACTGTGACTAAAAAAATAATAATTGGACGTTATAAGATTCGGTCTGCACGGTCTGTCGTTGCTTTAATTTTTATGTTTGTTTCGCAGAAGCGCGAATAAAAAGAATCACAAAATTTACGTACAAAATTGAAGCGTGACAACTGGAAAGATATTTAAAGTGTACAAGCTTGTCCGGTAATTTCCTACGTAAAGGTACAAACAGCACATATTTAGCGCTGAGTTTGCCTTATGGCAATTGCCACTACACTACGTCGTAAAATTGTGTGTTTCGTTGTATTGATTCGTAAGAAATTACCGGACAAGCTTGTACGTCCCCCCATACGTATTAACTGCAACATGAAAATTTGTGGTTTTAGCATTTGACAAAGGAGTAGGTGGCTCCCTGCAGAACACCGACAGAGGTAGCAGCAAACTGCTGGAAAGCAGTTTTGGACAGATCCAAGTGGGTTTTGGAACAGCTGGGGCATTTGTCCTTGACCGGCACTTTAATGGATTTGCCGTTGTAGGTGACGCGGACGCAGACGTTGTTGGTGCAGAAGGGGTCAACGTTGGGATTGGCGGAAGTGTACCACTGGTGACTGATGGCTACCAGGTTCTGCGTCGCAGCATTGATCTGTGTACCACACGCTCCGTATCCGGCGTCATCGTAATAAGTCAACTTTGTGCCGGAAAAGGTCTGCCCCCAGGGAATGTTGGCTTGAGCGCTTGCAACCTGCAAAATAAGGAAATATAATTAATTTTATAATAATCTTAGGTTGCAACTTGCACCGAAGGAAATCTGTTATATAGTCTATATTCTATTTGTAATATGTGCCGCGATAAGCTGCAATTACGACAACTGTTGAAATGTGTAAAGTGTAAACCGATGCACCGTACCATTGCAACTAAAACAAAGAGCGCGGGGCAATATGTGTCCATGATTTTCAAATTATACGAAAGCTTGAATTAAGATTAAAAAGCTCTTTTACGTATATTGCGGTGAACGGGGAGGAATTTAGGAAAATCACTCGGATCTAGGAAAATAAAGCGCTATAAACTTGAATGTAAATTCCGGAGCTTACTGAGCTTTATATAAGAACCACTGGTTGCGGTATGAAATGCTATACCGGAAGAAAACATCCTGAAATTGCGCGTTCGCTAGTAACAGTTTCGATAAACTGGAAGACATCCTGCATTTAGCTAAAAGTAATAGCAATATCATAAAGATAACAGAACAGACTGTAAAAATGTAATACGTACTGTAAGGGCAAATTACAAGTGCACTGGTTACTCACCTTGAAGTCGAAATACGCACGCGTACACGGAAGGCACTTATCTCGTCAACAAGGATTCAACAGGGATATGAAAACTAGTAAGCGGAAAACTATCTGGTAATTTTCGTAAATGTTTTGCTTTCAGTCTTGAGGTTTACGAAGTTACTCATCTTGAAAGATATCGTGGGCAGTTATCTGATGTAGAATGCGAAGTGCGAATAGACAACGCCAATTTACCGCCAAAATGAAACTGGGCGTACGTCGATCGAGAACATAAGTACCGCATACAAATAAGTTTTAGCGGGTAAAAGTGTTAATCAAAGATCGAATTTTAACAAAAATCATTAATTTTATGCACTGAACTATATATTTAGCATTTTCTTCGCATTTTAACATAATTTCAAAACGGGTGTTAACACACTGTGTATGGCCACGGAAGTTAGTGAATCCAACTTGCCCGATATGCGATATAAGGTACTGCAAACACGCTGATATACTTACTTTAATTTTTATCCTATAATTTCGTGACACTAATAATAGAGATACCGGTAATTAAATTCAGTAAAGCCTCTATTCAAAGTGGACAGGAAGTATTTTATTGCAGTCGTCCGTATTTGGTCGCTACGAATTCAGCTGTGCTTGAAATTGAAAGGAACGCATAATAAAACGGTACATAAAGTAAAAATTTTTTGCGCTTGATTAGCCACGTACAAACGGGAATTTGCTCCATGCAGGTGAGCATTAAAGTTGTCGGACAGCTTCTGCACAGCCGGTGTTGGGCCAGTCGCTATGGCAGCCTACGAGTATGGCAGCCAGCGACAGTCCCGCTTCCGGTGTGCTGACTCACACCGAGTCGCACTCGCTGTCGAGCGCTAGATCGGCCTCGACTCAGGCAGCTTTCCGCCCAGCCTTACGTCTCGGCCAATCATCGGCCTCGATGTAGGTGGAGCCACGCCCCACTTCCACATCTCGGCCTATCAGCGTTCGTTCGCTCGTGTTGGATCTGCCCAGTATGCCGCATAGGCTTTTTCCATGCTTTGGCTCGATATGCCGTTCATTTCTATTTCACTAGCATTATCATTTTCACTGTACTTTCACGATACTGCTCGCACCTCGAGCCTTTGTGTGTTGGTTCTTCACTTTATTGCTATCACAATAAAGCCTTCTCTCACTATCGTGAGCCTTTGTTCGCCAGCTGTCACACCGGTTTGGAAAGAATCAAATGCGCACGATTAGTACTTTTTTCTGACATTTAACAAGACAAAGCCCAAAACAATTTTCTCAAAGCTTGAAAAAAGGACAGTTTTTAAATTATCGTAAACTTTTTATATTATATTATTATAATAAACGCGAAATTGAATGTTTATGAGAAAAAGCTGCAGAGCAGTTCTGTATTAGATCTGATGGCTCTCGACAAAATTTAGATTTTTTTAAGAAAAATTTTTAAGAACAATTCGAAATTGAGCAATTTAATGGGGGAACGTGAGCGGATGCACTGTTAGTCGTCGGACGAATACTGGAAATGCCCTGGAATTCGGAAATATATGTTAAAGGATGTCACCACTCACGAAATCTTTATGGAGTGGGACTCCCTTTTTGGTTATTTAAATCGATAAAAAAATATTCGAAAAGTCTATACCCTTAACCCAACTCGTCGCAATATTAATGAACAAAAAGAAATTAAGGTTATTGTACGTACTGAATCTTCGAATAAATTCGATTAGATTTCTTGAACAACGAATACTGCTATGCATGCGAGTATAGGAAGTCACTAATTATAGGTACTTTAATTGTGTCTCAGCCGATCAACTAACTGTGCATACAATACAGAAAACACCATAAAACTATAACAAAAAAATCTCGTTAAGTTTATCCGCGCCTTCCATGGTGGCCAGCCCCGACGCCGCATCCCCACGTTGTATTTCTATCGGTGTCACTAGTACGTACAATTTACATCAGTGCCACATAAAATTTTACAGTTCGTTACCAGTGGAGTAATTTACGAACAAAGATATCAATCAGGTCACAAAGAAGTTTAACGGAAAATGCGGAGAAATACTGCACTTAAGGAAATATTGAAACACAAAAGTTGAAACAGACACAGTAGTGTATACTTTGTATGCACAACTTTTCGAATGTGAGTTTAATGCAGTCAGCGCAAAACACCCAATTGTCTACTTATCTGGAAGCGGCAATTTTAAGATAACCCGAGCAAATATATATATATAAAACATTTTATTATGCTTCATTTAGATACCAAATATGGCTTTTGCACATTTTTTTCTTTTTTTAGATTTTTAAACACTTGCAGAAAAAATATACCTGCCTTCTTAGACCAGATTCAGTTTCTGGAATGCAGTATTTACACAAATGACACCTTGTTGCATTCGGGTAAATTTGCGCCAGACACAAAAAATTTCAGCTTTTGAGAAATTCCGCTAGTAGGTACCCAGCAGGTATAAAACAGTAGATAGTAGGTACCTTTGCCTAAATGCCCGTGAAACATCCGTTTTTTTCTGTCAACTACAATAGCGCCTGTGGAAACAAGAACACGCTTGAACGTAGGGTTTTTTAACATCAGTACTTGTACAAGGACAGCACACAGGAGTGTAGCTCGCTTATCAAACATTACGAGTAATCTTAATTGTACCGGCTCAAGACATTCCTACCCTATTCCCCTTTAATTTCTTAGATTCTCAAAACAAAACAATACATCAAAAGCAGGTACCGGCGTCAGATTTGCATGTACCGCATTAACGAGAACATTTATAAATCTTCTTTTACCATAAAGATATCAGTAAATCTGATAAGCGGTACACCATGATCATCAAGCTGACGGGTCCTGAACAATTACGATGCTTCAGTTTTATCTATGCCGAGGTAGCTTGCTTGAGGCCCTGGACGGCCTTGGCAATGCATGCAGTGGGTTCGGCAAATTTGCAGGCTGGTTTGGAATCGATGAATTTGATCTGGGGAACGTCCTTGACACTGCAGCCGTACTTGCTCAGGAAACCGTCGATGATCTTGTCAAATTTGTCCTTATCGGCTTGCGACAATTTTGTCGGCCGGGTGCGGGTGCTGGCGTAAACGAAAGGCTTTTCGCATACGCTGGTTTTGGTGTTGGGTACAATGCAACCGTAATCCAGCGCGAAATTATCGTCGTAGTATAAACCATTCATATTGTTCAAAACTACGAGTAGAAAAAATGCGTAGTATGGTATATAATCTTATATGTGGTGGTGCGAGTATCTGTATCTAGTATTTATAATTACATATATATTCTATATATGTCGAAGTATTCATATGAAATATATTTATATGTAGTATAGTATGATTATTATGTTTTAATTAGCGTTAAATACGCTGTTACAGCGTATATAATGCGTTGAAAAATGGCATCGAAAATAGACAATTACCGGGCATGGGTTCGCCGGTAGTCATAACGTCAAACCCAATCTGGGCTCCGTTGGCGCCCACAGCGCCCGTCCAGAAACCGTTGCGGCAGGTGGTATCCTTTTCGCCGTTGTACTGCGAATACTGAATCCACTGCCATTGAGCGGCAATCGCACTCAGCGGCAATTCGCCCAGGCCGATGTTGTTGACGTTGTACATCTGGTTAACTGAGTCTGGCTCGTCGGCGTACAGCTTGCGATAGATGTGCCATTGTCCAACAACCTAGTGAGTTACAATAATTTCAAAAAAATTAAATTTAATGTCATTTATTTTATTAATTATGAGAAGCTAATCGGCCGCGTCTGCAGAGGAGGATGGTACCTTTTTTGGCTCATGCTTCTTTTCGCCGGGAATGACCAACGGCCACTTGCATTTGCTGTTAGTCGCCGCCGTGACCTTTTTGGCGCTGGGCTTAACCGTGATCTCAGCCAGCCCTTTGACCATTCGGGTTGTGCAGTCGGGAGCCGGTGTGAAGTCGCAGAAGGCCTCCGGCTTGTATTCCACTTTGGGGATATCAGTGGCTTTAATGCAGTTAAGCGAGAACATGACGTCGATGAGTTTGTCGAAGTCGGCCTGCTTCTGCGCGGTTAGGTCTTCCGGTTTGATGCGGGTGTCCACGTGGATTACCGGCTGGTCGCAAGTGGACGCCACGACGTCCTTGTTGTTCTTCTTGAAGCACCCATACTCGATCGTGAGCTCTTTGTTGTCGGTGTAGACCAACGCCAGGTTTTGAGGATCTGAAAAGGGGTAGCTATTGTGATTAAAAGCGATAAACGACTTACCGGCATTGTACATGAAACGTCCGCAGCTTAATTTACGATAGCGTTTTGAATAAAATCAGTGAGGTAAAACCGGGTTTTTTCTACAATTATGGTTCGTGTCAAAGTTAATAAGTACAACACTTATTTCAGGAGAATTGTACAACATACAGTATTTTTACCTTTGCGTCAGCGAAACTGCAACATGCAACATTTTAGGATACAAGTTACAGATGCAAATTATTTGATTATATGAAAATTATTGGAAAGGCTGGGAACATCTGTCTCATTCTGTTCCAACAGAATGCAGATAATAACACCTGCAAATCCTAGCATGCATGCGTAGCAAAGAATTGCGGCTCGAGGCAACCACAAATCTCGAAGACGCACCTTGGCACTAGAGTGGTAATTAATTTGGTGCAGCAACTAATATTAAAAAAATTGAACAAAAATTAGACCGGAATATCGACAGAAAAAATCTGGCAAACTAGCACATAATTATGGCTCGGGGAAATAAGTCAGATAACCGCAAAGATGTACTTGCGCGCTACTATCTTTTAAAAACTGTTAATGCAAACGATTAATATTACCAAACGTCAGCACCACTAGGCCAGCGGTATACGAATATTCACCTGCTGTTGCCTTAATGAAAAAAGATAACATTTGTAATTATACCGGTTGCACAGTGAACCCTTACGAATAAGGTAGTCATCGTCGGCGGAAAGACCGTATCCAACCTTTCGGCCGGAATTGGAGTACATGGCCATATAATAATCGGCGTGGCATTTTCCGTCGTTGGTCTTATACGCCGTCGTGGTCCAGTAGGCTTGGGCGGGATCGTTGGTCAGCGGAGTCGTGGTGGGTCCGATGAGGGTGACATTCACGCGAACGTTGGTAACCGGCTTCTTGCTGGCGTCAAGGGAGCGGTAGCGATACCAAATTCCACCCGACTAGCAAACGGACGCATATTACGTTGTGCATAGTAATGCATTTCGTTAGTTTATCGTGATCTGGTACAAAATAACGCAAATTTAGGCAAAATGCAAAAAATGTATGTACCGTTTCCGGTTTGGCGTCGGCAAATGTTGACATGAGGTAGGGAAACCTCTTTTCAGTGCATTTCTGCGCCGAAACCACGACGCTGAGGAAGCACGCTGCAATAAATGTGCAGTTTAGTAATCTTTACAGCCATTTCCCGTAGCCGGTTCAAAAACTAAAAGTTTAGGTAATGGTAATGGTTTATGTAATGGTTTAGTTTAGGTAAGTTTAGCTTAGGTAATGGTTTAGGTTTAGGTAAACTAAAAGTTTAGGTAAAGTCAATACTCTACAGACTAGCAGATACCTGCAAGAATAATGTATCTCATGTTCAATGCAGTAGATTCACCGACCGACCAACTCCACAAGCCAGACTAAGTTACTGTCACGGTTTTTCGATGGAAGCCCAAACTGCTTTTATATGCTTTTAAAATAATATCGCCATCGGCATTTGAATTTCAGAGGCATTAAACTATTCTCAAATAGCAGCAGTGTTACTTTAGCCTCGAGTCCAGTGTTGTCTTAACGTGTCCGTAAATTGTAAATTGCGGTGCCATCTTTTGCTTTGGACAAGTACGTCTTTTTTATACCTTCTAAATTTTTTATAAAATCCTGTTTTGGTTTGTTGCATCTATTAATTGGTTGAAACTGCAAATCATGTGAGTTCCACACGATTTTGCAGAACTTATATGTTAATGACAGTACAGTTGTAGTAGACTATAAGAACAACTAAAATTCTGTGTCTCAAAAATATATAAGTATATGGTCATAAGTTACAAGTCTGTCGTTGCTTCAATTTTTATGTTTGTTATGCTAAACAGATGCGCAAATAAAAAGAATCACAGATACATACATAATTCAAACGTAACAACTGGAAAGACTTTGAAGCGTATATCGCGTATGTGTTAAGTAACATCAAAATTTGTGCTTTTAATTTAGCATTTAACAAAGGAGTAGGTGGCTCCTTGCAGAACACCAACAGAGGTAGGGGCAAACTGCTGGAAAGCAGTTTTGGACAGATCCAAGTGGGTTTTGGAACAGCTGGGGCATTTGTCCTTGACCGGCACCGTGATGGATTTGCCGTTGTATGTGACGCGGACGCAGACGTTGTTGGTGCAGAAGGGGTCAACGTTGGGATTGGCGGAAGTGTACCACTGGTGACTGATGGCTACCAGGTTCTGCGAGGCAGCATTGATTTGTGTGCCACACGCTCCGTATCCGGCGTCATCGTAATAGGTCAACTTCGTGCCGGAAAAGGTCTGCCCCCAGGGAATGTTGGCTTGAGCACTTGCAACCTGCAATAAGGGAGTGCAACTGATTTCAAAATATTCCCTGGTTGCAATGAAGGAAATATTATGTTATAGTCTATTTTTAATATGTACCGATTAGCTAAAATTACGACGATTGTTGAATTATATAAACCGATGTACCGTACCATTGCAACTAAAACAAAGAGCGCTCCGCAGTATGTATTCATGGTTTCGGAATGTGCGAAAGCTTGAACTGAGGGTAATTACTCCTATACTTAATTGCAGTGAACGAGTAGAAACTCAGAAAGATCAGTCGGGTCTAGGGAAATGAAGCAATATAAACTTGAATGTGAATTCTGGAGTTAATCTTGTACTGATTTTGAGCTTTATATATGGACTATCGGTTTGCGGTATGGATTGCTGTACCGGAAAAAAGCATCCTGAATTTGCGCGTTTGCTACTAATAACATCTGATAAACTCGGAGACATCCCGCATTTGGCGGAGATTAGTAACAGTTCTAGAATATAAAGATAACACCACAGATTGTAAGAACGTAATAAGTGCAAATTAATATACTCTTATTACTCACCTTTAAGTCGGAATATGGACGCATACACTGAAAGCGTGTACGATTTTACTCGTATTGTATGTGCGTCCATAGTTATCTCGTCAACAAGGATTCACTGGGGTCCGAAAATCAGTAAGCGGAAAACCATCTGGTAATTTCCGTAAATATTTTGCGCTTGATTCAATCTTGACGTTTAATGAGTTACTAATCTTGAGAGATATCTCGGGCAGCTATGTGATGTGCGAAATACGAACAAACAACGCTAAACTGGCGTGTGCGAGAACATGTACTGTACCGCACACAGATTTTAACGGGTAAGAGCGTTAATCAGAAGTCAAATTTTAGCAACCTCTGTCTTCCAATTTGACAAATTTGGAATATTTTATAATATTAACATGTCAGTTTCATCCGATTGTTTTCATTGGTGTAAATATGAAGCTGTTATTATTACTGATAGATACAGACAGTTATTTATATTAATCAAAGGAATCGACTTGATACAACCTTTGGATTCCGGTCTGTTTGCTGCAGCTTTTGCTTAACAGCTTTTTTTGCATACTTACTACAGCCAGATGATTTATATTCATCTACTGGGTAGGTATTTAGACGTCGGTACCAGTGCGAAAACGGACTGGTTCTGCAACTTCCCCCTGGAAGGTGTAGGTGCAAAAAAATTCCAAAGATAATTAAGTTTGAGTGAAGACAGTATTTTACTGAAATTTTCAGTATTTGGTCGCTACAATTTAGCGGCTTACCGTTCCGGATAATGAAACAGTGAGCGACAAATACGTATGTATATGAAGCACAGAACATAAGAAATTTTCGCGCTTATTAGAAGCGCACGAACGAGAAATTTGCTCCATGCAGGATAACATTAAAGTTATTGGACAGTTTCTGGAAAGCCGGTTTGGAAAGAATCAAATGTGTTTTCGAACAGATAAGAAATCTGTTCTTGACCGGCACATTGATGGAATCGGCGTTGCAGCTGACGTGGATGTAGACATTGTCCGTACAAAAAGATCAACCAAGGTCAAGAATTGAGAGCTGCTAAACACGAGGTCCTGTCGGCCAGCCTGGCCCGTACAGTCCATCCCCATAGTAAAAGGTCGGCTGCGCACCGGTAAAAGTTTCACCCCAGGGAAGTTTGGCTTGAGCACTGACAAACTGCGAGAAGACACCATAATTATAGCCTTAAATAGATTTTCGAAAACTCACCGAATGCAAAGAATGTGGTCGACTTACTCGGCGAAGTTGTCATTAACAAGCACATCGCTAAGAAAATGTAAACCTTTTTAAAGTATTATATGTTTCATGTATAACTTTGTAATTACATACATGGGTACTATTGCCACCGCAACAATAATTAGTGCGCAGCGACAGTATACGTCCATGGTTTCTGTAAGGGATAAGCAGTTTTATTATTGCGAAATTAATAATAATGCAACGTAGAATGATAGTCTGATTAACGAAATCACATGGCTAATGAATGCAGTCTGTAAGTGAATTCACCAAGGGCATTCAACTTTTGAAGGGTTTGGCGCTAGATTGTAAATTTTTGTTTCGGGAAGTACTTCCCGATACCGATTCTCGATGTTGACGTCACATTTATTTTCGGGATGTCATCCCAATTTCATTTTCATACACAGTACCTACTCTGTATTGTAGAATATAGAATTCTCTATGTTATGTTTTATTAACATAACTATTCTACAAAAATATCCGTATAGATGACTGGTGTGCGACCAAACAGAGATCTAGATCGATAAACCAATAATTATTAGCGTTGATGCTGCCAGTGTTGTTACGTAAGTATATGTGTTAAGCCGTTAACATTCGTTTTGTTTTCTCTGTACAGTGTACAGGTATCGAATCATTAATGATTTTGTTTTCTCGTACAAAGTGCATAAAAGTTTTTAAATTTCATGAGCATTTCCAACATGTAAACGCAAAATTAAATAATATTAACAAAAGTTTCAGAAAATTAAAATAAGTATAAAAAATCGCAGACGGGACATCAACACCGCTTGAAAGGATGCTGGAACAACAGATGATTATCACCATAATCGGACGCCACAAACTGTGTCTCTAAAGTGACTTGACCAATCAGCTGGTCCGTCGCGTTTTGCGTCGGCCTGGCGTACACAGCATACAATAAGCGTCCGGCCGGAATTTTCGCCAAATTCACTCGAAAATCCGTCGTGTCATTGGCCGGCTCAGCGTTATCCGGATTGGGCACCAGCGTGTAGATCAGCGGCGGATACGGATAACTCACGCTCTGCCCATCTTGCTGTACTGAGGCAGCCGACAAAAAGGGCAATTTATTCTCATCCAGCGGCTGATTGCACGGACCACCGGGCAAAATTTTAATCGTCTGTCGCGATGCATTGACCAAATTTTCCGTCATCGGACTGAGACTACTGGGAATGGGTATCCAATTGCTAAAGTTATGCAAGAAAAAGTTGTGATTGGATCCCTGGCCAGCCAATCCGGTGACCATGTCCTGCGCGAACATATTCACCGATGCCTGTCCATCAATGAAGATCTTCATGGCAAAACCGGGAATAATCGCCGTCATATCCAAGTTCAGCCAGGATAAACGGACCAGGCCGATGTTCTCGCTCATCCCTTTGAAGATGCCGGTGTAGGGCGACTGGGGCAGCAGGGAGAAGAGCACTTTGGCCACGACGCCAAAGTGGTGGATGATCTTGTTGCGACCCGGGGGGAATTCATCCGACTGGATGGTGAAGGCTTTCTCCGTGTAGTTCGGATTGAGGGTCAATGGCAGGGTTGTGTTGGAGTCAAAATCCTGCGTGGGGAGGGCCTTGTTGGGAAGATAACTGGAGTTTAAAATATTATTCCATATCCAGGCTTGTTTGTCCACTGCGGACATGGAAACGTAATTATCAGGCAGTGCATTTAGAACGAATAAGATACAGGAACAGAATAATACGGTTACAAATACAGCGCGCATTTTTATGGTTCTGAGATTTAAAGTTTTTAAACCGTGTTGACGTAATGTCGTCACCGTAGCGTTGCCGGCTGGTGTACCACCAACACCTTTTATACACCACAAAAGCCGCATTACGAACATGTTTATTAGTGTTTTGTCCTGATGTCGTAAGTCAAACGCTTGCAGAACCGAGACAGTTTTCGCGTGTTTCGCGGTTGCATACGTGTGCAGTTTGGTTATATGGTCATCTCATTCATTACAACTTGTCATGGCTTAATGTCAGTCCCTGTCATTAGCCCCATTGTGCTACTGTCAAAAATAAAGTTTGGCTGTAAATTTCATTAAATAATGTTTGTTTTCTTTCGAGTTAGTAATATCCGGCAATACAAATTTATTATACAATTAGGAAATATATATAATATTATGGCTTAAGCTGTTTATCATTGCGAAATAGCAGCGTGCATTGCACAAGGATAATTTTTATCTGCCCACTTCAAATTTTCGATTATAAACTGGAAACCACCGCAGCACGGGTGCAACGTTAATGGTTACACACAAATTCTTAATGAATTATGGCGATTTCCAAATGTCCAGAAGCGAAACTCGCACTTTCCGTTGACCTGTCGACTATTAAAGAGATTCCTGTGTTTTGCAGAACATTTCTGGATCCTTAACAATGATATTTTACATTACGCACAAAGGTATATCCACAGGTAGATTTACATATTACGGCATATACACAGTGGCTTACGCACAAATAAAATAATTACTGTAGTCTGTTACGAGCCGAAATTCAAGTGCGCACTTGTTTAAATACTTTATATCATACTAATTTTTACGAATCACAAAAATTGATGATGCCCACATGTGGAATTAATGATTCTAAGTTCAGTCGACACTATCACCGCGCATGTACAAACAGTAGCCATATATACGTGAATATCTTTTAAAATTTAATAAACTTTATTAATCAGTTTAATCAACTGAATATAGATATAAGATGCTTTAATAGTACAGCTTACTGTATGTATATATAATTATATATTACATACTTCTGTCTCATAATACATAAAGATACTTACTTTTTTTTACTTACTTTTTTTCGAATTCCATAACACTTCAGCATCGAAAAAGGAGATCATGATCAGTGGCATCGGCCGGAATTGTTTTGATGTGTACAAGTTTCAGATCCAGATTCCATGTATCAAATTTTTTAAAAGCTAGAGTAGTGGAATTTGCGGATAGCATTATTATTAAACACCAACAGCGTGAGCGTAGTGATTCCATTTTGAGTTATGGAAAACAAACATTTCACGGTCACAGTCATTTGGTCGGTTAAGAGTGTGTCTTTTGTGAAGATTTGTGCGACAAAACGTTTTTTTGAAACCAGAACGATAATTTTTGGACAGCAAAAACAAAAGCAAAGGGTTGATCAGAGAATTACTGTAGCCTAGAACATAGACCAGGGAACGAAACGTCCGGTATGGAAGGGTTGCATATGATTCCGAAGAGAGATTTCCGGACTGAAAAGCATCCTGCATCGGCTCGCTGTCCATAGTCGAGTAGCCAAAAGCAGACATCATTTTATTTACAGCATGCGGTCCCCACGGTATAAGGAACGCCACCAATATCACCAAAAACAGCCGTATACTGCGGAACTCCTTAGTACGGAAGAACCTTTTCAGTCGCGATTTCTCATTAAAGGTCACCGTCTGCTGACTGAGTCGCTGGCTGGCTAAGCCGTTGGCTCAAATCCGCTGCAATCAAATCACGCAGCTTATGTGACCTTTTCAGCCGGCGAAATGTCAAAGCAATAATGCGTCCATAACAGATTAACATAATTATCATGGGAACAAAGTACTGTAATAACGATTCCATTACAAACGACGCCGGCGCAAAGCACTGCACACAGTTGCATTGTTGGCGATTGTAGGCACTGCATGTGTCATTAGTCCTGCCCGATAAGGAATCGCTATCGTACGGATAAAGGTGGAAAAAGTACGGCACAAATGTCCGTAGATAACTGGTTCCTGTTGGGTATATCCAGCAGAGCACCATTGGCCAGATGGTTACTTTTTGAAAGAATACCTCATAAAATCGGTTCTCGCTGTGAAATAATCGCATATAACGTTCAATGGAGATGATCATCATGTGAATGACACTGACGGCGATACAGTGCTCTTTGGAAGCGTAGTACCACAGGCATAGCCAATGCTCCAGTGGCCAACATTCGTGCATCAGCCATAAGGTCACGGCCACTGGCAGGACATAGATGCCCACAAGGCAGTCAGCGACGCAGTTGGATACCAGCAGAATATTCGCGGGGGTTCGAAGTTTCTTGTAGGGAATCACCGATAAAATAAATACGATGTTTGACAGAATGGTGATCAAAGCGACGGCGTATATAGCGCAAGCCAGTGCTAGTCGTGATGACGTGATGTCCAGCTCGGATGTGCAGTTACAAGCTTTGGGAACAATTATACTGGAGTTCATTTTGATGTAGTAAGTTCCATGTATAAGCCGTATGCCAACCAGTATGTTTTTGATAAAAGCGCTTTCATCGTGAAAACATGATTTAAATACTGATCCAGTGCTAAGTAAGTGTAAGGCGCCAGTGTAAGGCGCAGCGTATTAAATTGTGAATTGGTAGGAGCACATGTTTAACTTTGTTTACCATGGTACTGACTTTAGCATCAGAAGTTGGTGAAAGTGAATTTTAAAAGTTTATGATGAGTCAAAGACGGTGGCTGCAATCTGTCTGATATCGTAGTTCCTACACGCAGACATAAGTATTTATCATTTTTATTAGAGAAATTCAAACACCTGTGAATGCAGATTAGACTGCCAGGCGATATGTGTTGTGCAGACCCGAGACGTGACGGCGACAGTATGTTTAAGTAGAGTTATCGCGCAATGTTTGACGTTAATTGGTACGTCTGGAGTACGTAGACTACGTAAAATTACAACGAAATTGTTACAATTAAAACGCATCCGTCCTGGCTCCGTATTTTGACGGGGCTCGGCACATCTAATCCATGAATGCCTTTTTACGAAATCGAACGGGTGAGTAACATCCATATACATCCATGCATAATTCAGTACGAAATCATAATGCTAATCATAAGGGGCAAAGATTTTTTGAGATTGCAGAACAGATTAATATTTTAGGCTGCTTTTTGAAGTACACATTTTTACTGTCATGTAGTGCGCTTACCTGAACTGCATGATGTCTGCATCTTAACACCCGGTTGGGCTGGATATTTTTACCGAACAGTAAACGGTGTCTGATGTAGTGGCATGTAAACATCTGGTCGAGTTTATCGGAATTATAAGTCATTAATTTTAATGAGCACAGATTGCCGCTTTATAATGTCACAACAAGGCTAACGTTATACAAAAATCTAATCAGTAACTGATTATGAGTACGCGAAAGACAAGAAGGCATATAGTTTATCACGCATTAGCTATATCATTAATATTTGTTTTTTCAGCATTTCACAAAGGAGTAGGTGGCTCCCTGCAGAACCCCGACAGAGGTATCGGCGAACTGCTGAAAAGCAGTTTTGGACAGATCCAAATGGGCTTTGGAACAGCTGGGACATTTGTCCTTGACCGGCGCAGTAATGGATTTGCCGTTGTAGGTGACGCGGACGCAGACGTCGTTGGTGCAGAAGGGGTCAACGTTGGGATTTGCGGAAGTGTACCACTCGTGGCTGATGGCCACGAGGTCTTGCGAGGCAGCATTGATCTGCGTACCACATGCTCCGTATCCAGCGTCGTTGTAAAAGGTCAACTTCGTGCCGGTAAAGGTCTTTCCCCAAGGAATATTGGCTTGAGCTGATACAATCTGGTAACAAGCAGTACCCATTTATAAAAAGGTCATAAGTTAGCAAATGACAAGGTGATTTAATGCATCATTACGTACCACTGCAGCCAGAGCAACAAATACACCGTAATAAGAAGCCATAGTGCCGACTTTATAAGAAAAAAAGAACTGTTTATAGAAGGTTTAAAAGGAAACAAAACTGGTTATAGAAGGTTGAAGTTCCTACTTGAATTTATTTCGAAGTTACCGCTGATTGTTTACTGAATGTGCGTTCTGGTGCCGCGCTTTTAAAGGGCGTCAAGTATTTGCAGAAATTCGATGGGCTGCGATTAGCATACCGGAAAAGGATCTTCTGTCTCACCGTCTTTGCGACATATGTGAGAGATATTTCCTTTACGGCGCATCAAACAACAGTTAAGGTAATAAACATTTGTCCAGATGGTAGTTAGATAACACTGCATCATCAGCTGGAGCTACGTAAAATTGGTTCAGTACTGAATATCCCTCCACACAGTTATCGTTTTCATAGAAATGGAACAGCCATTCATATCAGAAGTAAATAATAATTATGAGTAAGTGCTCGGTATATTATCCGGTAATTTCCGTTAAGATCAGTCACACTATCAGTGCTCGTATCAGAGATCAAATCGCTTTGATCATACTGATCACGGTTAAATCTGATGGTGAGCGTTGGAGGATGACCCCCGGATCTGGAAGGTGGACAGCTGTAAAGTACGCACTTCTTACTGTACTTGAAACGTACTTTTGGTCGTTGTGGGTCACATCAACTGCTGACAAGAATAAATACTGAACCAAATGAAATTAAATTAATAAGCACTTATTTACAAAATGTATGTACAGTGGAACCTCCCGATCCTGAACACTCTCGGTACGGAGTTTCTTGTTCAAGGTTCGGGGATGTTCAGGGTTTAGAAGTACTGCTGCCAGGGGCACCGACGCCCCTGGGGGGGCGCATAAAATTCCAGTCGTAATGATGTATATTATATTAGCGCGTATGCTAATATGCAAAAGGATATCTGCTGTACTTTAATATATTTCACGTCGTAATTTATTAATTAATTGATTATAATGTTATTCTGGTGTTATTTTTGTTGGCCATGATGACTAAGGTTTCAGTTTCATGAACTGAAACTAAGGCTACGGATTGGTACTACACGAAACAACACGTTATTCTCCGCTAATCTGCTTGCGGTGAGATCCGTGAACACTTTGAACAGTTCCCGGATGCTTTCACTGTTTCGCACACAAAACGCAGCCGCTCTCTGTTCACGTTTAGAGGTCCGTTTTACTAAGCAAACGTATCACGGTAAGCAGCCAGGTGTTCAGGGTTCAGAGGTCCCCCTAATGTTATAGCTTACGAGAGTTGCGCGTACGAAAAAAATTGCTCAAGATTCGGGGTTGTTCAGGGTTCAGAGGTGTTCAAGATCGGAGGTTCCACTGTATTGTACAATACAGTACACGTATTCTTTGTAAGAGTAATTATTATTCGCTGTTAATAACCAACAGCTACGTGCACAGATATAGTATTTCTTAAGCATGTTGAAAATGTCTTTCGTACATTTGATGGTGAGTCTATGTGTAGATCTATATTGTGCAGACGTCTGTAGCACTGCATGGATTATGTTTGTACTTGTATGTGTCGCATCATCTACTTCCCTAATTATAGTACTTCACTAATTAATGGTACTGGTGCATGGTACAGAAGATGATAAGTTTAACATCACCAATATTTTATTTTTTAACACATATGATGACTGATTGATCGCTGAGCTGTTTGCAATAAATGGTGTGAATAACGCGAATAAAAAAATTGTGGTTTGGAAAACTGGTAAAAAAGTGAAACAAGCTTCAAAAGTTGGCACAGCTGAGAAAATGTAATGCAAGATAAGGAATATCAAAGGCTACTACACTTGGTTTCAATTCCTGGTTACATCTTTTAATTTAATTCATAACACGACAGTCTGTAACATCCAAACAGTCACAAAGCAGAAACACGAACAAAATATCACTTGAAGCAGCCAATGTGCAGGGCAATGAGAATGCAATTCAAAATCTGAAATCCAATAAAACATTCGTCTGAGAAATAAAACCCGAAGCCCTCGAAACACGGTTCCGAAGGCAAGAAAAACATCTCTCTGACATTACAATAAAAAAACCAAACAAAAATGAACCAAGATTCTAACACAGATCCATGTTCATGCTGCCGAAACATTGTGAAGGGATTAACAGTTCACAAGTATGCCGTGCAGATTCCCCGGGGGCTTATATGTGTGAGTACGCAGCACAGTGCTGACACACTCGTCCGCGAACCACACTCTTAATGCATGCTGTAAAAAGGATGGCGCAAAAATTACCCTACTGATGTCAAATTGTACAAAATGTCAAAAACGATACAAAAACACATTGTATTCACGAAACAGATGCGACACGGTTGGTCTGGTTGGGTTGTTTTTTTTTTTCTGACGCAGGACACACATATTCCCTGTGAGTTAATCGTACACTTGGTAGGCGATGCCGGTGTTGCGCTTCCACATGAGAAACCCGGCAACGAGTCCGGCCACTCCCCCGATAATGATCATGGCGATGCCCAGACCGGCCATCGAGCCGCTGGTGTACCCGTCTTGCACCACCGGGGCGGCGGTCGGCGTGTCTGTGGGGTGCAGGGTGGTCGCCGGGGTGGCTGGGGAAATTGGTGCGGCAGTCGGCTTGACAAGATCACGGCCGCTCTGAATCGAGCCTTTCAGGAAAGTCACGCTCTGCAGGAAAACAACGCCTTTTAGTTTTTCATTGTTTTTAAATATTTTTATTGCCAAATGGCGTTTTGTGCTGTGTTATAAATGTATTGCCCCATCATTTCTCACTGCCAATTTGTCAGTAACGCATAAGAATTTTTACGCGCATTAAATACATAAAGTTTTCCCTTCTGCCAAATAATCAGACGACAAATCTGCCTGATTTACGTCCGAATAGGTGCCAAAAAAATTGTCTGATTTCCTAAACTAACAAAAGGAAAGTATTGCAAATGCTCTCGTAAAGCCTTGTTCAATAAAACATCTGGGAAAATACACAAAAATAAGCTAAATTAATTCCGAGAGAAAGTTGGACCAACGTTTAACCTTGCAGTAAGCAATATGATTTTATTACTAACATAAATTACTAAGTAAATGCTTCATTTCATACCTGCGTTCTGTTGGCAAACTTCATCACGAACGGCAGATCCTTATTGTCAAACAGCTTCCTCAACGCGTCCACCACTTCCGATGCATTCTGGTACTTTGTCACGTTCGTTCCGCTGACGGTGATGTTGACCCAGTCCAACACTGTCACCCAGATATGCGGCTCGTTCTCCTCGTCCCCTTTCATCACCTGGATATCCGTGAACTGCAGCGGCGACGTGGCGGTCAGATTGGACAGGGCATCGCGAATGGCCGTCTCGAACGCCGGCATCCGCATCTTCACATCCGTGTAATTCTGCACCTTCATGCAGAACGTTATCATCTGCTGTTTACCGTTCCGCAGACAATCCACAACGTCAAAGGTCTTCCAATAGAATGGGAAGGCGTTGAAATCGCTGACCGTACTCTGAAAGGTTTCCAAGATCGTTCCGTTGGGGAATGTCCGATAGATAACGACTCCGACGAGCACGCGCTCAGCGGATGACGTCCAATTTTCCTACATAAAACAAAGCATCTAACAACTGATATCTAAACGAATTTCAGCATAAACACCAAGAATTCGCATAAATACTGCACAGTACACACACATTTTTATTGTAGCAGACACAAGCTGCTTCCGCACTAACATATTCTCTGCTTTTTTCTGATATTAAAACAGTCGATTAAGCATAAAAACCGGAAAACTGTCGATAAACCGAAACTGGAAAACGAGTGGAATTCCCCGTATACGTCTGCATAACGAAGCACATGTGTTCATACGTTATTTACGACAATGTTTAAAGGAAATTATTTTTCACTGGAACACTTATCATCCAAGGTCGTTCACCTAACAGGTTTGCGCTTAACAAAGAGAGTCTGACTCACATGCAGCCAATAGGTTTCCGTCGTGGTGGTGATATTCCGCTTGCTGTCGTTACTGCTGCGCTGCGACACCCACACATATGTCGGCATTCCGTTGAAGTCCCGCTGTCCCACGTACAGCGCACTGGACCGGTTCAAGCCAAACAGATCACGGGCGCTCTTCAGGTGAACCACTCCCGAACTGTCGGATTTGGTGGCGTCCAGGCTGCCACTGTCGATGGCTGTCACGTTGCATCCGGCACCGCCCAACAGCCACGTGCCCACTGGCATCGTGAACGACAGACCGCTGTTGTAGTCGTGTACGGTACGGTACAAGGTGCGGTTCTTCACGAAGGACGGCGGAAAGTGGGTACCGCTCAGCGAATCCGTAATGTAAGAGACCAAGAAGTGCTGAGAGTCGAAGTTCATCTGAAATAATTCAACAAATGTACGTTCAAATAATTTCGACAAACGATTGTGGATCCTACATAAACACCAACGGATAGCAAAAAACCAAAAGCCAAAAACGCAACAACCAACGATCTTTTTAATATGAAAGGCGGAAGTCACTCAAAGGTTTTTATTGTGGAAACTGATTTGAATGATTTTTGTACTGTAAATGCATATGAAGCAGCGGCAAAAAGGGCTTACTTTAAGGCTGTGCACATCCCTGTCCTTTTTGGCCAACGTGAGCATTGTGAGACTGAACTGGTCTGGGAGTATGGAAACGCTCTGGTTTTCCCGTCTCCATCCCGGGCAATAAACTCCTGGATCGGGCTAGAGAAGGAAGATTTCGGGTAAATTAAAATACCAAATCCCGATGCTAATCTGGTTCTAGTTCATACCAAAAAGACAGACTTGTCCTTCACTTCCGGATAGTAGTATGTAAAATCGTACACCTGAATTTTTCCAACATCTGTGAACGTAAAAACTCGGGTCGTAACTCAAATGCAATCCAGTCAGGTAATGTCACAACAGTCAACTGAGTTCTTGAAAAATTCAGATACCCAAAACAAATAATGGTAAACGCAGAACCTGTACGCAACAAAACATCAACGACTGTCTACACTTCATTGATCAACAACGCAATGCGCATATTAATTTTACCTTTTCCGTCAAGCTGCAGACTTTCAAACCGAATTGGTGTGGCATTCTTAGATGGGCTCGGAGGGGTGACACCGGGAGCGGTGTAATAATAGCGATTCCTCCATGTTGTATTCAGATTGTTATCGTGCACACATTGCTCCCACATCTGCACTTTGATGGCTCGCACCGTAGTATTCTGAACACCCTGATCTGTGACATTGCCGGGACTGATGTTACATTTGCCGGAGGTAACAGAATATCCGGCCAATTCCGCAATGAAGTACGCATACGTATTACATCCCGTTTTCCATAAATCTTCTTTCGTACACTGTCGCCCTGCAAAAATAAACAAAATTTGACCCTTTTTTCTGAAATATAAGAATAAACACAAAGCAATTCTCTCACTGCTGCTCAGCAGTTTCAGTGTTAATGCTAATAATCCAGAAATTAAATATACGAAAATTAATTCATACGAAAAAGCAACAGAGCAGTTTTGCATAAAATCAGACACTTTGTGGCAAACTTCTGGTTAATTAATAAAAAAAAAAAAAGCTTTTGCCGTTCAAAAGAAAATGACAATCTAATACACCAGACTGCAAAAACAATATTTCCGACAACGACCAGCGACAAACGCACCACTGTATTCATCGTTTTCTCCCACGACGCTGAAGGCATCTCCCGTTATGAAATCATACAGATATGAGGTCTTGGTGCCTTGTGACAAGATGTATGTTGCACCTCGCTGTCCTTCCTTTTCATAATAACCATCCGAGTCAAAGTACGCGTTCTCTCCGATCTTCCCCTCCACTTTAATAGTAAACGTCTCCGCTAATTTCGGCACGGGGGTCTGCGTCGAAGGTGTTGTATTTGTGGAGAAGTTACACTGGGGATAAATCGAGAAATTGAAGGGAGGAACATCAGCGGATGCACTATTAGGCGTCGGAAGAATACTGAAGATGCCTTGAAAACATAAAAAGGATGCCACCAGCCACGAAGTCTTTATGGAGTGAGACTCCATTTGTGGTTTCTACAAATCACAAAAAGTTGTTGTTATATCCTTAAACCCAGTCACCACATATAACGCAAAGAAAATTCGGATCTACTGAGTATGTTCTTAGCGATTTTCGAAGAAATCCGATTCACTTTCTTCCAAAGCGAATATACATATGTTATCTTGCGGGCCTGCCCATGAATACCATACAACATTTACAGTTCGTTACCAGCGGAATACAGTTTTGTAAATAAATATCAACAGGTCACAAAGAAACGGTATGCGGTAAAGTACTTGGGGGAAGAAAGAAACAAAATTGTTGGTACAGGCTCTGCATACAGTATAGTATACACAACTTCACGAAATCAGTAACACATACATTCCACTCTGTACTTCAGCACTGATGATGAATCTCATAAAAATTTTAAGACCATAACCAAGAAGAAGATTGCCAACAACAACCATCTCACATGTTCCACCTACTAGGACCCACCCTGGCAAAACTAAACAGACAAATCACTGAATTAAATAATGCGAAGTGCGAACGAATAAAACTAGACAGCGCTTTAATGCTATTATGTATAACAGAAAAATTCTATGAATTAAAAGGAAAGAATATCTATCTTACAAAGATCAAAGTGAAAGTCTTTTTCTCATAGAAGTATAAGAAAAGCTTTCACAATGTTGAAACTGTAGAAATGTTACAAAATGCTGCACCCAGGCTTTAACTACATACAATAATACTATCAACGATGATTCCATGAGTAACCGGAAATTAGTAACATTTGGGGTAAGTTCTGGCCAGCGACTATGCACTAATCTAAACTCAGCACATGCCACAACGCCACCGACTACGGTAAAAACAAGAACCATCTATTCGTAAAAAAATGCGTCGGCCTGTGCGAGGGAATGCAAACAATTATTAGTAGAAATATACTTATTTTTGTGATGAAAAACCAGAGCGTGTCGCATTACAAGTATAGTCACAAACAAAGCATCCTTCTGCCGAGTCGGCGAATAAATGCAGAAGTCACAAAACCTCTATGGAATAATCGCAATACGATAACAAAAACACTTTCTGCTTTTCAACTGAAAAATTTAAGTGGAACGGAGTCGGTAAAAAAATATACGACCATGGCGATATCTGAGCAGCGCTGCAGAGTATGCAAAAAAATCCCGCAAAAATGAACACAAATTTATTTAACAACTGTTTCCAGATTTTTCCATATAATAATTCTACGGTTCGGGTAAGAAAATAGACAGTAAGGAAGCACTCTGCATCTGTGCCAACCGGAATTTTGTCCGGTTTCAACGAAACTGAAAGTGCCGCTCAATAAGACGCCCCAAGGCCACCTTTGACCTGCAAAATCTTTGACTCAATAATATTAATGAGCTATAAATCCATCGTTCCGGCGTCATTTCCTAATAAAATGCCGCGCATCAACATCACATGACCACAAAAAACGCATTATGGAAATTACAGCTATCGACTTGTCCGACTATACAGTCACGGATTTTTAACCGGAAGCCCAAAATCGAAAAAATCGAAAATTTGCTATTTAAAATATTTCCGCGAATAAAAAAGTTTGACTGGGCAAAGAACGCACGGTCCGCTGTGCACTGAAACTCATATAAAAATTTTAAAACACTGTAACGAACCACCAACTCCTTAAGTAACACTAAAAATAATTGCAAGAACATATTATAAAAATTATTTACAGTACTAGCGCTTCTTTATATCATAAAATAATAAAATTTAGCGAAAATTCTTGATTTGGCACAGCACCACAATTTAAAATTCACTGGAAAAAATTGAATTTTCAAATTGTAACCAGATTTCGATTAACTTCCAAACCCGGACAAATGACGGTTAATTCAACACGCATACAAATATTTACCTCGCGGCCGAGGTTTATGAAATGAGCACTATACAACACGAAGCACAACAACACCGAAAACAGCGTTCATAGGCAGGCAGAAACGCCGCCACTGCAACACATTGAAATTGTCTTACCTTGACACGAATGTCAACAATTTCGTTTGTTCTGCGAGTGGCAATTCGTAAAATGCCGTTGACCGTCGCGTCAGCACAATTTCCTCTCACTGGGGGGATCGAACCAATTCAGATGCCCGTGATTTCCCCCTAAACACACGAAAACCTTGAAATCACTTCAAAGCAGACCATACAAAGCAGTTTGAAAACACAGAAGTGGTTCCTGTGTTCCGTGCAGTTGCAAGAATCCTCGCACTTTCGAGGTCTCAGTTCTCAAAATCAGAAGATTCTCGATGATTTCGCCAGAAAGCATCAAAGCCCAATCAATAACTGCGTAACTGTCTCAATTTCTTAAACGATTCGCGACAGAAAACAGTTGCTAAAGATTCAAGAAACATAACGAGCGCAGGAACGCATTAGAAGAGTCCAAGATCTCGTCCGCGAAACACATGCAGAAGAAATCTTGAATTATCAATAAAAGCTGCAAACTTAACTGCAGACCTAACAAAAGCGCCAGCTCTGCTACAGTAATTCTGAAAATTAATCATTAATGATTATATTTTCACCCATCTAATTGGTACCTGAATCGTGATCTTCCAAAGGCAAAAGTAAAAAGTTCTAACTGTGTAGAACAGATAATTTTAACCAATTCCGAATCGCTGATTATCATAACGATCAGCCGTGCAGAAAACCTGACGACCTTGACAGTTGACAGGGAAAAACTCCGACTGATTTGAGAACGTGCCTAATCCAACGGTGCTTCGCAAAAATTGTAGAATCGAATAAAAAACAAACCTGATATTAAAACAAGACTTATGAGCACACACACGTACCGACACCGTATGCGCGGCAATTCGCTCACTGTCAGCGCTGATTGTTGTATTATAGTGTATCAGTCAGGCATCACGTACGTACCATGCACAGCCGGAAGTGAACGAGCAGTAGTACGGAACGGTAAAAGTTGACTCGTACCGCCCTGGCTGCGTAGATGGCGAACGCCCAAGGTCGGCACACCGAGCTTACCGCGGAACTGCAGCTGATGTTTTATTCATTTCCACTTGCAAGTTAGCAAACCTTTATACTTTTTAGTTTTTGTTCATTTATTTGCTTGAAGCATCCGTATTTTAAGTTTTAGCTGTGCACCCATGTGACATGTTCGAAATTAAACAATCAAAAACAAGTCAAATAAAACAAGTTTAAGTTCAGCAGCTAATATCCATGGTCCGAAACTGCAAGGTTTATATCTATATCCGGTCGGGAATCATGCAAAGAGATTTTTTTCCCGTTGATTACAGGACGTACTACGGTACATCGCCGGTTTTGAGTAAAAATTCGAGCGGCCACTGACAAGCTAGGTAGCAACAAAAGGGTATGCCCGCGTGAAGCAATCAACATGTATTGACACATCAGCCGTACAGACTGCATTGTACGTAGGCTTTAAAGTGAGTTTAAACTGCAGCTATATAGCTTCTTACCTAAACAGTAGACGGACATTTTCTAACCAACGGACATTTTCTTTTTCTTCATTTTCCAACATAAATGAAAACAACTGACAATGAAGATGATTTTACGACATTCGCGAAATCTGCAAACAAAGAGACTGATAATAAAACTAGAGAAGCAAGCAGCCAGAATCCACAGCCAGGTGCCACACCAACGAGCTTGCACTGGCTATAATATATACAGTATAATACAGTATAATTTTAAAATTTGATTTGGACCACTTTGTACCTACCCTTTAATTAAGGGCCAAACGTAGAGCGCTGCAAGCTAGCTAGAGCAAGCCCCCGATTGCTTCGAGCATAAACATCAGTAAAATCGGACCACAAACATCCGTCTTCGCCCATCGCTTCGTCCATCCGTATCCAGAGTTTGGGAGATCCACATCCGTTCCACGATGCCACAAGGCACAACGACATAAACAACGCGGCGGATTCAGAACCCAGTGACCTTTCGGTTAGTTCGCTCAGTACGTGCCCGCCATGTGAATGGTTTTTATGGACACTACTGCATATGGCTGTCAGTTTCTTTAAATCCTTAGCAATTTTTAATTGATGAGCTATTTGTATTGTACAATTACTGTATGAGTGTATGTCAATAATTACATATCTATATCATGCAGCATACAGTAATCATATTGTATCTAGTACGGCCTGTACGGGTAGCTGTTCTTCTAATCGGCTAACCCTAGATCCACCGGAAGCATGTTTTATAATATTAGCTAACGCATAGGTATTATCAGTTCGCTTACAGCAGCAGCTTGTAAAAATAAAGGCCTTCCCTTTATCTAAAATCTAGCGCTGCTAGATTTACAGTAGATCTGCTGGGAGAAGCTTGCGTAATAAACGAGTATTACTAGAGTAGATTGATTTTTCTTGTCGCGGTATGCGCCAAAACATATGTCGTGCATGCGTTGCGACGTTGCAAAAGGATTAATGGGCAGCATCATTTTTCACAGTATATGCTATTAACATTATTTCCCCTGCATGTAGAATTAATCAAGGGGTCCATTGTCCAAATACAGTAATATTAATGTGAACACCTCGTGTCACAGTCTTATGTATAAGTACCTATTTCGATAGACAGAAACAGATTTTATCCGAAATGTTTTCCGGTACAGATAAGGCAGTGCAACAATGATTGTTGGGATGCCGGGCATTAATACTAGGACTTCGTATCAGGGATTATGGCCACGCCAAGCGTGACCTAAAATTAATCGATAGGAATGCAAAAATTGGCAAATTGGTCCTTCCAAAACGGGGTGTTAAAGGCTCCCCCAAATGTGCGCATCCGCGATTTGTGCACGTAGAAGCACGTTGCACGTGTTGTTAAGTTGTAAATAGTAATCTTTCACAGCTGATGTGCGAACAATGATGATGTTGACACAAAACTGAATGGCTCCCCGTGCCGCCATCAGCATTTATCCGAAGAAATCAAGGCTTAAATAACATGGACCACATGGCAGTTAGTGACATACCTTTTCCGGGTTAATCGTCGCACTTATGGGAGAATAACACATCAAAACGGGGCTGGTACTTTGCGTCACCGAATGTAGGCTGCAGGAGTTGTACATAGACCCAGTTTACAATGCAGTGCAATCTGCGTGTGCAGCGGGTTTCTTTGCATGTATAGCTAAGATGACCTTTAGTGGTCGAAGTGGGAGTACGCAAAATTAAGGTTTCGCTGTGCGCACTCGATTGAAAGTTCTTGGATCCTTTATGTGCGGTTTACATGCTAACTTTCGAGGAACATCCGGTGTCAGAACTGGGATAATAAATAGTTAATTTTAGGTTATCACGAAATACTTTATGCAACAGGCAATGTTCGTCATGACATGGGTACATTATTGCATGCGCAGATTCCAGAAGGCACTAGGTCGGTACAGAAGTACGAGTACTTAAGACAATCCATGCCGGTTTCATATCGCTCGTCTTATAGTCGTTATGGATACCTAATAACAAAGGTGATCTCTGTATTAGAATTAGTAAGACAATTTTGACGTAATCAACAACGCTGTTTCCTTAAATGTTAGGTTACCAATACGGTATGTGCAATACCCAAACCAGCATCGTGGTCACTGCCAAGTCACCGATAAACAAGGGTCTTCATTGAAATAATTACGTGTTTCGCAATCTCTTCATGAAATTATTGATTAACGCAAACGCAACCTTAAGCTTACTGCCTCTACATACAGATAGAGCGAGAGTAGCATCCGTTGCGTAAATTAAAGTACCGAAGTAACCATAAAATTATAAATTGTGTCCTACAAACAGCAAAATTAAATCTACGTCGCAGCGTCGAATACATGCGCACGAAATTTTGAATTAGTATATATGTACCACGCTATGGTCTTACATGCCCGATAATAATTATAATGCATAAAACCCTCGTATTACGTATACATATGCCATTGAAATTAGTGTACAAGAATGCATTTTCAGAATTACTGTTCAGAGACAGCAGTACTGTATGTGTAAGTATCGGCAAAATTAATGGGAAAACTGCGTAAAATATTCTATCTGTATTTATGTGCTGTTTTATGACAGCACTCAATAAATTTGCAAATAACGGATTTTGCCTCAGAGTGGCTCTCTTAGCTAGGGATCGTTACATACATAATTTGTAATTACCGTACTTACATGTTATTTCTTTATTCATTCTTTATACTGTGTGTATGCTGGGGCGCGGCACTAGTTTCGGAAATATTGAATGCCTCTTTAAATAGAACTCTCTACGCATGGTGCGTACGTACGGATGCGTCAAAATGACAAATCTGACTTGTGAGTTTGCCCAAGACACGTAGTACTTACAAGTTAGAAGTTTTTAGGATTTATAATACATAATTGTAGCAGTAAATTTTTTTAAAAACCACTTTGAGATTACTCTGGCGGCCAACAATGAAAACTGCTGTTGTGCAGGCTTATAGATCCTTAACGTAAGATTAATTATAAGTAGAAGTACTAGTAGTAACTGGTGACGTACAACCGCATGCTTACCTATGGTGACAATAGTATTTTTACTTATGGTGGCAATAGTCCTAGCTCCTACCAAACGGAAAACGAACTATCAATAATATAATATTACTTTACAGTAAACCGTAAATTTTGGTTCCTGATCTTATCGTTCCCTTTCTCTGAATTACCATTACAATTCATTTCACTTACACGAAATCATGCATTGTTAACAAAGATTTATTTTTGTCTACAAGTACACTAGATTGTTCAAGGAAACCGAACAGATACTCAGGGCTTACAACAAATCAGCATGTGCTCCAGAAAAATTTTGCTACCATTTCGGCACCAAGAAAAAATGTTGCAGGGTGCATTACTGTACGTGTATAAAAATTTCAGCTGTTGTGTGATTATAAGTGCTTCATATCTATAGATTTTCTAATTATGAACATGATTCACTGCTATTATGCTCGCTAACACTTTATCCAGTATTAGTTGAGATCTAAAGCGCTTTGCATTATTTTATCCGCTAAACGTTCTCCTGCCGCAGCGTTCGAAACCTACTTACGACGTCCTTAAAGTCATCCATACCGGGAAGACGTTGGCCCAAATCTGAGATTGCGCGATCAACCAACGACAATGCCGGTGTATCCCCTGTGTAAAATAGCAATTACACCTATATGCGATCCAGAGAAAACCAACGCTTGTCGATATGTAACACAATGCCCGTCAATCAATCATAGCAATCTGTCCGTAATTATCGGCCGAACCGGGATGACCCTTCCCCAGCGTTTAAATATGCCGCAACAGTTGCTTCCCCCGCCGGACGTACGGTTCTTGGAAGATGCTTCCCTAGCCACTGTTATCAACTGCGCCATTCCTCTGGCAACGTCCAGGAATTAAAAATGTAACATCCAACCAAATGGCAATAGATTACACCGTTCTACACGACAGTGCTACTTTTCCACCCACCTCTGACGGATACGCCGTGGCCCCGCCCCGACCTTTCAATACAATGGCCAGCGCCGGCTGCCTCGCCGTATGTATATATATAACCGCGATGCAGGCAGCAGTGGATAATAATTTCTTTTGCGTGGTCCAAAATTTTCTTGTCTTGTAATTCCGGACATACTGTTCTACTTGTGCACCACCATAGCACAGAAAACGCGCATCTGTCCAGTTTCTTTTTAATAGACTCCATTTCTACTGTATGGCCAGAGATACTTAAGACTATTGTTCTCAATACAAGGGAAATACGTCGTCGTGTCTCCTTCTCTCTTCGTTCTCTCTGTGTTGGCTTGCCATCGCCTCGGCTGATCCGTTGTTAAGCGAGCAGTGTGATTGTGGTGCAGTGAGGTAGCTTTTTGCAGCTTTTCCAACTGTGCAATAATGATGCATATTGGCGTTTTTCTACCAATAACCACCGACTAATAATTCCGGTTTTTAATGGTAGTGTTTTTCGGAAAGATTCGCGTTTCCGAAATGACAGCGCTGCGTGGAGGTGAAGCCGGCACTGTCAGCAGACGACCCTAAGTTTATTACGGTTATATATCCTTATTATCCCCCTACCAAGTGTACATATACACATCCCACGGTTAATAGCCGGCAATTGTGTGCAAAGTGTGGCAAAGGTAATATAATCGTCATTAGCACTAATGTGTGATTTTACCGATTGATTTCAATGGAAACCGGTGAGTTTGTTTATGTTGCAGATAAGAGGCCGCACGAGTTCACTCATTCCTTATCTGTCCCGTGTTCACATATATATTATCAGAGGGATGCATAATATATTCTTCAGATTATTCAGCCTTTGGCTGACATGCATATATTCGCTTTCAGTACAGGTATGTGGCATATTTTAATATGATTTAAAATCTAAAATTACTACATTTATTTATTATATGCAATAACGTAGCAAAACAAGGTAGTTTACAATTTCGCACTGATCATGATTGACACAGAAGAAATCGCAGCATTGCCCTTCAGAATTATCCCTAATAAATATTAAGCAGACCAACCTCAGTTTTTCTTCATAGAAAAATCTTTTATATGAGAAATGGTTAGCCTTGATGAGCAACAAGATCAACGGACTTTTACACTTTGCGGTCGACGTCTAGCCGCTGTTTCGTTTATGAATTATCGTTCAAGATTGTTTTTCTCATCACTTTCACCCACACGAAACCACTTCACAGTGTTGAGCAGAATTTGTCAGTTAGCGCATTTTTTCAATGAAATTATGAGCTGCGCAATCACACCTTTACTTAGGTAACCTAGAAATTTTATCAGCGCAGTGAGTTAGTGGATCACGTAAGCCGCGACCAATGTTGCGTATTCTTGTCTGTAAAACCATAAAAGAAATCCTATATATTCAAATTTTTGTGCGATACGTTTTGCAGTTGCAATCTCAACCTTTTAAAATCTTAAAAAATCCAACTCGCTGCTGTAAATCTAAATTGAAAATTTGTTTATAATTTACGGTTGCCTTTCTGGCGACAGTATAAACTTTAGTGCTCAAGTGCATATATTCTGTAATATTATTAGGCTTGTTTTACCATTGATTACGGTGTGTCTGCTGCACAGTTCTGGTAAATTAATAGAAACGAAATTTCGGTATGGCCTCGGAAATGCTTATTTAAATGTATCTCGCGTGAAACCAGTGAAAGCCAGAAGACATGGTATTATTTCTGAATAATTCCTCTACAAATTGCCGTGTCGAACTGCATAGTTGACTTCACCAACACTTCCCAACTGCACATGCAAACGATCATGGCTATTAACACAGCCTGATTGATTTTAACGACTTGCAGTGCGTAAAAACGCCAATTGCAACAACGGGCATTGTTAGTGATACACAAGAGACCAATCAAAGTGCAGTCGTACATATATACGTCGGCAACACCAGGGAATACATATATACAGTAATTAGCATATCAGCGGACAAACGTTATACAAAAACCGCCACGGCTGCCCATTAGCTTATTAAGTAGCCGCGGCATAACTGTCGCGTCTTGTGGCGTGTCATGGGCGGATATTGCTGGTCAGTCCGTATATACGCGTTTCCGCCGATAATGGATTGCTTTTGAATTGGACAATCAGCACACGTACATTGTTATTACATATAATATTATACGCCGGTCCTACCCGTACTGCAGTGACGTTGGACTAATCCGTAAATGATGCAGTATAATTGTCGCGATTGGACAATGTATTATTATGACGTTTGTGGCAATGTAACGCACACTCCATACAGTTATGATTATGGTATTGTATGCTTGCGGTGCTTGCACTTGTATCCCCAACGTCTGCCGTGTTGAATGGTCCCTTTGCAACACGCCGGCGGCCCATTGTTTACCGCGGGTGCGGAAGTGGCGTGCTAGGCCCGCGTTGACCAGTCCATTAAACACTTCGTCGCGTAAATACACAAATGTCACAATGATTACGTATTCTTCCGCAATGCAACATTGTATACGGTGGGATTTTCCTGCGCCTGACATGCGCTTTTATTTATTTTTCGGATCTTTTACAGGCGTTCCCGGTTCAGAATTTGCACAGTTTACCTATACGACCAAGGAGAGCTCTACAAATAGATTCTATTGCGGGTAAGATATCGTCAGATGGTTTATCACAAAAATGCTAACAAATAAAATGAAATGCTTTGGGATATACAAACGTATTTTTTATATATACGAAACTTTGCTTTGGAGTGACAATCGACAAACAAATTAAACAAAAGTTGGTTATCTATAAATGCTGGACCTTTAAATTTTTAAATACTGTAAATTAGTCTTTTTTGATTTTGTTGCGAATATTATACCAAATACTCATCGTTATTAAGCCGGTGGCTCGGCTTGTTTTGTACTCGTATACACAGCTGTATATATATTGTGTAGAATATTTTAATGTACTCGTATTTGTAACTACTATTTGCCAAGATATCACTAGTAAAATAAACTAGGTTAGTATAACTTTTTACCGCCACAGGTGATGAAAGTGCTGTACTAGCCCACCAGCTAGATTTCCTGGAAATTAAACCCCCTTCCCACATGGAAACCTTCGCACACGAATCCGTGACCTTAACCTGTCAGGCCGGCGGTAATCCCCCACCGACCATCCACTGGCTGAAGAACGGCATCCCCATCATCCAGAGCTCCTTCGAGAACAGTGAACTGCTACTGGAGCAGTTATCGGGGCGCGGTGGCGGCGCTTCCGGGCTGGACGAGACGGAGGCCAACAGTAACACCCCGGTGATTGGCATCAGCTCTACCCGCTCCCGTCTCTTCCTGGACTGTCTACAGCCCAAGGACTCGGCTATCTATACATGCGTAGCCGAGACTCCCTATTCCCGGATCAGCACCGACACCAAACTAATTGTCGCAGGTACACTTGGGGCTAATGCGCTCCAATTACAGGTTAACAAAACTGTACAGAGTGACTAGGGAGAGGGACAGACACATAACGGTATACATAGGCAGTTGGAGCGTATCGTAATTGTTTAGCCGACGGATTAACCGCGCTATGCTACGGATCCTCATTGTTCGGGCGGATATAATTCGTATGACAGGCAATTATCCACTCCGACTGTTGCGATGGTCCTATTCAACAGGCTGATAGCAGTGCATGTGTACCGGTAATTGTGCGTCCTGATTAGGCTGCCGTAATTTGTGCAACGACTGCCTACGTTTACAGTGCTGTGCATTAACTGTCGATAATGCATACAATGCCGTGATTGCAGCTGATCGCTCTTCACGCTGTTCATATTATCTTATACATACATGGGAAGCTGCAGAACTGAGGGATTCTTGGTAGAGGTAGCGAGCTAATTTCTGGAAAATTTCACAATATCACTATTGTTTATGTTCGGCCTAATCAAATAATTTTCACATAAACTTTATTGCCGTTTTTTAAGTTAATCGATAATAAATGTTTCGCATATTTTATATCACTGTGGTATTATTTTATTGTTTTGATCGTGTGAATGGCACTACAAAAGCTTTTCAACAGAATATTACATTGCACAGCGGAACAGGCAGCACAATTATTATGATCACCCTTGTGTAAACGCACGCCCTGACGCACTTCCTGAATTACGCAATGCCCTGCATGTGATCATGAGCGGATCTGAAAAACATCACAAGTTGGTATCCTGTGTGGGTTTTGAATCGTGAGATATGACGGAAGCGTGAGGCGATCATAACGGGAATTCTGTCGCGTTTCGAAGAAGTAAAGCGTTTTTTCCTATGAGAATTCATCAGCTTTACACTAAAATTACATACGAGTATATCGAACATGCAAGCGGTATGAATAAGACTGATTATCCTGTAACCTTCCTTCCGCTCACCGTAGCACAATTCACACGTGGTACGCCCAACTCTTATGGTTAGCTAAAGATAGTAGCCGGCACAATGGGATGATCAGCTGCCGACATCACTTAACATATTACTTACAACTTCTACTGTATATTTATAGACGATCTATCGCATGAATACGTTTCCAAAGTTGCTGTGTGTTGCAGATGGGCCCAATAAATTAGGCGGAAGTGAGTGTATAGAGAAGCGGAGTAGCAGTACTGGCTACGGGAAGCCGGCGCGGATAACAATGTGGACGGACACCCGAATGGAACTCACCGGCGCTGACGTCAAGCTGTTTTGTCGTGTATCCGGAACACCCACACCCCAAGTCGCCTGGGAGCGGGCCGAGGACGGAGAGGTCACCCCGGAAGTAATACATAATGATGCCAGGCATAAGGTAAGATAGCCGAACAAATTTCTGCAGAAGTACATTACGGCAATTTTTATCATTCTATATAATATTTGCCTTTACGACCGTCCTTTATAAAACGAGCTTTTTTTGCAAGAAAGTTATTTCAGGCTTTTACAATCGTTACAGCTGCTGCACTTTTCGTTAAAAATGCAAAAATTTGTATATGCGTATGTTTTATTGTTCTTGGTTTTCTAATATTAGCCATTGCAAAATGATCTATAACAGCGTATACTCTGGTGGTTCCAGTTCAAAACTATGAGTTTTATTGAGCGATATAACTACAGAGTAAACTTACTTGATAAATTTTAGGAGTTTGATGTATTGGTCCGTACACTGGATGTCGAAAGCGTGTTGTTGTGCTTTTATAAAATTATTAACACGTCTAATGTTTTGCGAATGTGATCTACCCTAGCGTTAGCATATGTACCACTGTGGAATACGTAGTAAACTACCGCACTACATTCCATATATATTTTGCAGATTCTTCCCAACGGAGATCTTATAATAAAGAACGTTAGCTGGGAAGAGGACATGGGAAGGTTTATCTGTGTTGCTCAGAACAGTTTAGGCATTGATAAGGCCAAGATGTTCCTTTATCCGACTCCTGGGGTAAGTTGGCGTATTTCGGGCATAGACAGCGCAACCGGATTACGCGGCGACCGGGTAATGAATCCCAAAGGTCACACTGCGCTTAATTGAAATACGGTATTTGGCGTAGTCTTGATAGCGGGTTAATTCTTATGGAATTCACCGTCAGGGTCATTATATTAGCCGGTCAGGGAACATTAGCTCTCTATTCATTACCGGAAGCGGCGACGCGTTGTACTGCTAAAGGAGCGTTGACCTTTATCGCGATTCCGGTAACGGCTCGAGCACACTGTACAAAATCGCAGAGCTTACAAGAGCATAGGTGCCGCTCTACGGTCTCTGAAAATCGCGGTTCCATAACTTTGACTGGCAAGCTTACATTGTGTCATGCCAACGTTTTAAATAAGGTTTGCTTTACAATAGCACATGCAGGAAACCTGCCAATAAAAACCAATTTTATGACGATCAAGTCGATAAATCAAAGGCCTGGTTAAAATTAAAGACATTCAGATGAAATTTTGACAAATTTCACTTGCCAGTGGACTGCTGTTGTGTTTAAAACGGGAGAATATGCAAGTTCCTTTGGTATATGAATCACGTATCATAAAAAGGTAAATTTACTGGCATAACACGAAGCTAGATTTAAGACTATTTTCCAAAGGACAAAAAGTTTTAATTTTTTTGACGTAAGATGAATTTTATGCACCTTAGGTAAACAAGTTACAATGACATGTTTTGAACATTGAACGAGTATCAACCGGAAAATAGATGCACGACCTTTCTCGATGCTTGAGGAAGAAGAACATATGGTCAGTCGTCTTGCTATACAACCACGCAGGGACGGGAAAATAATTAAGAAATGTCGGTTATTTAGTAATTCAGAGGGTGCTACAAATATAGCTCCGATCCACGGAGACGTCACATGGATGATCCGAACAGAGTGTAAACGTAGTAAATAATGTAGTAGGTGCCTTCAGTTTCCGCCTTTACACTGGAAAGGCGTGACCTGGACGCCTATTAATTATTTATCATTGGAAGATATTAAAGCGAATGCAGGTAGCTGCACCTTAAAGATCCGCTCCCTCTTGCATTATAAGTTTGTTGCAATAAAAGAAATGAATCCGGTAAAGCGTGCCGCATTGTTCTAATATAGTACAGTTTTATATAACGAAAGAACTGCAAGTAATTCTGGAAATTTTTTTCAGCTCTGACACCGGCTCAGCTAATCCAGAGTGCGGAGCAGCACACGAGTCAGACCTTATTCTTAGTCCTGAATGTGAAAAGAGATTTTGTTCCGAGTGCCCAAGTTTTTTGTTTTTCGTTACGAGAAAGCGGCGGTGATAAATTATCCCTGAGAAACTAACAAGAGATGACTACCACGCACTGCAGTCTGGCGCATCTTTATACTCCCTTCCCTACGGCCCCAGTGTTCGCCCGCGTTCGCCCATTCCTTAGCCTCTCCCCTGTTTGAATATAATCCGTATTCTGAGCAGAGATGGTTTGAAAGTGCACACCACTGCAATGGAATATCCTATTACTCCAGCCCCACATTTGGCAGAAATCCCTCTGGAGTACACTCCTTGTGTATAAAAAATGTTGACCAACAACGGCCTCTGCACCCTATAGAAAGGGATATGAATACTACGGAAAATGTCGTCCGGCAACAAAGGTCACGGATCAAATATGCATACAGGGCACACTCTATTTATATCTCGCTATTTTACCGGCACACTTCAATACTCACCTCACAGTATTCTTATCGACACTCCTCTCTGCTCGGCATCTGCGGTATTATGATCTCTCAGAAAATTATTTGTTAATATATAATTAAATAATAATCCTTTTGTCAGTTCTGTGAATGTCTGTATAGATACTTTATGTAAGGCTAAGGTATTGCTGGCAAATTTTAAAGCACAAATCTTCACACAAAGATGCGCTTCGTATACTTTGTGGTCGGCCATGTAAAGTGTGGATTTTAAATGTGTGTATATATGCTAATTGGAAAATATTTTGGTGTCTTATTTTTCTAAAACCTGACGCTGTTGTGGGTACCTTCTTTTCCGAAGGAACTGTAATGGACTTTGGCTAGCATTATGTTCTTCTTGTCTTTTTTGCATGTGCGACTGCTTGTCACGAGGAATTTTGTTGACGTTGTTGTACCGGAAGCCCGCGTGCCCCTGCTTTAACCGGTTGACGGTAGCCTCCAATGTATAATAATAATATAATATAAAACTGCAATTTTACGGATCCGAGATTCAGCTGACTGGACTATTTACTGGGCCGTCCGCTGTTATTGTTTAAAATCTCGCTGCACTTGTATAGAACACAATAAAATAACACTGGTAGTTAACCTGCAAGCAGCATTAAACAAAACGCACTATTTTATACAGGGAAAATCAATAATAATTATACAGAATAATATTATATACTCCTATCTTCACAAAAACAAAAATTTCGAACCATAGTTTTCATTAAATAGAACAACATTTGTACGACTCAGACAGTACAAGCTCAAACGAAGTACGAAGACTTGAAATTCGCTACAGTGCACCTGCGCAAAACCGTTTTTTTTCGATCTACTAAGCTGCCATATTACCAAGCCGCAATGTCGTTCTCAAAAATAGATTCGGCCATTACCAATTAATGGTACCATTACTTGATTGTTGGCACTTCCAATCAGTAATATTTCTATGTACAGCAATAATTCATTTCATAGAAATTGCTATGAGATTATTTCTCTGGAAATGCAATTCAACAACTGAGAACCAACACAACTATCAACTCTCTGCTAAGCAGAAATCGTACTACTAAAGACATTACTAGAAAAAGAGGCTCGAACTACAGTTCACTAAATCAAATGGTGCATTTCAATTTTAGTGGTGCATCAGGGCAATTTAACCCGAAAGAACGTAATGTAGAAGAAAAAGTAGCGGCTAGTCGCGTTTCTCGGTATACTTCGAAGTATACGTAGCCATTGCACAGTCCACACCTTCCGTTAATCCTCTTCCTCTTCGTCATCATCCATCTGCTGCGTCCGCTCCACCTCATCCGGCTCGGCCTGATTATCCGCCGGCCCACCAGCGGCGGTGTTGCGTGCCAAGAAGCGGGCATAATCCGCATCCTCGATGAGATCCCGCTCATGGATGACCACACCGCAGCCCAAGTAGGCGCACTTAGTGGGATTGCCGCCGCGCTGGGCGATCAGCTGCAGGATGGAAGCCCGCTCGTAGATATGCGGCCCCTTACAGACCCGACTCCGTACCGGATCAGTGCTGATGGGGGACTTCGTGATGGGATCATCCAGGATGCGCTGGACTACCTGGCTAGCCAGCACCGTCGACGGGCGTTTACTCTCCTTAATCACCCCGTCCTCCGTCAGGCTCCATTTATAGCCTGTTGAATAAGCGGAACATGGTAGTGATTAAGGAAACACTGGCGACGCATTGTCCCAACCTGACATTTCAGGGTGGAATGCGTAGGTCTGACGAGCGTCACGCAATTGAATGAAAGAGGATAATTCCAGTTACCAGGATAAAGGACTGGTATTAAATGTTGCTAACCGAATTAAGCAATCAATACTTTTATGATTACAGGAAAGACATTCAAAAGGGATTAGAATTAGACGCTACATAAAGAAGACCTGCTGGATTTAAAAATCCAAAGAAATTCCTGAACGATCAAGAGAACCAGATCTGAAAAAAAACCTTTTCTATTTGTGGGAGTGAAATACCGAATGCTGTACGGGACAATAGTCGCACTTTCTATGGAAAATGACACAGCTATAATTCGCACAGAAAGAAGACAAATCCACCCAATTGCAGTAACAGTTTCAGACACTAACGGATTTAATAACAATATTCCACTCCTTTGTACAACGGTGCAGGAAAGCAATAAGCAGCGGAACTTCATCAAAAATTAAAGGTTTTTTAGAGAAAAAAATTTGAAAAGCATTTGTGAGGCGTATCGCGGCAGCATTGTTAAGCAAAGATATCCCAACTAAAATATACCAAACATATAAGTGAGGAAAATGTGTATAAGAAAATACATAAAACGTAATACGAAATAAAATATCAGTTTTTGCCTTACCTCGTTTGTCCAGAATCTTGTCCAACACCCTCTTCAGCGTTAGCGCATTACCTTCCTGCTCCTTACGCAGTCCCACCAGGAACCCCTTCCTCTTATCTTCCAGAAACTGTGCATTCTTGTACTGCGAAATCACCCGCGCCGTCTCGTTGGCGGCCTCGTTCTCCGCTTCTGCTTCGTCGTTTTCATCATCTTCGGGATTCTCCTCTTCCTCCATCCCTTCCTCCTCATCGCTATCCAAATCCCTCCGCGTCCCATGGCCCCCCTCCGCCACTTCAATCGGCCCTACATTACTGGCTGGTAATTCACGCAGCAGTCCCAACAACTCTTGCAGAACCTTGCGATCGGCCTGCACATCGATGGTGCTGTGCAAAGCAGTGTGTAGATGCTGCACCAACTGTTTAATATCCTCCTTGGGCAGACCGCCCTTGTCCTCCGCTTCCAGAAACTCGTCCACGGTGGACTCGAGGGCTTTGACGAAGGCCCGCAGATGGGGCACGTAGGTCATGGAGGCCTCGATGGTGTCTTCGATGTTTTCTGGAAGGATGAAGTGTCGCCCTGCTGCGTGAAGATCTGCAGCGCGGACTGGAAACGCTCGTCGCTGGTGCGGGCAGGAGCGGCGGCCGCGGCCTGCTGGCGGTGGGAGCTGGGGGGAGAGGGCTCGGAGAGCTGCAGGAAAGATTCCAGGTCGGAGTTGGCAGCGATCTGGAGGTTGTAGACCAGTTTGCGGGGATCTTCCAGTTTTTCCATGGTGTTGTAATTGTTACTGCTGTAGTCGCGTCGAACACTCACAGCGTGCGATACTCGTTCTACAAGTCTGCAACGTTCGCAACGTTTCGAAACGGCAATAATTCTGTTATAATAAAATTAACTACTTAAATTATTATGAGTTACAAGGTAAATTAAAGTTGAAAAAGTATACACTGATAACTGATTTTAAAACTAACAAAATCAAAGGCATTCAAATTTCAAAGCCACTGGTTAGTCCCAAAACAAAGACACTGGTGAAATTTGAAAATGAAGCGCACCGATGTAAATACCATTTTCCAATGGATTTCCGATGCTTTTGTTGGAAATGGATTAGGCAACAGTTGGCATTTCCGCCTCGGCCTCAAAAGGCTAAGTCAATCTAAATTCTAATCAATAATTTTTCAGTTTTCTCATCCTTGGTTGCTACTGTGCCGCTTACTACCTAATCATGGCAATTTTAAAAATTATTACTTAATAGTTAAATAATGAAGGTTAAACTATTATCAAAAATTTTAAGTCAAAATTTGTTGTTAAGGCTTTTCACAGATTGGATGTTTACAGAATTTTATCGCTCAGTAGTTATATTAATTCATGTCGTTCATAATTATGAGTGCTGACAGGTGCGTGGGATTTTCCGATTTGTCCTATCAGCCGGAGAGGTGAATAGCTATCAAACTGATAATGTATGAATGTATTGTATTACGTATGTAAACTTTGTAAACAGCTGTGCCTCATGCACGGACAGCGGGCTTCAAGATCGTCCCTAATCTTTTAAAATCGTTTCAGATCTTTCAACTTTCAGCATACTTATAATTTTAAAACAATCCTTTCGCGTTTAACAACAGTACTCGTATTGATTTTACTCTGTATTCGCTGAGCGCTTTTCAGCTTGGCGAATCAATGTTATTAGTGTTGGGTGAGCCGCCGGTAATTTCTTCGAAATCCATTAGCTACTGTAATAACTAATTTACATCTTTTTTGCCGCATTCCGGCAGCCGGGACTACTCACTGTTTACTATTAGGACTAGCTGAAGTGATTCATTATTGCGACTCTGCAGACTCACATTTTGAATTATGGCACAAGGATATTCAAACATATCCTTACGCAGGTACGTGGCAAATTAAGATTTAATTCCTGATAATTCTGGTACCTCGATTTGGAGGGGTTTGATCTTTGATGATTTGGATGGTCATAAATAACTACTTTACCTGATTTTTAGTATGAGTACAGTACTTATCGTTAATAATTATAACAGTGAAGTTATTTTTATTGTGAAATTTTTCTGTGAACTTAACCATTAAACTAATATTTTACATTGTAGTGGAATACTCGCACCTATCATGCTATACTCGTATCAAAGCCGCTAACTTAATTTTCGTCACAGATATTCTGCATGTGGGCCATCTTTACGGGAGCATTGCCCTTTTCCACATGGCTCTTGCACAGGAACGGGGAATTTTCGCCGTTATTTTCTTCGCGGAAGATGTTCTTACGGCCATTCTTGCCGGTGTGTGCTGTAAATGTACAATAGCTCGTCTCGGGTTACTGTATCTTCAGTTTTGTATGTACAATACATTACAGTACAAAACATACAGCGTGGATAATTTGTGCTGCCGGTTTTTCCTGTATGCGTAACAAATTTGCCCCATAAGGTTGTGAAAAGATACTACTTACTCGTGTATAATTGTAGCATGTGCAGTGTAAATCATGAAAATGCAATAATAATTTTTAAATTATAATTGCATTTTTTATCAGTTTACTGTACTAGTACTTCATCCGTAAATTCGCTTAACAGTAACTACTCTAATCGACAATGTGTGGACGACTGCAGGTTCGTCCATGATAAGGATCTCCGACACACCCTGCTAGATAAAGCCAACAGCCCACCACGCCAGACATCATCGTTGCGGATCAAGGAAAAACAGAAGCGGAAAAGGCTGGTGAAGGTGGAAGCGCCACCGAATCCAGTTGCTGATTTGAATGGTACAGTACTTATTCATTATGAAGCATGCCTTTGGTGTATCTATATGTATTCCTAATTTCCTTATAAAGTTGCATGATAAAGCTGATAGTCCGTTTTGTGGGGTTTTCAGACGATTTCGATTGTACTAACTTCCCGGCGCCCGATGAAAAGGTCAGTGTAGAGAACGTCTCTTTCAAGCAGTGTCCGAAATCTATATTCTCAAGCGGCAGTTGCCTCGAAGTTTTAGCATAATAATGTATTATTGTGTTGATTGTCTACTTTTAGCCGGAACAGTGGCAAACGTGTTCTATTTGTTTCGAAACTATTCTGCTACAACCGGACGCTACAAAGCGACAATTCGGACTGCTCCAGAACTGCTCCCACTCATTCTGCTTCGACTGTATTATAACATGGAGAAAACAGTCCGAACTAACAGTGAAGCTGGACCCTGTAGTAATTTGGTGAATACGACGAACTAACCAAAATGCAAAATAATATGTACTTATTCAAGGTTGGCAATATAGATTATTATTAAATGTTTATCACGATCTGATCAAACTCTGAAATTAAATTGAAGCTGCACTGCTCTTCTGTGCGTTACACAGCGATTTTTCTTCTTCGTTTAACGCAACGTAGAATAAGCGTGGGATTCTTGCAGGTCATGCCCAGAATGTAGGACTTATTCCGACTATGTAACTCCTAGCCCAGTCTGGCCCGAATCGAATGCCCAGAAAAAGAAAATCAGATCTGCGTATAAGAAGAAAATGGGGTAAGTGGAAATTCGCTGATTACACACTGCGATGTGCACGAATTATCTCAGCTTGGCATATTTCTAGTCCCTGCGTTTGTACTACTCGTTCTCGTGGAATCGGAAATGGGAGTCCGTGTTGGTATTCCCATGTCCTGGCTGGTATTTCTGCTGCCGGTATGCCGTAAATTGTGCTTTCAGTTATCCAGTGATCTCCTCTGTAGCTTTTTCTCTCTTTAGGAGAACCGCGAAGGGTAATCTCTGAATCTACTGTCGAAGACGGTTTTATGGACGAAGCCACCATTGAATTGATATGGAGTGCCATTCGGGCACAGCGTGAAGTAAGGGAAAGGACTGTGACGGGGGCAGGGAGAGTTGTGTCTGTGGTTCTGCATCCAGGAAACGATTACCTTCACGATGCACTCGTATTGGCGCTCTTATTGATTTTAGCCGTGTGTTTGGTTTTGTCTTCATTTTGCTGAATGTCATATTGTCCTTTTGTGGCATGCTGATTAACTAGATCAAGAAGTTTGAAAATGTGATGCAACTGACAGACGAGTAAAACAGGAAGTAATGCGTCCTTAATTGTATACTAAAATTTACCTAGTTTGTTATAAACCTGAGCTTAGATATTACGTTAAGCTGCTGCTGCTGCTAATTGCACATATAGAATAAATATGTAGTAGATATAATGTGCAGATGCAGGAACTACAGATTTGCGGCATAATAATAATTATACACAGCTTCCACTGATTTGCTTTTTTGAACTGCTCAACTCTTTGTAGCGCGCGATTACAGTAGAAGTCGCATTTGTATATTGTTAACTGCTATTTTTATTGAAGGTCATTTTGTTATTATATTATTCATTTGATTAATTATTTGATATGAAATATCGCAGAAATGTTTATACTGACTGGTGAGCCGCAGCAGGACATCGCTTCTCGGTCAATAATGTTAGCACGAAAGTTGAAATAATAATAGTACTGTACTACGGGTAGAGTTTATCCATGGTGCTGGAACATTGCAAAATGGGCCTGAAACACATACACGCAGAAGCGATTTTATACAGATTTTCCATGTGATTGCTGATTCGTCTGTTACTGGCCACAGTCAGTGGAGTTTCGTATGTTCTTTGTTGGCGCCGCACTTCCTTGTCAATTTGCAATCCGTATGCTAGCATTTTTGATTTTCGGATGGTTTACCTGTCAGGTTAATTCTGGAGTTATCGGTTATTTATGTTTACTATTTTTTGTAACAAACGTTGTTAGCGTCCATGAAAATGTTGATCCCAGTTGTAACGAAATTCGTTTCAAGCTCCTCTACCGTGGTTGCTCGTCCATTCCGCTCGCCTCTTGCTCAGTGCCAGTGGATGGCTGTTTCACGGACGCTTCACAGCGATCGCCTGGTTATGCTCAATAATAGCCTTCGGACCAGGAAACATGCTGCAAGCATCATTCGTGCAGCGGGATCTATGATAGCCGTGGGCTTATTGTACCGTTGGTATTCATGGAAGAGTGCGTCAGCCCAGAGCCATGCTGGTTCGAGGAAGAGTTTCACGGGAAGCCCCATATTGCGCCAGGTCTATGCCGAGGAGGCCGTCCAGCCGATGCCGCTGGTTCCACGCAGCCGCTCTCTCAACTTTGTTGCCGATCTTGTGGATACCATTACGCCGGCCGTTGTTTCCGTTCTGGTGCAGTGCAGGTGCGAATAAGGTTAATTTTTTTTAAATCAGGCAGCTGCTTACACTAACAGCTGTGCCGCGATGTATAAAATCCTGTGTCGGATGATCATCTCCTGATGTTTCCTACCTGTTCCTCTTTGCAATGAAAATGCTGCTCTCCCTGTAGTCACCATATGCATCCGGGAATGCTTTACTTAAGCCAAGGATCGGGATTTGTGGTTCGCGAAAATGGTCTGATTTTGGTATGTTCACTTTCAGTGTCCAGTTGATTATGACAGTAAACCATGGTGTGACACATCTTTTCCAAAATAATTTCCGTTGCATATGTACTGGTGAATTTTTGCTGAGTATATTGTTTTTAACTGGGATTTTTTGTTGTATTTAAAATTTGCTGTGTGGTGTGTTTGATGCGTGTGTTCAAGTTATCAGCGTAATTAAACTTGTGTGTTACACGTAGTTTACTAAGTTTAATAACAAATTATGTGTTTCGGTCGGTGGCAGACGAATGCGCACGTTGTGGCCAATCAAGTGCGCGTGGAAGTAAAATTCAGCGATGGTCGACGACTGCCCGGCCGTGTTCTGTACGCGGACGGTGTATCCGATCTGGCGGCTATCAAAGTGGAAGCAGTGAGTATGGAATATTTTCTAACTGGTGCTTCTTGTTCCGTTCGGTTGTGCTGTTGTCGGGGGTACATGGTTCGCCCATAATCAGCGTATGTTTTGTATTTACCACATCGTGTTCCTTATATGTACATAGTGTTATTTCTTTGTATTCATCAGACAAACTTGCCGTGTCTGCGGCTGGGCTCCGTGACGAAACCGCGAGTTGGCGAATGGGTTGTCGCCGTGGGCAGTCCGCACAGTCTGGCCAACACGGTGACCACGGGAGTGGTCAGTGCATTCCGGGTCGGCGCTGAATTAGGGATGCAGGGACAGGTGGAGAAGAGCATCAACTACATTCAGACGGATGCTGCCATCACGGTTAGTGCGCTTTCGACATGTCTTACCACCGATCAGTTGCAGATAAAATTGCAAAACCAATCAATTTCATCGAAATGTGGTGAAATTGATAATTTTGCTTCCCATTTTCGAAACATCCACAAGGTGTGTCTGTGCAAGATTATCACAGTAGGAATAGCGCATGAATGGTGCGAAGGTAATTGTTCGTATTATTCGTATTCGCGATTGGTTATCGCAGTATGTGACGTATTGTGACGTATTGTGGGAGAGTAAGTTTGTAGCTTAAACTGACCATCGATTCTTTAATTTTATACGATAGTGCTTATCGTTAGTTCTAAGATAATTACGATAATATTATGATAATCTATTAAAAACGAATTTCCCTTGGCAGGTCGGCAATTCAGGAGGACCGCTTCTTAACCTGGTATGATTGTTATTTTGGTGCACGAATATTTACGGCTTTCAAAAAAGTACCGTGCTTTACTTTTTTACAGGATGGGGACGTCATCGGTGGGAACAAATTCTTGGTTTTGTTTGGGAAATAGTGTTGGATTTTTTTCATAATGCGTAGCACTTGTTTTATAGGGATCAACGCCAGGAAGGTCAAAAGTCTCGGAATTGCCTTTGCTATTCCTTCGGATCAAGCCAAAAGTTTTTTGGACAAAATTGATTCATTAGAACAGAGTACGGTTACTATGAGTACGGTGTAGCTTGCTTTAGTGTTTGTTACCGGTAGTTACCAGTTTGTCGGTCATGCAATTGACTTGGATTCTAACAGAGTATGGTGGATGTCTAAACATGGCCTCGGTTGGCTTGTAGGTAACCTACAGGCGAAGCTGCCCAGTCCATCGGATCCCGTTGGCCCCCAGAGCAAAGTGATAGGGGTCACGTTGTTGACGATGGAACCGACTTTGTCGCCGGATGTGGTCATGGCTATGGTCCAGCGTTCTGGCGGCTCCCTAGAGGCCCCGAATGGCGTTGTGATTGTTTACCAGATTATGCCTGAATCTCCGGCTGCAAAGTATGAAATTAAATTTGCCCTAAAATGTATAGACCAACTCTTAAGATACCTAGTAATTCTTTTGTAAGGTTCAGCTCATCGTAGTATTTTTTATATTATTGTACTTCAAGTACTTATTTCTCCAAGATACTACAACACAAACTGTTTTTAGGATGTTAAGGCCAGTTATTTAATTTGGTTATGATGGGCACTGTTGCGGAGTTTCATCAACTGTACAGTGTATCTGTACACTGGCTTTATATGATTTAATTAACAACAATGTGGCCTTTCATTTAGTTCACAATACATTTTTATATTGGGGTTTCTTGGACACTTTTCGATATCACTGTAATGAACGAATTTCTGCCAGTAGTTGCCCTGTACAGGCATTCAATCTTTTTTTGGAAATGCCGCAGTGTTCCCTCCGTTTTGGTGCTCACTGGAGCTATTTTTCCTTGTATCACGCTGAGGCAATTTACCGGTGCTGGTAATTTTACTTTGTCATAGGTGCAGACTGAACCACGTTCGTTTTCTCTTTAGAGCTGGCTTGCGCCAGGGTGACCAGATAATAAGTGTCAACGGGAAGAGTGTTGGTTCTGCCAAAGAGGTCTTCGACATGGTCGACCAGGAGGCTGTGCTGGTGATAGAAATCAACCGAAATGGGCTCCGAACGTTAGCGCGTTTGGAACCGGAATTAGTGCAGCTGGCTGCAGACACGAGTGCACCTCCGTTGAAGGAAATTCCTGTGGAGATTCAGTAATTATCCTTCCATGGCCTTTGTGCTTACAGTTTGTTAGTTTCCTGCTAGTTTGTTTTTTTTTTAATTGTTGGTCTCTGACTCTGTTTTTGCTTCCGCTAAAAATGTAGGAGGGCAATACTTATCTGTATAGACAAAAAGTTTTTTAATAAAACTGACGAAATGCGGCGGGGCCGAGAAGGAGAACTGGCACGTGACATGAGCTATGCTACTCTAGCTTTTAATAGCCATTGGATGATGCACCGAGTTATGCGGATATACAAAGTTACAAATTATGTATACTTCCTTTAAATCGCCTATTAAGTACACATAGCTCATTTTTAAATGGGATATGACATGCTTTGTCGCTCAAAACAGTTCATAAAATCGATAAGGACACATTTACAGAAGTGTTTTCCTGCTTGTAAGCGCCTGCTGGTAGTTCTTCCACCGTCGACCTTGGGCACTGCCACAGGAAGAAAATACAGTACTCGTAGAAATACGTCCTACCTTCAAACGATAAAGGATTGGGCCCAGCATTGGGGCCGAATGCCGCCAGATTAGTACTTAGCGCAGCCTCCTCCTGGAGGCGGTAGTTTATTGGGCCTTTTATGCTTGAATATTTTTTGTGAGGTTGGACCTGGTTGGTCTTTTTCAAATTTGTGTTTTATGACTTTTATGAGTTTTATCATCGTTTTACAGCTTTCGTTTTGTAGTAAAGTTTTCATGTCGAATGCCGACGGATGCAATTGTGTACTTTAGTACGTTTATTTATACAACAGAGTTGAACAGACATACGACAATGTTGATCCCAGCGTTCGTGAAATTCACATCCAGTTCCTTTGCTGGAGCTGCTCGTCCTGTCCGCTGCCATCAGTTTGCACGATGCCAGTGGACGACTGGTTCACGAACGTTTCACCATGATCGCCATGTTATGCTCAGTAATTTCCTTCGGGCCAGGAAAAGTACTGCGAGTATCGTTTGTGCTGCGGGATCTGCGATCGCCATGGGCTTTCTGTACCGTTGGTATTTATCGAATCGGACGAATGTGACGCACGCGAGTCGTGCTGCTCCGTGGAAGGGGAGCTGCATTCTCCGCCAGGTCCACGCCGCGGAGCCGATTCCACGGAGTCGCGCTTTCAACTTCATTGCCGATGTTGTGGAGACCATTGCGCCAGCCGTCGTCTACATTGAAGTACAAGGCAGGTGCGGATGCGATCCGTTTGTGCGTCGAATATCTGCTGAGCAGCTCGTTGCCTAAGAGCCTGTGTGCATCGGATGATCAGTCTTACAGCTGACTTGTGATTGAGTGATAGCTGCTCTTACATTCGAGCCCCGCTAGTTCAGTGCTCCGATGATTCCACTGGTTCTCCCTGTAGGCACCAAATGTTTCCGGGAATGCTCAACTTGAGCCAAGGATCGGGATTTGTTGTTCGCGAAAATGGACTGATATTGGTACGTCTGTAACGTCTGTTGATTGTTGAGGTTTAAATTAGCAGATCTATGGTCTGTACATTACAGATCCTGGCAGATCCAACTAATTTACACACTGAGTTTCGCTGATATTAATTTTGTTTTTCGTGAGGATTTTTGTTAATATTTTTAAGTTTTGGATTTGTTGTTAAGATTGTTCGTTAAGTTTTTGTCGTATCGAAATTATGTAGCTATACAGTTTTCGGTGCAAATCTTTGCCAGCAAATTGTTGGCAGCAATGAATCACGTACTGTACTGATTTATTTTGCACGGTGGCAGACCAATGCGCACGTTGTTGCCAATCAAGTGCACGTGGAAGTGAAGTTTAGCGACGGTCGACGACTGCCCGGCCGTGTTCTGTACGTGGACGGCGTATCCGATCTGGCGGCGGTCAAAGTTGAAGCAGTGAGTATGGAACGTTGAAAATGTTCTCTTTAGCTGATTTATTCTGCGTCCGAGATTGTGTAGTGCTTAGTTCGTTGAGTACGATAATGTGGTTGTATCAGACTGGCTTGCCATTTCTGCGGATGGGCTCCTCAACCAAACTGCGCGTGGGTGAATGGGTGATCGCCGTCGGCAGTCCGCTGAATCTGTCCAACACGGTGACCACGGGAGTGGTCAGTGCTTTCCGCGGCAGCGCGGAATTGGGGATGCGGCATCATGTGGAGAAGAGCATTAACTACATTCAAACAGATGCTGCCATCACGGTTAGTGATTTTTTCTGGTTTTTCCATCCGCTAAGCGGGGATAACAGTGTGTAACGAAATATACAAATTAATCTGATATTTATTAATGTCGTATCCAGAACGTACACCGTCCTGAGAACGGTCATGAATTATTTTAAATTTGGTGATAGTAATATCTGTACGGTAAACGGTTGCGTTCTCGGTTAGACAGTTGCCAGTTGTCCATCGCGCTTGCTTTGTTGTGAGTTACGAGTAAAAGTTGTACAACTGACTGTTGGCTGTTTTTTTTTCAATCCTTGTGGTTAAAATTTTCAGTGTGTTGAAGAATGGGTTTATTTTTGCAGTTCGGCAACTCTGGAGGACCGCTGCTTAATTTGGTAAAGTTTTTTGCTGTACGGATTTGTTCTTACATATGTCTAAACGGGTATCCTGCTTTTCAGGATGGTGACGTGATAGGTGGGAGCATACATTCTAGCTTTGAATGAAAATTGTGATCTATCTGAAATTTTTCTTCACAGTTCGCGGTTTTTGATTGACAGGAATCAACGCTATGAAGGTTGGTGGTGCGGGAATTTCTTTTGCCATTCCGTCTGATCACGCGAAGGATTTCTTGGCCAAAATTGATTCATTAGAACAAAGTACAGTAGAACTGACTTTTCCCGTTTCTTGTCGCCTGCTTTGCTGGTTTTATCAGAGTATAGATTATGCTATGTAGAAGCACAGAAAACTAGGCATGAGTATGTCAAGTATTATATGTAGGTAGTATGCTTTGTATATGTATGCTTTGTAGGTAGCCGGCAGCGGAAGTTATCCGGTCCGTCGGATCCCGTTCGGCCGCAAAAGAAAGTGATAGGGGTCACGTTGTTGACATTGACACCGGATATTGTCATGGCTATTCGCCAGCGTACGGACGATTTCCCACCGGTTATCAGCGGCGTGCTTGTTCACCGGATTGTGCCGGAATCTCCGGCTGAAAGGTACATGTCATAAATGTAAACTAATTCGGAGAATATATATTACTTTCCGAAAGTTTGCTAACGTCTGTTTTGCTGAAGTATTATGGCGAAGTTTGAAAATTACAATCGATTACCGAATTTTGTTACGGTAGGCGTTCTTGAAGTCGTGGTATAATTGCTAAAGTATTATTTAGTTTGAGATTTTTATATGGTTGCGGGATGTGGCTATCACTTTTGAACGTAGATGTTTGCTCAATTTCGACAGTAACTTATTGGATTAATACATTTTAATGGCTGTAAAGAAGCGAAATCGCCTGTTTCTCGAAAATTTGATATCGGTTTGAATGGTTTGATGTGCACTAACTGTAAGGAACGGAGTGTTTGTTTCGGAACTGCACGCGCATTCGATATTAACAAAACATCAAACGTCGGATATTTTGCAGTTAATATGTATTAGTAGGATTTATATGCTGACTTTTCCGAGCTTTTATCGATTATAATACTGAAATACAACCGCTTAATACCTGTACTGATTGACATCAGCCAGCCCATGGAGAGCAATTTTTATAATATTTTTTACTCTTATTGTGTACTCATAATTCCGGTGCGTGAATGCAGCAGTGTTTTCCCTTGCTTTGGCTTTTGCTGATTCCGTTGCGGTTATGTCATGCAGAATGACTTACGTAGAGCGAAGCTGATAATTGTATTGTATTTTATACACTAACGCTCGTCTTTCCATTAGAGCTGGCTTGCGTCGGGGTGACGTGATAACGAGTATCAACGGGAAGACCGTTGCTTCCTCCAAAGAGGTGTTTGACATGGTCGGCCAAGAGGATGTGCTGGTGATAGAATTCCAGCGAGATGGGCGCAGCGCGTCAGTGCGCTTGAAACCGGAATTAGTGCAGTAGCCTGCAGATATTTATCCGCTGAAGGATGCCAGTGGATGGACCGAGCCAGCTACGAAGTGAAAGGCAGTTGGTCTACTGGGAAAGGTACCTTCTTGCGCGCGCGCTTTCTCTCTCTCACTCGACCGGGCCTCTGATGTAAATGGGGCTGCGTCGAGGGATTATAGCCGGAGGTGATTGTATACCTGGCTTTGAGTAATTGACGTGGGGTCTTGTTTGGCTGCTCTGGCTCACAAATGGGGGACTTTTTGGGAGTGCATGCTGCTCGTTCGGATTGAGTAACGGTTGTCAAATACGGAGGAACGCGGATTTCTCTGGAAGCTCAGTATCTAGCGTGACCTTTGTTTAATAAAATTAACACTTACGTGTGCCAAAAATTTGTCCAACCTCCTGTGGTTGCCGATAAGTAAATGTTATGTGTATTTTGCTGTTGGTCCAAGCGAACACAAACCCGTTAAGATTATTTTTTTATATGGTCGTCCAAATTAAAAAATCGTAATTTTTAAAACTGGATGATTTATTATCAGTTTCATGGACTGGGTTTGCCGTAAAAGGGCTTGTTTTGCTTAGTTAAGTGTTTATGCAATAAATAAATTTATTGTTTATCGGATTTTGAAATACAGAATCGGCGTTGCTTTTTGCTTGTTGCATTTTTTTTCGCGACCGTATTGCACTGTGGTACAGTTTTCGGTGTTGTTCTCATATTGGAAGTCCGCTGCGGTAGAATGCGTGGACTGTTGAAGTTGTGAATGTTTCGTTAACTGTTTGCGTAATATTGAAAATGCTTAGTACGGTCTAAGCGGCGTTTTTTGCATTGATATTGCTCAGTCAATTAATACAGAGAATAGCTGCTTTTTTTAAAAATGGTAGCTGTTTTATGAAACTTTTGTTGATTAAAGGAATTAAAGCAGCAATGTCGTTAAACGGAAATTTCCATTTCAATATTTGCTTTCCACGGAAACCATCAACACTGGATCATTTTTGAAGTGAGATTAATAAAGAGTCATAAAGGCAAATCCTTGTCGTTGACTTTTTTCTCTGTCACAAATTCCCAGGATAAACATCCGCGCTTACCACTTCACCACACTACCCCAAACCGGTCAATCCGGCTCCATCCCCTCCGCTGCAAATTCATTTATACGTTCGTTTATGGTCTGAATGGAAGAGGGCAGCCGCACATACTGGCCCTCGTATTGACATCCATAATGGGATTCGTTAGAGACATAATTTCCCGACTGCAATCCAGTGTGGGCGTCCGGGAAAAGTGGGGGCACTTCCTGCACACTGGTATAGTTGCTTATGCCATACTCTTATATACTGTACTTGTAGATCTGCGGAGTACATAGTACATACATACTGTGCGCCGGGATTGTGGGAATGTATGTAGCGATAATAGTGTTATCGGGGGGATCGGTTCTGCTTAGTGGATCATTTAGGCACAGGCGAAGTGCAATGAGTCGTGAGTGGGGGAACCCACTAAGCAAATGAGGGCGGATATTGGGATACATTGTGTCGACATACAGGCAGGCATTGTTGCACTGTGCGGGCATATTATTATTTTCTGTTTGCCAGTACTGCGTCAGCATGCGCTGTCACTCTGTGGTTCGGTTACTGCTGTAATGCAACGCATGATAGAGCTCGGGACATATAATCGATAGTCAAATAGCGATTGCGCAAGGGATTGGGATTTCCAGTTTCCAGTGTTCTCCACTGTGTCATTATTGAACACCGGCAGCATTTACAAGCATTAATATAAACATTACGCTAAATTAATAATTACGATAACGATGTGTATAAATAAATACATTTGTGCTAGCGTTTAGCGGAAATGGACTGAAGCATAACACTGCTACGATTATCGCTTGAACTTTTATACGTCTGTGAGATAAATTTTGTATTTGCGCGAAGATTGCGATTAAATCTTGACGGTTTCCAGATAAAAACCACAACTTTGAAATCCTTATTTTGAATGTTTTTCCTTGTAACATGTCGATGTTTCGCAATTTATTATCACTCGGTCAATCCAACCGGCATGGGCCGCGCAGCGATTGACAAGCTTTGTGTCGAATCCCACAACTGCATCAAATGTTACAATCCCATTTCCACAGTGGGAGTCAGCGATGTCAGCAGTGACGTTGTCGTTCCCAGCTGTTGACGGAGTACATTTGTGTAGCGTCAACATTTGCCGTCCGTCTCAACTGTACGCTCAGCATATCCCGCTCTCTATCGCTTTCCCATCGGAAGTTACTCCGCTTTTTGCCGGTATAAGACCACCAGATTCTCCATCTCAACGTATATATGTAAGCCCGGGCGTCTCGATTAGCACTGCCATATTCCGCTCTCCCAGCACACTGCACCAACCACCACGTGTATATATTCGGCGGGTTTTACATACACAAATATTTCCTAACATATTAAGCACTGCACACACAGTGCCTGTATCCAGCCGCGTATATAATATGATTTATTGTCCGTGTGCCGGTCACATCCGATTATGTGTGTATTTGTTGGCTGCTACGGCCGTTGCAGTGCCACCGTCTGCGTTTGTTTACCGTGTCTAAGCAGGCATCCTGCTGCGGTGGAAGGCAGTCCCCACTTCCTGCCAAGACGATCCCCTTGTATCCTGTATATAAAGTGTACACATACACTCACACACATACACAGACCATCCTATGTAAAGCGCATCATTGCGTAATAAACTAATAATGTCCAATTCTCCACGGATCGGACCGGCGTTGTGGGAATGCCGGCGTTGTTCGTAGCGGCGGGCGCATTGCTACCGGGTGTATATGCGGAGAATTTTTCTTCCTCCTGCATTATTATCATTTGGTGTGCAGTGGTTGGTGGGGGTTAATAGGAGCGTTCTGGTGTGCAGCGCGTCGGGATATGCAGCACGGTGTATACATTGCCAATTATCATATTGTCGCTACATTTAGAGCCATGTAAGACAGCGGGTCGGTATATATTATTCGGTGCAGCGGGCCCTTGGCGAACGTGGACGAGATGCGAGATTTGATTTTATTGATTTTTCTCTACCGGGTATAAATTGGCTACGGCTGGACCGGGTATTAACGGTTAACGGAGGCCATTCGCATATATTGACGAAGATATTATTCTCCTGGCTGATTATGGGCAACGGACAATCGGGAAGTAAAGAGCATGATTACGATGCCGATGCACCTGGTAAATATTCCTCTGACTTGAACACTTTTTCATTACAATTTTACTGTACCTCCGTGATAGTTGGCAAAATTCCCTAGGAAATTTTGGTAATATTGCAATAAAATTGATATTTTGTTGGTATTTTCGATACGATGTACTGTAATTGTCGGCATTGCTGAAGTCGACAGTGCAGTTTGAGTGCTGATACTGCTGAAATTCACAGTGATGCGATATTTGCAACATGTATCTGTTTATCTGCAACAGTTTAAAGCATTTGCTTTTAGAATATGAATATGTTAGTTAATGATTCAAAATATCGAAAAGAATGTTGATCAAGTATTATTTTGAAATAGCCTAAACTCTGCAGGCATTTGCTACTGCGTTAAGTATTTTGGAGTTTCCATAAATATTCCTAATAGCCAAATTGCATGTTAGCAATCATGCAATTGAATGCTGAATTTTTCCTCCATCGGGTTGCAAATGGGCAGTATAAGTTTTTAACTGTAAAATGCAAATAGACAAATTAGCGCAACGTTTCCGAACTTTTCCACTGCATTTTTGCTGTGCTTCTACTGCTCGATTTTTTTGCTAAACGAAGCGAAACGCTTAGATCACGCGTAGCACCACATGTAGTAGTCAGAAGCATGGCAGGTTGGTGAACAAACAGCGGGTTGTTTACCGCTTGAACGGATATTTCAGTCCCCGGCGCGTTGGTGGTGGACTGCATGTAGCATCCCGCGCAGCCAGCCCAACAGTTGTTGTATCCGGTGTAGTCATTGTTATTAATGATGTTTTGACCACAAACATTTGGCCCCGGCACTGACAGCGGTTAAGTCCATGCGTTACGCATAATAAACATTTTTTTGGGTAATTTTACGGCTCGTTTGCACTGTATATGACGCATATATGGAAAGCATTTGCATTAATTATTTACATTGGTAATATGTTGGCCGGTAGTGTGTTTTATCATGAATATTTGATAAGGAAAGGAGATTTCCCCGTTTAAACCTACGCCAGTTGAAAACTTTCCCGCCGATTGTAACGTTGAGAAGTACTGTAATATCCTTAGAGTAGGCTGGCTTGGAGAAGTCGTCCAACGCTGTGGGATTCGTGAGGCTCAATTACTCTTGGCTTACTTGTCACTCTAATCACAATACGCCCTTGTCAAAAAATTTCATCTGGCTATTTGTCTCTCTGGAAATTTTGCTGCGCCATATGCGACATACATCGAAAACCATATTAATTATGTGTGTGTCAGAATGTTTTCGCAACGTGACCGTTGGGTCGGCGCATCTTTTTAGGATGGCCACAGAATCTTCATAAATAAAAAATTTCTGTCGCGTGCCTGTGTACACGAAATGTTGCCATTTGTTAATTAAGATTATATCGTGGTGTAAATATCCAACGTTTTAATTTTTGCGCCGTTTGAATATAGAGTTAGCTACTTGCATATTTTATGTATATAGAATTTACAGAGTAGAAGAAATATTTTTCATTATTTCGGAGATGCATATGTTATTAGTCCGGGTAATATGAAGGGATCGTACATGTGCGCGAGTATTTCGCCTACGACAAGATTATCCAAAAATATTAATTAGAACAGTAGCGCAGATAAGTATTTGGTTAAGTATACAGGAGAGAAGTACTAATCCATAAATTAATCAGACCAGTAATGGCGTGACAAGACAGTAAAACGGCGATCATATGCTGCCCATTAATCAGGCACTGTTTGCGTGCCGAATAGCATTTCTTATCCATTATAAGCGGTACAGCTTCACTAAAATTGGTTCCGGTCAGTGTTAGTGCGCGTCAAAGTAAATCGGGAACCTGCCGGAAAGCTACAGCGTGCCTCGATCCCGTGTAATTCCGGGAGCGTCAAGAAACGAAAAAACTGCTTGAACATGCATACAAATAACAATTACGCATTTTTTTCATGTTGCATATGTCGACTTGAAAATGTGTTATAAAAACTATACTGATTATAGTGGTATTTTTGTAGAAAAACTCTTAACACATTCTCCATTGGCGTCTTTTAGTGATTGATGAAAGTTGACTGTTTTTCTCCTTTTCAGTTTGTTTTGACCATTTTCAAATATTGCGAGCCATTGGACGGGGGAGTTTCGGCAAGGTGAGTCGACTGCATTTACTCTACAATTTACTGTAATTACGCAAATTTAATTTGTTACTTACAAAATTACAAAAACTATTTTTTCTCGCCTTTAAATTTGCTGGTAGCTGCGTGCGTTTGTTTTGTATGTCAAGAGGAAATAATCGTTCCTATGTAAGAATCGCCACTGCACTACACTGAGCATTCATTTGACGATGTATGTCGAATATTGAAGTTGAAGTTAAGTTGGAGCGACGTCGACTTAACATTTTATCAAGTGTTGAAGTCTTAGCTCCCATTTCATTCGAAAAGACATAAGATAAACTAATTTCTCTGAACAGAAAACTCAGGAAACATTTCGGCAATGACGAATTTGAAATTTAAGGAATGAATATTTTGTTAGTACATACTGTAATTTGGGCGGAAACAACCGGCATCAGAGTTCTTTTACAGCTACCTGCAACATTTACGAAATTGTACGTTACGGCGGCTCTTGTTAAAATTGTAATCTTTTTGCCGCGAGAAAAACAAAACAATACAGCACTGACGGGATTCCGGGACTTGAGTCTCCCGCTGTGAAATGGGATCAGAAGGAAGCTGCAGTGGCTCATTACGACCACTTTGTACAGCATCCCCGCGCATAATTGGCTCGCGTTGGCCAGCCGACAGACGTGTAGTACAGACATACATATATACTCGTATATCGGCGCGAAAACAGATGGTGAGAAAATTTGTAGCCATTAGACTATTTGACTAAGTAACTCAATAAGCATTATCCCGTGCGCGGCGGCCGTATTGCCGACGCCGGCCGGCTTGCCGACGTCAGAGCACTTAGCCCCGGACACACTGCCGGCTGACAGCGCCGCCATTGTGGCGCTGGATGCGGTGGAGGGAAAATGTAGTTTGGACAAACACATAATGTCAAGGCATCGTCTATTCAGGCATGAAAGAATTATCATCTATATCCTCTTCTTCAAAACGGCATTGGGAGGATTTGGCGGACATATGGCCGCTCTCTTTCCCTCTTCTCCGTGTGGCTGTGTAATCCGGGCAGCCCCGGATATATCTCCACATATCCCTATATATACAAGCAGGCAAATTTGTTAGCTTTCCGCATTCTGCCCATTGTGTATGGGGCTGTTGTTGTGGAGGGGAATGGGAAAAAGATGTTGCTTGCTTAATTCGAGGCTGCTGGATGCAGGCGTCGCGGTGACATGCTGATTTAATGGCATAAAGACCTCGATGATAAACGGTGCATCCCCGGCAAACATATCCCTTATTGATTTTTGTATAGGTTGAAAGGGCCGCAGTGTTTGCATTAAAAAGGTCACTTTTTCGCCGTCTGCAGCGTTTCTCAGTGTTTGTTTGCATGCCGCTTTGTTTTCATTACGCAATCGAAAATTCCCCATTGGCTTCCTCTGCTTTTACTTTACCGTAGGGTATTTATTTTAAATAAAATGCGTGCCGTTATTGTTTATTTTATGTATTCCTTTTTTCTTGCAGAATTAATATTAAATATCAGGAGAGCTAGTTTGGGCTAGATAGTAATTTCTGATGTACTGCTGCGAAATAGTACACTGGCTATAAAAATAGAAACCGTTTTGCGTAGAGTGGAAGATTGCTGCGAGGCAGTGATGCGTTATCGTCGGCAACGTAACTGGCTACTGTAATGCTGGATACAAGGCCGGAGGAAACTCAATACTTGAAGGGCATCTTCCAGAGATTGATCCCGCAGTGCATGGTGATGCGCCGTGCCAAGAGAGCACCAGCCGGCATATCGAGTGATACGTGATGGTATTGACACAGTTAATGAGATTTGCTGATAATTTTATGTGGAATTATGTGCTGGGATCAAGTTGTCGGTGTGTACAGCGTACGTAGAGCTGTGTGAGTGTGGATGCAGTTCCGGACGGGGATCCCTGACTGGTTAGCAGCAGGCAGCGCCAGTCAAGGGTCGGCAATCACTCGAGAGATGGCGGTGATTTTTTTACGTTCCACTTACTGAGCACCCTTAACCACTATCATCGCTAATGGTTACTAAGAACTTAAGAAGTCCATAACACCCGATCGAACGTTACTTAAATCGTTACACTATCCACGTTTCTTTAGACGCTGCTTTATTATACTTAATATGCATTATTAAGTGACATGAGTAAATTTCCAGCTTTACCACGGATGTGCGTATAAACCAAACACGAGTAACAAATCGAAAATAATCCATGTACTCTGTAGCTCATGCTGCTTTAAATTAAAAGAAGTAAAAACGTACCTTTACGTAAAATATCATCAAAACATCGTACATTCGTACATACTAATTTATAAGCTCTTGTATTTGTTATTAAGACAATTTTAAACATAAATCTGTATAAAGTATACGGCATAACACTGGTGTCGCCGGGGCGATAATCTGTGTTAATGTGCTTATCTAAAAACTTTAGAACATCGGAAAATGTGCATGACAGGGTTATATATGAGTACAGCATGATGCGTGAGAATATTGGAGGTAATCAGTTATACAATTGTACAGGTTTTGGTTGTGTTAAATTAGAAATGCGAGAAACTACCTGCGCACTAAATGAACCTGTGTTGTAACGTGTTGGTGACCTCTGGCAACCGGAAATGGTTTGCTGTTTTGATCCATCAGCGTAAATGCATGCTGTTAATTACTTTTGATTAAAGTTCGATTGTGGTGATCGTGGTGGTGCCGCTGTGCGTATTATTACCATATATATGCGTGTTTGACGCGGTCCGACAACTACGGGAGACCCTCTTGTCGGAAGTTGGGCGGTATTGGAGGGGATTTGCCGTACAAAAGACTGAAAATATGTCAAGCTGGTCTATATCCACTACACCATACAACCGGAACCGTGCTTTTTTCTGCTCCTATGATTCCAAAATGAGATTAGTGTTCGTGTAATAGTGCATTGTCTAGTGCAGTATGTGTTTTCCATATCCTCTGTTCCCAAATGAAAGGGTGGGGATATACATATATTGTGACATGGCGTTTCCACAAGGCCGGAATTTGTTTTGACTTATCGATTGACTATAATACACTGCGCGCGCTCCGCGCCCGGGTGGTAATCATAGCGGCTGGCTTTTGTTAATGTTTTGTGCACGGCAGCATAGCCGTGTTGAAAAGTCACTTTGGATCATATACCAACCGAGTATTGTCAGTGCCCCGGCACTGTGTTGTATTTTATAATTAGTTTGCCCAATGAAAGTCAAATAAGTGCATCGATTTTTGCATGGCGAAGTGTGCAGAGAGGGGAGGGAATCACGCAATGGAATGCAAATTAATAAATAGTTTTTTATAGACGGTTTACTGTGTCGTTTATGGCTGAGCCTGGCGACCGTTACATGGAAGCCGGAAGAATGCCATAAATGCTGCATGTAATATGGTCATGAAAAGTAGTCGACAATAAAAGCGGCATTTTGCTCCTGTATATTGCATCGTGATTGGGAGCCCGTGGGAGCTGCCGGCACGACGGCACTATAGTTCGTGTAGATAAGTGGGGCATGAAGCCAGATCGAATGGGCCCTTATCAGCATGGACGCTCGTCACGGGAAAGTACGCGTATATCGCTGACGGTATCGTGGTACTTATGTGCCGGGTGAAAGGGACGGGATATTGAAAAAGGCTTGGACGTCAGATCCTCAAAAATCAGAAGCATACGAAGTATGTAGTTTTACAGAGAAGTGAACATTTGGTACGCGCTGCAAGGGAGAATAAAAAAGCTGGTACAAATACAGAGATTATGAAAAACTTATCAGTAATTTTAGAACCGTCTGACGTTAAATGAGTTATGAGATAAGTAGACACAAATATCTATACTGAATTTTGAAATCAGAGAAATATTTGAAAATTTCTGCTGCAACGCAGAACGTTTCAGGGAAAACAAAGGCCATGTTGCATATAAATTATTTAGAGTTTTTGAGCGCGGAAAAAGGACTACCTCAAAATTTTGCAGTATTACATCTGTAAAACGGGTGATGGTGCCAGTGTCCTTTGATTTTATTGCGACTGGTTAAACAAAAACGATCGAAGAGGTCATTACAGACCAAGAAATTTTTTAAATCTGTGACTGTTAAGTATCTCGCAATGTATTTAAGTAGAACATTCATTTTGTACATGCTTGTATAATTCCATGGGGTTACTCTTGCGTAAATCCTGATGGCAGGATATTAATGTCGTTAAACGGTGATGGATGAAATGAAGTAATCTTGTGATCTATTTTGGTAGATAATACGGAAAATTTGCATGACGTTAGTTGCGCTGTAAGGCAGGTTCATGCATCCCATCACCGAGTGACAATATGTGTATTTTGCAGGTGTGCATTGTACAAAAGAAGGACAGTAAAGTCATGTACGCTATGAAGTACATGAATAAGCGACGCACTCTGGAGAAGGCATCCATCCGGAATGTGCTGCGGGAAATTGGTGAGCGGATGACCTTAAGTACTGACACACTGTCATCTATTCACAAGGCGCTGCTTATTGTTAATCGCTCCATATTTGTGATATACCTACTGGCGTAAATGCATTAATTTGGCTTATTTCAAGTCAGTCAACCGATTGTCAAAGACTCACAGGATAGTGCACCATTTTAATTTACCATTAGTGTAACTCATGCAGTTAGTGCGGTTTATTACCTGTTCACTTAAAAATTTTAAAATTAAAAGAAACAAAAATTTTATCATGGAAATGCGGTTTAATATTAGCGTGGAACTTTGATTTTTGTCTGGTTTTAATTTGTCGTATCCGTCCAGTTTTTCGAAACTGATACCTTCTAAAACTGCCAAAAGAGCGTTTTTTTGTCAGAATATTAGTAAATATCACAACGTGTTTCGAAATTATTGGAAATTGAAGGATGCTTTAATTCTGACATGTGAAGTTCTGTCGAAAATACAGCACGTGTCCATATGCACATGTATCCACATAGTTGCATATCCATATCGATGTTCAGTACGTAATCCAATGAAAATTTTGCTTTTGGGCTTGGAAAACCATGGTTTCGTTAGCCAGTCGAGAAATGTATCTTAATTCACCATCTCTTTGCATGCATGCATACCTTTTTGATAGGGCTTCCGCTTTGTCCTCTTTTCAGCCATAAAAGATGTAATAGAAAAGCTTATCAGATGTATCAATTTTTCCGTGTTGTAATATTTTTTTATGATTTTTTGCAGATATTCTGATCAATCTGGATCATCCTTTCCTCGTGAACTTATGGTATACGTTCCAGGTAGGTCACACGCCCGTCGTTTAAAGTGAAGCACTTCGTTCGGTTGTCCTGATTGGACTGGAATAATTTGTAGGACGAAGAAGACATGTTCATGGTTGTTGACCTTTTACTGGGTGGCGATTTACGCTATCATTTGGATAAACTGGGAAAGCTCCCGGCCAATGCTGTGAAGTTGTATGTGTGTGAAATTGGATTGGCACTGGATTACCTGCAGAAAAAAGGAATTATCCACAGGTACAAATTTGTGCAAATGTAGCACTATAGAATCAAGTACATGAGGCGTTACTAGCAATACTTGTATAAAGATAAAACTAATTTGAATTTTACGGGTTTTTTATACAAAGTTTGTCGGCGTCTTGCGTTTTCGCGCTTAGAATGCAACTTAATCTGAAAGTTCTAGTGCCAACAATAATTTATTTGTTAAGAATATTTGTTGAATTACTTTGGATGTGGATAACTAATGCGATAATGAACACTGAGCAGTCGGTAAGTGAGTGGGTGTTTTCTGTGTTTCCACAGGGATATCAAGCCCGAAAACGTCCTACTGGATGAAGAGGGCCACGTCCACATAACGGGTAGGCGGTGTAACTTGTATTGCCACACGAACGTCGTGTTTTGATTTTTAATTTCGGCACAAAAGTGACGCTGATTAATGTTGACGGTGCATAATGCAGATTTCAATATTGCTGCTGTGATGGGACCCGATGTGCGCTACGCTGCTGCCATTTCCGGCACTAAGCCGTATATGGGTACGTCCGCCAGACCACGTCACAATGGTTGAATTTTAACTGTAAACAGTACTCTGAAAACCAACGAATAATACTATTTATTCGCATAATGATAGTTGTTATCGTTACACCGTTTTGGCATAGCGGGGCAGTTGGAGATCTGAAGAGTGATTCTCCATAATTATTATTTGCACTACTGCCTCGTACACGGATTTTTGATTTTTCTGTTGGTGGTCTTTGGAAAAATTATATGATCAGGTCAGCCTCGGAACAAACTTCATAATATGATGTCCGACGTTTGTATTTTAAATAATTCCTTCTTTACGCGGTCATTTGGACACAGCAGTTTAATATTTTGATAAGTCACGTACAATGCATAAACATTTGCACGTTTGGAATATATAGAGCGGTGTTTGAAACATTTTCTTATTTGTTCGTTTTTAATAATTTTTCTATGACTATGGCTAGGTACTTTAATCTGACTTGATTTGTACTCCCGAAACTGATTCAGGTGTAAACCTTGTAGGCTGTGCATCTAAGCTAAATTGTAAATGTTTTAACGGTTTTGTTGCTCTCGCAGCGCCGGAAGTGTACGACTGCATTATGGATGACTTTCCCGGGTATTCTTATCCGGTCGATTGGTGGTCGCTGGGAATAACCGCTTATGAGTTACTGCGTGGAAAAGTAGGTGTCGGCTCGCATTGACGCCTTTTCTAAATTATGCAAAATGGATAAATGGGGTTTCGAAAAACTTTGTTTTCTGCGTTAAATGCAGGAGAAAAAGCTCTACTTTGTTAAAATTAAGCATTCCCCACCCGATATTACTGCATCCTCCGTCGGAATAATGATGAAACTAGTGCAAATGAAATTACGAATCTACGATGCTTTAATAACGATGATTTTTACAGCGACCTTTCGAGATACATTCGAACACGTCGTTAGCGGACATCCGTCAGATCCACCAGTCCATTCCAATCCAGTATCCCGCAGTTTGGGACAAAACACTCATTGAGATGCTCAGTTGCGTAAGTGCATTCGTGAACTGTGCCGCCTGTACAGCTTTGCACCTCGATTTATACGTTTCTATTTCATACATACAGAGTACACTGCGCAGATACTGTTGTACTTTTGTCTAATAAAACTTCTTTAGTCATATACTCTATTCTCTCATAATGGTTTACCGGAATGCAGTTGACCCACAGTACGAAACGTTTTGCAGTTGCTTACGCTGAACCCCCAGGAACGCACATCCAACATCGAGTCCCTTGCCGCTCAAGTATACCTTTCGGATATCAATATGGAAGCCGTGTATAAACGCCAGATTAAGCCTGAATTCATTCCGCCCGTATGTTAATTGTTACTGTTGCTGGTATTTTCCCATACCGGATGTGGAACGGTTTTTCCCCTCATGTCCTTGAAAACGGTTAGTAATTAGTGTTTGTAATCCCGCAGAAAGACCATTTGAACTGTGATCCAACGTTTGAGCTGGAGGAGATGATTATTGAATCCAATCCACTGCACAAGAAGAAGAAGCGATTAGCCAAGCAAATGTCACGTAAAGATCTACTGGAGCCGGCACCGGTAATGTTAACGCTGTGCACCTTAAGATAAATTGTGCGGTTTGTAAGGCTTGATGTTGAATTGCAGGACGAAGCTGTTGTGCAGGCACAGCTGCAGGATGTTGCTCAGCAGTTTAAAGTTTTTGATCGCGTTATGTAAGTTGTCGCAGGAAAAATAAATCAGTAAATTAGGAGAGTATACTGTATGTGCAACTGTATGAGCAACCTGAAAATCAAGAAATTGTGCAAACTCAGTTCTGCATCCAATGTAGTTGACGACCTTATCGCCTGGTTTTACCAATCGGCTATTGCAGAGCACGACGCGAGCAGTTGCGAAGGGAGCAGGAGCAGTTCATCCGGGAAATCTCCATGGAGCCGGAACCGTCACGCCGTTCCGCCAAGAAAACGTCCTCAGATACCGGTAGTACAACGGATAGATAACCCATGCTTCAAACACGCGCTTATGTATAATACTACACCCGCTTTGTAATGGATGCTTTGATGTTTTATAAAAGTATCAAAAGAATGATTTACTTTCAGTATGCTATGTTGTGCAATAGCCTCGCTTGTCGGGCATGCTGAAGAACGATCCGGTAACAGTTCGTTTTTTATTAATACTGTACATAGTGAATGTGAATTAAAGTGATGCTTTACCCTTATTAACCCTTCCCAAAAGTTTGGTAATACTGCAGCTCACTTAAAAGTAGAAATGCACTCACCAGAGATCGCGTTTAAAAATATAAGAAAATCAAACTTGAAGAAGTTTCTCCCATAAAAAGTTCAAACCTGCGGATTCAACTTGCATATGACAAAAGATTAAATAACCAACTAGAGTAATAACCGAAGCATATAAGAAACGAATACAATTATACGAAACGAAAACATACCATCCACCTCTATTCTACCAGCAGCGCCGCGTCCCTCCCGAATCGCCTCAAACTGTATGTCGTTATTCTCACATCGCTCCGGGTCTTCATCGCTGCCATCCTGACAATCCTCTGTCCCGTCGCATACCAGTTGACCAGACAGACAGCGTCCATCCCGGCAGCGAAACAAATCGCCCCGACACGGCGGTATCGCATCCAACTGCATTTCGATATTCTGACACTGCTCCGGGTCTTCATCGCTGCCATCCTGACAATCCTCTGTCCCGTCGCATACCAGTTCACCAGACAGACAGCGTCCATCACGGCAGCGAAACGCATCAATCGGACACGACGGTATCTGTGTCAGCGCAGTGGTCCTGTCTGTCGTACTGACCGCTGTCGCATTGTACCCGCACTCTTCGTTCATCTCATCTGATTGGTCGTAGCAGTCGTACTCGCCGTCGCACCACGCATCCTCACGTACACACTCTCTCTTACTGGCGCACATCCGCCCCCCATCGTAGCAGCCCTTCTTTCTCCGCTTGGCGCACAGAACTTTATCTTCGTCTTCGCCAATGCCTGGCACGCAGTCGGGACTACCATCACACAGATAATAAAACGGAACGCACATGCCACGGCCACTGCGAAAACACCGCCACTCGTCTTCCGGACAGGGTTTAGCGCAGCGCTCAGGATCCTCGTCACTCTCGTCTTTGCAGTCCGCCCTGCCATCGCACTGCCATTCGGTGGGATAACATTTCGTGTCGTTATCGCAGGGGTTACCGTTGCAGGGTTGCCAGGGTACTGTTGTCCCACAGCCGGCCTCGTCACTGCGGTCTTCGCAGTCACGCAGGCGGTCGCAGCGGTACTTTCGCAGAATACACCCATCCCGGCAGTACATATCGTTTACATAGCACTTCCCGTTACTACAGCGAAAGTGGCCAGATGGACACGGCTCCTCCACTGCCACGCCGAACATCCCCCCGAAAATGGCCCCATTAATCGCTGCTTGGAAGAGTACCACAGCGGCGACAGGCACACTAACAAAACTCAAACACCTCATCTGGCTGGCTTCGAATAAAAACTTAACTTAAAAAGTAAATATAAAACGTGATACGAAACGCTAAAAAATGTAAAAAAGATTAAAACAGTCAAAAAAACGGTTAGAAAAAGAAACAAGCGACGAAGAACTCAGTAAAACGTTGACGATTTGAAGAAAATCATAAAACAGGCTTAACTCCGCACTTCTGAGTGGAAAGTGCGAAGATATGAATATCAGGTTGTGAAGGGCATGCTATACAGAAATTCGGTATGCAGTCGGAGAAAGGGAGGCAGTCACATTTGTCTGGGTTAGAATGACATTTTTACAGTAACATTTTTCGCGTGAATGTTTTGCGTTTTTTTGAAGTATTGTACCGAAGAACGGTTAATCATTTCAACTAACAGTTTAAAAAATAATGGAAATCAAGTCTTTCCGCCGCACTGTACATAAGTCAGCAAAACAGCAAACTCAGGTCTTCCCTGTCTGAAAGTAGTGACAACAAACGCTATTACAAAGAGGGCAAAAAAAATCCGATAAAAATCATTGATTGTTCACGAAACTGCTTCCAGTGTTGTTGCGGTCATCTTATTCATACGTTGCGGTAATTACGGTTTTATCGTGGTACAAAAACTATTTTATAAGGAAACGGAGCTAGTACAATACTGGCGACATGATCAGCATGGGAAACACTTTGTCCCGGAGCATTGAGTAAATCAAAGTTTTTAACGATATTCGTGATGAAGAGGTACAATTCCATTTTCGCCAGAGCTTCTCCCGGACAAGACCTTTTGCCTGGATAATGCACACCATTAAGTCACACCAGCAATCAAAGTTAATGAAAATCACATAATTATAACGTACCGACTTGAAAAGGTGCAAAACCTGGAGGAATGACTACTTTTCCGTGAGTATCCAAAAAGTGGCAGGGGTCAAATTTATATGGATTCTTCCAATAGCGTGGATCATGATGCATACTGTACAGATTGGGTACCAGAACGGTGCCCTTTGGCACGTTGTAGCCACCGATGACCGTGTCGGTCATGGCTTGATGCGGTATTCCCAAAGGAATCAAGCTGGCAAAGCGTTGCGCTTCCAAAATTGTTGCCTCGTTATATGGCACGAGACCTATAATGGTTTCACGTAGAAGTCAACAATAGCGTTTTGGACTCCCAGACGAAGCAGTCAAGAGCTTCAGAAGGCGAGTGTTGTTTAGCCTAAAACTTTGACCTTTATCGTCCATCCGAACCGGTTGGTCGCGTGGTATATTGTCGTCAATCTCTTTTTTGCATTGTGTAAGATCTTAGGATTCTCCAAGAGAAGAGAAAGGCCCAGACAATCGTCATCGAAGTGCTTTCGGTTCCGGCGGCAAAAAGATTAAGCACTGAGGTCACGAGTTGCTTATCTATAGCACAGCAATTTCGGAGCGTTATTTCGGAAACTGTCTCACGTTGTCGTTTTAACTGCATACTTCTACGCATACTTTGCTAATTGATTAAATACTACGCATACTTCGCTACTTTGTTATACAAAGTTAATATATATTAAACTTGGGCAGCAGTATTAATAATTACTGTTCCGCCTACTCGTAGTGTTTTGCAAGTTAAAGGGACTTGTGTGTGCACATAGCAGACAGTCTAAAGACTGTATACTTGTACAGTTGTATTTATTACGGTACGATTACCCTTGGGACGCCAAGAAGTGTTGTACAGTAATGCCAAGTGTTAACCAAAACAGTTGAAAACACGAGACGAAGGACACAGTCAATTGACTCAATTCTGCATGTATGTTTACCGGTGAATGTGGTAACCGTTCCTTTTCGCTGCTGCTCTTCAGCTTCCTTCATAAAAGCGTCAATATAGTCGATAACATTCTCGGATGAAAATCTTCCTTTATGCTCCTCGATAAGTTGCTTAGCAAATCCAAATAGTTCATGGATATTCTGGACGAAACGAATTGTTTCAGCCGCCTTCGTTATATATGCTCGTATACTGCGTATAAGATATTAAACGAACTTTAGTGCGTAGCTTATCGTGTTATTATCGTCGCTGTTAGTAACCTAATGGGAGGGACGAAGCGCCACGAATAGGCTACCGCCTACCTGGGATGTCACAGCTAAAAGGGTGCAGCATTTCCAAGCGTTCTCAATTGAACGACGAAACCGTTCGGGGACAAATTTCCTTGATTGCGACATCAATCCGGTATTACGAACATTCCGTCCGGCAAACAGCGCTGCTAGTTTCGTAAACTGAGCGTCAGAATGAGCAAATCGTTGGCCAAACACTGCAATTCGCCCAAGAAAGTCATTATTTGTTTCAAACCAGTCATAAATGTCGATGTGAAAGTAACACTGTAACTTGGCAATGGTTGGGTGGTTTGCATACCAAACGCACACGATATTTGAAACGGCATGCGATAGCAATGTTTTCGGGTCAAACGGCTGCTTATTCTGCTTTCGCAGCACTCCGCACATGTCTTCGATTTCTGCAAGGATGTTAGTCTCCATCCAGCTCTTCCCCATACCGAAATCACGCAATGTAGAGATAGCAAATCGGCGATGTTCTTTCCACAGTTCTCCCTGGCTCGCAATTAAGCCTGTTCAGAAAAAAAATTTTATAGACATACATACTACAAAATTTAATCAATTAGCGAATCTTTGAGACAATTATACACATTCTACTGCAAAAAACTGGTATCTAGCGGTGTTTGACTCGGTGTGTTTGACTCGGTGTGCACGGTGGAGTGCTTACGCTGCAGACACATATTTAGGCATCATCAACTGCCGACTTGCCTTGTTCTTGGAAAAACGGGTTGCAGATCAATCTTTGGTCTCTTCCAGTCGTAGCTTCGTCACTGAAGGCCGCCTTTGCAATATCATAATCGTGCATTACAACCATTGGATACCGATTTCCCATGTGCACTAGGATTGTGTCGCCGTATGTCTTCCGCCATTCCATGAACTTTTTGAAAGGTGGATCTTTATCGAATTCCAAAATGTTCCCCACAATTGGTAGTCCTTTAACAAAGTTTAGTGAATTGCTAAAACACCAGCGTTTACGTACTTTCAGAAAACTTACAGCTAGCAAAACCAAAAAATCACGCTGAGCTATCAAAGGTCATGGAGCGAGCCAAAGAAACTGTGGAAAGAAGCCGAAGCGAATCAGAGAAGCACTCGTATGTGACAGTTTCGGTCAATCGATCGATCAGGCATACGATTACTGTTGACAGAAGCATGCAAGCCCAAGCAAGCATTTTTCGATCGCTCTCTTTTGGATATGCTGCAGATACATACACTATCGATAATTTTTCTTAGAAATGCCAATTACGTCTCGTTAAGTGAAGAGCTATCACAATAATTCCACAAAGTTTTGCCGGCATATAAATGCTTTTCAGCTTTCCACACCTGGCTGACTTACCCGATGGACCTGGTGGAAGATTTCGTGGTCGCCGTGATCGTACATAGATTATTCCCAAAATAAACGCTGTGACACCAATCAGAATTTCGATCATTTTTTAGACTGCTAGTATTATTTATATCTGATTCCCTTATTTATATCTTATTTAGTGCACAGGAATCTTATTCCCTTTTTATTACAAAATAACTTCCAAAAAAACGTTGGTAAATACAGCGCGATTTCAAACTACCTGCAATCGCAGTACAAGTATGGGAGATCGTGTTCCTAGACTCGAGGCTTTAAAATCAGTATATGGATAAGGTCCATTGTCGTTAGTGAAAGAGCTCATATCACTGACAATCCGAATAATGATTAAATGCGCAATGTTGCGAAGATATCTACGATAACAAAAGAATAATTATAATATTAGACTCATGGTGCCAGTTCGAAAGTGTGTCACTTATGGCGGTAAAAATTTCAAAGCAATAAACCACGAGTACCACTGTTAGTACTGTAATGTGATTTTTTTGTAACAAACAAAAGTACTGTAATCAAATTAATACTCGTACCGTATTGCCGATCTTTCCTATACTTCTACTTCTATGGTTGATACACTCACTGTACACGGCCAGTTTTGGTGTCTGTGTCTGCCATCAACTCCAGTGATGCAGTTTCTCCACAAATCGTTTTCTGAAGTGACCTTTTCAACGGTTATTAACTATTAAGGCATCCCCGCAGGTTAAATAAGTAATCAAACGGTAGAAGTATTAATAAAAGCTGTATTAATGTAGGTAGTGCGTACACGTAAGATCTGCTTTATTGTACTGGCTTGCTTCATTGTATGCAGTACCCATTCGCTTTTAATATTACTGCAATGCCAACCACGAATGTTTTTTAAATAAGAGCAAACATGCGACGGCAGAGTACAAACTCAGCACCTCATCCACTGAGAGTAAAACAAAAAAAGCATTCAGGCTTTAAAGCCATTTTACAATAATTAGAACCAGTAAAACAGCCATTCATTTTCGATGGGCAACACACCAGTATAAAAACGCTTTTCCAAATCAAGGGAAAAGAACCGGTACATGACGTCCTATCGTCACATTAAAAATCACTCATCTGAGATCCATACTCCATGCACTTCGCCACCGAGCTTCCATTCCACCAGCTGTCCGTCGGAGGTCCTTCCCAATCAACCGGTTTGTAGCGCAGGAACGTAGCATAATGCTCGCAGTTGCTGGTCATAATGCTGAACGTAAACGGACGATTGGCATGCTCCGCCACCAAACCAAAATCTCCTGCAGTGTCCGCTCCTCAAATTCATAATTCTCCTTCAACTTGGTCTGATTGTTGACGCGGAACTGCCCCTTACCCGCCACGCGAACGATATGGTCAATGCGGATGTAATGCTGGCCGTCGTCAGTTGTCCCACGTTCCGGCGATTCCTCCAGCAGCGTACGGCCCAGCATCACGTGCAGACGCGGACGGACGCTGGCCGCGTGCTTCGTCCAGCGCGTGGTGGCCGTCCCCGGGGCGGTGGCGCTGTGGTGATGGGAGTGCAGACCGCGGCCACTGCTGACGTGCACCAGCAGGCCATTGCCCAGGTACACTCCGAAATGACTGAGCGGCAGGAATGTACGGCCCATGGAAAACTCCAGCAGATCACCCGGACGGATGGCGTGGCCGTCCACTTTCCATTCCGCTGCCTTCATCCAGGCGGTGGTGTTCACAACCGACAGAGCAGCATCCGCAAGATTAATCGTGGCTTTCGTGTTGGTGCCAGCCTGGATGACGTTTTCGTCCTGCAGTTCATCGGACAATGAGGAAAAACTGGACGACGGTGATAAGGATGGCGATGGGGAGGAATCGTGGCCAGGCGCGCTTGGAATGGCGTACGGGTCGACGGCAGGAACCGTGGGCCATTCATCGGTGTTGGGGATGTTGTCGCTTTCTGCTGTTTTGGTGCTACTTGCGTTACCCATTTTACTGGTTAGAAATGGTCAGATGTACAAAGAGGATCACAGTCAAAGCATAACAGATTAACCGCAAACTGGATGAACGCTCCTCTAAAAATAGAATAATTATAAGAATTTGAACGTTTTATGCATAATGTGGTTCACTGTGAGATCATGAAACGCAGCTTGAAAGTTCATCGGCTTTAACGACAATACGGTACATCCACTGTCTTTTCAAGCAGGAGGCTGATGAGCGTGCCGCGTATTATACGTACTGACATACAGTACCTGCAGTATATAATACCGTACCGCGTAGTACATACTCCTCGCATCTTTTGTACAATACATCATAGCAGTACGGAAGTAAAGGAAATGCTATGTATAAAAATTAATTTTATGGGTCACCAGTCAGTATGTAAATACAAATTTAATACAAACCAAAGCAGTAAGCTTAAGCTTTATCACAATTAAAAGGTTTAACTTGTTCAATGTGCACTGTCCACTCCCACTGGACCCATTTAAATGGATGGGAGTTTTCGGTATTAATACTGTCCTTACACTGAAGAGTGGTCGACAAATCGCCAAAAAAACGATAGCGTTCGGAGTCCATAACAGCATTGCACAGTTTAAATACTGGCTTTTCAGTTGGTTTCGTCTTCATTCTTTAGTAAATTCTGATGGCACTCCACTTAATTGAAATGTCCATACATTTATAAGTTATAGTACATGTACCGGTAGCACCTATATAAGTATTATGTATATCTATATACTACTCTTCTTCTATATATATTAATAAGTAAAAGTTAAGCCGTGTAAAGTTGCCTTTTTTACTTTTGTACTCGTACCTCCTTTACTCATGCCCGAGTAAAACAGTTTGTAAAAAACACGTTAGCTAAACGTTAGTTAAAGGCCAAAATTCGAACACTGTTCGAATTTTGGCCTTCTAACTTTGTTAACTAACGTGAACAACTTTAAGAAACCCACACCGGTAATTAATGAAATTTAAAATACAGTACACCATCGCGGTATTTAACAGTGAAAATGTAATTTAATACCAACAGTAAGAGTTTTTAGCATCACAAGAGTGCGTAATCTACAGATAAATAATGTGTTGTTGCAAAGGGTAAGTGCTACCTTTTTATACAGGCAAATTTGCCGCAAGCAAAAAACTCGCTTTGTAGCACATTGCAATATTATAGTTAAAAAGTAAAAACTAAAGAAAAAAACCATGGCGCCGACGATAAAACTGCAAAATTTGAACACGGTAGTACCGTGTTCATAATATCAGTACAAAACAAACGATCAGAAAAGAAAACTGATTTGTTATTAACACAGAGCACCAATTTCGAAACAGTACCTCGTTACGAAAAACCTTATCGAATACTTAAGTGCGCCTCCATCTGGTGCTTCTCATCTATCGTGGCACAAATACAATTTTGTACGGGGCCGGAGCAAGAACAATACTGGCAACATAATCCTCATGAGACACCTTCTTCCCAGGTGCATTTTCCAAATTGAAGTTTTTCACGATGTTGGATATGAAGAGGTACAGCTCCATCTTAGCCAAGGCTTCTCCTAAGCATGACCTTTTGCCTGCAAAAATTGTTATTCAGCCAAAATTGTGCAAATTAACCTCTGTGTGCCGTGCATAAAGAACCATGTGCGTAAGTTGAAGGCTCGATGTGTCGACCACGTAGCTTTGGTTAGCATGCTCTGTTATTATTTCTTTTTGCGCGTATGCTGATAAATTGACCGGCATCATACTGAGAAACCGATTTCGTTCTGGTTTTTTTTCTTCGGCTGAAAAAGCTGCGTGCGAGCGTACCAACTTGAAACGGCGCGAATCCGGTGGGATGGGTGACCTTTCCGCTGGCATCCAGGAAGTGGGTGGGGTCAAACTTGTCAGGATTTTTCCAGTAACGCGGATCATGGTGAATGCTGTACAAGTTGGGCGCCAACAGAGTTCCCTTTGGCACAGTATATCCATCGATTACCGTGTCGGCCAACGTCTGATGCAGAACACCAATGGGAACCAAGCTGGCGCAGCGCTGCACTTCCAGAATTGCCGCCTCGGTGTACGGAAGAAGCCCTGTAATTACGGTTTGTTAAATATGATATGCCATAATCGTAGCTTATGGTAGACTAGATCGGTGCTGACCTTTATCATCCATTCGTACAGGCCGATCGCGCGGAATGTTGTCATCGATTTCCTTCTGCATTTTGCGCATCACTTCCGGGTTTTCGATTAGGAAAACTAAGCTCCATAGGGTGGTTGTGGATGTTGTTTCCGTTCCGGCAGCGAAAAGATTCAGCACCGAGGTCACTAGCTGCTTATCTACGAGTGTTTGACTTCTTTATTATAAAAACATGGGTATTGTGATGTTCCCAATCAAATGCAGTCTTGTACGTATATATAAAAGCCGTAAATACAAGCGTCTTGCAAGGAGGCAATCGAGACAGTAAACCAATTAATCTTATCAAAGATATTACGAAAGTTTGTTCTACAGTACTTTGCCCGACAGATTGTGGCGATCAAAGAGGGTTTGACTTTCAACTCGTTTATCATAGTGAGAGTCAGATGCACTGAGTACCGATAACGTAAGCGGAAAATTAAAGTGCAGTATCAATAAATTTTCTTATGTCAAACAGAAATTTATAAAAACGCAAAAATCACCTGAAAAATTATTCCAACAGTCTTATAAATAACGCTTCCCGAATTTGATTTTAATATGCTATAAAAAAGTATCATTTACTGATTAACATAGGTTTAACAGTGACAGCGCATACAAGTACTACAACTGGCTGATGGTGAGTTCAACATGTACAAGTACAGAGTATACAGCTGTACATGGTTTTAGCTCAGGCTCAAAGCCGCACTATTGTAAAGCAAAGCAACAATTTTGCATGTCAGCTTCTACGAAAATATACTTGTATAGATATGACCAGCAAAATATTCTACTGCATGAAGTAATAATATTAATTCACTTGCAGTAACTGTTCACACATATTGTGCACGAAAATCCAGTACTTATCGTTAGTTACTGCATTATTGCTCTATATAATTTATCGCCTACCGGTGAATGTGCTATTCACAACTCCTTTTCTTGCTGCTTTTTCCTTCCTTAATGAATGCATCGATGTAGTCATCGACTTCTTCCGAGGAGAACTTGTTCTGGTGTTCATCAATCAAGTGTTTAGCGAATCCATACAACTCGTATATGTTTTTCCAAGCGTGTTTGATGGAGTTGCGGAATCGACCGGGAATGTACTGCAGGAATGGGAACGTCTGTATTACCTGCGTCGTGGGTCCCGTTATTCGGACATTCTCAGCAAACAGCGAAGCCAGTTTGGTGAACTTGGCATCCGTATGCGCAAATCGTTTGCCAAAAACTGCAGACAAACACGTGTTCTTTACCAGCGACACAGTATGTTATCGAAAATCAAGATAAACCGATTTTGGATTGAGACAGTAGAGGTCAGAAAAGGTCGTACTTCCGTAAGTTTTTTCCAAGAAATTTGCAAAACCTACCGAGAGCGCATATAACATTGGACACGGAGTGAGACAGCAATGTTTTGGGGTCAAACGGTTGTTTATTCTGCTTTCGCAGCACCGCGCACATATCTTCTACTTCGGCGATAATGTTATCTTCGAGCCAGGTTTTGCCCATGCCAAAATCGCGTAAAGTGGAGATGGCAAAACGCCGATGTTCCTTCCACAAATCCCCTTGGCTGATAATTAAACCTGGAAAGCACTAACGGTTGAGTTTGTAAAAGTTGATACGGTTAGTTGATACATGAAGTCGGTAATTCTCATTACAACTACGTAATACGTTTGCGTACGCGTCCGTAATCCGAAGTAAATTAATAGTCACTTAGTTTAATAAAGGGTTGATTGGCGGAAAAATCATATTACAATTATTTCAAGTTTCCGTTCAAAGTAGATCAAATTGACATAGATTTACCATGCCCTTGGAAGAAGTCGTTGAACAGGAAGCGCTGATCTCGCCCGGCATTAACTTCCTCGTTGAAGGCCTTCTTCATTGTGTCGTAGTCGTGCATCACCACCATTGGATACTGATTGCCCATGTACACCATAATGGTATCCCCGTATTTTTTGCTCCATTCCATAAACTTCTTAAATGGCGGGTCTTTGGTGAATTCCAGAATATGACCGGCGAAAGGCAAACCTGTTGTGAGGCAGTTCATAAATACATAACTAAAAATGCATGTCGTAAACAGCTTAATAGTGCAAAAGATGCCCGTAGTTATATAATGCACAATAATAATATTGGTATTAGTGTGTGAAAAAGCCTGTTAGTCAGAATTCTATTTCAACATGTATTACTGATTCTGTAAATTGTTAGTTTCAGAAGCTGTAGCCATTTGCATCAACTGCTGCAAAATTCACATAAGGTACAGCAATATTATAATAATATAACAGCTGACAGACAGTAAATTTAGCTGCATAGCCTTTGCGTACCTGGTGGTCCCGGTGGTAAGTTTCTGTGCCGGCTAGAGCGAAAATACGCTACGGCCAAAAGGAGCACCACGGCACCAATAACGAATTCAATCATTTTTCCGCTGCAGTTTCTTTCGGCAGTTTGTATAGCGAAATAATTTAATACGCAAGATAGTATAGTGATAGATTGTTTGTTGTGCTTTTACAAACTTTCTTGTGGAGGTGTGTTTAAATACTAACCACAGACCGGCCAGAAAAGCTAAAGTGCTCCATCATGTCAGAGGCAACATGATGAAACACCAAAACTACAACATCGTGCATGTGCCTGGATCTCGAACACCTACGTGGCAGAATGAAATCGTACTGTCAGTTTGTATAAGACTCCATAGGGCACTGAAAGGACTTTCATCCTAGCTTTTCAAGCAGTCTGAGTAATAATTTAATGAACGACGATAAGAGATAAGGATTCAGGGAAATCTCGGCAATTACTTAGCATAATATCCGTATTACGCTGTCGGTTGTGTACGTTCTACCTGTATCTGTACGAGTATGTTATAGTCTGTACACGACCTGCTGGTGAGCGGGGTACAATTTACAGCACGTACACAACGCAGTGACATGGCAGCTTTCTAACTGCCTAGGTTTTCAAAAGTTTTCTTATGCACAAATAAAATATAACAAAGAAACATGACGCGTAAAACAGAACAACAACTGGCTAATATTGTGAACTAAATACGCATTTTTCTAACACATTTATTATGAAGATGTGTCTGCTGTCTTGTTGCTTTGAAAATTCACGCTTGTCAAAAAATGTATTTTTAGGTGTTACTGTACCTGGTTGAAAAACTACTTGAACCGCAAGCGTTACTAGAGTTGACGCAGTCCATAAATGAATTCAGCTGAAAGCTTTCCAACGACGGATAGCGAAAATACAAATAGATAAAACTCTTAGCTGAGTTAGCTCATACAATTCACAATCAGGTGCGTGAAATGCTTAGGTACATGAAGTTTTATATAAAGACATCTGTGTGCAATTTTCCACCTTTGCAAAATATTCTCATGCCTTTTTTAATCTTGAGAAGAAGTTGCAAAGTTCCGTCTGCCAGCGCAGATTCACAAACGGATGAATATGCTTGCACGAAAACCGGACATGCGGACAATTTATGAAATCGCAACAAAAAATTGTTCCAAGTCGACTATGTATTTTCTGCTGTTATTTTAGAGGCATTCGCAAAATGTAAGTAATAGACCACCAGTACAAAACGCTCCCCATATATAATGATGGCGCGATCATCGTGGAACGAAAACCAGTTTACACGGCGATGGACCGAGAACAAAGCTGGACACAAAATTTTCATGGGAAACTCTCTTTCCAGGTTCGTTTTCTAGATTGAAATTCTTGACAATGTTGGCGATAAAGAGATGCAGTTCCATCTTGGCCAAAGCCTCCCCCAGGCATGACCTTTTGCCTAAAAGGGTTTACGAAGCACATTCACATAACAAGTTGACTGCACATCTTCATACAAACTAAGGTCAGAGTGTCAGCTGCTCAACGTACCGACTTCAAAAGGAGCAAATCCAGCAGCTGGATGCACAACTTTCCCGTCAGCGTCTAGAAAATGATTAGGATCGAAGGCGGTCGGATTCTTCCAGTAGCGTGGATCGTGATGGACACTGTACAGATTGGCGGCCAGCAGTGTGCCTTTGGGAACATTGTATCCGTCGATCACTGTATCCGCGAGAGTTTGGTGGAAAACTCCAAGGGGCACGAGACTGGCGCAGCGCTGGATTTCCAGAATTGCGGCTTCGGTGTAGGGCAGCAAGCCTACAAACGTCGAGTCTATAAGTTCTCGTACCTATATTATTGTTACAAACCCGTGCGGATTGCCTGGCTACTGCTAATTTTACTTGCTAAGCACGCCGCAGGTAACAGTAACGAGTATTTGATCGATGACCTTTATCTTCCATCCGAATAGAGCGATCGTGTGGTATATTGTCATCGATTTCTTTTTGCATCTTGTGCATGACATCGGGATTCTCCAGGAGAAAAACCAGCGCCCAAAGGGTGGTCGTTGATGTCGTTTCCGTTCCGGCGGCGAATAAATTCAATACGGAAATAATCAGCTGCTGTTCTGTAATGCGTGTGGCTTGCGGATGATTTTCGGTTGAACCAGTGTTTCAAAATTAAACAGTATTTTTTTACTTGTATAAAGCCTGTGTATACTGTAGCAGTTCTTTTCATGTACTGTAGTAAAGTGAATTTCAAAATTCGTTTTTGCCGCTTACCGGAAAAAGTGCTGTCAACAATTCCTTTGCGTTTTTGCTCTTGGGCCTCTTTCAGGTAGGCATCAATGTAATCATCCGCACTCTCCGATGAGAATTTACTTTGGTGCTCATTAATTAACTGTTTACAGAATGCGTACAGATCGCCAAAGTTTCGCCGGGCGACTTTCACGGCACGGCGAAATGGCCCGGGAACAAATCTCAAGATGGGAAACGCTTGCACAACTGCCAAAACTGGACCAATAACACGTATGTTCTCCGCAAAAAGTGTTGATAGTTTGCCGAACTTCGCATCGGAATGGTCGAATCGTTTTCCAAAAACTGTAAAATCCCCGGTGGAAATGAAATCTGACAGTATTCGTACAAGATTTACGAAAACCGCACATACATTATATGCACTCGGCACTTTATGGATGGTGATGCTTAATTATCGTCTATACTGTATTTATCTATTAAAAATTTGTCAACTTTCAGAATCAGACAAGTGCGTGATGGTAAATGTCACTGAAGTGTAATGACTGCCCACCGGAACTGGGACCACGATCAAATTAACAATATTTACATTTACTTATGTAATCTAATTAATGCGCTTACCAAGAGCACAAATCACATTGGACACAGAATGCGATAACAATGTTTTAGGATCAAAGGGCTGTCGATTTAGCTTCCTCAGCATACCACACATGTCCTCGACTTCGGCGATAATATTGTCTTCCAACCAGGTCTTGCCCATGCCGAAGTCGCGCAGCGTGGAAATGGCGAAGCGACGCTGTTCTTTCCACAAATCTCCTTGCGTAAATATCAGGCCTGCAATTCAGATACATGGTGTTAAAAATTATCTTTCTATTATATTTGACACGCCGTCGATTATATGACCTTTTCCTGCAAAATCTTTAACAAAGACAAATCGCTGGTCCCGCCCGGTGGTGACCTCGTCATTCAGGACTTTCTTGATGGTGTCGTAGTCGTGCATGACCACCATGGGGAAGCGGCTGCCCATGTGAATCAGAAACGTGTCACCGTACGTCTTCCGCCATTCCATGAAGCGCTTGAACGGAGGCGTTCTTCCCAGTTGTAGCAGATTGCCCACAACCGGCAGACCTATTAATTGTTTTATTTTGTCCCTGTTATAAGTGCATTAAGTATTTACGTATTGTACTAAAGCAACAAAACTGCCTGATGCTGATCGGAGAAGTACCTGGAGGTCCGGGCGGTAGATTGTCGACAGCTCGTCGTTCTGATCGGAAATAAATCAGCCCCAGAAGCAGAACTATACCTCCAATAACGAATTCGATCATTTTAGTGGTAAATTCTGGGAGGATTCACAAGAAAAATGCGGGAAAAGCTTTGTAATGATATAACGGTAGTCGTGTAAAATCCGCAATCCAAGTACGTGTGGGAAAAGGCTTTAACCGCAATAAAAGAGTTTAACTTATTAAGCAGCAACTATACAGGCAGATCTAGGCACTGAGGCAACGCCAGGCTTTGGAGTTTAGAGTAATAACTGCGATAGTTTCACAACATGTTCATTCATTTGGCCTTTGCAAACCAAAACAATAATGACGATACTTATAGTTCATAAGTTGCAGCAGATTTGTGACGCCAACAAGAATAACAGTTCAACAAGTACAGGAAACAGTCGTTCTATGCAGTTGGATAAAAATGTGCACTTTGTTCCTCGATGCATGCCGACTTTTCATGAACTTGATAACCATTAACCAAAACAGTGCTCTAGCAGTAATTAAATGAATTCTGATAACAGTATTGTGCGGTGTAGGAATAAGCAGTCCAACGGTTCATTTTGGATTTGTCCGCTTCTAGCGGAGGCACCGTTACAAGGAATAATTGTTTCTATACGAGTAGCGTCTGTACCTGCCAGTATTTAGTATTCTAGCCTAGAATAATCTCATGCCTAATCATAATAAATGTTGTGTTGTACCTTATAAATGAAAATTATTCCCATGCATTTGACTCAAGTACTTTACCGTACTACAAATGGCTCAAAATTCCTGCACAGGCAGAATGCCGGTTCGACATGTTTGTAAAATAATAAGCACACCTTACTTATTCATCTAATGCGATTCATTGTAGAAATAACAACGTAAAATTAAGCACTCAACATAGTAAACCATCAATACAAAACATTCCTTAAGCAAAATAATTATACGCTCATCGTGGAATAAAAACTATTTTATAGGGCGATGGACCGATAATGAAGCTGGAGACGTAATTTTCATGGGAAATTTTCTTTCCCGGCTCGTTTTCCACATTGAAATTCTTGACTATGTTGGCAATAAAGAGATGCAGTTCCATCTTGGCCATAGCTTCTCCCAGGCATGACCTTTTGCCTGGAAAGGTGTATGGATACACGTTGACATAATTAACATTTTCATTGTACATTAGTAAGCAGACCAGTGTTAAACACTTAACGTACCAACTTCAAAAGGAGCGAACCCAGCTGCTGGATGTACCACCTTTCCGTCAGCGTCCAGAAAATGATTAGGATCGAAGGAGGCCGGATTTTTCCAGTAGCGTGGATCGTGATGGATACTGTACAGATTGGCAGCCAGCAGTGTACCCTTGGGGACATTGTATCCGTCAATCACCGTATCCGCCAGTATTTGGTGGAAAACTCCCAGTGGTACTAGGCTGGCGCATCGCTGGATTTCCAAAATTGCGGCTTCGGTGTAGGGCAGCAGACCTGCAACGTCCTTATATGTGTTAGGTATGCAACTACTGTAGTGACGGTCACAAGTTAGACCACAGAGTAAGTTTACCGGAGAAATGGACCATGTATATACCAACGCTGCACGGGCAAAATTCGATGTTTTACCAGCAAATTAAACCGTTCCTTCAGCGACATTCGTGTTTTAAAACTTTATTTGACTAACTAATAATATCTAGGTAAAGATTAACTATTAACTAACAGAATTGGAAAAGAATGCATACCGAGTAACAGAGCTCTGATATACTGTGTCATGCTGTTTGTTGTGGTTTTTAGGTCCTAAAGGCGCTTTGATTCAGCTGGGATTGACGGTGCATGTTTTCACAGGCGCAGAAAGTGCTGACGATTTTTAGAGCTCTCTGATGATAAGGGAAATGTGTAAACATGGTTAAATTTACATGGACATTTTGTGCTGAAGTACGAAAAGTAAAATGGGAATCGTCGTAGAATTTTGCCCGTGCAGCATCGTGTATCCACTGCATTTTTCCGGTAAACTTACTCTGTGGTCTAACATGATCGTCACTACAGTAATACATAGAATCTTCGATACAGCCAGTTTGTGTTTCTATCATGGTTGCGTTGTACGTATAGGGATGGGTTTATTATTGGTAACCTTTATCTTCCATCCGAATAAAGCATATGGTCGTCGATTTCCTTCTGCATTTTGCTCATGACGTCCGGATTCTCCAGGAGAAAGATCAACGCCCAGGGTGGTTGTTGCTGTTGTTTCCGTTCCGGCAGCGAACAAGTCCAATACGGAGATGATCAACTGCTCTTCTGTAATGCACTCGGAGTGTGGATACTGCTAAAATCTCGGTGTAGCCAGTTTTCAATGAAAATTCTAAAGTTTCTACAGGTATACTTCTGTTTTGGAAAAGTACGAGTAATTTATGAGTTTTCCTTTACGTATGGTACTTGTAGATTTTTTTCGTTTTTGATGTTTACATACTCTGTACCTGTAAAGGTGCTGTTAACAATGCCTTTCGTGTTTGTTCTTGGGCCTTTTCTTGAGTATAATAATCATCCATCACCTCTCCGGAGGGCTTTGGTGTTCACTGATCAACTGTTTGCAGAATGAGTGTAGTTCGGCAACATTTCGTTGGGCGATTTTAACAGCACGCGAAATGGCCCGGGAATAAATTGTAGGATAGGAAACGCCTGCACTATTGTCAGAATGGGACCAATGACCTGTACATTTTCGGCGAATAGCGTCGACAATTTGCCAAATTTCGCATCCGAATGGTCAAACCGTTTTCCGAAAACTGCAACATGCCATGCAGGCGATCAAGAAAATATAACTGCAGTCTGCAGTTACAAACGGTTGACGAGAAACCGATGTCCTTACATAGAATGCACATCATCGCATGTTAATTATGGATGAAGGTGCAAAATTGCTTATATTTTTCGTGTAATATTTTTTAACTTTCGCTACTGCCACTTGGACAGCTTGATCGCTCAAACTTTGATGATGGTAACATAAAGATATATTATAATCGATGCAGTAATTATCCAAATGATGCTCATCCTTCTGTTATCAGTTATAATTAAGTAATAATACATACACACCAAGAGCAAATTACGTTGGAGACCGAGTGGGATAACAGTGTTTTGGGATCAAAGGGCTGTTGATTGAGCTGTCTCAGGACACCGCACATATCCTCCACTTCACCAATAATATTATCTTCCAACCAGGTCTTGCCCATGCCGAAGTCGCGCAGCGTGGAAATAGCAAAACGACGTTGTTCTTTCCATACATCTCCCTGCGTTAATATTAGGCCTACAGTTAAGCCGTTGTTAGAATTTGATATGAGTGTGAGTAAGTTATCAGGTTAGTACTGTTGACTAAATGACCTTTTCCTGCAAGTTCTTTAAGGAAAACAAATCCCTGATCCCGTCCGGCGGTGACCTCGTCGCTCAGGACCTTTTTTGATGGTGTTGTAGTCGTGCATGACCACCAGGATAGTCACTGCCCATCTTAACCAGGAAAGTATCACCATACGTCTTCCGCCATTCCATGAAGCGTTTGAACGGAGGCGTTCTTCCCAGTTGCAGCAGATTTCCCACGACCGGCAGACCTATCATTTTATTATGCTCTTTATCTAATTACCTATTTATATATTTTTATATCAACACCAGTGTTATTGCTCGAAGACAAACCTGGAGGTCCGGGCGGAAGATTGTTGACAGCTGTTCGTTTTGATCGGAAATAAATCAGCCCAGAAACAGAACTATACCTCCAATGACGAATTCAATCATTTTAATGGTAGAGTCTTGAGAAAAATCCAAGAAAAATGAGGACAAAGCTTTTGACTACAATTTGTCAGTTTGGAAATCCAAGCATTGACTGCCGATGTAAATAAGCAATACCAAGCTTCCGAGGAATAGCATGGAGATATTTTAGACAGGTTTACAGCGTAATATGATTAGTTGGGCCTTTGCAAACCAAAAAAGGATATGGTACGAACGATATAGTACTAATTATTAATTATCACTTTGTGCTGTACGAAGCAGCAAAGTTAAGACATCAATATTAACCGTGTTGCGGCGATCCTGAAAAGTTACATATCACAGAACGGTCGTCTTATCACAACCGCTGCCGCGTGATATGAAGAAGCATCACTACTGGCCTTCTTTTTACCAGATCCTTGCGAAAAGAAATCACATACACATCAACACCATCACATACACAGAAGGTAGTTAAAGAAAGGAAAGTCGACTGTCCCATTCATGGAGCAGCAGACCATATGCATCTTGACCAGTTTGACCTGTGCCTCTGTGTCTTTGATAGGAGTAGATAGGTTTGCAGGTGATCAAGACCTATCGGTTCAAAAGGCAGTTGGGCAGGGATGCAGAGCTAAACAGCGAACGGTTATCACACAAGAATGGGTCTGATTCAGACACTTGCAATTTTATAGCGTTTGCGATGATAAGCATCGGTGATATGTGGCGGTTTGGGTCATCGCAACACGATTATTAATACACTGTGTACAAACTTCAGTGTTACAAACCAGCTGTTCCATGCACTTAAGTACTGTACCATTAGATGAAAACGTGTACTGTACTTTTGCTCTTCATACTGTATACCGACGTTTCGTGATTTTATGACCAACCATTGCCGTTGCTCTAGGTGTGCGAGAGGAAGGAATGTTCATTCATTCCTCTCGCACACCTATTTCTAACATCGTCTTTATATCTGATATACAGCAACTAACTGATTGTGAATTGTGCTCACACTAATACGCTTTATGTAGATACTCAACCGAGTTTTTCGTATTTGTCCGCTCATACAAAATGTTTAGCGCAGGGTGTCGCCAGAAACATATCTAGAGGCGTCTGTGCCTATTTAGTATTCTAGCTCAGAATAATCTTTATGCGTAAATATAGATATAATAGTTTTGTGGTGCAGCTTATTAATGAAATATCCACATGTATTTGGCTCAACTTCAGGTACGTTGTACTTTATCGTGCATATGACTCAAAAATCAAAATCCTGCAGAGGCATAACCGGTTCGACTTGTTCTGAAAATAATCGCATTTACTGTAAGAAATGCGAAAACTGCAAAAAACTGCATTTGACAAAGTAACGCCATAATGGACAACTCTACGGTATATAAACTGCCCATTTTTATAAAAGCATAACTATCTGAACTGATAACCATTCTACAACCAACAAATTGCCGGTGTAAATTATTGAGGCACCGTGGCGATCAGTTTTTACTGGCACGGTAAGTCAGAATTATCACAGACTTTTGGAGAATCATTGCAAGTGTATGGCGGACGGTATTGACCAAGAGGATCACAATGCGAGTAGCCAATATGTATTAATCTCTCCTTTCCTGCAAAGCGAAAACAGTTTGGTACCTTTATTGAACTTCTTTATACTTCCGTGACTTCTGCCAGATCCATTTCTTACTTTAACGAAAATCAGCCCTCTGGATTCAAAACCAACGATGGGTTTATATCAGCCAAGGCTTTGGTGAGGACTAACGTGAACCTTCCCGCTGCAACAGCAATCAAGAATTTCGCAAGTACATACGGTACGCAGAAAGCGCATTAACAGGAGAACTCACCTTCTCCGGTGGACTCCATTCTACTGGCAGTGTTAACGGTATCTCCAAATCTAAAGTCCAATGGCAGTTATTGCATGTCATCGATTTGACCTTTATGCTAATGGGTCATGCGTCACAGTAGAACGCGTTACCAACATATACATACAGACAATAGCGTGGTGCTTTTGTCCCGATGACCCCGCAACTACTGGACCTGTAGCAATAAAGGCTTTACTTTAGTACTTACAACGGGAATAAGGGATGCCTACGTGCTCAACCGTACGACTCTAAAGTATGGCAGCGTGAAGTGTACTGCAAACGGTGCACTACGCTCAGTCTTATGCTTTATCCAAGATTGATAGCTACTGTGAATTGCTGGAGATAACATGGAGCTTCTGATTCGATTTTAGAACTAGCCGTTGTTCACTGTTTTGTTTAAGCGATTCTAGAATAATCCATATTTTTCTCTACAAAACGAAAGTAATAAGGTCCTTGTAGCATCAACGAGAAAACCCCGTTTGTAGCGTTTTTGGGGTGCCCATCTCAGCATGCTTTGCCTCAATATTGGAATTTAACATACCTAGGCCGCAACAGTTGGTGCAGCTACACACACTGCTGCACTGTGCATACGTAGGCGTCCCTTATTACAGCTCGTGAAGAGTAGCACTATTAATTGGGCTTTAAGTCGACTTAACTTGCTTACCCGAATTTATCCCGATTCTGATGCTTAATTCCATTTTGTCGTCCGTCGTGTCGGCTGAAATTTTACAGCGTTCCAGAATCGCCCGTCCCAGTAAGCATAACACATCCGCATGATTATGGTTGCGCATTGGTATACCGCTAGATATCTGAGAAAAGGCCATCACTTCTCATAAATCAGCATATTATTTTAACTTTAGGAAGTGTTACCATGTAACTATCGTTGATGGTTTCCACTTTATAAGCATCGTAGTACGGTACGACCTCGTCGAACGCCGAATGTGTGCGATTTAAAAGGTCAATTACTTCTAGTGGCGAGCACTTCATTACTAGCTTGGCAAAAACGGGTAAGTCGCTAAATAGAATGGATACACTATCGAAGGATTCCGCGTTGAGTGGTTCCTTATTGCGTAGCTGTTTTATGATGGATCTAAAAATTCAATAAAAATAATTAAATGCTCTGCATTCCAACCCTTTGAATTTAGAATTAACTATCTGTAATTGACAGCAGCCAATAGCAGTACTGCTGTACCTTGGAAGCATTTCGGCAAGGAGCATATCGGTTTTGGTAGTTTCCTCAACCAATGTGGCGGTTTTGGCCTGTACCAGATGTTCCAACTGTTGCGTCTGCTGGTCAAGCAGTTTGAGCATGTGCGAAACCACGTTTTGCGGCAGATTAGGAAGCTTTTGAAATGATCGCTTAATCCCAAATATTGGCGGTCGTAGATTGTAGTCGCTCCGCATACAATCCTCAATATCGATCTCCAGTGGGGTCTTCTTTACCGTTCCATCCTCGGTGAGTGACGACAAAGCTACAAATCAAGACAGAATATTACCGGGACCATTGCGGAGTAAACTGTAAATATATTGTGCAGTGACCTTTTTAGCTTTAAGGCATCAAATGCAATGATGCCAAAACCGTGCACGTCATCCGCACGACATACTATCAAATGGTTTTTTGCTTTGTTTAACGCGCATCATTTTCGGCTCGGTGTTCACCGCTTGGGATATTCGGTCGAAGCCGGCGTGCGATATTTTCAACGTGAACCGGCTATCGATGAAGCAGGTTGTAGCGGTTAGCGTTCCATGGTATCCGAGCGCCGAACTGTGTATATACATCAGTCCCTGCATCACAATTTGTAGAACTTCAATAAAATTATTATTAGCTCAAATTTGTGAATTATTAGTACAGTATACTGAACCGTTAAATTTAACATACATAGTGGATTTTCCGTGTCTCAAGGCCGTTATGAGCAGACACCATATAAACAAACTTTCTGGTACAAAGTATTTTGTATTTAAACATTCTTTGATTTATGAAACAAAATAAATTATTATGCTCATTTTTCACAGTTCAAAACTTTCTAAGTTTTTAAGGAAGAGGTTAGTGAATCATTATATTTAAGTTATTGAACTTCCTGGAATTGCGTATTATGCAACCAATATTGTAATAAATGTCGGCCATTTGATCCTTTATTCAGCGCAAATTTAATCAGCTGAATTTTATCAGGACAAATTACTTTACGCACTAAGAGACGAATCATGAAACGCGTTGCGATAGTGGCAAAAGTCTGTCACGCGATCCCTGTAGGCCATTTATTCCATACAAAAAAAGCGCTTACTTTGACGAGGTCATAGAGAAACGACAGCCGGACGGCCACATCGGTGAAATTGTTCTTCTGACTGAGGACGTCATGTAAGGTGCCACGATGACTGAACTCCATTAATAATTCACACGGGCCTTTCTCTTCAACTTTTACCCCATAAAACCGCCCGACATTGGCGTGGTACAAACCATGGACCTGTCAAAAAAAAGAGTAATCAATATTTACCTTTGTCAGCTGCATGGTGAATAACTAACGACGGTTACCGACTTACCGTTAAACTTATGTTCCGAAAGGCTTTATTCCGCGACAAGAGCTTGACGTTCAGTCTATCCGGAAGGGAAATGGACAAAACCTGCTGATTGTCTAATTGCAGCGACGGTCCATGGTACGTTAATGCACAGACACTTTCGTGTGATTTGATGGAATATTTGCCGGTGGATGGCGTTATACCGGGCTTATAAAGAAACATATGCCGAAATTCTTGCTCTTTTATCCGTTGCCTAAAGTGAAATAGCATTGAAATAATCTCGTAATAAAAAAACAACAAAATGAACCATCAATAATAATAAATTTGTTAATCTCCAAATAAAACAAAGGTCACAGAAAGTTCGTACCGATAATAGTATAGCTCCACACGCCATAATTATTAGGGCGCAAAGACCGAGTACTAACAGTGTGATGGTCAGGTCATCTAGAAGGGAATCGTAATAATTATTACAGTCATCTAATTCATATCAAGCACAACTCTGAACGTTGCTTTTATGTGATTATATTGAAATTCGTTTCCTGTCTTTTCACTTTACTTCCTAAAGCCAGACAATGCTGTCCATCAAATCCACATTTGGGATCATTGGTCGGAAACGCTGTGGAATTATGCCATTTCAAAGCTCCGGATCCACAATGTGAAGTTTCTGTATTTCCGTATCATACTTTGCAGCCAGCTGCAGAGCACGAATAATCAAAATACCTACTCGGTGGTAATCGCCTGCGATACTCGAGAATCTTATCTTTAATTAACCGGCAAGCACTAATATATCTATGAGTTCCGCTAACAGTTTTAGATGTACAGGTTGTGTAATTTTACTTATTTTAGGCAGTTTTTCACTTTTTTGTTTTTCTGCGTTGTGCTTGTCCAAACGCTTTTAGCTAAAACTTGAAACTTGCCTTTCAGGGCATACATTTTATGTACGTGATTTCTCATTTCTAAAGATACAAAGCTCATATATGAACATTACAATGTACAGCAAAACGATACTACTATTACGCATGTCAGTAAATAAAAGCCCGAGTGGTCTGAGCAGACGTCAAAGGTGACAATTAATTTCCGAAAGGAGTTAAAATTGTTGTATGAGAGCGCACTCGTTGTTGCGTATTGCGGAAACATGTTCTATTGATACTAGTGCCAGAATACAGTTTGTTTCCGGGAGAAGCTGGGACTTACAAGCATCACGATTAATTCATTAATAATCATTTACCTCGAATTTGCCGTTGCGGGGGTTCAAGCGCAGCAACGGAATGAGGAAGCTGGCCATGCCGGATCTGGCAACGCGGGTGGAACTTGACCGTTTGCTATACATCTGCTGGCGGAGGTTGTGCGCGAACTGTGCCGGTGTCATGTTGGCCATTTGATCGACAGATCGATTAAGGTACTGTACAACCAGGGAAGCACCAGGCATTAAACAAACAACCACTTCCGCTCTCTTCTGTACTGAACAATAAGGATTAACACATACCTCGGCAAAATTCGACAGCAGATCGTACATTAGCGCCGTGGCTTCGTTTTTCTACGCAAAAGAATAAAACGCTCGTCATTGACGGTTAAATCATCATTAAGCGAAGAAGTAAATATTGTACGTGTGAGCATTGTATGTGTACCCGGTAATTGAGCGGGACAGTGATGTTGTAAACACTCTGGGATGTTTGAGCGGTTTTATTGATAAATTCCTCCAGGTCATCCCATTCGAAGAGTGTGTCCGATGAGATAATTACCGATTCAAAGGCTTTCCTGGCTTTCTGTCAACAAGATTATGTTTCGCATCGAGGATTTTTCCGCAAAACATTTACAACCACCGGGAATGTTAACGCACCTCATCATCCGCGTCATTCGCTTTCCAACTGAGCAAATACGGACTACCGGGTGTTGGCTGCAGCGCCAAGGTGAAAAAAATCTAGCCAAAATAAATAAAATTTTAATTTGCGTTACACGTAATAGTTGACCTAATCCGCAAATATTATTGTAGTTTCTGAGATATTTTATCAATAAAAAGACCTAGAAAAAGTGCATCGTGTTGTACAGGCAGTTACTAGGAATTTGTTGTAAGAAAATCTTGATTTCGTTTACACTTACACCAAAATGACATAATATTTTCGCAGAATTTTTAATACCATGCCTTGTTAGCCACTGCCAAAGAAAACATCAGCAGCGGTAAACGGAAGCAGATTACTAGTGCATTCCCTTAATATTACTTACAAAGTCTCCATTTGTCATGTTTAATTCGTAAGCCGTAATCTGCAAAAACAAGCAAAGAAAAATTAATATGAACAAATTTCTGCAAAAACTGTAAAAACTGAAAAGATTTTCCATATTTCATTGGCAGTATACACAGATATGCATGGCTTTCTAATTCCCTCATGGCCAGAAGCCAGAAAACTGAATTAATATGGTTGCAGCCGCTGCGTTTCACACCAGAAGGAATAAGCTACGAGACAACACAAGATACAGTATGTACAATACATCTGTACATATACACGTACCATGAATTCCCGCAGCAGAGGTGGGTTGATGAAGACAAGGATCACTGCAAACATCAGAATGAAATTGTTATTTGCGAGAGATAGCAAACCGGATTGGCAATTTTAGCAGTGTTTATACAGCCTGTGACTTAAAGTATAAAATCAATTATCCATAAGCAGATTTATGGCAGTACATCAGCAACGGAGAACCGCTTAATACTATTATTCTGCATTATGCCGGTTTTAATTTTAAAAATGCACTTCTAGTTATACAGATACTAAACAAATACAGCACTAGCACCTCACCTCGCGTGTGATTACGCAGTTCATTCAGTACACCACGGTATTGTTCTTTCCCAAATACCGCCAGATTGGTGTACGCATGGGGAATGTACACTTGCTGGACATCGATCCTGTTATACAAGCCGTCTTTGATGAATGCATCACAAAAGTACTCCGACCAGCTCATGCCGACTGGCGGACAGTACAAGCCCAGGTTTTTGGTCCACTGATTATCCAGGAGAACTTGGGTCACGGCGGCCACCATATCGGTGCCGGGCAGTGGGCCCAGCTGGACCATCGTGGGAAATTTCTCGAAATGGGCTAGATCAAAGTTGGCTGGGTTCGTTGTCAGGAAAACCGTATCAGTGGCTAATAAATTACAAATAAGTTAATGGAGTTTGGTAAATCCCGAGAAACACAGCAGGAGTTAGATAAGTACTACTGAAATAATAGTTACATATACTTCGCCTGCTGCCTTATATGGGCTCCTCTTACCTTACTTTTCCTTATCTGGGCTCCCTCTAGTTAAAACAACTGCAAAACTGCAAGTACTAATGTAACCGCGCACAAGGTCGGTTGCGCGCACTTCCGGCAGCACTGACAGTATGGGCAACCGACCTTGTGCGCGGTTACATTAGTACTGCAGTTTTGCATAACTATATAAACAGCGTATCTATATATAATCTATTGCGTACGTCACGATCTCATAACGAAATTTATATCTATAGTAATTATTTTCATGCTGTATTTTGGTAAGTGCCTAATTAAATAATTTGCTTAACAAATTTAACCTGCTGCAAAGTTGGCTAAATGCACCGGGGCCACGTTACACCAGTCTGCACTGACAATCACCACCATATCATTTGTCCCCAATGTATCCTCAAAAACCATTTGATGGTTTTCATAGAAATCGGCCCATGCCGGCAAAATGTTATCATTTGACGCTACACATTCTGCAGAACCCGTGGATACTTTGCTATGGTCAGAAATATCTAAATCCATTGGGGTCAAATTGAGTCGTAAGTGGCCAGTAACAAGCACTTCTCGATATCTTGAAATATCACATCATACGCCGGTCGCATAACCTGATATCCGCAAGTATCGTCGTTGGTCAGTGTAATGATTACCACGGTGAGATTGATAAAATTATCGCAATATACGGCATTTGCCAATAATTCTGCATACAACAACAAATGGACGGCAGAAAATCTGATCATTATGATCGATCTGCGCCATTCAACGCCACGACTAGTTCACATTTTTCTGAACAGTCCAGGTGCGACTGTTTCCCGTTTGGGAAACCCTTCTACTTGTCCTTAACTTCTGTGTTTAACGGAGGTGTGGGAGGGCCTTGGAGCTGACGTTTTCAGCTCACCCTATAGGAAACTAGCATACCGGTTCCCTTATCCGTACTTGTACGATTTTTTGTACTAAGACGAAGGGTTAAACAGGCTTTCCTGTAAAAGTGTTGGTACACCCAATAGTTCTATTAATATCTTACGCGTACACCGTTAGTGCTCACTGTGTAGCGCATTTAAGGTAGTTATAAAATTATGAATCAATGACTTTTTTATGAAGACATAATAAGTTTGGTTTTTATGAAGACATAATAAGTCTAGAGTAAATCACAGTGCCAGTGACGTTTCTCCTGTAGTACGAATTAAATGGCCTTCCGATCTGATATTCCATGAATTTCCTGACAGACAGTAGGAAAAAAAGTTATGACGAACAAATTGTGTTTGGCACATAAAGCGCCGGATCCGACATCATACGGCAGTTATTATTGATCATATGCGCTTTGTATTACACACAAAAGCCTCTTCAAAGGTGCAAATATTTTACGTATCGGATTAGGATAGCAGTATAATAAAAGTTGTCTATAGTTATTTTTTTCGGGGTTTTGTAAACCGACAAATCGCGGACTACTTGCTGATGCGCGTGGGTAACCGACCAAGAGTTACCGCAAACTTCATTTTCTAAATAACGTTTCGTATAACTGTACAGACTGTACGTTCGTACCTGCTACCATATGGCCATATGTATAGTTTTATGCAGAAGTTTTCAACTAGTAATCACTGCTCAGTAGAAAGATTGAATACCTTTCCTTCAAGGCGCTTACAAAATTACCATTATACTTGCATAAAATATATGCACCTAAGCGTTAACCGTGCTACCAGTTATTATCTGTACCGTATGTATCTGTAAGTTACAGTAATGGAACGACTGAAAACAAAATCAGATTAAATTCAAAATTATCTAGCATACAGCATTATCTATCTACCCTGCAGAAGCTACAGTCAATGCGCAAATCTTAGATATTCATTTGAAAACTTTTATAAAGATACTCGTAGGTATGTGACGATGTCATAAAATGCACTTTCTTCTACCGTATTAATCATATGTAATAGTCAAGACAAAATCATAGTGGCACCAGCAGTTACGCACAATTTTGCTCGATCTCCGCTACTTAAACTTAAACTTGGTAACGTGGCTTGTATTAGCACATTATTCGGCCGACCTGACGCAAATCTTGCCAGTTCCATTGCAACGAGCTCGCACCATTCTAAAACGTAATAGAAGATAATAACACAAGTGGTTCAACTTTCTTAACAAGTTCGCACATTTCATGACCGCACCATTATTAATCAGAACCGTCAAATCTTTCGTAGACCGGATGCCAGCAGATTCGCAAGAATACACCTTTCCCACATTGTCGGCGATGTGAACGACTGCGCTTTCGCATTTATCGCTGAAATCGCTAGCCGAATTATCAACCATACCATGATAATCCCAGCGCTTTATGGTAATCTGGTGCAGAATAGAAAACTGGCTAGTTAGAATTTCCAGCGCGGCGTCTTGGGCGGGAGCCATTGTGTAATAGCCCGCGGAGTCGTCGTTCGTGGCCAGTACAATGATTACTGACAAGTTTCTACTAAGTTCAGCCACTATTTGGTATATCATTGAAATTGAAATCAGTGCACAGCACAGAACGCTGTGTTGATGAATTTTCCGCAAGTACATCTCGTGAAAAATTAATGCATTTAAAAATAACTAAAAAACTATACTTCGAATGCTGCCTTATATGGGCTCCCCTTATATTACTCTCCCTTATCTGGGCTCCCGGGCAATATGAGCAAACCTCTACATGGGCGGTTGCGTTATAACTCACACTTTCGCAGCTGTTATCAGTGTTATGCCTGACTGAAAATTTTGATTTATATAAAATACTTATTTTGCCAGTACTTTTGTAGCATTTAGTTTCTTTCAAAATGCTCAGGTTGCATCAACGGCAGATTCAGAATCTTTCTAAAATTCAAAATCTTTCTAAATTTAAGATCTTTCTAAACGTCGCCCGCTTAAATGCACTAAGAACCCCATGAAAAAATAAAAAAAATTTCGGCATAAGAAATTTAAAAGAAATTTCGGCATTTTCGGTGATAAGAAATTTCGGCATTTTTCAGTTTGTTCATTGGCAAATCCGGTTGAAATTAATGAAAAATATTATTATATATATAATATATATAAATATAAATCGGATGTGAAATTTCGGAATTCTTTGGTGTGCTCACTTGTAAATCCGGTTGAAAGAAGTAGAAAAGGGTTTTGCTATAATCCGATAAATTCAATTTGACGGGTATTGCTAACTAGCCGGGAGCCCAGATAAGGGAGAGTAATACAGGGGGAGCCCATATAAGGCAGCATTCGAAGTATAAGTACGGAGTACTGCTGGAAGTCTCGCCGAGCTCAGGGTAAATACGGTAACATCATCGTGCACATACATATTATTTCATGATATAGTGCAATAAGTGCATACTGTAGCCTGATCGGTTGGTTCAGTTGAATTAAGTTTTGGGAGCTACATCATTACCTATGTTCAACTCCTACCTAGTTAATGTTACTACTCTAGCATCTCAAGTACCAGGTGCAACACTGGAATGATCAACAATCCGGTGTAAAAAGGACATCGCGATTCTGGATCGAGCGCAACAGCTGAACAAGCAAAAATACAAGTAACAGCTCCATGTCGATGGCCGTGGTTGTGTTACTGTGCTGTTTAACTTGATCGGCGCCACTTCCCACGTTTTGCCACCAGAAATAAGAATTTAATAACCATAAGCATTTCTGGTGACCTTTCCGAATTCTCATGGCTTCTTGCTTGAAGCTGCAAGCCGGTACGCACCGAGGGCAAGATTAAATACCGAATTTTCACGTAGTGCTCTTACAATAACATTCATATTTGACACGTCTGGTTAAAAATATGGGAACTGCGTAAGACCACAAGTTGTCCAGAATTTGTGGAACGAACAACTGCAAGTTTCCGAGAGTTCTACCAGGACATAGCATAGCATACCAGAATAGCATACCAGAAGTGATATTCTGTTCGTATGCTCGCACGAGCAGACGACTCAGGTGAGTGATCATGAGTCCATATACAGTACGTAGAAGATATCACTGCTCATTTTCTTTGAAGGTGTAAGGCAATTAGGTATAAATATTCAGCGACTCAGAATTGCCGGTATCTGTTACTTCTTATGCTTCAATTTATAATATGATGAGAATTCCGCAATAGTCGTCCGAGCGATTAGCAAAAATATTACATTTAAAGCAGTTTAGTACAGTAATCTACTCTGTACAACGTGAATCATAGCGTTGACACTCTTGTCTCTTATCATCAACAGTATTATGACAAGGCGCCTCATCAAGGCATCCAGACTAACTAGGCTGTTTTGTTCTTGGGATATGCCATATCAGCACAAGTATCAATTACAGTGATCTTTACCTGTCTAGTGTTCAAATGGCTGAATTCTAGTTAAACGATCTGAACTAAAGTTAGGAGACGATTACCGTATTTTTCGGATTAGAAGCCCGGGGCTTTTAACTTTTCATCGTTACCCGGGGGGAGGCTTATATGGTGAGAGTATTTTGGAAAAAACAAAGGGGGGAGTATTGTAAAATCAGGGGAGGCGAGGCTTATATGGTAGAGGAGGCTACAGTTCTGGAGGAGGCTATCAGTTCGAAAATACGGTAATTGTTTTATTATCAGACCGCTTAATTTATAGTCTTTAACGCTTTATTTGCTGACTACGTTAGTCTACTTTTACTCGAAACTGCGAAGGGAGCAACAGCTTTGCGCCTAAGAGATCCGTAATCTGTAATGGCTGCTTAAATTATACGTTAAGCGAAGGAGACACCCAAAGTCTGGATGAAGTATCAGGTGCGCACTGTTTACCGTGTGGGTGTACACATGGACCAGTTATTTAACAAGTGCGCGTGTTTGAAGGATTTTAAAAAAAACCTTCTCGCATGACTTCACGACGGTTAATTCGTAATGCACATTTGGGAATATTCCAGCAAGACAGCAATTGCCAGTCGCAGATGTCTTTTTCCACAGATAATCGTGTTTTGAACAGAATTTTTCTGCATAACTCATTAAAGTATGCAGTGCTGAGTTCAGTTAGCCGGAATGCCGCACTTTATGCAGTAACATCTGTTCGCTTTTCTCAAAGTCATTGTTTATTTCCTCAAACTTCGGTAATAGTCATACTGCAAGCTCACAGTTTACGGCATCAAAATTATATATAATCATGAATATGAACTGTGAGCAATCGCACGAGAATTGTACCCGATATCAACGTAAACGTCAAACAACTGTGATGATAACGGTCGGCTTTATGTGTTCGCGGCACTCGTAAAATACCACACAAAATAAAGCACTTTGCAAGTCAGCATGGTTATGACACTGGACAGAGCAAGAACATCAGTCACGTAGCGCTTGTCACCCGTGCCGGGCAAGACGACACACGACAGTCGTTGTATCCAGCACTGGGCGAGACAGAGATGTCCACTAGAGAGCTAAGGTCACGAAAATAATGGAAGTTAAACCTAAAAGA